ATGCTTGACCTAACATTGTGTGGTCAGGCACAGAAATCAACTAAGGCCCTGTCCTGACATATCCATTTTTGTTTGAAAACAGATATTTTTTTCTCTGGTATGCATATTCGGTGAAAATGGTCACAGAAAACACATCTTTTCAAAAACGCTCTCCCGAGAGGAGATTTTTGAAACTGCCCGCTTTTTATTTATGTGTGGAGGGATGAAAACAGAGGTTTTTAAATACAATTATATCATACATCAAAAATGCATCATTAAAATACATCATAACATGACGGATGCTCAATAAGGGATGTTTCGTGTCAAGGGGCGAAAACTATTCGAATACGCTTTTATGTGTGGATGCACATTTATTCTGAAAACAGAGAAAAATCTCCGTTTTCAAAAATATCCAGATACATGTGGACAGGGCCTAAATGTTTGTTATGCTTTTAGGGTGTGGTCACTGCAAGAATCTTGCCCCTACATATCATAAGGTTGGGGAAGCATTTCAGAATGAGCCAAATGTAAGTTTAATGTATTCCCTGGGTACATAACCAAAAGTCAAAGGCCTGGAGAATGTCTGAAAACAAATAATTAACAATGAGGCTGAGTATCATCTTAAAGAGATCAAGGAGGGTGTTAATCGGCCTTGGCGGAGAACACCCTCCAGGATCTCCATCATTCTTCAGATAATAAGAAAGCCAAATTCAATAATATTATTGTTTTATTATCCATTCAAAATAATTCCTAGCCTGAATTTCAGACGATTACTTTGAGTCATTTTTACTCCCTCAGTAACGTCTGAAACGCCTGTCTGTTAATGCTGTCCAGTGACTTCACTACTCCTTTGCTTTAAATATTCATGCAAAAAGTAAAGCACGATTTTCAACTGGCAAACAGAAAATATTGTCTGGAAATGTCTACATGATACAGAATTGCGTTACTGTTATTGATCATAATTCATTTAATCTTCAAACTGTCAACTGCATGCAGTACTCTGAACGAATCCGTTGTGATTCAGTAATCAGAGTCGATTGCAATCGTGCAATGAAATAAATACACACACGGAACACTTCGAAAACACAACAGTTTGCTGTAATTTGCTGAAAAAAGCTATTTGGTCCTTAACGAAGAAGAAAGAAAACGAGAAAGAAAAGCTAACAGAGTCATTAAACTTGACTGTGGAAATGAAAAGAAGGTTGAATTATAACTTAAATCTCAGAAAACTTCACATAAACAAAATCACCGCCAAAACCACAAAGCCGCTCTAAATCAAAAACTTACTGACTCATAGTTCAATTTAGCCAATCAGGAAAAAAATGGAGAAATATTTTGAATGAATAATTATGATGGATTGTTGTATCAAGAACCTACTGGAGATGGACATGTACATTATAAATTCACTGGGCTTCTGCCATATGCCTGTCATAAATTTTTATGTGCTTATGCAGGGCTGTCACTAAGGGCCACTGAGGGGCCATGGATTGTCCCCTGCTACTACAAGCACGACCCCAGCTACTCTCATTGGAAACAAAAGGAAAATAGAACCAATTCAATCAGCCTTGAATCGAAAAAAAAAAAAGCAGAGAAATCGGAACGAATTGAGCCATGCTGGCCAGAAGCAGATAGATGATGTTCAGCAACTGCATTTAGTGCAACTAACTGCTACGGCAGCAAACGTTAGTTTCAATTTTGCGAAGAAAGGATTATAACTCCATTGTTATTCATATCTAATTTGAATTTCCCACTCCGACAATTTTGCTTAACAAAGAACTTAATCGGTTTCTTCTGTTTGCGATTGTAACAAAAAAATGCAAAGGTTGCCGACAGTTTTTTTGCATATGTTTTTTCTTGCAAAACAAGGAGAAACTGGCGAAAAAAATGCAGGGCAATGTTTTCCTAATGAATCAGAGGCCACATGCAAAAATTCAGCTGATTTAAAAGAAAAAAAAATTACCCAAAACATCACTGAACATTATTTATTTATTAATTTTATTCAATTCCCCACTTACAATGTACTGTTAGTAATATTGCATATATCTAGCAACTTGAGATCTTTTTTGTAGTGACAGCCATGGTTTATATCTAGTTTGTTTAAGTTGATGAGAGACATCATTGACACTACAGAAAAGATTGGTTCTTAACATTTTGTAGCAATCAAGAAGTTTGAAGGAATTTGTAAATTCTACAGTTACACCAGTGTCATTATTATGCATTATGGTTCCAGTCTGTTGTATGTACTCCCTTTATTGTAAGCTTGACTTGCCTGTGGTCATAGATTTTATGTACTTGATAATGATTTTACTGTTAGTAAAACTTTTTTTCCTTTCTGTTTATTTTCAGTGTGTTGTGGCCAAAGTAGATGCAGATGCAGAAAAGGAATTAGGATCAAAGTATTTATCCCCAAACTACATCACAATATTAATCAGAATCAACAACTGGCCAGAGAGCTATTTAACGAAACACGGGCATCAAATAATACCCATCACCTTTTGCAATTTTTCCTCTTGGTTGAGTGTCCATATGCTTCTCATTCTGATCATAAGTCTCAACCGAAAAATTATTTTAAGTACATTTTAAATGAAGAAATTAAAGGTTAATTAATAAATTATAAATAAGTAAATATTAGCCTTAGTTCAAAATAGTGTCTTACAAAATTTCCAACTATGATATTTTATTATTGTATTTTGATTTCTGTCTCTGCTTCACATAATATGATGATTTGAGTTTATTTCATTATCTTTGTCAGGTATGGTATCAGTGGTTTCCCTACTATCAAATTTTTTCCCAAAGATAACAAAGATGGAGAGGAGGTATCATTAATATTAATTTTATGTTATTATTATTATTATTATTATTGTTATTATTATTATCATTATTATTGTTGTTGTTGTAACAAATGGAAACGTTATTGGTAACAAAGCTAACTGTAAAATCCTATTTACAATTTATTTCACTTAAAAAACCATTCAGTCAAAACACTATTTACGCTTAATTTCCATTGAAAAAAATTCATTCCATTAAAACTATATTATATATTCAAAAAAAAAAATTCATTTGTTGTTGTTGTTGTTATTATTATTATATAATTCAATTATCATGCATAAATCAAGATTATTGTTTATATTTCCCTTAAATTAGATTGAAATATTTTTAGACCTGCTAAACTAAGCTAAATGAGCCAAATTTTCATCAAAGCCTGGAGGTGCTCATGACATGTCAAAGCTTGATACCTAGACAAACAGGGTGAAAGAGGCATAAGGAAAACAACTAGTATTTCATGCAAATGTTTATATCTCACTTACCTTTAAAAAGGTGATAAAAACTAACCTTAAAAAAAACTTTCAGGAGGTCACTGGGTGTGGGTCGATCACCAAATTGGTGACCTTCACTGCTATTTTTTGGTCACAAAATTTTTTATTTTTACTCACCCTGATGATCAAAACAGTCACAGCTTGGAATATGCACACACTTTTACAAAATTTTACCATACACAATTTTTCTGATCCTAATGTTCATCTTTTATTAACTGCAGTACAGTGGAGGTCGTTCGGAACAAGACTTCATAGACTTTCTGAATGAGAAGTGCAAGAGCAACCGAGTTTCTGGTGGGGGAGTGAGTGATGAGGTAAGATTAACAATAAGTGTCCTTTTAAATCTTTGGGTCAGTCAGCGGTCAGTGATGATGATGGCTGCCTCTTTTGAAGCTGGCTAGTTTTGTGTTATTTGTTTCCTTTTTGTGTGTTTAAATAATTTAGTTTCTTGTGCGTGTGTGTGTGCGTGTGTGCGTGTTTGTGTTTTAATGAATAACAAAGCTACAATAGAATAAAGCCAATCTTGTTAAAGGGCCATAATTAGTTTTACTATAATGTGCCCTTCTCCATTCTAATTTTCTTTTTTTTATTATTATGTACACGTAGTTTAAACAACCTTGTACTAATTGATATTGTACAACTAATGTATTATCTATAGGATGGAGTAAAAATAAAATACAAATATTAATACAAAATATTTGGTGTGGGAATATGAAATCAGAGTAAAATGGTAAGAGTTTATGTGGAAACAGCATACCAAATGCTTTTTGTTTTTTACTCCTTTGTCAGGCTGGCAGAATTGAGAAATTTGATGGATTTGCCAAGGATTTCATGGCTAATCAGGTAAGATTTTAAAAAAAAAATAATAACATTTCTTTAATAATATTAGGGAGCTTAAGCAACGATAATGACAATGGTGGTGATTATATTCCCTAAAAAGTGAACTTATGCGCTTTCAATTCATTGCTCTTATTCCATGTTGTCTAATTTATCAAAATGTTGGTGAATTTTTCTGGAATAGAATTCTAAAGGACTGTATGTAAGTTTAAAAAAATAGAAAATCATTGGTTCACTTCCTCCATAAAACATGGAATTTGGCAGTTTCACGTCCTTTTCTTGCATTGGTGTTTGTCTGTGAGCAACGTTGTTATTTTGCTAATCTAAACGTATTGGTTTTTGCCATTCTTATCACCATCGACGTTATCTCACTTAAGATCCCTTAGCTAAATCTCTCAACCTTAACATCTCTAAGTGTGACACAAAAATTTACTTTTATCAACCGAGTTGGTAAGGTACCATGGATTGGCCACTGTAAGGGGATCGAGAAGTTGACGTTTGGATTGCATGTCCAATGCAGCAACGCTACAGCTTCTTTAGAAACTAACCCCCTCATTCATCTCATTGTGATTGTCTTGTGTTTGTTTGTTTGTTGTTAGGATAAACGTGATGCAATCCTGGAAGAAGCCAAATCCCTCATTGATGCACAAGAAAATACAAAGTGAGTTATTTGACAGAAATGTAGAACCAATACATCTTATCTTCAAATGAAAGAAATTCTTGTCTTCATAATAATAGGCCAAGGCCAAACATACACGTACCATAAGAAATTATAAATATTCTTTAAATTGCCTTTTTGATAGTGCTTTATGTAAACCTGACTTTGCGTTATCTCTGGTTCCTAAAATACTTTTGTAATTGATAATGAGAAATCGCAGCAGTGTAATTATTTTGGTCTTTGTTGTTACAATGACACAACAGTGGAATTCAAAGGAAGCTGGAGCTAGAGCTTGTGCTAAAACCTGTACCTTTATCAGTTTCATGGTTAATAGAGGTTCTCTTGTGTTCTGATTCAGAATGGCAACGTACTACACTAAGGTCATGGAGCGTGTGCAGAGTAAGGGAGATGCTTTTGTCATTGATGAGATTGAGCGCTTGAAACGTCTTATTGGTAAGATTTTGTTTTTACTGTGATTGCGATAAAAAATTCTGTGTTCCATGTTTAAAAAATAGAGTGGGGAAAAACAGAAAAAAAGGCTGATTCACGTTGGGAAATAAAATGATTAATCATGTAAAAAGGGCTAAAATAATCCTTTTTTCAAAGTTATAAAGGAGTTCTCTCATTTCATGGTTGATAATGACAATTCAGAAATTACTCTTCTTGTTCTTAAGGTTAAGGTGTTTAAGTTAAGGAACATGCCGGATATTTTTACGCACACCTTGTTTTCATCAATATAATTTTAAAATTTCATACCCTTGTCAGACATGTAAAATTGTTTCCTGTATGTAAGTCCACAGGGTAACCAATGCAAAATCTCGCACCTTCTAGCTAGTGTGGGAGCCTGCGACCAGATACATTGTATTATATATCCATGTTGTGGTCAGTTGACAACTGTCAAAATAGGGTATCCGCTGACCAGTATCACATAACCATATTGCGGGCTCAGGAGTCAACCATTTGAGGTGACATGTTTTTTTTTTAGTTATCCACGAACAAGTTACCAGTTTTTAACTGATCGCAGGCTCAACTCCAAGTGGATTTCTTTGCAATGTTTACAAGTTTATCGTTTGAAATAAATTATGAATTTATTAACGGGAGCTTCGCTTTCAGCCTTAAGTAAATATATATATTAAAAATAATTATATCAATCTCGTCTCCTCAATACAGACGGTGATATCAGTACTGCTAAGAAGGATGAGTTCAGCATGCGCCGTAACATTTTAGAACAGTTCAAGGCTGAAGCTGCCAAAGAAGAGCTGTAAACCCAGTGGTGATGTTTAAAACAATTTGGTGTGTGAGAGACATGTTTTAAAGTGTTTACAGTGGTTACTAATCCCACACAGCCATTTGCACTTCATTCAAGCAAAAACAACAACAACGTCAAAACAGCAAAACAGTTATTACCATTTTCATTTTACTTAATTGCAATTTCTTGGCATGCAGATCCTAGAGAATGCTGTTTTGTGGGTGACGATCTTGAAAGTAAACTGTTTTATTATTTTTGCATTTCTGACACTATGGTCTGTTTCTGGCTCATTGATTGTAAGTCCCTTACATGAAGCTTCAAGAATAAAGTGAGCTAAACTTCAGAATACCCGGTCACTTTTTTGCATATCATTGAATAACAAAAGTGCCTATTGTGTTATACCTCGTTCTTTAAAGCATTCCGACAAATGTAAATGATGTGGCCGGGTATTCTGAAGTTGCTCCATAAAGTGATGTTGTCTTGGCATTAACTAAGGTTGTTTGGACAAGTAAGAACTTCGTCAATTTGTTTTTTCTTAAACTGCTGATTATTGTTATACTTCTGTTGCTTTGAGTCTAGGCAGGATAAATATTGTAAAGCGTTAACCCTTTAAACACCAATATCTTTAGAGTGATCTCCATACATTTCCTCAAAGAATTAGTTAAGAGAATGTGATAAAAGATCAAAGCATTTCCCCTTTGGTAATCATTTTCTTATCTCTCCTACCCTTTCCTCTTACCGATGTATAGATATTCTCATGAGAAATTGATGTTGGTCTTTAAGTAAATTAACTTCAGCTGAGTGAAAATGAAGTGCAGTGGTTGTGTGCTATTGGTAGCCACTGTGACCCCTCCTTGCATTGAATATAAAGCGTGAATGACTCCACTTGTGCTAGAATATTTTTACTTGTGTAACTGGAAACGTGTTTCAGATTGGCTTGACTGTATTTTTTTGTTTTGTTTTGTTTTTATTTGTCCTTGAATGGCATTATACTTTAATAACTTACTGGGGATTAACACTGCATGAAAATCAGGAATTGATTTACTTGAAGAAAAAGAAGAAAATTTAAGTTTCCTCCTGTAAGTCGTGTTTTTCTAACCACTGATTTTTTTCAGATCAGAAAGTGGAGGTTTTTATGCAGTGAAATCTTTTCCACTGACATCATATTTAGATGTGTATTTTCACAACTTTTGCCACAACTGTGTAACTTTTTATCCTGCTGGTTAATGCTCTTTCCTATACAAGTCATGTAATAGCAAACGTTGTACACAGCACTTTGCCACTTTTATAGAAAATAAATAACAATGTGAATTATTTTTTTGTATGTATAGTCACTGCTATCTCTGCCAGTACCTTAGACCATGAGCGATCATCCTTCTTTTCTCAGAGCCACACTTGGCAAGCATAAAGTAAGATTATGCAAATTAAAAAAGGGGTGAGATTAGGGTGGAAAGAGGAAAAAATTTTTCCACTCAGGCTTCCACACAAATCTGGCAAACCGGATTTTTTTTCAGGCTCTTTTTTTGGCAACTGCATATTAGTTGCATCTTAAACTGAGATGAGCCTCTTTGCATTTATTTCTTCATTCCATGGTTCCAATGTATGAAATTCAGATATTCATTACTTCATCTTTGTTAGATGAATATTAAAGGCAATATTATCTTTACTCTCAGCTCTATACAAAGACAACACTGTTTTAATCCTAATTCTTTGTTATTTACAAACACTCCCATTTTAAAAGGTGATATCTCAATAAACATGGTACACATTTGTCTCCATTTACAATCTGCATATTCCTCTTGACTTGCAAATATTTTAGTTGTATCCCAAACATTTAAAGTCTATTATGGCTGAAAACATATGTATATATTTTTTTTTCATTTGGCTAAAACTTCACTCAGGTGCTTGCATAGTTTTTTTTTTGTTAAATAACAGAACATTCAGTGGAAATTGTTGACACAAACAAGCAGGACAAAGCTGATCTTTTTGCGATGTAACAGACTGTATACTGCATTCAGGCTTTCAAGGCTGCAGTTGAGTTCCATGAGTATTATTCATTTTTATCGCCAATGCATCGCTGCAACACTGAAAAAAAAAGTGTGCTGTGTCAGTTAATGTAAAGTACATGTGCTAAAGTTACAAGCTAACAAATGCAGTCCTTTAACAGATTTTTTTTTTTCTCAGGGGAAGTGGATGAAATTTTTATCTGCACAGAGAAGGGTGAAGTTAGAATTCTCTCAAATAAGGGTAAAACGTTTTCATCAAACTGTATTTTAATATCAAAAGGAATATGCAGTTTAAGTAATAGTGACCACAAATTCCGAAGAAAATAATGATTGCATAACATCAGCTTGAAGATATGAGGAAATGTGTAAAGGGCCATATATTTATTATCATCTGGCTATATTATTATTGGGAGCTAAGAAAGTAATGAACAAACTTACGTAGCCCTTGGGTGTGCATGACGGTAACGACTACTGCAAAATGAATACAACAAAACTGCATTAACAATACCCAAAACTCCTACCTTCCATGTATTTTTTGTTTTTCCTTTTTTCGTTTTTTTAACTCCTAGGAAGTTTATATTTCAATGTCAGGTCTTGAGAAGGGAAGGGGGGGCTTAAAATAGAGGAGATGATGGATGGGAGGGAAAGTAAAACAAAAATAAATGAAAATACATTTTGGGTAATTTCAACAGAAAAAAAATGGACAATGTATTTGAAGTGTATAAATTGCACAATAACAGTTAGCTTGCACTAACAATCAGGTTTTAAAGCTATTATTACAATGTCAGAAAACTTACTAGATTGTTGCAGGGATAGGACGCTGACCCCTTATGTCTATATACGGCTCCTGTCTGAGAGAGTACTGTAAAAAAAAAGATGACATGAGCCATATTTAACCTATTTGCAATATATTGCAAATAGCTCACATTTCTGCAGTTTGAGTTTAACTTGTGAGAATCATTCCAAAGTGAAAGACTGCAGAACGTTTGGCTCAAATTTCCTCCTGATTAAAAAGAAAATTTATTTTGGCATATACCATGCCAACCTCATGTCTCCAGGACTTTTCCCTTAGAAGGGGGAGAGGTAAGAGACAAGGCTGATGCGAGCCTGCAAGCAAGCTCTCCAGGGCGCTCTGGTTCTCTTCTTCCTTGTTTGCCCCGTCGCCAGAGTGCCCGAGAGAGCTAGCTCACAGGCTAGGCTGATGCAGAGGCTCTCTTAGGGGGAGGGGGGTAGGTATGTATGTCCCTAATCTGAATTTCAAATATGATCTTTCAGCATTTTGAGGAGTAGGACACTTGTGTCCCTGTTGGCATTTAACCCATCTTCATGTCAATTAGCCTCCCCCGCAGACCTTGTTAACCTTTTAAACCCTAACATCAAAATTCAAATTCTCATTTGTTATCCCTATACTTTTTCAATAGAAGTAGTGGGGAGAATTTGTTGAAGTATCCATTAGATTTATCTTGTGTGATCATGTGCTTAATTCTCATGACCACTTTGTGTTATAAAGCAGTGATAAATTACAAGGAGAAATTTGATGCTGATCACTCTTAGTGCTTAAAGGGTTGAGGGAGTGCGTATTTCTTCCCTCCTCTCCTGTGGGCTACACGTCGATTGTCACCATGTCATCTTGTCTTTTGTCACTGTTTCAACATTGATGGCTTGTCAGAATTTTACCCTAACAGGGCCATGATGCAGATTTGATAAGCTTTGTGTGTAATAAAACACTGATAGAAATGAAAAAAAGTCCATGGGAAAAATAATGCAATCAGCTGCTCTCAGTAATGGGAAGAATGACTATTTTGTAATGTTGCAAAGCTGCAGATTTATTAAACACTATTTTTTTTGTTTTGTTTTTTTTTTTTTTTCCATTCATGTGGAATAGTTAGACACATTTTAACTTCTAAACCAAAATTCCTCAACTTGAACATTCATAGAACTGTTCCTTACCCTCCATGAGCCCGTCTCCCTTGGTGACAGATATCGTGTTGCATAACCATTGAACCTCATTTGATCAGCAGAGTATTTAAGATATGGCTCAGGCATGAATGTATAAGGTTCAGATGGTTCTGGGAAAAAAGAGTTAATAGCGATTACTTATTGGATGTATTCATGGGGGTCACAAATCATTTTGACTCAATATGGAAAAATTCTTGGAAATCATGGGAATTGTTGCCACAAAAATTGGCAAAACTTGCCTAGTACAAGCATCATTAATTTTTTTTACAAATTTATTTTGTGGATATGTACAAGTCTACCGCCTCAAAGATAAATTTCAAATCCCGTGGTACGGTTGATCATCCCCGAAACAAGTACTATTGGCTTTTCAATATTCTATAAATAAATGAATTCTCCAAGCAGTTTGCATAAGGACACATTGCGGACCTGTTAACTGACAAGTGCAACGAAGTCATTCAATATCCTGCTTACCGTTTGGAGCGAGGGGAGAAGGTTGTCTTTCTCGCGTTTTTGCTGTCATCGATCGCTCCAAAAATTCCGCCATTCCCCTGTGAAAAAAAACACACATTCTTAAATGACTAGTAACAAAAGCAAATCGTTTTTGTGCAACTGAGGAAACCTTGAAGCCACCAATCCCACCGATGTTTTAGAAAAGAAAAAAAATGGTTTCACATGTCGGGGAAGGCTACTTTTCTGATATCTTTGGCGAATTCTTTGTGCCTTTTTCTTAAAACACAGACAGTTCTCTTGAGTTTTTCAAGGGCCCATAGACTGCTCGTCTGCTACACAGCCGTTTTTAGAGTCGAGCGTTGCGTGACGACACTAAAAACGGCTGTGTAGCAGACTGATAGACTTGCGAGCAGTCTCTCGCTCTCATCTATTCTTGCGGAATAGATGATTATTTGTTTTGCAGCGTTTTCGTTGTACCTTGAAGCAGATCAGCTACTAATGAGTAATGAAGGTTAAAACCGGTATTGTTCAATTGTCATAGTTCATTTGAAAGCTGAACCATTTCATTTGCCTTTTAAATCTCTCTCACTGTCTCGCTTTAATCTGTTAAGCCTGTGGTTTTGTTCCAGAGATCTAAAGCTCTGCACAAACTCTTCTTACCAACAGAAACGTTTGCTAGAGTAAACAAATAAAAAATGCACCGAGGATAAAAGAAAATACAGCGCAGCGAAAACACACAACTACGGTAACTTGCTCAAAAACAGTTTCCTTGTGTTCTTGACATAAAAGAAAAAATAGAAAGAACGCCGCTCACGTGAGCTGAATAGCCGACCGTAAAAGGGACAAAGGTTTTGCAGGGATATTATAATTAATTATTTTACTTTGCATGTTTGCTACACTGCACAGAAAAAGTTATGTAGACGGTATTTTGGGGGAATTTTCTGTTGATGTGTGCCGTGTGGTTTCCGACATGCAAAACAACCTGTTGGTACGCTCTTGGCTCGTGATATTAAACGTACCCTGATTCAATTGGCTGGTAGGATGTAGACTGAAGCTGGCGTCCCGTCTCGGTTATTCGCTGAAAAATAAACAAACAGTCAACATGAAATTTTAACAAAAATAATTTAAGGCTTTAAGATTCCACCAAAAATCCGCCGAGTTGTAATCCGGTATTTAATGCCACACTAGGTAATAAGTGCACGGTAACTAGATATCACCTTACCGTGCCTGACAACGGCTTCTCAGCTGGTCTGAACAGTGTGATAGTGCTGCTTTTGAAATCATCTGCAATACAAAATGAAAGTTGGATTCAAAAGGGTTGTCTTATCCTCAGCCAAATATCTTTACTTTTCCGATTGCATTAACCGTACTCCTGGTCAAGGGTGTTGTAGTCCGTGAATGTTCTTCTGGTAATTTATGCACAGCCGTATCCATGTCCATACGCCGGAATGTTGGTAGCATGGGATGATAAAGGCCTTCTTTTACTGACGCTAACATGTGTTTTCTATGCGCCAAAGACGGATGCCATCGTTGAGTTGTGATCGACATCGTAGGTCCTCCGAAGCGCGAGCAAGATGCAAAGGAACGCAACCGAGTCACTCGCGATTGACAATCCTGGAGTTTAAATATTTCCAAAGTCTCTCAGCCAACCTTGTCACCGCTTTGTTGCATCTATAACTTTTTTTTTAAGACGTAAGGCTCTGCACCAATCAATGGGGCGCACTACTATTGTGAGGTAATCTTACTCTGTGACGTATAATCCGACTGAAATCAGTCTAAATCAGACTTCTCAATTCGTCGGCAGGTTTTTTTTTCTTTTTCTGTAGCTCATTCACTTCAAAGCTTTTTAAATACCAAGCATTACGCAAGTGAAGTGATCACGTAGTGCCTGCGGTTTTGTTAGCTTGAAACTTCTAATACTAGGTCAAACATAATTACCAGCCTCTAGGGAATCACTACCTGAAGTATCTATACACAAAGTAAGTCAATATAACCGTTATGTAAACACCATCTACTGGGTGCTAATGACTGTAAATTTGTATTGACTAGCCTGCTTAACAAGCGAAAGTACTTTCTCGACGATTTCGAGTGCAAACGCTTGCTACGCAGGCCATGTGTTGACTAGCTTGCCAACCCAGACGTATTTCCGTCAGTCGGTACTATTATTTGATATATTTTGCGTCGCTCAAGTTTTGCAATTGTGGAAACTGTCTTTATAATTTGGCAGAAAAGAGGGCAAAATAGCTGCAGCAATTAAAATTTTTGCGGTTTGCCGAACGACCTGAAAGGTGGCTTTGACAAGATATCAGACGATGAAACGGAGGATTACTTATTAACTTCATTTGAAACATTTTATTTAACTATCAAAAGCTCATTTTCAGTTGTCTTAACTGTCACTTGGATATGCTTTGTTTACTGAAATTAAGGTGAAACTCGTATATTGCTTTGCAAGCGAAGAGATTCGGTAAAAAAGTTTACTGGCTTACTTTACTTTGTGTCCAAAAATGGAAAATATTTGTGAGCACCAAGTTGACTTTCTCTTCTTTTACAACTAATTTGGCCTTGGCCTTGAAAGTTTGTTTTATAAAGAAAAACTCGAGTCATGAAAAGTCACGAGTTCTTCGCAAAGATATGTTACACGAAAGTCTCCAACAAGGGATCACGAAAGAAATTTAAACAAGAAAAATGAGAATCTTCAACTTCATTTATGAATTTACTTACTTGAAAAGGGAGCTAATAAAATAATTTTTTTCGCCTTCGGCGCTTCACCTGTTGACGCTGTTTGTTTTCTTCAACTTCAGTGCGTGCGCGCGCGCGCTATGATCGTAGATCATGTTTAACGCGCGCGCGGTTGCTATGGAATGCCGTGTTTTCATTTGGTTCATTGAATTCGTTTTGTCTGTGCTCCCGGTATTGAGTTTCAAAAAATATGAATCTAGCTCTAAATTATCTCGAAAATAGCGTGAGTTTAATAGGTTTTTTGAATTTCACTGGAAAATAAGAAAGTTTCAAGGATTAGTTATTGACGATTTGACATTGTAGTGTTCTAGAGCAACTATTTTCTTTTCCAAACAAATCGTATTTTATGTATTTAAGCTCAGAAATATGACTAACAGATTAGTTCGATTTAGGTAAGAGTGATAAAGGTTTCAGGTAAATAAATTTACCCATGGCCAAACATATGTCATTTATCAGTTTAGCAAATTGTTTAAAGACAAAAGTGGTCCTGTGATTGTTTAAGGATCATAATACGATCCGCAGGCTAGCTAACTCGGAGTAAAAATTTGGTCGAGATTAAACCTGTGTATTGAAGAGAGAGCATTTGCATGTCTTAGAGAGCCCATTGAGCCCACGAAATTCCATATATAAAACCACTTCTATTAAACGCGTATCGACAGTTACGGTAAATCCAGTACATGCTAATGAAGGTTACAGCAGCCGATTGAATTAAATGTTACCTTCAGAGAATAGTTGAAAAGATTTGAAAGTATATTCACCGGCAGATCTCGACGTGGAATTCCTGCAGTGCTCTATCGGCAATTTACACAGAGTTTTATCACGATCCATTTGTCGATAGGTGGGAGGTTTAGGGTGAATCATGCCCTCCTTAACTGCAGCCAGCATTCTTCGCGGAGGTGAGTAGCCATAGTCCGTTCCGTGAGGTCTCACGGCGTCGTGTTGGCTAAACCTGATCCCTTGACGATCATAATACCGGCTGCTCAACGCAAGCTGCAGATGACGCGACATTTTAACTTCACGATCTGTTGTCCTTCGTAGAGTTATTCAAAGATTGAACAAGGTAACTATGCAGTATCCGTTTTACTCAATGGATCATATTCCCCGTGTGTCGACGCGCGTGAATCCAGCCGACCGAGCGCGAAACGTGGAAGACTGGTACCAGAAAGCCACCCCGTTCCTCTCCAATTTTTCTGCGATCAGGCAGTCCTTCTTAAGGGATTTTTGTCTGGGAGGCGAGGGGACTTTCGCGAAAAAACAACGGCTGATTGAAGGTTATCGAACAAAAGAGGCAAGGCTAATTTTTCAGTAGGGAAAACATGTAAGACCAGGAGCCCATGGTAAGACCCTGAACTGAGAAGGAATGACGTGTCCTTTGTAATATTAGTATAAGAACAAAAAATATATTCCCAACTGTAAAATCAGCCATGCTTCTTTTGTTTGATACTTTAATTTATAGCTGATTACATCCTTTATTAGGATCCGGTCCTTCTATTTCGTTGGTTCTTGCTGCCAAAATTGAATTTGAGTGTAGGTTACTATTTCCTTTCTCTGGAGATGTCTGTTGCGCCAGGAGACCCCTCTGAGCGTGCAGTAAGATACATTAACTCGCGCGTTCTTCCAATCTGCTCCTGCCCCAAACATAACTACTATATATAGCCGACATGATTTGGTCAAATAAGGAAATCGCTCTTCTTGCAGACTTACTTTTTTTTTTTTTGTTTGTTTTTTTTCTTCCTTTTTTACAACATCATAAAAACCGACATCAGCTGGTTCCCGAGTCGTGCAAGCAAATTGCAAGAGTAATAACCTTGTTACCATGGAAACATATACGGTACAACTCTAGCTAGAACTGATACAGTAGATAGACTAGATACATTTAACCTTTTATCTTATATCACCTCTACTACATGGTGTTGAATGACGCGAATGGTCATCTACCAGCTTTCTAAGAACTTCATCCATATCCATTCGTCTCAAAGTTGGAAGACATGGATTATACAGCCCTTCTTGCTTCACAGCCGTCAGCCTGCGTTTTGGGCCGAAAACTAGAGCTGTACCCGGTAAATTGAGTGTATGTCCCTCCTTTACATTCGCGTCCAAAGTTTTCCTGCCCAGAGTACAGGGTTTGGCCCAGAGCGTGTAATATTTTGTAGCCATTTCTCGCAAAAAGATTTCCTTAATTACACCGCGCGATTGGGCTTGTTGCTATAGTATTGAGATGAAACTCCTGAGCCCACAAAAGGAACTTTTAAGCTGTTTTCAGACTGTTATAAATAATATATTAGAGTCAACCGGTTGTTTTTCATTAAACAAATCGCCAAGCCAATCGCAGCATCAGCGAAGTAAAAATAGTTTTAATAACTGGTTGATTTAGGTGCCTAACAAAATCAGTCGTATGTATAGTTTTCCTTCTTTTCTTTTTCTTTTTGTTTTGCTATCCCTGTGTTGTTCAACTTTTAAATGAAACCTTCTGCATTTATCGAAACAATATCCTTCATTAGTTCTTTCTGTCCGAAAATCCATGCATGATAATTTGTCGCCGTGTTACTACTCCAATTCGCATAATTTATCACCATTCAATTTCCCCTTCATTTTCTTTTACATAGAATATCGTGAGCATTAATCCCAGGTGATCGTATTCTTACTTCGCAAGACCTCCCTGAATAACTATTGATGTTACGAGAAGAAATTTGGTAATACAGTCAACTCCCTCTAAGACGGACACCTTTGGGACTGGCAGTAAGCGTCCGTTTTAGAGAGATGTCCGTCTTATAGAGTCAAATAAAGGGAGTAAAGAAAGGCAGGGACCAACTCTAGGTGTCCGTTTTAGGGAGGTGTCCGTTAAGAGAGAGTCGACTATCACTAGTGGGGATTAAAGGTGGCAGGCGCAAAATGGTGAGGGGGGGTGGGTGGAGGAAGAAAAGCGCGAAATAGAAAAAGGGAGCGGCTTCCCTTACCCTCTCTCTCCTCAATCCCCCTCCCTTTTTACCTTCCTCCCATTTCGACACTTGCCACGCAGGCTACCTTGACACCATCACTGGTGTAAATACAGGTTCGTTTAACAGAAAATATAGGAAGAAACGTTTGAAACAAACTACCCATCCGTCCCCTTCACAAAGGGTGTTCGTTTAACAAAAGGTTCCACTGTATTTGAACTTTTCCTGTTTCTTCATTTGTGGGAAAGGTACTCTCTCTCTCTCTATGCACGGCTGAGGCCCTCATGGGGGAGTCCAAAAGGGCCAACAGTCGACCTGAAGGCGCCTACAGGGAGATAATCTCTCGCCATGACAGAGGGATATTGAGAGACCCTTGGGAACGGGAAACAGGGAATTTGGAAAATGGGAACAAAGTAGAAAATTGAAAATGAAGTTGCTGATAGGGCAAGGGTTCAAGTTGGGTTTTGTTCCATTTTTCCATTTTCCCGTTCCCCGTTCCTCACTTTAATAACTTCCCATGAGACAACAATTCCGGAATAATCACAGGAAGCAACACATAAGTTTCCTTTTGTTATGTTTTTAATTACTGTCTTCAATTACATACCATGTTATTGTACTAAGTGGCAGGTAAAATTCCAGAAACCACTAAAAGTATTACTAGGTTATTACTGAATAAAAGAAAATTATAATTAGGATATGCAGGAAATATAGTTTGTTCTTATACAGGCAATACACATGTATAAGCTAGATACATACAATTTATTAACTCTTGCGCACGAAGTTTCCTTTGTATAGGATTTTCTTGAAATGAAATACAGCTACTCGTTTACATAGCATAAAAACATACTTCAAAGAATTTAGTGTTGAAAAACTATGGACCGCTTTCCAGTTTTCGAAAAGCAATTATTTTCTTTCCTGTTTGATTACTTTCTTTTGGAACTGGCAATTGCAAACTGTGCAGCACGCTTTTAACTGATTAAAGCTATGACACGTTTTTATCCGTCGAGAAGAGCCGGCAGATCAACCTACTCCCGTTTCTACGTCTATTTATCGCACAATTCTTCCAGTGCACTGGCCTTCCTTTGAAACGATTACATATGTCATGTTCTGGTATTGTTGACCTGAGACCGCTGGAAAACTGCTTTATGCGCCAACCAATGTCTGAATTACATAACAATGATCGCTCAGCAATTAACAGTTTACCCATGAATGAGCAGACATTTCGCGTGTCCACTTTGTGGGCCTGATAGAGGATTACGTATGGAGGTGAAATCCTAAGGCGTGACGTCACCCAACTGAAAGCTAACGAGAAGCACACTTCTGCGGTTTTAGTTGTTTCTTTACATTGCACCACTGAAGAAATAAAACAGTCCTGAACTTTGCAGGGAAACAAGAAAAAAGAGTAACCGCGAGGACATTCCTGTCACTGACAAAGTTTACTGACCATTAAAATAATGCAATAGTAAAATAACGTTATAAAATACTAGAATCCTTCACCTATACGAGTTAAAAACTAGTTACGATCGATTAACCGTTAAAAAAGTGTGAAACGTCATAGTCAGAAGGTTGCCGCTGCTGTTGTTCCTGCCCTTGGGCCCAGTCCCTTCGTCTCTGTTGTGCCCGAGAAGGGGAAGTGCTGGTCCCAGACCCCTGCATGCCATACTGCACAAGTTCATGGCCTGAAAAAGAAAAGAGGCTAGTTTTAAAAACTGAGTTTTGGCTACAGCTTTCTTGACGTGTTTTCACATCATCTGTAATCGTATTTAATGACACTGTTGAAAACGAATTTTCCTTTACCTTTCCATCGACACAATACAGTGGCGAATCCAGGGGGTGGGGGGAGGTCAGGGCGGTCATCCTGACCCTCCAAAAAAACATTTTCGGCCCTCCGGACCTCAGTTTGGCCTAAAAATAAGGGGGGGGCGGGCCCCCTGGGACCCTCCCCTGCATCCGCCATTGCCTTTGTCTTACGCACGCGGGATACAGAGGCAGCGCGAGAGAGGAGGATAAATACGAGGAAAGAGGTAGTGCCGAAGTTCAGATTAATTTTGCAACCTGCTACGGAGGCTATAAAAATACAGACAGCGCCAAGCAATGTTAACGTGTTAGGCATTTTTCCTATGGAAGCAGCCGTTCCTAAATAGAAACCTTGCCAGGAGCCTATGACCCTGACCTTGCCCATTTTCTTTTTACCTTTTTTCTGGCTGTAAAAACGTGAGCAACGAAAAAAATAGACTTGCTACAAGTCTCTTGGCGAGCGCAGCGAGCATTGTTTGGCCGCGAAGCGGCCGACCGCGAGCGACGAAGTCGCGGGAGGTCTTCGTCCCGTGCCATATGAAATCCGACGAAGGACTTTTTTTGAAAGTCTACGAAAAAAAGAAAGGAAACATTTTACCTGCCGAGGAGTTCTGCCCCACACTACCAGGCAAAGGAGATGCTGCAGCCCGATCGGCTAAAAGATCTAGCGGATCCTAAGAAGACAAAGAAAAAAGCGCCATTAATACCTTGTTGATCTTTGAAAGTGGCAAACAATCATGCAAGAACAAATTTCCAAGAGAATCTTAAGTTGACAGTTGCATCAACTGACGTCCAACCCAAGGCTGCACCACTAAAATGAAGAAAAGTTAAAGACCGGCACAAGGTAGAGAAGAAGGGGAGGGGAGGGGCAGGAAACGATGTGTGGACATTTCAAGGTTGATTATATTTTATTAATTAGTTCCCACTGAAACTTTGCTGGTGGTTGTCTGCTAGCAGTACCTTATTTTTACTATTTAACCATTTGAAATAATTTTTAAAAAACCACGGCTTGAAAGACTTGAATTCCAGCTTGTCATTTGGGCAAGCAGCTCTCACCTTTTTCTTGCCCTGGGACACTTCTTACTCATCTTAACCCTTTAGGTGCCAAGAGTGACCAACATCAATTTTCTCCCAACAACATCAGCAGATCATCAAGAGTAAAGGTTCTGAGAATTACTAAATTGATTACTCTTTAAAATAATCTCACCTGGACTGGATGGCCTCCCTCATGGCCAAATACATCAAAAAATATGCTATTATCCAATACCATAGGGTGATTTGCCAACTGATACTGAATATTCTCAAGATTCTGTGAAATGTAATCTACTTGATCACCAATAAAATTCCTGAAATTAAAGAGAGAATCAAGTTACAGCAAAGTCCAATCTTTAGGTGCTAATATTGTACAAGAAAGTTGGTTCGTCATGCTCAAGATCCTAGCACCACTAAGAATTAGTGTTACAATCAACTCTATCTAAGATAGACACCTTTAGGAACAATACTAAAAGTCCATCTTAGAGAGATGTCTGTCTTATAGAAAGTTTAATAAAGTGAGTAAAGAAAGGCAGGGACTAGCTCTAGGTGTCCGAATTACAGAGGTGACCGTCTCATAGAGGTGTCTGTTAAGAGAGGGTTGACAGTATTAGAATTATTACTGGTTAAGTTTATGTTAGATACTCCCCATTAAGCAACTATTCTAAGGTCTTGATTGTATATGTTTCTCACTAAACTGAATACCTTCCTGAAAAAGCCTCCACATTAAAATATCCCTGACAAAAGAATCACCATAAAAGCACTACACTGATTTTTGGTTTCCGAAAGAAATGTTCTGCTCAAACAATGCCATAAATTGAATCATTTATCAGAGTGAACTTGTCATTTTTGTGATAAATAGTTACAGCACTCTGGGTGGAATATTTTTGGACACAGATATTTGAGATGGCCTGAAAGAAAATAAAATGCTATGTGACAGAGTAATGCTGGGGAATATCAACTGGGTAAATATTTCAGAAAGTATGCTGGTGAAATATCTATGTGGAACAGTGGAAATCTTAAGTATGTACGATTTTAACTACACACTTTCTTAACTAGTTATGAGTTGCAAATGATTAGTTTTGACTGTTAATGTAGTTAATAGTTACAAAGTCAACGGACATACCGTAATCTCCCAAATAAGCTTCCTATTTCTTTAACACATTTTTGAGAGGATTAATGCAGAGTGGGACTTATTAGAGATAGGAGATGAGGTATTTTAAACCTGAAATTGCAACCCTAGGTAATCCATTCTATTTCATAAATGGTATTCTGTAAAACTCAGAGTCTATTAAAATCTCTTGCAGGGCACCTAGTATTTTACATGGAACCTTTTAGTTAGAGCAATCTAAACATAATCAGTAAAATTAAGTTATAGAATTTTGTTTACCTTGAGTGATAGCTTAGTTTAACAAAACAAATCATGGAAGTTGGGGGGGGGAGGGCTGCAAATTTGAGTGAGTGGGTTTAATACTGTAACTTTTAACTGTTCAAAAGGGGGGGGCATTATAAGAGAGATTACAGCATAACTTGACATCTTAGATTCTTTTCTATTTTTCTGAGCTTTCTTACTAGCTACAAAGATTACAAATGCGGGACATCTGACTGCAAAACTCAATGCACTGCCTACAGACGTTGATCTGCATTATTTATCATTGCAGTAATGACCCAACTGTAGTGATAAATAGCCTTTCAACAGATCAAAGAACACTACCTCTCTAGAATATCTTCCTGAGAGAGTCCCCGCCTCATAGGGGCATTTCTTATAGTATGATGCTCATCGTACGATTGAGGCTCCAAAATGTGAGTTGGATGGACCACAGGGGTTTGTGTCTGCTCTTCAGGGAAAGTGACCACGCCGGTGGATACACATGGCTGTACAACTGAGGCTTGTGGGTATGTGGGTGCTAAAAAAAAATTTGAATAAGCAAAGGTTAGATAAAGGAAGAAAGGTTGATTTCCACTGTCACATAACGTTCATGTGTGTATATAAAATTCATATGTATGTAACTAAAATAGAGGCAATGTATGGAAAGTAGAGTTGAAAGGTAGGTTGAGTGGGGTTCAACTTTCAAGTTAACACGTGGCCTTCCATACATCACCTCTATCAAATCTACGCATGTAAATTTCATGCACATACACATGTAGAATTACGCAACAGTGGAAATCCACCCTTATACATTTATGCTTATCGACACATTGATGATCAAAAATATCCTGCAAGTGCAGAATGTAAAGTTTAGAACACACTAGGTAACAAGTTGCAGTTCCAAAGAATTTTTGCCAAAATCCTTACTTTGAAAAAAGAATTTTAGCGCATTATTTTTCATATCTTTTTTTTATTATTATTACCTTCTTATACAGCAAGTTAAATAAAAAACACTACCTCATAAATCAAATTTGAAGAGATGCTTGTAACAAGACTTGATTGACGTCTGACAGGGCTGTCATTAAGTTTTGAAGGAGCCGTAGCAAATGAAAATTCATTCGTGAAGAAAAAATTTTAGCGCATTATTTTTCATATCTTTTTTTTCTTTTTTATTACCTTCTTATACAGCAAGTTAAATAAAAAACACTACCTCATAAATCAAATTTGAAGAGATGCTTGTAACAAGACTTGATTGACGTCTGACAGGGCTGTCATTAAGTTTTGAAGGAGCCGTAGCAAATGAAAATTCATTCGTGACATCTCACAAGTTGCCCTCATCTTAAATAAAGTAACTACTAAAAACTAAGAAAGTGGCAACTCCTTACCTGTTGAAGTTGACACAGGACTAGATACTAAGGGCTGTGATGTTGAAGGACCTGATTCCTCTGGAAATCTTATGACTGGTCTGGCATGTGATATGGTGTCATCATCTGGCAAAGCAGTAATAAGTGGCCCACTTGTTGCTGGAGAAATAGGTAAGGTTGAAATGTTAGGAGATAATAGAGAGATTTAGGGTCATGTTTATGGGAAATGTTAAACGGCAGACCCAAGTTGAGAATTTCTTAAAGTAGAAAATGAGCAGATAAAAACAGTCCAAAACAATTCTTATGGGTAAAACTAACGTGAAACTACCAATTTTTTAACAGTAAAAGACAAGTGAAGGGAAAACTTGGTCACATCACACAAATTTACATTTGCTGTTTGCCATATGTAGCTCTAAATCTCTCTAATATTATGTATGAGCTTTTGGCTCGAACAAAGTAAACCTGAGCTGTTTGTAATAGCAAGGTTTGATTCACATGTGTTGTGATTTTTTACATGTAAGACAAGCAGAACTTGCTACACTTTTTCAACCTTAAATTAATCACCAACAAGCCTCTACTCCAAATAAAATAATTTTAAAAAATTAGTTTTTTCCAAAGGAGGAAACAAAACAATGCTTACATTTAAGAGTTTCCTAGAAATTTTAATTATGTAAAAAAAATAAGATCTCACTCACAAGGAATGCTTGATGAAGGAACATTCGAAATATCTGATATTGTAAGAGTCTGAGTACTGGGCTACAAGGAACAAAATAGAACCATGAGTTTATAATATTTTATTGATAAAATATCTTCCAATAATTACCATTCTGAACTAAAACACTCACTGTTCAAACTTTGCTGTTTATTGCTACAACCATATTGCACTAATGTGGAAGACTGAGAAGTCATTATCTCCATAACTCAATAGCGCTTTGCGCAGTTACTATTTAACGACCCGAGACTCAGAAAAAAAAAATGAACTTGACATTAGCGACTTCCTCACTTTTGTCTGACTTTTGTCATTAAAATGTCATGTTTGTCTGTCTTTTGTCATTAAAATGAGAAAAATGACAAAACTCAGACAAAAATTGCAAATCAGTCACTTTGACGTCATTTGCGCTACACAATTGGCTGAAACAGCAACGTCAATCACAACCATTCAGTTAAAAAAGGATAAATTTTTTCTGGCAAATCCCTACACACTATCAGACAGTAAGTTAGTGAAGTACAGTAAGTATGAAAAAAAGAGCCTTTCCAACTGTTTTGGACCTCTGACCATTCATCAGTGGGATGAGACCTTCCATGTTTTTTTTTTTAACTTTTGACTGGGACCAGTGAGTGAAAATCCATCAATGCAGTTAAAATGAACGCCTTAAAGTCATTGAAGATGCCAAGTATTGAAAACTAACAAAGATATAACTCCGCAAAAAAAACGTCTATAAAACATCTTTAAAATTTTGCAACTTTGTGGAGCAAATCTTTCCAGCCATGTCAATGGGTATTTGGCAAGGCTGTGCTCTAAGGAAAACAGAAGGGAGCCCAGTGCTCTTAATCTGTAAAATCTAGGGTGCCCAGCATACGATTTGTATGGAAAAAGTAAGATTTTCTAGTCGCCCAAGAGCAAAAATTAGGCACCAGGGCCCACCAGGCTCTGCTAGAGCACAGCCTTGGTATTTGGTAACAAACCTTTATCAAAACTTGAAAAAAATGTGGAAGGTATATCACCACTGACTGACAGACACTGGCTGATAGTTAATGTGTGTTAAAACAGCTTTACTGAGGGTAAACTTACTCGTTGAGCAGAGTAACTTGGTGGAGGGTGTCCACTACTAGGTCCACAGCCTTCTCTGTAATCATAGCGCCCTCTTTTCGATGACTGTTCCTCTGTGCTGTCCTGGAGCATTAACCTACAAGATTGAGAACACTGATTTAATTATTATACCCTAATAGCGTTACAAAAGTTTACATGACGTCACGGTTTTAGCCAGAAGGGTGTCCAGCCATCCTATGGACACCCATTTAAACTTCACTTAATCTCGTATAATTTTATGGGAAAACATGCCTTCTGGATGGCCAGTTTTCAACGCCTGGCCAAAAGCCTGCATGACGTTACAGTTACATAGACAATTGTATGTACTTGTAGCCGCTTACCTCTTTCTGTTTGTCATGAGCTTTTCATTTTGATACATGAGTCGCATAAGATACTGGAAAAGCTGTGAAGTAAAGAAAGTCAAAAAGTAAGATATAAAGGAACACATACATGTACATGTAGATCAGGCCCCGGTAGTTCAAATGCTTGATAGCGCTATGCACTGGATAAACGACTCTCCATTGGAAAAGTGTTAGGGAAACCACTGATTGCACTACCCTTTGGATAGAGATTTATCCGGTGGATAGCATTTTCCACCTATTAAACAACTGGAACCATATCTGTAGTTTCTAATCCTTTATTAAAAACTACAAACAAATGTTCCTAACGTGGCATCAGAGGGACAACATCAGGTAACTTGCATGAATTTTCTCAATTCTCTCTAAGATAGACATCATTGGGTTGGGACGTTTGAATGTGCCTAGATTTTAAATACAGCAGATCTTTAAATTTGATACCTGCTTTTTAACTATCCATTCATTACATGGATTAAAAGGTTAGAAGGAGAAGGTGTGTCCTTCATCGAATTCACCTTGTTCACAATCTGCTGTTGTCTCTGATGTTTCTGCCTTAGTTCTACCAGTTCATTCCACAGTGTGACATTCTCCCTGAAAAAAAAACGGTCATGAAATGGTAAGGTTCGTCCATACATACTTAATTCAAGGGGGAAACTAAAGCAGTCAACCCCATCACCCCCAATGTCAGGTCTCTTCATACATGTCTCCTCTCCTTTCACTCTCCATCAACAATACCATATTTCATTTGACTAAATTGCCAACAATGAATTAAAGATAATTGTTTTGATTGCTCAGTACAGTCAGGTTTAGTGGCCGAGCACCACATGATCTCCAGATATTTGCCCTATTTTCTCTCCTTTACTCTTCTCTTGATTATATTATAGGGCATGAAGGGTAGTGAGAATTTAAAAAGACCAAAAACATGCTGGAAAGTTGAAAGTGCCAATGTACTTTCCTTTTACCAGACAATGCACTCCTGCCCTCACCTCAACGTCTAGTTTTACAACTACCTACCCGATATAAGATCAGTAAAATCATCTCCACAAAAGAAATATTCTTGTTGAGAATACTTACCGCTTAATCTGATCAAGTTTCATTGTCATTTCATCTTGTTTTCCCTTCATATCCTGAACATCATTCAGCACTTTAGAGACATCCTCATTCCTTACTTTCTTTTCTTCTGGAGTAGCTTTTCTCTTGACATTCTCAAGTAATTCAGGATGGTACCTGTTAAAGTTCCCATTGAAAAACTCCCACTCATCTTTCTCTGACCGCAGGCCACCTTGTTCTGCACCAATTACTTTACGAAAGCCATCTAATAAGACAAGTTAGATTTGCAGGGTTAACACAAATAATTTTACCACATAAGCAAAGCACAAACAGGAACCAAGAAAATATTACACATAAAATTAGGTTGCATAAAATGCAAAAAAAAACAATTTGTTTATCTAAATGTACAAAAACCTAGGTGCTCTTTAGAACTTGTTTTCTTCATTTTTGTACTTTCCAGATCAAATTTGGGAGTTTTGGGATTTGTCAGAGAGAAAACTGGATAATCCAAAGAGAAACTACATAAAGTAAGAATGATTGATTCATTAATTTGGTAAGAGGCAAGTATCACCACTGCAACACCCTCGATGCCACCTCTAAAAAGAATAAACAAAACTACAAACAATCTTAATTTTTTTTACTTCTGCAAACAATCTTAATGTTTTCACTTCTAGGTAGAGGCCAAACGCTAAATTTAAGTGTAAAATTAACAATTTATCCTATTAAACATGCCACTGAAAAAGTTTTCAACTTAGGTGGTCGGATGCCTTGGGATACCTAAATTACATGTTCCCATATGAACGTCGGAAGCCCTAAGAATGTAGTGATCAAATGCAATAACTTTATCTGAATGATTACATAATTTTAGAACTGAATTAATAGTGGGTCATTATGTCTTTACATGTTAATATTAAAACTACCCTCTGTAAATTAACAAACAACACCACTGAAAAGCACTGCACTCAAAGGGTTTCAGGGTGAAAAGAAATTCATTTTTACAGCTTGCCATTCAGGGACGCTGAAGCTAGCATTTACTAGCCCGGACATCATTTCAACTAACCCCAAAAGCTTTTTGACAAGCAGAATTGATTTCACAGTTCTTCTGATATTTGAATTCCTCAAAAAAGATCACTTGCCCATTGGGCACGTTGAAAACAGAATTCACTAGCCCGATAGCAAAATCCACTAGCCCCGGGCTATCGAACACTACTTTCTTTGCACGCTGGGTTTTATCTGTTTCATCTTCATGTTCTTTGTAAGAAAAAAAACACGACTTAAAGAATAGAACATAAGCAATTAGGCATCATTTGCTGGCAAGCACCGGCTGCAGAAGAGAAATCATGCGAAGAAATGATTCTTGCAGATTAAACCTGAAAACTTTTACACCCTTTCAGCACCAAATGCAAAAGATCATGTCTTCACTTAAACACTGTGTGGCTTGGGAAATCAAATCTATCACATAAACTAGAAGCTGAGACTGGCAAAGTCAGATGAACAGTATCATATATTACTTTATATTAACTTTGTATATTGCTCTTGAAAAACATTAAGCTAACACTTTGATTGAAAATGCCGAAGAACATTCGAAAGAGAAGAACCTCCCCTTCCCACCCACTATTGATGTCAGTTATAGTTTTGAGTATTCTAAAAACATTTTTATCAATTTCAGCTCCAACTTGAATTTGAGTACAACATGTTATCATTGAAAATAAATATTTTACACGTAAAATTATTTACATCGGACTGTCAGGTGAAATTAAGGTACTGTTAACGATCTCAAGCAACTGAAAGAAGTTTGTTCTAGATCGTAGGTATCTGAGACAAGCGGAAAGAATAACACGAGTTTCATCGCCCACATGCATTCCCAGAGACAAAGAGTAAAGTCAAGAGTGACATTAGGCATTGCTAGCATTCTTTAGAACAACTGATCAAACGAAATTCTTTGTGAAAGAAAACGAAAAAACGTTGAACCTCTAGTTTAAATTTCTCAAGAGACCAAAATTTAAAACGGAAAATCAACCTTTACTACAGAAAATAATGTGCTTAAATGTGTACGAAAGCGCATTTCAGCTGAAAGCTAGATCAAAGCCAGTACCTGTCGGTTATTTTCAAAACATTACTTACACATATTCAGCTGACGAACAAAGCTCGCAAAATTGTTGTGTTTGAAATACTTCGGAAGGATTTCGCGTGCAAAAGTGGCCTGATCGTGAACGAGGAAACCAGTTCCATTCTGCAAAAAAAAGATCGAAAGGTTGTTATAGCTGTGTACATGTCACAGAGTAATTGTAAAATTAACAAAATACAGATGATCAAGGTTTCAAGAAGATAGAGCGGTCTTGTTCAAAAACCAAAAAAATACAGAGAAGGTTGTGAGTATGATAAATAATTCAGCTTAAGCTTGCCTTGTTCCACGAAATATGTTCCTCATACTGAGGGTCTTCTACAAGCTTCCACAGTTTCACTAGAAAGGCAGGCACATTGGAAGGGATACCGCTCGAATCTGCGTCTCCTGTCTTCATCGGCATACTTTTGTGAAATCTCCCTTAATTGTAAAGCTCTTTCGCAAGTGTGCGTGCTAAAAACCAAGGTGCATAAGTTACCCCAGCGAATCATATATCGGCCATGTTGTTTGCCTCCCCCGCGCAGGCTTTTATATCCCTTTTACGGAGACTGGGGATAGTCTGTTAAGGGCGTTGATGACCTTCGCCAGGGTAAACAATTCATCATAGATGATACTGCGGTAGACGTGAATTTTTATTGTCGGCTTTCTATATTTAGTCATTGGAATTTTTATGGCCCCAAAGACAGGAGCGAGAGCACTCTGGGTGTCAGTTGTGACCCAAGAGGGGTACCTTATTGACGTCATTGGGATAGTTGTCATGGTGCAATAAGGACAAAACACCCGGAAGCCGGTTCCAGAAGCTTCTCAAGGGACCTCGACGCACGTCGCCTGGGCCCACTGATGGTTCCAGAGAATCGGAAGCTTATCTGTATCGATTTAAAAATATAGAAAGATTTTAAAAACAAAGCAATGAGTCCAAAAATATGTTAACAAAATAAGAGTAATGCTTAATTTAAATCGGAGAAGTTCTAGCTAAAATCCTGAAAAAAAAAATAAACACTTTCTGTCGCAGAACTAACGCAGATTTCCCTACAAAGTCTTGGACTAAAATTCATTTCTTTATTTATTCAAAAACTGATCTTTTTTTTACAGACATTTACTTGCTCTTATTCATTTTCATTTTTAAATAATTTCGATAGTTTTACTTAGCCCAAGTTCGAAAATGAAACATTTTCTCTTACAATAAAATCGAAACATAATAGAAATTGTTACCATGTTAATATTATTGATGCTCCACCGGAAGTACGATAAAACATGATTCTTGCCTACATCGTAGTCACGCAAGCCCGATGTTCTAGATCATTCGCCATTTACGCGTGTTGTCTCAGAACTTTCTCGAAGTTCTTCTGACGTATACACATTCCTGGTCGTTTTCAAACCACTTAATTGGCGTGAAATTTCCCGCTGTCAAAATGGAAAGATGTTGGATAAAAAAGAAAGTAATTCGTAAGAATAATTACAAATAACTTTAAGACTGTTGCGCATGACAAACTCGCGTGCATGGGGAATTTGAACTGCTAGACAATAGCTCTCTTTTCTTTTATTAAACCCTTCATAAAACTAATTTAATCACTGTGAAATAACACGCAAGCTGCGATGATCACTGTGAGATAGAGAATTCAGCAATGATTTTTAACCTTTATTTTTAACCTGGTAAAAAATATTCAAGCGAAGTCAGTTTCTTTCTTCCTCCTGGAAGCGCACGCGATCGTGTTTTGATGGTAGATTGAGTCAGAAGTTACACGCCTTTTTTTAAAACAAATTCCTAACTACTTCCTCAGTTTTGTTTTCGTCCCTTTTTATATGTAGTCAGTAACAATAAAATATATTCTGTCAGTCAGCAGAAAGCCGGTTTTACGAGAGGTTTGAAAAATGTAAATTACCAAAACAACCTGCAATATAACTTGACTAATATATCAAGCACCCTGTCAGAAGTGTTCTTGAAGATAGAGGGAAACACTTTTATAATATTCCCGCTTTTTATTCGGATAATAAACAGGGATGATGTGTTTGTACCTGTAAAGTAAATTTAACAGAAGAAAATAAATTGACTCATCGTTCGTTTTTTTTTAACTTGATACTTCATGAAATGCTTCGACATCTTTGTACTATTACGTAATATTGTATCAAACGTGATCATGACCGGCTGAAAAATTGAAAACTGTTTTGTTCCCATTCAGTATACCAGAACATTCCCCGGCCGCCGCCCTATGTGCTCTCTTTGGACACGTATATATTTTGGCAGAAACACCTAGCTCTTTTACCTGTGTAATTATTGCTATGCTTTAGAAAAATCTTGAACTTTTCACACTAGAAAAGACAACGTAGTTACTTTTTTTTTCTTTGACGCGCTATTAAATACTGAAGTATATACACTCAAATGCACTTGCTGCATGTGCTGTGCATGTGCACGCCGAAACAAAGGGTGTATCTGGATAATACAAGATGGCGATCAATGGGAGCACGCGATGTTAAACGTGAGATAAGTGGAATATTTCCTGGCGCTTTATTTTATTATCATTAATACCCTAGTCTATCCTAGACTATAAAAACGCTATGTTGTATCGGTGTAACTTTTTGTCATCGACTTTAGGAAATATACACGCAATTTTAATCTCTAGAATTAGCCGGAGAGTTACCGAGGTGGGTTATTTTTGACTCAGGCTTATCGTGATTAATTTGATACGCTTAGTGCCGTTAAAAAACTCAGGTTTCAGCTGAGTTTGACCGCTGATGCTAAACTAAAAATATTTTTATAACACCGTGTAAAAGACGTGGGGACCCAAAGACAAAATATATAGGCTTTACGGGTCTATGCTTAATTCAAGGAAATCCGAAGGTAATTAGTATATAATGCGAGTGCAGGGGCACCCAATGGACCTGTTCCTCAAAATATCTGTTCTTCATGCAAATTTTTGTTGGCTGGGAGATGTGGAAGAAATAATAGTCCTTGGAAGGAAAGTGTTGCTGGGAAAAAGATAATTCAGGGTGTCAGAGGGGATTTGAAGTCTAGAATAGCTGCTACGGGTTACTTGTATGGGTTGCTTACCACAAGATCTGAATTGTGCCCTATGAAACTACCCAGTAAGTCAGGTTGCAGGTTGTAAGGTTGCTGGCTGGGAACTCTTCCATCAGTCTTGCTGGGAGTGAGGAACAGATAATTTTTTTCCAGCAATCTCCCAAAATGCTTAAAATAGTCTCAGAAAACTTTATTCACGCTTTGTTGTTGTTTTTAGGTCTTTTTCTCAAAATTTCCCGCTGGGTGCCCCTGCGAGTGTTTAAAAATCATTGTTAATTTGTGAGGTCTTTGCTATTTATTTTGTTCATTCGTTTGGAACCTCTTCAAAATTCATCGAGTTTATTTAACTCAAAATTCCTTGGTACACTGAAGTACAAAATTCATAAGTGAAGAATTCTCGACCAGTAAATTATCTGAATTATCTGAAGAGGTACTCAGGGAGATACTGAAAAGATATGAAATGCTTCGTTGTTTCGGCTCACAAGTTTCTGTTGTTTTGGTGAGGAATACCTAGGTCGCGAATCCTTTTATAATTACCTCTCGTCTCGGTGAATTTACCGGATTTAAACCACATTAGCTTTTATTTCAAAATTACCAAGAATGATTCTAATGTGCCGTTGAAGATGTAATAAGTAATGGCATTACTTAACAGTGAAAGTTGTGTTAACTTAATACCAACTAGACTTAAAGAGCCGTGTCAGTTTGTTTCAAATGAAATCTTTTTTAAAGTACTACACCTTACTACGAGTTAGTTGTAGCCAAGGTCTTTTTATTGGTATGGATAAAATCATCTTGCCATATGAATGAAAGTTAACTCAACTACAGCGAACCGACTAGAACCGAGTATGTATATTTTTTACTTTCCTGTGTAAGGTGTTTGCAGTGAGGCCCAAAAGCTTAAGATAATATACTGATGTGAGTTTTACTTGAATCGGAACTTGGAAGAATTTAGTCCACCCGTTGACTATGTTTTTGTGTATGTAAAACTCTTCCCTTTTTTATGGGTCTGATTTTTGTAACCCAGTTTATCATGACTTGAGAATTCATGATAGAGATTCAGTCTTGACACATAAATAAATTAGTTCACACTGACAACTACTACTACTACTACTACTCAGTACTACTGCGACATGAGGTGAAGATGTTCTCCTTTTCTTTGGCTTTTCTCGGGAAATTTATACCTAAGCTCCCGACGGTTAAACATAAACAAAGCGGTACACCTGATTTATATATCTTATAAGGGTATGCGAAAAACTTGTGGTTACAGCTTCTGGCGAATATGTACCTCATGTTTGCAATTGAAGAAAAGACATCAAGAACGATTTTCGTGATTACTAGAACAGTGGAGCTCGCTCCAGTATAGTAAAGTGACTCCGAGACCGTTTTATGCACGGGGATACGTTCTGATTTCAAGGATAAATGGGTTTAAATGTAATTTTTCTATTAGACCACAGTTTGAAACCTAAACAAGACATATTTACTTTGATATTGCTTCTCCATCAGTAACCACTGTATAACGCCTACACAAACAACGCCTCAGCATTCAAATTCTCGGTATAGAAATTAAAATAAATGTATTCTGAATGAAGAACTGTGATATAGTGGTTGACAAAGGGCAGATGACAGAATGAACAGAACGTTGAAATGTCCTGACTGAGTCACCGATGCCCAAAGTATCACGGTATATAAATCAGTCATGTTTTCGAAGTTTTAAACCAATATACAGCAATTCTAGCCGCTGAGTTAAAGCCAACAAAGGCACAGCTCTTGTTAAAATTATTACAAAAAATGAAACAACATGTAGTTATGTCTATCATTTCAGTTATAATTAACGCAACAGTAAACTAGAGGCCTAAAGACAAGCTTAAAAGAAATCGTACAGTATTTTGACAATGAGTAGAAACAAAACCCAGTGGCTTTGATGTATTTATATAGATGTCTATCAAAACTACCTTCTTTGTACCCAAACAGATGAGATTCGGAAAAAATAGTATGTACTCTTCTTTACAAATTAAAGAGAAGGCGCTTACAAACTCAAAACTGGAGAGTAATTTTGAAGCTTAGTATCATCACTTTCAGCTCACTTGCAGTTAATAGTCGGTAGCTCAAGTAGATCATGAACAGAACGGACAACATTACGCAGATAACTTCGGTTGATCGAAATGTATATTATTATTTTTTCATATATCATAAATATAGTTTGAACAAAATAGTCTAAAATTTTTTTAGGGATCCTCTTTCGTTAGTCATCATTCATTGCTATACATTTCCTAATGGGTAAGCACTGTTTTGCTCGATCATGTAACACTCAGACACTTGTATCATTAATCGAGTGGAAAGCAACCGGTGGCTATAGCCCGGCCTTTCCTATTAAGCTAGAGTACAAGACTTCATTTTCACTAAAACTATTGAATGTTGAATCTTTTCTTCCTTTTTCAGCGTGGCGAACAATTCTGCTTTTCAGTCATGAAGACACTGCTAACTGATGAAGCTCCATTGCCGAGGTCTCTGTGGGCAAACTGCCATTTAAATAAAATTTTTTTAAGTACGTACTCTCGTCCTCGGTTATGAACTTTCGTATTTTATTGCGTTTTAAACTGATTTCACTCTTAACTAGGATCCAAGGTTACCAAATCATTTTCTTGCTTTCACAGAATTTTTTTCTGTTTTTAATTTCACAGAATTTTCCTCTGTGTTCGAGAGGTTCTGGATTCTCTCGAATCTGCACACCCACACACATAGTTTTTAATGTTATGTGATTAAAACTTCCATGATGTATCAAGACTGAGAATGTAGAACCATAAATAATTGCAACACTATTTAATTCACTTGAAAATATACAATAACCTTTGTAAAAACAGAAATCAGAGCTCATTACCGCTTGCTAAGCAAGTTAAGTCACCTTTCCCAGCACTGCCAACTTAAGCTGATTATTATAACTGTCCACCAACTGCACTGATGGCTTTGAAGTCAGTCGGCATCACAGAGTGTTCCGATAGCAGGCTGTTAGGGACGGGCAGAAAAGAGTGACTGACTTGTTACTGTTTTATCCGTTCAGAAAACAGTGAATTTATTTGAATTTCAATTTTTAAGATGCCATGATTGACTGATTTTAGACTCCAGATCCACAAAGCGAAGAAGATGACAGTCCGTTGGATGTCTGTGATTGCGGACTACGATGTTATTAGACTAGGTGTGCCGGCGAAAGTCATGATGACACGAAAAGTTTAAATTTCATTCCGTAAAATTCTAAAATACAAATAGTACCTTGTGAAAGTACTACTTTAGAGGTTTCATTTGAATGGTCATACCATACCATCGTTAGCTTTAGCATAAATTGCTCACAAGACAGACAAGACTTCATTGTTCACTATGAGGGTGGAACAGTTAAGAACAAGAACAGGATTGTTTTACTAAAAGGTTAAAATGCGAGGAGCAACCAGCTTATAAGTCGACTTGCTCCGAGGCGACCTCACAAAAGTCCCTCCCAATCGGGAATATATAGCAGTCTAAGTCAACTCCTGGAATCTCGATCGAGAATATAAATAGTCAGCCGAATGGTCTTAAACGTGAGCAACAAGAACTTTGATTAGGTCTGTGAGAGACAAGAGCTAGAGGTCCCCACTCCACCTAGAAAAATAGAATTCAAAAGACTTCGAGAAAACCCTCTGATCTAGCCTTGACTTGCCTTGGTAAAACACAAACAAAAAAGTTCTTGAACACCTCTGAATCTAAGCTCTAATCAGGTTTCATAATATAATGAAAAATTTGCGAAATTTTGATGAAATGTTTACGCAATTTCAATCAAGCGTCTTATTGATTAGAGTCTCTCTCAAGCCACCCCCGCAGCAGTCTTCCTAACTTAACCACTTAGGACCTTTTGTATTTATTGAAAGATTGTTTTGAGTGATGCCTAATGAAGTGTGGATTCCTCTCGAAATATACCGTATTTCGTCGAATAGGCGCAACGCTAAATTCTAAACAAGCAAACTATGAGCGTCCCAACCCCTCCACTTTGGATATTCCGAGGACTACCGTTCAAAATCGTTTAGGTTTGACTACAGTGTTACAAATATACGAGAACAGCTGCTTCTCAGTTAAGTCAAGTCCATGTTGTTTTAGATCCTTAGTATGGGATTTTCTGCACTTATTCGATCTTTTAACATGGCAGCAAGTCTTTGTCCTTCTTCGAACCCATCAGTGACATAGTTGCAGTTAGCTGATTAACGTGATTAAGAGAGTGATCAACATCTATTTTCTCCAGGCAATATGAATACATACTGAGGGGTAAAGGCTATGAGAATTTATAAAATGATCACCAAAGTGAAATACTTTGATCTTTTGTCAAATTCTCATCTAATTTCTTAACGAAATGTATCGAGATCAGTCTGGAGAATTTGCAGGTGGATTTTGCGGCCGTAATTTGTTAAAAACTGACGCCAGAATCCCTGTCGTGCTGTCGTGAAGGCCTTTCGGACATGTATGTTTACGGGATGAAAATAAAAATAACCTCCCACGCTATTTCAGGCAGGTGTCTCGGGAAGGTCGCCCAAGATGTCATGTTGATGTCTTGTAAAACCAAAAATAGTTGTTGAAAAGCCACAATCACAGAGACTGATTCGGTCTAGTAGCTTTGATCTGACCTCCCACGAAGACGTTCTTAGTGCTTCGTCACACCTAGCTATTTTAAAAAGACACCAATATAACGCGCATCAGGTTTATCAGTCATCCCGATTTGATGAAAAAATGCTGTCAGGAAATTAAATTTAAAAAAATACCTTTTTTCCAGATTTCAGCTGTACGTCTTGGGGGAATGTACGTATATGGACACTACGCTCCTACTTTATGCTTTGTAATTTTTGAAAACTTCTCCGACCGAAACGTACCTTCTCCTGCCCGTGTTTGATTTAGCCACCATAGCCTCCCACGAAGACGTTCGTTGGGCAGGAACGCGTGACGAACCCCTAACAACGTCTCCGTTGGAGGCTTTAGCCGCCCCTACCGCCGCTCCCTGTTGGGCAGAAATTCGAAGTAGACTGAGTTCTAGTTTTTTTCGACCGGGTGTACACTGGGTTCTAGCAAAGCGTTTTGCCGCGAAAGTATTCCAAGATGGAGGAAGAAAGTCTACGATCAATGTCCAAAAGACTTGGCATAACATCCGGAGAGGTGTTGAAGAAAGCTGCTGAACTTCAGCGCTTAATGGATGTTCGTGGCTGCGCTATGGCTTTAACTAGTGTGGCTAAACCGGTTATTTGTCTGGAGATCGCTGCTTTTGGTTTAAATATTCCTGTGGACAAGGTAAGCTTACGTACGTGTAATATAGACAGAAATTCGCATGAGTTTAAATCTCTGATAATAAGCTTGCATTTTTGCAGGTTTGGGCTGTATTCGAAGTGTTTATTGACGAAATTTCCTTTTAATTAACCCCCATTCGCTACGCTTTCATACTGTTCTTCAATTTTCATGCATACAAAAACCAGACGTAGTTAATCGATAGGATAGTGTAGAATAGGGGAAGAAATTGACAATTGTGGCCTCACTTATACAGGTCTGTCAACCCCGCCAAGTCTTTGAATGTCGAGAATTGACAGGGAAGGGATGGTGGATGACGTCACAACGTAGGACATTCGCGCAAAAAATACTCGTTGACTCCAATCATCACGAATGCGATGTCACAAAACGCGCGATAAAGATGTTGTTGGCATTGTCATGCTTACTTCCCACTAATCACATTATTGCTTATATTACAATGGCATACAGGAGTTTATTAGAAAACGTTTGATGTTAGCAGTTAAATAGCTCAAACAACGCAAAAGAATTGAAATTTTATTGTCGCAAAGTCGAGTCTACAAGAAACGGTAAACTTCGGCGATTAACCTTGAGATTTCAGACTCTACTCTGGAGACTGGGAGATTATACGGTCCAAAATCTAGAGTCTTCCGGATTATCCGGAAGAGTTGACAGCACTGCTTATAGTGTTCATGAATTAAACCCCTATTTCAGCCATGACAATATCCCTTAGAGTTATCCACATAGAAATTCTACTACATAAAATATAAAACAAATGCTATTATATTACACTGTGTTGGAGTGTGGTCTCTTTTAGGGGCTAAATATGATCTCTTTCTTATTGGACCCAACCCCCAGGTAGGGGGTGGGGGTGGAGAATGGGTGATACTGCTAGGTACTTCAGAGGTAAAGTAGGTATCCTGTGGCTCCCTTAAACCCTTTTTTTCTGTCTTTAGAATGTGGCAATTCGTCTTTCTGGAATGACGAAGAAAGCGTACATTCATGCTTTCAAGACAATAGAGTGTGTGCTGGGAAAACAAAAGGAGTTAACCATTAAAGATCTGGCAGTGCAATTTGGTTGCATGGAAGCTTCAAACCTGGCCCATCAAATTTATCAAAGGTAGAAATTATGTAATGAATTTTTTAACCTACTTAACTTGACAAAAGATGCCTGTGTATTTTAAGGTTTCTTCTCTCTGAGTAAATCCTGTCTTATCTTAATTCATATAGCCTGCATTGCGGATGCAATCTAACCCTGCTGTTAGTAACATTAACACAGCAGCACAGAGATCCTTTTTGTGGGCCCCCTACAGACCCAACAAATTACCCGAAATGAGTTTCAAATTTCCCATTAACCTGATGGGCAAATATAACAATGGCTTTTTAGACGAGGCAATCATGGCGTGTGCTCAAATCCTGGTAGACAGGTGGGGCCCAGAACAATGATTTCGGCACTGTTTTGCAGACGGATGTAACCAGAGGTTAAGTTGCAGCTGTGGCCCAGACTAATTTCATAGAGACCACAACTTTAAATGTTTCTGTTGTGTATTTAAATAAATTATTGATACAGTCCTCATATAAGCCTGGCTGAGCAGGCATCTGACTCAGCCTTTTGGCATAGGAATATTGCAAAACCTGGTTTTCAGCAAAAGCAGTGGTTATAACAATACCCATTACAGTGTATGCCCAAAGTTGACCAATTTCTGGCTTACACATTATTGTAATGTAACAGTCAAGGTGTCTGCCGAGTGATGGCTGTACCAATCAATATACTGACCACGTGGCAACTCTAAGTAGCAACAGCAGATATCCTGTTTCAACAGATGTACAATATCAGGTTACAGGCTCCCACACTTGCTTGATAGTGATACATTTCACACGGTGCTGCACACACAGGCGGATGTATGGTAACGTGACAACCAAAATTTCTTGGATGGTAAAATAACCAAATTTTCTTAGCTGTGGGGCTCTGTTCATGCCTGCTTTGCTCACACATTGAGCTTTGCTTTCAACGTTTTCTTAACCAGGTATAAAGAGGCCTTTGTCAAGGATGTAGAAGATATCAGCCACCCAATATTTGTAGCAACTGCACTATTCACAGCTTGCAAGTAAGTGATTGTTTCTTTTGTTTTGTTGGTAAAAACACAGCATTCTCAGAATGACATTAAAACCTTTACTCTTACGGTTAAGTATAATATAAAGATATCATAAATGCATATTTGAGAATTTTTTTGTGAAAGAAATCCTATGCTGTGACCATTGAAATGAAGCCTTTTCAGCAGTAACTTTGCATTGTAAGTGACCTATGTTTGTTAGGAAAATTACTTGGAATTTTTACCAGTTCTGACCTATGAAATCAAGGATCTCTATTATTTAAGTCTTGTGCAAGTAGTATCAAATTTTTTTGACCGGGGTCAAAAGTAAGTCACTCTGACAGTGCTGATTAATTGGGATGAAAAGATGTAAACTAGGCTTCATTACAACATGTTACAACATCATTGATCGTGGTAGATACAGTTTAAGTTGATCAAGGCAATGTGCTAATAAGAAAATAAAAATTGTGGTGGAAGTTTCTGACAGAAGCTTACAATATTTCTATTAACAAACATTTTTTAAAGGCATCAAAAGATTAAAGTTGACAAGACCAAATTATTGAATCTGTTGGCTACCAAGAGGTCAACATTTGACAGCCTGCATAAGAAAATGGAGAAAGTAATTCCCACACTAGAATCTGGTAAGCAGTCAGAAATTTATTATTGGAATAATAATAGAGTACAAATATGCAGGACCTAGTTTGTGAAGGTTTGTCAAAATTGGCCAGCTAGATCAGTTGTTTTGCTAAATGGTATGTACAGTAGTATTTTGTGATGTAGCAAAATTTTTCAAAAGACTCGTGGTTCTTGCTAGAAAGACCGGTGTGACCAGCCAGTTCTGACTTTTGGTAAGCTCCCTTATAACAAGGCCTTCCAAGGGGTAGAAGCAATAGGCGACGTGGCCCAGAAAACTGGTGACAATCCTCTCAGAAAGCACTGATGATTGGCAGAAAGGGAGAAAAGAACTGTAACACCAACAATTCAGGCAACAGGCAATCTCGGAAATGACCAACAAAGCGAGGGCATACTCCCCCCTCCCCTCCCCTGGAAGGCCTCTAACGTGTCCAACGTGGACTTGTGATGAGGAATGTAAATTATAGGAGCATGGTAGGGTAAGTATTTGTGGGCAGGGATTTTTGTTGTCTAGTCTGGTTGGTATGGCATCGGAAAGTACAGATTAATGTAGTGTGGTTAAGAGTTAGGGTTTGTGTGTCCGTGACTCTCTCTATACAGCAAAGACGTAACTACCATACCAGTACTACTTGATAGGCAACACCACTGCCATTGGTGCTTAAAACTGTTCCATTTGTGTCCAAGCTACCCCCACCTCCCACCCCCCTCCCCTGCTCATTTGAGAACCTGAGTCAAGAGAGCCTACTTACAGGCAATTATTATTGGACGAAGTTGAGCAAAATATCGTGATTTGTTAGTGGCGAGCAGATCAATTCAACTGAGGCAAATAACTGATCTGCAAGACACTGACGAATCACAATATTTTGCGATAACTGAATTCAAATTGTTTTATCATTCGATCACTGAGTTTGTTCTTAATTATTTGCAAAGCAATCTGCTAGTTTCATACAAGAGTGATCGCAAGAAGGAGAAAAGCGTGGTTTCATTTACGCATGAACAGACTATTATTTGCAGCCAAACAGAGTTGGCCGATATTGCACATGAGCAAACCATTATTTGTAGGCAGTTATTTACAGGTCACTTGGTGGACTCTCGGCCAATGAAAAGGAAGAAAAATCTGTATTAAATACTACTAAGCCTGAATTTCAGACGATTACTTCGAGTCATTTTCTCCTCTCAGCAATGACATTACTGAAGGAGTAATAACGACTCGAAGTAATCATCTGAAATTCAGGCTATGATCATACTAGATTTGACACCATTCCTTCTTTTTGCAGCTGTAAACAATAAAAGGACCTCCAAAAGAAGTTATGGATTTCTGGACAAAGTGAATGAAATTGTTGAAGGTGTGTTCCAATTTCCTTTTCATACAATGAGAATTTCACTAGCTTGAGACTAATTGTTCAACTGAAAACCACTACAAATGTTTATACTCTTTATGTTTAACAGACCAGTCTCATTCATCAAAACTTTCGAAGACAGACGAAGAGGCAACAGACCGAGAAGACAGAGACAAAGAGTATGAGGAGTGGAAGCAAAAAATTATTGAATCTGCAACTAAAGCCTTGTCTGCAGGAAAGAAAACTGTAGAAAAACAAAAGTCATGAATCGTGATAGTACTTTCAGCTGGACTGGAGATTCCACTTTGCCCCTGCCCCCCCCCGTCTCTTTCTTAAGGTCAACTAATAGGGGCCATATTTTCACTCAACTTTTCACACAACAAATTTCAATGTTGTAAGTTGCAGCAACATGTTGCGCAAAGTAGACCCGAGTTCTATTTTTTTGCAACAAACTTTCGATTTTATCACTTGCGTCACCAGTTGCCATGTGTCACAACGCTTGTGATTGGTCAATTTTCCTGCACTAAAAGCGCGGGAAAGAAAGCGCACACTTGACCTCGGGCAAATTTAGGCAGGAAGTAAACATGCGAGGGGTTGTGGAGGTTGAACATGTTGGAACCCAAGATATTGAAATAAAAAGTAAAAAAATGTCAGAGGCTAAAAAAAAGATTTATGCAAAGAACTTGAAAAGCACCGATGCCTGTGGGAAACTTGTGGAGCAGGTTATAAAAGCAGAGCTTTGGATGAGTTTTGTCAAAAAATTTAAGTAGCAGTGCTCCCCTACTCAAGTTTCTTTACAAGCTAATGGTAAAGCCCCTTCTCTTCCCGCTAAGCAATTCATTCTCTCATGTAAACCTTTCAGTCTTATTGCGTGGTGATCCAAAGCCAAGGGCAGCTATCCCTCGCTTTCTCAGAAAGGCCAGCGCGTCCGCCATTTTGTTTGGCGACACATATTAACACACTGTTGACCAATTACAACGCAGGATTTTCTAAATGAGCCCCAACTTGAAACATTGAAATTTGGTGCGTGACAAGTTGATTATCCGTCACTTGAAATCCGGAGTAAATCCCCCTGGGGGAGTTGCAAACTCAAACTCTTGCTTGTCTCCAAAGAGTCACTCACTAAAATAAGTTCTCATTCCTGGGCGGTCATTGTCAGCTTTGCTTTCAGTACAAAGTAGTCTTTTAACTTTGTACAGGGTAAATAACAGTGCATTCCTTAATTCAGAATTATTCCTTGTAATGCACTAGTAGTGCATTCATTGTTGCAAAACAAATGCAGAATTCATGGGATTTCATACGTGTAAAATTTTTGTGCTAAAATTCTCATACCAACTTCATGTACATATTGGGTATTTTTGTACATGTAGAATTGTTAAATAAAATTATGGAGAATATTAAAAGAAACCAGTTGCTATGGATTCCTATTAATTGTTCCAGATCAGTTTCTGGAATTTCACTTGGATTTTATTATAACTCATATTACGTGCGCTGTGACTGGTTGATTGATGGACGGTATTCTGCTCTACGAACACCTCATTTAATTGGTCCCTACTGAAAAACGCGGACCTCGTTTCTTGTAGCCTACTTAGGCGTTTACGTGCGAGCAAAGCGCCAAATCTGAGGCGAGAGCAAAACAAATGAGAAGGAAGTGATTGAGACAAAAGTAAACAAAACACAAAGGTGGACAAGAGGAAACTAAAAACTTGTACGACTTCAAAGATCGGCGCCTTAATCGTGGCACGCGCTTCGAATTGATTCATTGACGCAAGTTTTGAAAAAGAGTGAAAGGTTAACGAGTCAATTTGTTCGATGATTCTGTTTTTAAATGTATTTACATTGTTAGACCTGTTATACGGACCTATGCTCTACTTTAAAAGTCTTTTGTAATGGACTTTGAAGTCACAGGGGGTAAGGTCACAGTGGTGAGAGCACCACAAACAAGCACAGGTAACCCATGCTCTCTGATAGTACCACTCTACCGTTCCAGTAAAATTACAGTGTTTGTATGGGGTAAAAATATGATCCTTATTATATCGGATGGAGGGTGAATTTTAGCAAATTATCACGCAAATTCGTTTGAGCATTAAGGACAACAATGACTAACTGTAGAGTAAGTTTAATTGGCCTTTATTTAGTATTTCCTGGAAGTTTATAGGCTCGATTACCAGCCGCTGTTCGGGAAAATGAGCCCACACTCATCCCCCGAAAGAGTCTCTCTCTGCGAACCAACCCTTCGCCAAGCAACCGCCCCTGCACCTTTCAGGATTAGGTGACAAGTTTTATATATTGACAAGTTTTATATATTGTGAAAAGTTTTATATTTTTCAACAAGTTTTATATATTTTGCAAAAAGTTTTAATTGTGCACTATAACCTTAATACTAAAATTAAGAAGTTTTATTCATAAAGCAAAATGTTTTATATATTTAATGTAAAGGTTTACATATGGTAAGAAGTATTTTTGATTCAAACGGCATTCCATATGAAACAACCAAAAACATCACAAGGATCGATCGACTGAATAAAGGTGGCATGTATTCTGTTTATAACAGATGAAGTTGTTACATTTATGTCTTATCATAGAAGAAACGCGTTTGTACGAGGCTACAACGTGTTTGCTGTAATCCAGTTGTATAATTTAGCAATATTGGTGTAAACGCCGTAGTACTGCCCTGCGCAGCCCCATCCCCAGCTAGTTGCGCCCACCAGATACCAGCGCTTGTCCTTTTCACATACAAGGGGACCTGGGAAAAAGCAACAACAAAAGGGGAAGACAATTGTAAGCTCAAGGGAAACTGTACGAGGCACTCAAATGTATGTTTTGAGTGCCTTCGTGGCAAAAACTGCGGAAATTGCATCTTATGTTTAATTCTATGTAGTAACAATTCGCAACAGAAAACAACGTGATACATTTGCAAGGCTTATTAGGAGGTTAAGGAGCTAGATGAATCAATGTATTCAAAACACAATTGCTTGTAATTGAAATCCACTCTATGGTTGCATTCCTTTAAGCCAAACTTTTTTCGGATTTAGACAATCCAGATTGTTTGGATTTTCCTGCTAGCCGGAACAAAAATCTGAAATAAGATTGATCCATACAGTAGCTGCCTGCTGCTCTGATCTTCTTCTCAATTTCAATACATCGTTTTTTATTTCTTTCCGCTAAATTAAGCGTCTTCTCGTGGAGAAATGGAAAGAAAAGTAGCTCTTTAACTAGTGGTGGTTCATACTGGGACTCGTCAACTTAAAATTATCTGGAATTTGATTCAAGAAAATTCAGAAGACAATTACGAATTCTCAAGCGCTGAGAAGCGCGTTCTAAACACACACACGCATCGGACATTATAGTTTTCGGTGAGAAAATGCAAGCGTTTTCGCTTCCTCATGGATTTAGAGTTTTGGGGGAACTTGAGCATAATATACTACAATCCTTTAGCGGCATAGAACAAAGGAGGAGTGTCAATAACTCTGGCCCGAACTAACCTTAAACCGCCGTGTTTATAGATGGACGAGCACGATCTTGCAATCGAAATGCAGTTTCTCTTAATTCGTTAAATGGAATAAAAATCTGAAACAAGATTGGGATACCAATCTGAACGATCCAAGTGCGGAGGTGGATCGTTCAGATTGCAATCTTAGATTGGTTTAGTCCTTAGTGGAACGAAAAATCAAATTTTGGATGGCAAAATCTAGCCTGAATTTCATCCGATTACTTCGAGTCGTTATTACAGAGAAAACCGACTCGAAGCAATCGGATGAAATTCGAGCTACGCAAAATCCAGATTTTGATTAGTCAAAAGGAATGTGACCATTAATGATAAGATTTTCTGGGCTGCCAAACTCCCTTAAAAGAAAGAAAGATTAGAGAAGTGAGTGAATGCAACGTGCCTTCAAAAATTAAAGGTTACGGCTTATTTTCTGTGAATTGTTTGGATCAATTTAGGTTTCAGGGAAACTACCCACCTACCCATCCCCTAAGCCAAAATTATCACTTACTTCTCACTTAGGGCAAAATGTTGGCTTAGGGGAGGGGTAGGTGGGCAGTTCAATTGTTTACCTCCACTATCGCCCTGACAGGCATCCGTTCCCTGACTCCTGAAGCCAGCGCAGAGCATGTTGGACGTTATAAGGCCACCTCTTCCGTAGTTACTTTTACATTCTCCTTCTGATACTATCGGCACAGTGGCCTCTTTCAGAACAGACGATAATTTGCCCCCCTGACTGGTGCGGCCCCAGCCTGTGATGACGCATTCCGTCCCTGCAATTGAAAATATAATTGCTCGTTGGTAATCCTGTGCAGTTATGGCACAATTTAAGGAATCATTGCTATCCTTACTCCAGCCTCAAAAAGGAAAACAAAAATCTAGAAAGGCATTTGCTTTCAAATGAGGGCTACGGGCCGGTAAAGAGAGAGGTATATAAGCGATAATAAAATTGAGACATCCTTTGGTGCGACCCACTGTTGTACTTATTTGTCTGCTTCAAGGCAAATCACTGTTCCATTGTTGAGGAAAGGTTTCCGTCTCTACCTCGCGGCTCCATACAAAAGAAATTTTATTGGCATAGAAACCCCAATTACTCTTCCTTGAAAACGAATTTTAGCTGGAGAGAACGTTTTCTCTTACACGACTGGTTGAATGATTTTCTTCCCCTGTCTACTCCATTAACAGAAAAGGCGTTATTTTTTCGTGTTTTTCAGGCGAGCGAAGGCAAGCGGAAAGCGAGAGCGGAGCGCGAGACACGCGCGAGGGGGATGGTGATAAGGCGCAGAAAACGGTCTATTACTTGTCCTCAAGTATAGAAAATTCTACGGAATATTTGCTTCTCCGAACAGACATTTCAGCGAAAACAGTCTTTGGCTGCCCCTGAAACATCTCCGGCTTGAAGTCAAAGTACAGGGTGTGTGAACATACCTGGAGGAAACGCAGCAGTATTGCTTTGTAGGCAGACGGGTGCCACACGGTCATTGAATCTGGCGGGAGAGGCCAGCTTTATGACAGCGATGTCGCGATCGTAACTGGCTGCAACGTATGATCCATGTTTAGTGACCGAAGTGATGTTAATGTCTTGTTCGTACCCTTCAGTCTGTTTAAAATGGTGTTCGCCAAGGCGGACCTGCCGGTTACAGATATCACCGTAAGAATTTAAACATAGCTTTTAGACAGGGGTCCAAGATTCCATCACACAGAGTTAAGTTCCTAGATGAAGAATAAAGATTCTTAGGCCCGTTTCTTGGAAGTCTCGATAATTAACAGGGGTTGATCAATTCCCATAAGCTGCTTATTCCTATTAAAAAACTTAAGAATGGACGTTAATCTCTCACGAAGGCGCGTGAAGCGCACTTCATCCTTAAACGTTGGGCCCTTGAACATATCTTAATTTGTTTTTCTGTTATCTTATCTTTCTTTTTTTTAAGTAGAAACACCATACTACGTCACTTGCGTCCATTGTAGCATTACATTTATTTCTCTAAATTCGTGATCTTCCTAATAAACCTGATGAAGACTGATATCGGCCGGTCGAAATGTTGTAACTACCGTCTATTCACGTTGTTTGATCAGTCCTCGCAGTTCTCTTTTGGACAAAAAATTTATAAATGCCGTGGGTATTTAAAGTTCCTAATTGAAGATAAAATGTGGTATTAAGGTATTTTGCGGCTAGAACTGTCGCCTTGGGGCAAGGAGAGGCCGCAGGTTTCCTTTTTTTGGCTAGTACGATAACAATCTGCGCGGATAACAGGATTAACGGTCGAGTGCAGATACGCTGGCGAGTGCTGTACTGTTTTGGCAGCGGAGCCCGCCGTGAAGATTGGGAACAGGTCATTTCCTCATTTCCCTCCCGGTTTCACGTTGCGGTTCCGCCGTACCCCCGTGAATAACAACCCCGCCAGCTACATAGGCTAGAACGACAAGGAAGAATGACAATTCTTACATACCTTGTAATTCTCGATAAACGCGTCAATGCTGGTAGGAACACAATGAGCAGCAGTGACTACATGGTATGGGGAAATCAAGGTGCCTCCACAACTTTGATCTTGACACGTCTTGCACATGATAGCAGCCTGCCAAGGCCACGCCCCTGGGGTTGATATCTTGCCCCCTACGATCGTACCGATACTTAAACCCGAAGAAAGCGTCTTGACCGTTGTCACTAAGGGTCGTACTCCACAGGATGCTTGAGGAATGGTCGTTGGAGGCGAATCCGTTTGCAAGCTTCTTCCTGGAGCTGCGCCGAGAAAACAAAAACTCGATCAGAAAAAAATGGGCACTCCTGCGGGCGGTGGGGGCCGATAGGTCTAATTAGCAAAAAACAACTTTGCACGTGCAGCACACTTCTTTGTACATTTCTTTCGATGTTTTGCACGACTACAACGTGAAATGTTTTATGAAGGACATGTCGTATGTGTTCGGTTTTTTCCTGTTCAGTTATTTTTTCACTGCCGCTTATTCTCACCTTGGTGGTCGCTAGCATTTCTCATTTTTTCACCGCCGCTATAAAATTTCCATGTTTTTCTTCCAAAAAATGGTCTTCTTTGTTTTTGATCTCTCGCTCTAGCTCTTTATCTGTTAAAATTTGGTTGCTTCGAAGCAAGAGAGAGAGAGCCCTGGGAAAGTGGTTGCGAAACCAAATTTTCTTACCCATGGTGCTACGTTGCGCGCGCGAGAGAGCTCCGCTATCATGAAAAATATTTATCCATCATGGTAATGTGTAAAAAGGGTTTCGTTTATCGTTTTTTTTTTGTCAAATAGTTATTGATCGAGACAACCACGGTGGTACTAATGGTAACTAATAGTCTTACTCACTAAATCCACCATGATTATAGCCCGATCAAGACTTGTAGTACGCGGTCGAAAGGTCAGTTCCCATCCGGGACTCAGACAGCGACTAAGGAGCCTCTTATAACAAAAATAAAGAATTTTTAAACAGTAACTATCGTTGTATACAAAACTCACTCATCTCGCAAATAAATTGATGCTTTGAAGCACGACGCCCAACGCAAGGTGTATCCAACCACCTGCCACTGTACATGAACATTTCAGCACAGTCTTCGTCGCCAAAGAAATTATCGGGTTCATTCCAGAACCATTTAGTAAATGTTAAGGGTTCGCCATTGCCCCATCGCGAAAACTTGCCAGTGGAATCTCGACGAAGACCGATCCAAATCGCGTAGTCCCCATAGAGTGTTGCAGCCAGGTTTCTAACGAATTCATGCTCCCTATCGTTGTTGATGGCAACTAGATATCCACCATTTTGTCGGCAGTAATTTTTTGCGACACGCCACAGACTCTTGCTGGTAAAAGCCCTATAGCACGAACTGTTATACCCACTCCACCCCGGTGGACAGTTCAAACCTACAAAATGTAACGCATAAGAGATCTCATAGTCTGAAGTTTATGGCTGCTGATAGCCAATCAGATTAGAGAATTTTGTTCTAGTTAGGGACCGGTCATTATTTATCGTCGGGGGCGGAATTTAGCCGATCCCCCCTTTGAATGTTACTTCATTGAAGTGATCCCCCCTAATAACTTTTGATGACTTTCGCGACCCCCCCCCACCCCACCCCACGTCTTTATTTTCCAAATAAATTTGAGTGGTCCTCCCTCTGAATCCTTCCAAAGTTTTCAGCGATCCCCCCTTTTAGGTTCTCAGTTACGACTCATCCCCCCTTTTGTTCTCCCAAAAATCAAGTGACCCCCCCTAAAATCCTCCGCACCCCACCAGGCGATAAATAATGACCGGTCCCTTAGAGGGTCTTAATGGGGTGGTAGCTTTGACGGTTTGACGGTTAAATTTTAGAGCTTTTTACGGTTGACGGTTATTTAGCGGAAATTTAATCAAAGAGTTTAAGTAAATAACTAATACGAACGTTTTTTTTAAAGGTTACCTTAGCCTTTCACATACAAAATTTCGAAATATTTTCAGATAAAAGCAATTTGTAAGGTCTCCTATTAAATGTCTAGAAAGAAGAGTGTTTTTGAGAACATGGGAAGTGGTTTTTCTAACTTGAAGAGATTCTTCTGAAATTCACCTGAAATAGTGAGATTTGAAATACCTTTCATTTTCACGGCTGATGGTTTAATAGCCCCATGGAGACCCTCTAGTTATGATCATAATTGAAATACACTATAGCTCTCTCAATTGTAAAGTTCCTCTTCCGCATAAGCTTGTCTCATGGCGCTTGAACGTACGTACCTGACCTTTGGCATTAGGAGCCTTTTACAGGATATTGACTATGGAGAGAAAATGGCAGGAGCCCCCTGGGGGGGGGGGAGGGGCAGATTTATGATCTCAGTCTGAATTTCTAAACCTGTCGTTTCGGGTACTGAGGAGGAAGCCATGTCGCTGTCGGTATTATACCATCATGATTGTGCAGTGACGGATCCAGACTTTCAGATAGGGGGGGGTCGGACTGAGATAAGGGAGGGCGGTCCTTCAGTTTCAGTTTAAACCCATCTTTTAGTCTCGTACCCAGATCTCCCACTTTTCAGTGTAAAACAGAGTGAGATCTGGGTACGAGATTACCCATCTTTCTGTTGCTTGCCGCTATTTCGCCTGTCTTATGTAGGTTTCTCAAGGCCACTTTGCTTGTCAGAATTCTACCCTAACACGCATGGCTCAATGCCAGTATTGAGCTGGGACGTACTGACATCTTAGTTTGGAGTACATGTAAGGCTCAAAGAATATAGTACACTATTGCAACAGGTAACAACAAAACCTCTTCCGTAGCGATTTTCCCCTAGAAATTGGCGGGGAGGCCTTGGGGACGAGATTGGCAACATTAAGCACTGCACATACCGTTAGTTGTAGCCGCGACTTCTCTTGTGGATGGAGGACTGGGAAGGAGGGTGGTGGGTGCAACTGGCTGGGCTGACTTACAATTGCCTGGAATCATTTTAATTTCGTCCAGTGCGATATCGCTCATATATCCACTACCACGAACAGCCTCAAAAACGATCTAAATTAAAGATCGCAAATAATCATGGCATTAATGACAAGTGCTTCGAGTTCGCTTCGCACAGCTGCACGGGGAAACGTGCTCCAAAATGATGCTAAAAATAAAGTGATCTGTGAAAACATGGTTGCCTGGGATACGTAAAAGAGTTGCTCCGCCCCAATCTCTTCGCGGTTTCTCTGCCCTCGCCCGCCTTTATTACTTAGCGCGCCCAACCAAAACCGCCATGCTAAGCAGGCTAGATTACGAGCTCCGCTGCTACCGCACTGGTTTTCGAAACATGAGTCACTGTCAACAGTAGTCTAAAGGTTGATTTCCACTGACGCGTTTTTGGCTACGCACGTTAACGCACGTAAATTTTAATCACGTAAATAAGATAGAGGTAAGATAAAAAGTGCTGAGCTTAAGCGAGATTCAGCATTTACGCTTACGAGCGACCTTTCATGCATTGCATCTGTTTTATTTGCGAACGTGAATTTTACGAACGTACGCACGTAAAAATTACGCGACACTGAAATCAACCCTTATTCAGGGCTGCGGTCACCCGGGTGATCACGCTCCAACTATGCGGTAATTTGTTTGGCTTACCCACCTGATATTGTGCAGTGGTATCTATCCTGAACTCTACACCTTTCCATGTATCTGCCTGGTTTCCACTGCGTTCCCAAACTTTTTGCTCAAATGAGCCGACTCTACCGTACACCCGCAAACTCCCCATATTGGCACCATTCATGTGGTACCGAAAAACAACGCAATGCGAGCCAGTCAAGATTGGCGACACTAGGCGCGCACGGTCATCAGGTTGCCGGGGTGACGATGCTTCTGCATAGATATAGTAACCTACAACAAAATTATTCAGGGGTTAACGACGCAATTTACAGTCGAAGCTCTCATAATTGACCACTTTAATTTGGGAATTTATAGAAGTGGTCGCAACTTTTTAAGCTGTGTTCGAGAATGGGTTCTTTTACCTGTAAACGACTTTGAAATAAACTTATTGAAGGTGCTTGCTTACGAGGGCTTTAAGCAAAATTCTTAGCAGATGTTGTTAATTATATATCAATACATTAAGGTAAAATATTATTAAATAGTTTCTTTTTCATCATGTTTGACGATTTATTAGCGCTTATGCTATGTATAACACTGGATTTCACCAAAAAATAATTGTTTTTATTTAAGTGTTGCCTGAGCGGTCGTCTACGAGAACTTGAGAACCAAGGAAAAGACCAGCCCTTAATTCACAAAAGTGGTCGTGACCCACAGAGCCGCTTAAGTCTATGCTAAGACGTGACGGGGTTTAACAATATTCTCGTTGTTACTAGAGCTGATCGCTTACGAGAGTTGTCGCGAGGAATTGGCCTGCCAAAAAGTTCTGAACTTTTATAATAGTCTATCTTACCATTTCCTGAGAAGTCATTAGTTGGTCCCGTGGTTGGATAACTGCCCGTGCGACCCCTGTGAAGAGTCCAGTCAAACTCATCCTGGGTGTCTTGTGTGAACCCGCACCAAGTCCGACTGTCAAAGTTGCAGTAAAATTGAGCTGAAATGTGAGATATTACCAGTAAAAATTCAAAAACGTCATTTCTGGTTAGTCGGAAGTAACTCGTTTATCCGACAAATGCGCTAAATACAAGCTAGTTCCCAGGGCTTTTCCCCTCAAAAATGGGAGAGGAAAAAGCCCTGGCGGAAACGACGTTGCGCTAAATAGATTCCTTTGCGCGGAGGGGAACGTTTGTTTGACGGCGAGAAAAATGACACTGTCTATAAAAGCACGATACTTTTGGACTATCTAAAGAGATTGACATGTAATTTCTTCATATGATATCAATTCACTATCCAGTACGTGAATTTATCAGCCAGAGATATAACCTCAAATTCTCTTAACCAATCTGCGAGGGAATACATGGCAGCCAGCTGCAGAAAGGAGAATTACCAATCAGATCTTGGGTTTAACCCTTTTTAAAGGGGTTAAAGGGTCGTGAATTTGAGGACAATAATAATAGTTTTCTCTCTTCTCTCTTATTAATACCGTACTCTCCTTTCACTACTTCAAGAACGGAGGGCTATGCCCAAGCAAGAGGAAGATTGTATCCCTTCAGAATAAATTTGCTCTGCTGCGCTTTGAATGAAGCGAAGACAAATGGACACTCAAGCCACAAGTGAAGGCTCCTGATGAACCCTCTCCCCTCCCCACTGCAAAACATACCTTGTGTGACCGGTGGAGTAGGTTGCTTAGTAGTAGTAGGGGGTGGGGGAAGTGTAGTGGTCACCACAAATTGTCTGCATCTTCCAGGTGTTAATCTGATCTCATCCAACGCCATATCACCCTCCCATCCCTTGCGTTCAGCCTCAAACAGTACTTGATACTGAAATGAAACAAAACCAGTGTTTATTATTACATACAGCGGGAGGCGTTCCTTCTGAAATAAGCGCACTTGATGGCAAGATGGTCACATAACACCTAAACATGACGCTATTTCCCACAAACGCCTCTAGGCGGACAAATTTGGCCGTGCCATCATTGCGAGACTTTGACATCAGTCGACGTAGCCTTCTTCATTGTTCCTGCACACTATGTAGGAAAGATGAAGGACACTATTTTTCCCGAAACTTCGTGTGCATATTAAGCACAACACCACCTCGCCACATGGTAAGTTTCATCGATTTTTTTCCATTTTCTGGCAAATTTCCAGACCTAAACCTCGCCCTATATGTTCTCTGTATTTTTTCATGTTATGAAACCGGTACGTGACAGAAACAGCGAGCCTGGGTTACCCCTGATTTGCATTCAACAAAATTTTTTCGGTCTGACTCGGTCTCAGTATCCTTCAATGTTTTCTGCGTGATCATTCCTCTTGGCATTGTTCCAAGTATCCAAGCTCCTTCATTACATTTGGTACAACAAATCGACTTTCCCTGACCTCCCTCAGTTTTGTTATGCTCAGTCCCCTAACAGGATCGTGGTTTTGGTAGCCCTTCCTTTTTTCTCTCTTTCAACTCTTACATGATCACCGTCATTATCAGATCACAACATATCGTCACCTTTATCATCATTAAGGCTACTACCGAACTTTACCTGTTGGATCTGAGCTGCTGGAAGATCAATGTTTGCTAAGTGCCAAACATTTCCACGGTCACCAGTAAAGGCGCCCACAATAGTCCTTTGTGAGCCCGTAAGCCTAAGAACCCGCAAGGTGCCCATGGAGGACCCATACATGTGGTAGTAGAACTGAACGCAAAAATCGCCAGTAAGACTGGGGGAAACTAAATGGGCGCGGTCACCCGTCTTTCGTGGATTTGAAGCTTCGGCGTAGACGTAGTAGCCTAAGAACGGCAGAGAAAAAGATTCGTAATTTTTAATTACAATGCTGCTTTTTTGCCTAACAAGGTTTTTCGCATCTTTTGAAAATCTTTGATGGAGTCCATGCAATACAGAACCGATCAAAATGCATGATGTTTCAGATGCTTTTAAGGCGGAGACGTGCAGTTGAAAAAAAAAGTAACAATGACACTTTTGTTACCGGGAGTCTCTTATTTTGCCTCCTTCGTCGTAACGGAGAAAGACCCTTGGAACGAAATTGCCACAGAAATAAAACGCTTCAAACGGCGTCCTGGTTCATAGGAAACTGGCTCTTTGAAAAAATGTCAAAAATGTTTGGAAAACACGTCAAAGGACGACGAAAGGAAGCAAATCTGAGTGCTATGACGCCGCAACGTAAAATACACGACAGCTCTGAGCAGTTTACAAAAGACCAGCACAAACCGCTAACCTGCTGAGGAGATATCTTTACTTGGCCCAGTGTTCGGGCTTGGTGTGCTGTCCTTGTTCAATGTCCAGTCAAACTGGTCGTCACTTCCCTGGGTGAACTGACATAAAGACTGGCCATCGAAGTTGCAGAACACTGAAACACATTCATTAACGTAGTTTAGTGGAATGGAGAAAAGATTGAAGTAATAACCGTGGTAATTATAGTTCATGTCAAATGCGAAAGCAAGTCAAGAAAAGGCCGCATCTTGATGGTAAAGTCAAATTAGGGGCTTTCGCTTATCATGAAACGGTGAAGGTGGGTGATATATTCAAGGAAATATCTACAAAACGTAAATATTTCTTAACCCCTCCCTCGCGGTCCCAAAATAATCTAGCTAGTCCCCACATATTTCCCGACCCACTCCCCCCTCACCCTCGTGATGACCAATTTTCTCCCGTCATCTTGGACTTTGAGACTGAAAGAGAGTTGGGAGAGTCAACAAATACTTTCAAGGGAGAGTTTCTGCTCCCCACCCGCCCATCCTCCCTCAGTTTATTTTTTTTATTTTTGCTTTCAAGATGGCTACCACGATCAATGTGCCTCTTAGCTTTCGTGAAAAAACGCCTGCTCTGCAGGCTAAATTTTGCCCCAATAAATTGTTAAATAACAATTGCGGGCGACAGGAGGAGCCCGCAATCCTAATCTCCAGGGGTCGGTTGCTCGAAGCCTGGTTAGCGCTAACCGTTGGTTAAGAGGTATCAAAATGTATAGGTTTCCATGGTATTTAACGCTGGTTAGCAGTAACCATGCTTTGAGCAACCCGGGCCAGGTTGTTAATGAGCATGCGTCGCATGTATGTAGCCAGCATTTGTTTGGACTTCCACTAAGAATGAATGGAATGCACATAACGAACTTTGATCTGATCACGCGTGTTCTGACCATCTGTCACGTGAAACGTAAGCAAGCACAGTGTTCGAGCAAAAGCGTTTTGAACTTCATTCTTAGTGGAAGTCCGAACGAATGCTGGCTACATACATGCGACGCATGCGTAATGAAAACCTGGAGATTAGGATTGCGGGCTCCTATTGTGAAATTTGCGGTGGGTCCTTCCGATCTCTTGTACACTTTGGTTTGCTTGTAAGTTCTATATTTATTGTACTTGGGCAGAAATGTAACTTTGGGTGGATGAGAACGCGTATTTTAAAGCCAATTTTAGCCCCTCGTTATTTTCGGTTAAAATGTTTTTTAGAAACCAACGTTCTATTTCTCTGCTTCAAAGACTTTGAAAGCTATGTTATCTGGCTGAGCAACAAACATTTTTCTTTGGTCTTAGCAACACATCCAGTACGGTTGTTTTGACCTGTGCGTTATGTCAAAAATAAACATCACGTTACCTAGGTAATGGATGAAAAATTTATGTTGTGTTCTGGACACACATTAACCTTGTTGCGAACTCTTCGCCACCTGTAAAGAGTTTTTGCAGTTACCACTATCCAGCCTTTGGCTACCTGTTTATTCTCAGAATACCTAAAACTCTGAACCGACATGTTAAAAGCTTGGTTGGCTCTGATTCTAAGGTAGTAGTGAGTTGCCATAACAACTAATCTTAGACAATCACAACCCCGTCTTGTTTAATAATCTAAGTATATCGTCACGGTAACGGACAAACATGTTTTTTTTCTTCTTAGCAACGCATAAATTAAGTTGTTTGTTAGCCTTATTAACGTCATGTTACCTAGGCAACTGATAGAAATCTGTTTTTACCAACGACTTAAAAAACATATAATTAAATCCTCATTATCAGTCATAAACTGTACATTATCTGAAAAACAACGGGTTACAAGTTTTGATTTGAAAATGGGCGCTGTGATGAGTAGTTACACCAGTAAACGGAGGAATAGAAAATTACGTCGCCAAATGGTTAAGAAGATCTTCTGTGTTCAAAAAGTCAAGAAGGAAGTTTTATCGGCAGAAATATCCGTGTTATCTTCGATGGAACTGATGAAGGAGATGATGAGGAAAGCTGAGTTAGGAAGTGCACTCGCTGCCGCTGTAAAGTCAAACGTTAATAGAAAAGCAATTCATAACGAGTCTTTCGTTGAAGGGATGAAAATTCCCAGGGCCTCTTCGATGGTGATTATGAAAGAGCTGGGTAAACAGTTGCGACACCTATCAGCGCCAGATCAGGAATCAGAAATGTCCAGTGGAAATCTTGACGAATCCTTCGACGACGGAAGAAAACTTCATGAGGCGCCGGTGTCCGATAATGATCATGAAAGAATAGGGTAAAAACTGAGTTGTGAAGCTAACAGACACCTGCTTGATATCCTCAGCTGTTAGTTAGATGATCCTTCGTTGACAGAAAAACTGAAACTTCACTTTTGCTGAGTGATTTTGATATTTAAGACAAATGAGCAAATTCAAATCCTTCATTTTTCTGATAGCCCTTCAATTTTTCAGGAAAACGATTTGAAATTTTAGTTATGAACATATGTAAAAAGTTAAAATTTATTTGTTTTTGTTTATTAACCTTTGTGCGGTTAAGACTTCGAAACGTTGCCTATTTGTGTCATCAATGAGTTTATTGTAAGGGTGTACTGTATACCAGGTCCTGTCAACTTCAAACATTACCGAGAAGTGTTGATGATGATGATGACGAACTTTATTCATGTGTCGATGTATTTAGCTGATGCTAATTGGGGACACAACATAAAGATAAAATAAATAATGAATAATATGATAAATAAAAGATAATAAATAAAAAAGCTATAAAAAAGCTATAGTATGATCCTATATATATTATATATACATTTACAATATGCTAAAATAATCAAAACAATTCTAGGAACACGGGCACAACTTAAGAGGTACAAATTTCGCAAGCGGAGCAGTTGTTCCCATTTATCAGTTCAGTAAGATCCTTACATCTAATATGAAACTTAAACCTAGATAGGCTGCTAGCTTCAGTGATGTTTTTATCTAGCTTGTTCCATAAAAAGGGTCCAAGATATCTAAGAGAGTGTTTACCATACAATACAGAATTAAATCTAGGAATATCAAAATTTTGGTTTCTAAAATTATATTTCCAAGACTTAGTACTGAAAATGTCACGAATGAAATCGGGAACTAGCCTATATTTAACCTTGTACATGAGTATAACTATGTCTTGTAATCTCCTATTTTGTTAATGTCCAACAAACAAAAGCCCTATCATTGTACATGTTTGGACTTTTTTTCGACTGCCGAAAATAAATGTAAAGGTGCCTTACTCGGGTCTAGAGTCCTTTTTGCACTTTCTCTTTTGGAAGTTCGCGATTTTTTATTATTAATATTATTATTAACATGATTATTATTATTATTATTATTATTATTATTATTATTATTATTATTATTATTATTATTATTATTATTATTATTATTATTATTATTATTACAAGTGATACAAGTAATAGTAAATTATAATTATTTTACACTATGCAGCGCCATAAATTGCCTTAAAAGTAATGATGAGTACTTTGAAACTGATGCGACATTCAATAGGTAACCAGTGTAGAGAGCGCAACACAGACGTTATGTGGTCATATCTAGAGATGTTACAAATTATACCAGCAGCTGAATTCTGAACACGTTGTAGTTTTCCTAAACGCACTGCAGGTAGACCGAAGAGAAGGCTATTGCAATAATCAACTCGTCCCATAACAAGTCCATGAAGTAGTGTTTGAGCGGTATTGTTATATAGATATTTCGTAATTAGCTGTATGTTATGGAGATGCGAAATACGCAGTTTTACGGGTCTTATTGATATGTTCCTTCAGATTAAGATTGCAGTCAAACCAAGTTCCGACATTATTTGCACCCGTGACAGGGCTTCGCTTACTCTTGTATCACCGATCATAGGCTAGGGTGTTCAATATTGACTTTAAAAAAGTAAAAACAAAAAAAAAGGAAGAAGAAGAAAGGAACGACTAAAAAAAAACTTGCCGAATCCTTTAAAAATACTTAAAACGTCACTACTGCGATCCCATCGAATCATTATCCTAATACGTTCTTCCTAAGTTGAGAGTTAAACAGTTAAACAACAGTTGCCTCAAAAGTACGTGTTTAATTGAGCAAGCACGAGACATGTGGCTTTCCGCATTCCTCGCAAAACACCCTTTTCCTTTGCACCAACGAACTTTTTCATAGTCAGCTCAAGTTTCTTTGACTACCTTCCTATATAGCACATCAATGACAATATTGCACTGGTCGATGTTATACCCTGGGTATTGCTTCCTCAGCTCCCATCGCAGAGGACCGTCCTTGATTGTCTTCTCCTCATCCTTCTTTCCAGGATTCTCCACCCACGGACAACTAATTTCAACTGCCCAGACTTTCTTTCCCTTATGATCCACAAACAGCGCATCCACTCTGTTAGCTTTGACACAGGTACGGTCAGCGTAAACCGGCACATCCCAATAGGCTTGCGCATCAGGTGACTCGTACATTGGTTTAGGGTGTTACTGGTGAGTTCCATGAGGGAACGGAATCCACCAATTTATGGTCTTTACGCATTTCGAAGAAAAGTATCTTCAACGCGGCATTGTGTCGGTTTAAGTATTTTGATTGAGCTACGGCGGAACACCGCGATAAAACATGTGGCAGGGTCTCTGCAGCTCTACCGTACATCCTACATGTCACATCCCCTGGGTGGTTCCTCTCTTATATGAAGTATACACTCTGGTCGGTGTTGGCTGTTGGTAGAGCTCCATTTCACCAGAAATGGTATGGTTAGGTGAAGACGTCCACTCTCTTAACCAAGTAAAGCATAAGTCTCGACACAGCGCCTCGTCTTGCCATCGAGAGGAAAGCAGATGCCCGTGCCGTATTATTATTATTATCATTATTATTATCATTTTTATTATTATTATTATTATTATCACAATCTTTTTTCTTAAGTGACATTCTGCTTGTTAAATCTTTATTGATTATAATTTTATCCGATAAGTGTCTAACGATAGTAATGATTATTGTGAAGTTTGCCGTTCTCTTGTAGAATAATTTTTTTTTTGTTTGTAAGTTTTATTTCTGTTTGCACTAGGGCAGAAACGATTTCTTGGGTGGATAAAAACGCGGATTTTAAGGCCAATTTTAGCCTCTTGTTATTTATGGTAAAATTATTTAGAAGCTTATCTTGTACTTCACTGCTTTACTGAAAGACTTTTTATTTAAAGACGCTGTGTTACTTGTTTGAGCAAAAAACATTTATCTTTGTTCATACCAACACATCCATTAAGGCTGTTTTGAACGCCGACTGACGTTAATTATTAACGTCACTGCGTTACCCAGGTAACGGATAAAAGGTTTATGTTGTGTTCTAAACACACCTTCAGCTTGTTACGAATCGTAAGTCACCTGAAAAGAGTTTTCGCAGTTACCACTACATTGCTATCCAGCCTAACAACATCATGGGCAGCCTTTGACTACCTGTTTAATCTCAGAATTACTAAAACTCTGGGCTGACATGTGCGAAGCTTGGTTAGCTCTAATTCTTAGGGTAAGTGAGTTGCCATAGCAACTGATCCGAGACAATAATTTGTCACGGTAACGGACAAACATGTTATGTTTCTCCTTAGCGACGCACAAATTTAGGTTGTTTGTGAGCCCTATGAGCCGACCCGTTAAAAGCTTGGTTGGCTCTAATTGTAAGGTAGTAGAGAGTTGCCATAACAACTAATCGTAGACAATCACAACCCCGTCTTGTTTAATAATCTGAGTATTTCGTCACGGTAACGGACAAACATGTTATTTTTCTTCTTAGCAACGCATAAATTAAGTTGTTTGTAAGCCTTATTAACATCATGTTACCTGGGCAACTGACAGAATCTGTTTTTACCAACGACGTAAGGAAACATATAAATAAATCCTCACTATCAGTCATAAACTGTACATATCCAAAAAACAACGAGTTACAAGTTTTGATTTGAAAATGGGTGCTGTGATGAGTAGTTACACCAGTAAACGGAGGAATAGAAAATTACGACGCCAAATGGTTAAGAAGATCTTCTGTGTTCAAAAAGTCAAGAAGGAAGTTTTATCGGCAGAAATACCAGTGGTATCTTCAAAGCAGATGACGAGGAAAGAGTTAGGAAGCGCCCTCCCTGCCGCTGCAAAGTCAAACGTTAATAGAGAAGCAATTCATAACGAGTCTTTCGTGAGAATTCCCAAGGCCTCTTCAATGGTGATTATGAAAGAGCTGGGTAAACAGTTGCGACACCTGTCAGCGCCGGATCAGGAATCAGAAATGTCCAGTGGGAACCTTGACGAATCCTTCGACGATGGTAGAAAACTTCATGAGGCGCCGATGTCCGATAATGATCATGAAAGAATAGGGTAAAAACTGAGTTGTGAAGCTAACAGGCACCTGATCAATGTGTTCAGCTGTTAGTTAGATGATCCTTCGTTGACATAAAAAACTGAAACTTCACGTCTTTTCTAAGTCAATTCAGAGCATTCAAATCCTTTATTCTTCCTGATTGCCCTTCATTTTTGTCACGAAATGAATTGAAATTATCTAAAAATTTAAACTTATTTTTTTATTTGTTTATTGACCTTTGTGGTCAAGTCTTTGAAACTCTGCTATTTTTGTGTCATTAGTTTGTTCTGAGGGTGTTTTGTATACCAGGTCCTGACAAACATGAGTAAGTAAGTAGCTTATTTATACACGTAAACACTTAAGAGTTAACAAAAACTCATACTGACGTGTACGTGAAGAAAAAAAAAATATATAAAACTCTGTAACTAAAGCAAAAAAACTGTAACTACTTAAGAACTAATCTCTATTACACAAAAAATGTCATTATATAGAAATCTATCGTTTAAAAAAGAGCTACAATTTGTCATGAACATTCACAAAAAAGTCACGAGCTATGATAGCAAGGAATAAAATAGATTACAGAATAGTAATAATGATAAAATAGCCTAATAACAAATGCAAGACAAAAACTAGTATAAAGATTCTAAATTGAACTTTTGAGGAGCCCTTTCAAACACATTAAGATTATTGGAGTTTCTAATGTATAGCGGTCATTCCACCGCCTCCTAGCTATAAATGAAAAGGATTTATGCATCCACTCAGTAGTAAAACGAGGCTGTACCAATTTGCAAGTTACTTCCCGTACCCCTTGGATTATAACATACATCCCTTAGATTCAGAAAATCGGCAAATGTACTTTGGACCGATTGAGTTAAGACATTTGTAAATCAACACCAGAGCTTGGTAATAACGACGGTCTTTCAAAGTATTCATGTCTATGAGATTCAGTAAGCTTTCGTAACCTTCATTCTTAGTTCTAAATAGAGTTCTTAAGATATAATAGGTAGCCATAGCATCTTCGAGTCCATCGCTTCGTAGCAAGACCAACTAAAACTGCATTGCAATATTCTGAATGCGGAACTATAGAAACGTTTTATACTGGAGAATCATAGCGTTCACGGGAAGAAAGCGAGATATTCGTTTAGGAGCTGACGTCTTGGAATAAATTCTCTGTAACTGTGCCGAAATAGGTTCCTTGTAAGAAATCTTCCTATCCAACGTAACGTCACTGCTAGAATCTTAAGAGTAGATGTAAAGGTCATACTTGTAAGTAGATGCGCCAAAGATCATAGCTTGAGACTTAGTGTTATTAATTCAGAGTAAATTTTGTTCGAACCATGTAGACAACGTGGACAAGTTCTTTTTGATAAAGAACTGTAGAGCTTAAGACGAAGCATCAGAATTATATCCGGTGGTGTCATCGGCATATAGTCTTAGTGCCAGGTTCGGGACACTGAACGTATAGCTAACATCGTTTATGTATATCCTATGTTAAATCGTATAACATAACAGAATGTTTATGTCCAATACATAAGTGACCCATCCATATACATGTCTTTGACTTGTTTCGTCTGCCGAAAATAAAGGTGAAGGATCCTAAAGTTTAATTTGCTCTTACCTTCACTGCGTACGGGTGGTTTGGACGTGCTGGTTGGTAGTACAGTTTGCATGGTGCTTGAAGGGGCCGCAGTCGCCGGGGTATCACATCCTCCTGGAGCTAGTTTAATCTCATCTAGGGCAATATCTCCTCTATAGCCATAACCTCGGACAGCTTCAAACGCGATCTGTCGTACAAAAGAGACGTCTATTAGGTTCTTAAAGAACCATCGAACTCGTTTAGTCCGTAATGGGCCCGGGAGTTCTCCCACAATTTTCCGATTTGTGTGTGCCGCCCGGAGTCTTAAATCCTGACCCTATAATTTTTTAGGGTGAGAACAACCGAAATCTACCCCTATTTGAAAGACCCTTCCTTTTCAAGGGAAAAAAGATGGAATAGAAATTAATGGTAGCTTACAAACCTTCATGAAATCGCTTTCATAATACTAACAGATAATTTGCTTTTCGTGTAACTGGGTATTTACGCTCTTAAATTTTAGCTGATACAATTTGGGAACCCTATCAAGGAACATACTGGGAACACAATGCCAACAAGGGCAAGAATAATACCCTATTCAAGGATCAAGTCCCTCAAAAACCATACCCTATCTGGCCTATATACATGGGAGTACCCCCTTCTAGGGTAATGGAATACCCTTTATAGAGCCACAATCAAACGTTCACTGGTGTGCATTGTTTCTAATGGAAGCGCTGAAGGGGAGTTAAAGCTAGCAATTCTCCTCTATTGGGAATTGAAGGGTTAATTAACATGAACATCTTGTTTATTGAACAAATGAATTTTTAATCACCTTAAATTGCTCTGAACCTGTCAGGGAAGACTGGGCCATATACCACTTATCACCTTTGTTTCCGCTGGTCGATAAGACTGTGGTTCTGCTTGAGGCTGTGATCTTGTAGACATTTAGAGAACCAATGTGTGTACCCATCATATGGAAATGCATTCGGAGGCAGTACGGTCCCATCAGGCTTGGGCTGAGTAAGACGGCGCGATCGCCCTCAACACGTGGCTGAGATGACTCAGCATAGATATACCAACCTGAAAAGTAGCCATCCAAGCAAAAATTCGAATAATTACACAAATTACGAAGTTTAATAGCTATTGGCCACCTTCAGGAGCCCAGACTTTCTGTCGCCGTTTCATTTGTCTCAAGTTCATCACCATTTGCCTCTATCGATCACTATTGGCCACCATGTTTCAATCACTGGTAATTATTTGCCTCCGTTTTTCACCATTTGTCATCGTTTGTCGCCATGCGTCCCCAATTTGCTTCCATTCGTTACGATTTGCCATTATTTTTCCCATTTGTCGCTATTTGTATTATTTGTCACCTAGCCTGCGATACCCATTTCTCATTACTTTTCACAATTTGTTCAGAATATAATTATGTTCATTCTCCGGCTAGCTTATTATCTTATACAATCAAAAATGAAGAATGAAATTTTTGATACCTTTTCCAGACATATCTGAACTAGGCCCAGTCCCCCCGCTCGGTGTGGCACCTTGGTGGACTGTCCAATCAAAATCATCTTGAGTATCTTGAGTGAAATCGCACCGCGACCCATTGTCAAAGTTACAATACACTGTTGCAAAAAGGAAAAAAATTGTTAAAACAATTAGACAATGTTTATATGGAATATCCATAAACGTTTTTACGTTAATTATTGCCTTAGGGCCAAGTCGCACTAGAGGACAAAACTGTTTATTTATGTCAAAAATCTGTCATCACAATGAAAAACCAAGTGCGACCGGTTTGTTCACCAAAGGACAAAATTTGGTAGCAGACGGACAAACTTCAAAGATGCCGTCGACTACCTCTGGAGCAGGCCAAATTGAGACAAATTTTGGAAAACAATAGCGAGTGTGTTTTAATTCGGAAATGATTTGACAGGTGATATGTAGCAGAGTCTCTATGCTATAAACTTCGTTGTAAAATTAATCACGTTCACATTTCGCAACAACATGAATCTCGGCGCGGGCAACCAATTTTTTCCGTACGAATATCCACAATATCCACCAGGATGGATCTATCCTTTGGCAGGCCCTTACATGTTTAATGATCGAGGAAATCCCAGCCCATTTCCTTCGACCACGAGTACTGACTCGTTGCCAGAATCCCTCCAGTTCAGCGAAGATAGCTCAATGCCGGTATCAACCCCATCTTCTTCGCGTCGTGCATCTTCGTCAGCCGAGAACAAGAAGGCTCAGGACAGATGGAGTAAAGAAGAGGAGAAGCTTTTAGTTCAACTGTGGGTTGAAATCACAAGGCGCTCACAGCATGGTGTTGTGTTTTGTTCACAGATTTTGTTCTTAAGTACGACTGTAGCTCTCCGGACAAATTTTTTGTCACTGGCCAATTTCAAGCCGAATTTGTCCAGAACAAATGTAAAATTGCCCTCTAGTGCGACTTGGCCCTTATTAACTGGTAAAAAGTTTATAATGGAAATCGATGATTTTTTTCAGTTTGGCGCGTTGATATCTCAAACTTGACACTTCTCTAATTTCAATGCAGTAAGGGTTATAGAGTTAGGAATAAACTGCGACCGGGCGTATCTTTTTGGGGGGGTGGGGGGTGGGGCGGAGGGAGGTGATGATCGCAAGCCACTTCGGGGAAGCCCTGCTCTCTCTACCACTGCATCTTTCGAGCGAAAGCTCACTAGGAACTCCCTGGTCAGGTTGAATAGGGGCACCCAATGGATCTCTTCCTCAAAATATCTGTTCTTTAGGCAAATTTTTGCTGGCAGGTAGATTTAGAAAAAATAATATGTCCTTGGAAGGGAAGTGTTGCTGGGATATAGACAATTCAGGGTGTATAAGGGGATTTGATGTCTAGAACAGCTGCAATGTGCTATTTGTCAGAAACCTTTCCCTCCATTGAAGGGCTGAATTTTGCCCTATGAACACACCCAAACTGGCCAGTAATGCGTGGACATACGTCTGCTGGGAGTCCTGTCAGTTTTCAGGTTGTAGGTGCACCTTGCTGGCTGGGAACTCTACCATCAGTCTTGCTGGGAGTGAGGAACAGATAAATTTTTCCCAGCAATTCTCACAAAATGCTTAAAATGGTTTCAGAAATCTTTATTCATGCTTTGTTGTTGTTTTAAGGTCTTTTTCTCAAAATTTCCCGTTCAGTGTCCCGGGAAATGGAGGATGAAATTCACTATCTCGCTATTGCCCAAAATATTTTACTCTAAGAAATGAATTTTTCGCTCAGAAGCAGGGTCCTTTCCATAATTTACCCTCTACGGTTGCCTTACTCGGACCTGGCGATCGATGAACTCCGAAGATAGTTATCAGGGTCACCCAACGTCAATTTTCGGAAAATATCTGTTCGGAAGACGATTAGAGATCTAAAATTTTCGCAACCTTTGTTGTCTAATTTCTTGCTTGCCTACCTCTCCTAGGATTTTCGAACTTGTAAAAAATGGTATAATTGCCCATTTTTAACGGATTTTTACCCAAGAAAAGGTCACCTAGAATTTTCGGGAGCCTTTTTTCCGGCTAAAATTTTCGAAAAGGTAAGTTTTGATCCCTATAATTTTCGGATCACTAGACTTTCAGCTAGGAAATCCGAACAGATGAAAAATTTTTAAGGGACAAAAATATGCCTATATCTACCGTTTAAATACTAAAATACGTTCAACAATGTTATCTTTAAGTGGTTTTGAGCTATATTCTTGTTGGGTGCCCCTATATTTCATTGGAATCACAAACTGGGCATAACCTTTTGTCGCGAGGAGGTTGGTTCTATCAGTTCCAGTCTCTCGCGATCATAAGTTTATTATTGTTTACGAGTAATTTTACTAAAGCCTTCCCATCAGTTGTTGGACCTATGTTATTGCATGGTGGTGGGAACATTGTAATGTGAAAAATAGGAATAAATTAGTTGAACGAAAAGTATTTGCTGATTCCGAGGGAATAAAGAGTGCCGGTGAAAAAAACAAGTTTTTGCTCCAGATTTTTGCGACCTTCCGTATTGCCTTGGCGAAGAGAAAATAAGAGTCTACATGCAGTCTTGAGATACTACGACAAACATAATACATACCTACTGTACTTGATCCTTGGCTAGTGGGAGTGACTGTTGCTGGAAAAAAAAATAGTAATAAAAAGAACAGTCAAACAGTGTTAGCGCGGTGCAAAATACCAAATGCGAAATCTTTGGCTCCTAAGGAAGAAGTTTGTTTTCTTGATTCCCCATTGTCTTCATCGTTTTATTTCTTTGACTGTCTAGTTATCGATAGCGTAATTCTCTTTCCCATATGAAAGTGGAAGTCACCCTCCGTACTCATTTCTAAACCACCCCGGCGAGTGCTTGCTCGCAAGAAACCTTGGGATAGGAATGACCTACCAGTTGGACATTTGTACAGCTTGTTTATCTGCCGGATATCGTTGGCACTGAGTGCCTCCCGCTGACCAATTTGAGCGCCTCCAGTCTGAAGTGTGATGATGGTAGGTTTTGCATTGCTGCTGAATGCATGTGTCCCATAATGCATTATGCTCCCATAGTCGTACGGTTCCCCAAGGTGTAGTATTTTGCCTTGGGCGAATTTGTCAAAATTATTTTCTCTGTCTGCGGAATAAAAGAAATTGGCTGGATTACGCAAGCAGCCAAGTTCCCTAAATCCTAGTGCCACCCCTCAGTAAATGAATAATAATTACAGACTTCTAAATTGTAGACAAAATGATAGGGCAATTTTTGGCATGGCTATACACCACTTCCACATTTCCCATAATGTACCTCATTTGCCCCCCAAAATTTTGCAGAAGCGTTGTTTTTAATTTCTCTTGGGACGATTGTGTAATACCCAGGAGAAATGAAAAACAAAGGTTATGCAAAATTTGGGGTGGCAAATATGGTGCATTATGGGAAATGTGCAAGTGGTGTATTGCCTAATTCAAACCAAGGGGGGCTGGATACGAGTCTGTGCATTATGAGATAAACAACACATGACCCATATAGTCAGGAAGAGAGCAGCGAAATTTGTAAAATTCTTAAGTTTGGTGTTAATCGGACCAATTTTTAACCTATTTCAAAACTTGAAAATTTTCCAGATTGCAAGATAAACTGTCTGAACGTCTATAGATTTCTTAGTCAATATTGGAGTTTTTGAAAGGCTGTTTCTCGTTCAACATAAGCCGGGTAAACACCAAACTTGTGGATTTTCCGGATCTCTGTTTTCTCTTTCTACCTACGTGGGTCGTCGTGTTGTTTATCCCATAATACAAGGGTTCGTACCAGGCCCCCCTAGGCAATAGTGAATTAACATCAAAGGTGCGTGATCTCTGTGCTGTTCAGACTGACCTTTTTCAATATTCTCGTACAGGATCTTGACGTAACTGTCTCTATCTGAACGCGACTGCTCGTGGAAGAAGCCGATAGCGTGTGCAAGTTCATGGATTACAATTCCTTTGGTCCAGCAATATCGGTGTAGATTCACTTTCTGTTCACCTCGAGCTGTGCGACCCACCGATGACGAGCACCTGTCAATAACGGGGAAACAATAGATAATTTAGCGACTTGAAGGTTCTGCAAGGCCCTAATCCCAACTTCCCTATAACTATTTTTTCGCCTCAATACACTGAGCCAAAACATGTAACAGAATCACGATGGATCATGTAGATCGAGATCTTCAGCGAGCCTCAGCTCTTTTATTGGCCACGGCTTTTATTTTGTGAATGCACTCGTCAAAATTCTCTGATATATGAATTAAATTAAATCTTTTGGTGCATATACACAACATTAGTCCAACAAAGGCGAACATGATTATAACAGTATCGCTTACCCGGTCCCCTGGAAGAACCTTACGTAATTTTTTTGTGTGGTCCTGGCCACAAATTTCACGCAAGTGTATTTGTGATAGTCGCTTATTGCATCGTTGATTGCTTGAATGCCTTGTTGTTCTGTATATAGCAATAAACAAGGAACAAACGTATTATTTTTCCACTCGAAATGTGCTCAAATCTTTCAGTAATATCCAGCACACTTAAGCAAGTCTGAAGTGTCATCTGCCCCTTTGCCCCTTCCCTCCCCCAACGGGCGGCAGGGCGAATTAGCAGAGTCGTCTGAATTGCTTTCCCTCCCGTTGCCGGGTGGGGCAAAGAAAAGGATGACATTTCAGACCACCCGCACTCCGTTCTCTAAAAATAGGTTCTCTCTTCTCCGCGAACCTCAATAGTCGCAAAAATTTACTCCTTGAGAGAGTCTTGAAAATTTCTGAAAATCGTTTGGGTTAACTTTAAGAAACAGCACATGTGTATAATACAATACGTATACAATACTTACCTATGCTACTGTCTATAATATACGGCACGGTATTCGCAGGCCACAGACTGTGAGGGTAATTAATAGCGTTGCGGCTTCTTGGATCTTGAGTTATAAACCTTAGAGTCTCGTCATCAGAGATGATATCACCCAAAAGGATCTTGGAGCCGGTGTTACCTAGAACTGAAGAGTTTCGGAAACAAAAAATTCGTTACTTGGGAATTCTGAAGAATTTTGGTTTTCACAATACAATAAAATCTACTTAAAAAATTCCGTTTTAGAGTACTATTTGCCTCCGCTCCGGTAACAACTAAGGTCACTGTTTTCGGTATTCACTGAAAGTCGCCTATAAGTAGCACTGAAAACGATTAAAAGGCTTTCAAATGAGACCCTGTTCCACGGGTCGTGAGAAATTTTGAACGAACAAAAATCTGCACGAATCCGCGGAACCGTTCAAGTTTTCCGACGGCAAGCAGTATTGCAACCTGTAATGGCGGAGCTCTCTGGCGCAGCGGAGCACCATGGGTAAGAAAATTTGGTTACCTATGCATCCGAGAAATTTTGGTAGTCACTCGACCGCACGTCCGCCCGACCGCCGTCCGTCCACACCACAGGTACACTCAATCGACCGGCATGGCAACTCAAATGCAACTCAAGGTTTTATTTGGTGGGAAATAGCATGGCCGCCCAGACTTTTAGAGAGAAAAAACAACAACAAAGTCGAGTATTTTTCAAAGTTATTTTTGATGTTTACACTCACGCCGATAACAGAGAAAAGGGCTAGAGCGAGTGATTGAAAGCAAAGAAGACGAATTTCGCTGGAAGAAAAACAAGAAAATTTCACAGAGGCTGTGGGAAAGTGAGAAATGCTAGCTGCCAGCACGGTGAAAATGAGCTGCAGCAAGAGCCATAAATGGCCAGCAAAGTAAAAAAGCAACATAAGCAGCAAAATATTTGGTGAGCACGACAAGAGCCATAAAAAAATGGTAACGAGGAAGTTTGATTCTATATTGCAAAACAAGCAAAGAAATGTACAAAAAGTTTGCACCGTTTTTGCCGATCGATTGATCTTAAACATTGCCGTGTTGAACACGATTTTATCTTTTTGTTTATAAGTAAAATTCCTCCTTTCAATTCTATGTTCGGAGTTTGCACGGTTCCGTGTAAACGTGTTGCACTGGTTAAAAATTCCTACTGTCAAAAATTTGTCCGGACTCGAGCAAACGAGGTCTGAGAGAAAAACAGGTCTGGCTTTGTTTTCCTGCGGCTTGTCATTGGCTAAAATAAATCTAGCGCCATTTGCTCGGCCAATCAGGTAAAGAAAACAACAATCATGACTCACTCTCACGCATGCTTTCCCGCGTTTAGCGACGGCCACATTACATTGAGATCCGATGATGATTCATTACTAGACTTTATTTTCCACACTTAATCGAAAATTTCTCTAATCTCAAGCAAAAACAACCACTTTGTCGGTGGTATGCGCTTAAGATGATCCTACGAAGCCTTTACTCTTTTTTGCGTCCAGGCGGGTCCAGACATTTTCTGATCATAACCCTGAATTGTTCTTAGTTTCACTGGGATTGGTTGGCAGCCAGGCACCCCATTTACTATAAAAGCTCCGTAGCTCAAACTAAATTTTGCTTTTTAAAATTAAATGGTTTTCGCTTAGATGAGGCTATTCATATGAAATGAATGGGTCTGCCGATCGAGGAATACAGTGAAGGGGACCGATGAAAATATAAATATAAATATAATATATTACAGACAAATATATAGAAAATTTAAAAACGTGGTTTAAGGTCTTCTAGCGCATGGAACGCCCTCAGTTTTTTTCAGTAGAATCCTTAGAGGTGAAGCTTTAGTTTACAATTCATATTTTTTTCAGAACAGCCGTTTTACGGCAATTATTCGATATTAGATTTTCATATAAACACTGTAATTTCTCACGCGTTTGACTATTCGTCAAGATGGCGCCGAAAACCGTGACAAGGTCTATTGTGTGTATACATTTTTGAAAGGAGAAATAGAAGACTTGACAGTTACTTTAAGTTTTAAGTGTTTTCGATATAATTGATACCGGGACAGGCACATTTAGAATGGGAACTGAAAGTTGTTGTTATACCGTTATAGCCTTAAATCTGTTAGATCATTTCTTTGTTCTTTATTAAAGCGGTTCCATATTGATTTCTTCGAATAACCACTGCTCTAATTCTTTAGGTACCTACAGTGATTTGAGACTTGTCGAGTTATTTTTTGCTGTTACTCGGGGGTTTAATCGGCCGGATTTCACCTGTCAGAATTACAGGCCGATTTTTTTCGTTTTTGGCGAAAGGAAGCAAGGTAGCCGACAGAGCATATCGTGCTCTATACAGCTGAAACTGCACACGAGATTATTGCTCTCTACGTGAGGCTACCTGAGGTAGGAACAGATTAACTCTTTTACACTGTTTTTATAGGAAAAGATATGAATCGTTTTTATGTTAAAGCAGAGAAGAATACAAGTAAAAAAGGGTTCGTATAGTTTTGTGTAGTATAGTACATAGCGCAACGAACAAATCAAGGCCTTTTCATAAACGCAATATTTGTTTGTGTCCCTAACTTGCTAAAATTGCCACATAAAACTTTGGTTTAAAGCCAAAAATTAGCGCCAAATTGTCTTTACTGTTGCCAATTTGTTTTATTAGTGTTTATTTTTTGTAAATTTAAATAGTTTGTAAGAAATAAACATATTTCATACAAAAGTACAATTCTTGCAATGCAGCAGATGGGCCCTTGATACTCTGAAGATCTATTTGTAACATTTTCTCACCAAAACGTTACTTTCTACCTTCCAAAAACACCAAAGATATTCCATATTGATGCCAAGAGAAACTATTCCTACGGCTTCGCCAGACATGCACAAAAGACGGAAATATAAAATATGCCTGTAAGAGCGGTTTGTAAGGGCTTAATTATAGATGCACTTTCGACAAAACATCATAAATAATGTATGTGGTCAGGAGCTCTCCTTTACTCAATGGGAGAACTTCCATTCAATTAACAGGCCGACAAATGTGAAGCAAACATGGTTTTCTACTATAACTCGAGGATTCCTCTTTAACTGTCACCCTAGAAGCTCGGATTTTGATCGATGGAAAATCCTCTACACGAAGACTTTCTGAAGAAAGAAGAAGAAAAAGAGAGATGGATAGAGTATTGGGCCGTTCTGAGAAATTCAGTTCTATACTTCTACGATGAACAGACTGATATTTGTCACGAGTACTGTGACAAAATTGAACTTACCCCAGACGCGAAATGTTTTACGGTTAGACGAAAAACGTACAGTCATAGATTTAAACTGATCACCGATGAAGGAGCATGGCTATTAAAATGCCACACAAATATACAAAGACATCGATGGATGCATGCGATCGAGTTAGCAGTGCGACAACTTTCTTCAGAGACAACGGAAATCGATTTAGCTGTTGGTGTTCCTCGCAGGCCGTACAGCCACTGCTACGAGAAAGATTTGCTCGGAAGAAGGGATCAAAGAGAAGCGCGAAAAGGAGAAGCCGCAGCCACGGCGTGCGAAAGCAACAACAACAGCACTCTGGAGGAACTGAGTATGAATCTAAAACTTGAACAAAGGGAAAACAAGAGTTTTTCAAAAACAAGGGCTTCTAGGAAGAATTTCAAAGCAGAGAAACCACGGCAATTCAAAGATAAACACAAGAATTTTGCCTTTGAAACATTACAATGCGAAAATTCCACAAATTCAGATCTTGGTATTCCAGTGGAAAATCTCGGCTTCTCTGATGATGAAACCTCGACCGAAAGCAAAGAAAAGACTTACAGTGGCTCTGATATTCCCGTAGCAAAATTAATCCAGGTTGAGCCTAAATGATTTACCAGAAGGAAATTGAATTCGTCTAATTCGTGGTAGTTGGAAGAGTTATCGAAAAAAACTGAAAAATAATTAATATTGATTCCAACGTGTCAGATTTCCTCACGCTTTTCCGCTCTTTTTGTGGGTTGATAAAATCAATCTTTTAGTTAGTGTAAATGAACTCGCAGTTGGAGCTATTGATCGTTTAATTTCGAGGTTCATTAGAAGCATGACAAGCCAGCAAGAAGAGCTTTCAATTTTAGCAGATGTTTGTATTTGTGCCGGTTGTCTGCTTTATGAATTAGAAGGGTGCAAATGCAGCAGTCTAATTGGCAAAAGTGTTGTCAACAAGCGAGGCAGATTGCCAAAACGAAATGCATCATTATCAAAATTTTTTTCTATGGGTCGACGGAACGTTACACTAGTTATTTTTACAGAGAAATGAATCATAAATATAGAGTACAAATTATTTAATTTGAGCCGTTTTTGACAAATTGTAATTTTTTTTTCATAAAAACAAGATAAATAATATTGATCAATTTTAAGTGCGTGTAAATATACAATTAAATTCAATTCGGAGTTAACATAAAACGAATATTCCAAACTAGACGGGTTTGTATCTTTGAGTTTCATAATCCGATCAACGATGTACTAGACTACGAGAAGTCTCCATTTTTCCTCAGGGATAGTAGAGCGAGCGAAACGCGAGCGCGCGTGAAAATCACCCCACGCGAGAAAGGACGACACGCGGAGTGGGGTGATTTTCACGCGCGCTCGTGTTTCGCTCGCTCTACCATCCCTCAGGAAAAGTGGGGGCTAGTCGTAGTCTAACGATGTACCGTAGAGCAGATAAGTGTACAGCCTGAGAAAACAGCCGACATTTGGCGACTCCACCACTGGTTCCCCCGCAAAATAGACGTTGCATTTCGCGGGGGAGGTCGCGAAATGGTGGTTGTATCCAAAGTGCATTGGTTAAAATGACAAAACGTTTCTTTGTGCTGTTGCTTTTTTTTGTAATGTCTCTTCGAACAAATCGCTTTTTAAAATTTTTATCATACGGTCAAAGTCTGGTTAATTTTGGTGAAAGTTAATCTTAACAACTGTACTGTGGTTTCAATTAGAGTTGTGGATAACGAAGACAACAAATCGATTGAGTCAGTATAAAAAAAGAAAAGTGGAAATCACCGACATCTTAGAATTTTTGGACGGTAGTTTCAACTCATCGGTTAGATTTCAAGTAGTTTATACTACCACATGAGAAATTTATGCAATTTGATTGGCTTAGAGCAGTGGTATTTAAGCGTAATTTGAAATACCTACATGTGAAAATTACAAAATTGTTGCAGGTAGTAGTATAAACAAATAATAGCATGATTTGTACGTGATATTTGGCACAAATACCACTCGTGATATTTCAAAATTGTCTCAAATTTCACTCGCCAAACGGCTCGTGAAATTACGTACAACAATTTCGAAATATCACTCGTGGTATTTATGCCAAATATCACTACAAATCATGCTATTACCTATACTAATCCTCTAAACTTTAAAACTGATAAAAAATCTTATGCTTTTTATTCATCACAAAACCACTGATTTTGCTATGAGTTTTTTGTCCAATCGTTACCACACTGAAAAGGCGGTCTTTCTAACTGGGTGTGAATTGAGAAAGAGTCTTTGAATAGTGGCCTCAGACACTAAAAACGTTAACAAGAACGAGTCTGGAATATTGATAATCATATGACACTAAGGGGCTGTTTACATGGAGGGAGGAAGATCCTAGAAGGTGGAATAACTTTACGTTGGGTTTACATGCAGAAATTTCGGCCCGTGAGTTGTCCAAGTAGAGAAGGTTAGAGAAGGGATTAAAAATGACGGACGACAAAATCAAAAATGCAATTTGGGTCCTTCTGCTGTCTTTACTAACGTAAATCACTACCTTTCAGCTGAATTAACACAATAATCTGCTCGTGGATTACTTCAAACGAAATGGTCGGCCTTTATTGCCGTAATTAGTCACTGAACGACCCGCCGACATTTTTGTCGCGTTTGTACTAACGAAAGCAGTTTACATGGTGCTAAGATCTTCCTAGTGCTAGGATCTTCCTACCTCTCAGCTATGAAGATCCTAGTACTAGGGACAAGTACAACCTTTTGCATGTAAACTGAGTACAGAAAAAACATGGCGCTAGGATGATCCGTCCTCTACGATCTTCCTGGTACTAGGTTCTTCCTCCCTCCATGTAAACAGCCACTAAGAAAGTCTCAATAAACTGACTAGGTATTAGAGGGCGAAACAAGAGGAAGAAGTAGGTCAAGTGCCACACCTTGATTAATGTGTGTCTCGTCGCTTTCTGGAGTGATTCTTGACAAGCCTTTTGGGGAAAGAAATTTATCAAGTTAGCAAACATAGACATTTTAAAGAGACATTATCGTAAAATTTACCTTTTCCTGTCATATACTCTCAATCGAAACGCTAACTGTCGAATTGTCTTGCACTTTAGTGCAACGGAGTATGGGGTTTTGCCGTTCTTTTCTCGAAAATCAAAAAGACTTAAAAACGTTAACCACAAGTACATTGTGCATGGCTTACTTTCTTCTCAGTCTAAGCAAGGGAGGTGATCCAGGGTTTTAGCGCCCTTTCTCTTACTTTTTCGCGTTTTGGGGGACTTCCTGTTCCTTCCTTTCCCCCTTTTCGTCGACTAGTCATAATCAAAGCAGAAACTTTTGTCATCAAGCTAGTTTTTACTCGATGTTAGTCAAGACTTACATGAACGTCTAGCCTACAAATGCGCTTTCTTCGAGGGTTAATCTTAATTTGGTTTTCCTAGTTATAACAGTTCAAGGCACCCGTCTCTGATAATCCTCCCCTACGAAAAAGGTGTCCGCAATAGAGATCGTCCCTTCATGCACCACGCCCCTCAAAATTACGAGAACTCACCTGTTTTCGTCGGAGCCCCATCTGAGGGAGAAGAAGGGACTGGGAAGAGAAAGACAAGTTAATGTTAATACTAATAATTAATAATCCAGAAAAAAAAACAATTAGTGTGCGCCAGTAATTTTTTTTGTTTAGTTTTTGAAGAACGCGCGAGGGGAACGTACGGACAAGCGAGTCCTCGCAATCCGTTCTTTCGCCCTAAAAATAGCCCTCTGCTACGAACACTAAAAACACTCTCCGGTAAAAAAACTAGCACTATTTTGCAAGACTATATAAGGTAAAAACGTGGCCTGATCCCACAAGCCCAAGGCCCTAAAAGCATCTGCGTGGGAGGCAACCTCGTCCCACTGTTCCCTCCTTCGGGGAATTGCAGTCGACTCCCGAGAACTCGAACCCTCGGTACTCGAACCTCACGCTAACTCGAACCAAAACTGATTTCTCCTGGATTTCCGTCATACTTTCACTGCGGGATCTGTAATTTTACCCTCGGTAAATCGAACCTTCGATAACTCGAACTCCCGCTAACTCGAACCAATTTTCGTTTCCCCTCAGGTCATTTTCTATAGAATTTTACCCTCGATAACTCGAACAATGTTTTGAGCCCTTAAAAAGTCGGGAAAAAGCCGTCCACTGGTGTCCGAAACATTGAATTTTGGATTTCCTATTAACGAGCTGTAGGATTATAGTAGAGGCTGATGTTGATTGTCAAAAGCTAACGTGAAGCAGCTTTACTTCTCAAAACAGTAAAACGCATGCTCTATTTAGGCTATGTTTAGTTACGTTACGTTCTGGTTTATAATCTAGAAGTATCTTTTAATTTTCACTTGAAATTTCTACAACTAAATGTGTTTAAAATGTTTACTGTGCAGTAAGAACTGTTTTTTACCTTACTCTAGGCTATTTTCTTCGAGCTCCAGATAACTCGAACTTTTTTCGATTTCCCTTGAAGCTTCGAGTTATCGGGAGTCGACTGTAGGAGGTTGCGTGGGAGGTTTTGGAAATAAGGCCTTTTTTGTCTTAAACGGCTTAATCTGGAGGGGACCAAAACGTTATTCTTTGTAAGTTTGATTGTCTAGGCTAATGAACTTGAAAGGTTACAAATTATGCTTTGATTTAGAGTTAATCGGATCTCCAGTCTGGGTGGGGGAGACAGTGGAAACATGCAAATGTAGTTCACACCGCTGGAGTCAAGTTTATGGAAGAAATCCTGGTGGGAATATATTTAATGGGGACACGCTACTGTCGCCTGGTTCTTTGATTGGTTTTCAGGTATTTCACGAAAAGAAAGTTAATTGTTTGCTCTTACTTTGGCACTGGCGATAGTTAAAAAAATAGTGATCGATAAATCGACGCCCACATACAGCTTTGTTGAAAGGTATGTCTATTGTTTCTTTCGGGCGAAAATCCAGAACCTGAACAACGTCCTACGTGTTTGCACGTCCGATTCTTTGCTCTCTATCTTAGTTGGTATCCTCCATTTTATTGCTGTCAGCTATGCTGTGCACAAATTAACCTGAATATCAAGCCCTCCTTAGGAACAGGGAGAGAGATTTTAAAGGGAGAAGGCTTTTCTAGATCTCTCCTCTCTACCCCGGCTCTCTAGGTAATCCTGTCGCTCAGCTATGAAACATACGGTATGTTCATTGAACAATAAAGTTGAGGGAAAGGCTTTGAAATGAAATATCTTAGCCTGTTCCAGGCGATCAGATAGTAGAGCGCGGGAGTAAAATTCACGAAGAAAAAGAAATTCTCCCCTCGTTTCACCTCCCCCCCCCCCGCCCCGTTTTCCCCGTGTACGATTTAATTCGCTCCCCACCATCTGACTGCCGCGCTCTACAATTTGAACGCCAGGAACAAGCTAGACATATGTTTTCCTTCTCTGTTTGAAGCTGAAATACGTAGTTTCCAGAAATCAAAACTTAGCGAACGTAAGGTTTCCACGAAATTTTCAAAACTTTAGCGAACAGGAGCGATTAGTACCACTTTTATACAATGTTTGCATCCCTTTGTATACGGCTTCTTGAGGTCCTGCTTCACGCTGCAACATACATTCCATCAAGACGATGATTTTCAAGGGGAGAAAAAGCCCTTTCACTATTTTTAAAAGCGAGAAGTGACATGCCTACGCTGCTAAAATGCGACAGCGACATACTAAACAGTGAAAAAACGACGGTGACATTGGAAAGTTGTGCATTTTATCAATAAAAGTGACTCAGAATACAGGAAATTGCATTTCTGAGGGTTCAGATTTTCCAAATTTTTGCAGGAGTACCCTTAAAGAAGAAGAAGCGTTCATCCTTTTTTATACAATGTTTGCATGACCACCATGAAAATCCTGTTATAGCCCTGTTGCGAAACAGTTTCTTGAGGTCCTGCTTCACGCTGCAACATACATTCCATCAAAATCTCAAGACAAGTTGTTAGAACACCAGTCTGTAAATGTAGCAGGAACTGTTTGCATTTTCTCAGCTAGTTAAATTAAGTAACAGTTCAAGGTGAAGGAGTAGTGTAAACTCATCGAAGTAACACCACTGTTAGTTTCATTTGGTTGATCAGTAACGAATGCATGAAGTTTTGTAACACTTTATCTGTTTTACTTACCTGGTCGTATTAACACATTTCCTTTGCCAGGTGAAACGAAAACTGATAGAGAACAAACAAGTGTTGCCAAGCTTAGAGTTAAAGCACTAAGCGCCATGACTGACCACTGCACTGGACCCTCTTCCTTTGTTTCGTGATTAAAGAAGTCAAATGTTTTTTATTTTATATGCAATCCAATAAAATGACCTTGAGAATTTAAGCTCGTATTACATTACCTTGTATTTCCTGCTGAGTGACCAACATTTGAGACGTTGTGTCAAATGACCCGCTGTTTAGACGATGTGAGTTGCCCCGGGGGGAAGGGGGAAAGCGGTAGACCCTCAAGATATACTCCTGACAAAATGTCACGGAGGGGGGCTACTCGAGAAATATTTGGGTAGAGGTCAGCTGCTGATGGTTTGAAACCCTGACTCTAATCAGGAAAAAACAATCCTTAAATACATACGCTGTTTAGGACAACACCCTCAATTTTATTACCCTGTTTAGGAAAAAGGACAAAATGAACGCCGCCTTGTTTAACAGGCATTTACAATTGAGAAAATTCACGTTATAGTCATTGCTTTTCAAGATATGGAGTACAAACAAACTTCACCATACGAATAAACTCAATTTTGCAGGCAATACCCTTTTTTATACCTTTAGGACAGAGTAGCATGAAATTTTAAAACATTTTCACCCCGCGCCGGTTATTTCCAGTGGTCCACCCCTTAGATACCCCATGTTTAGGACAGAGAGGACAAAAACCATCCCCGCATATATAGGCCATATAAGGGTGTACCCTCCCCTCACCCCGATCAAAATGTACGCCAGTCGGGGCTGTACAGTGAGCTAAAAATGACTCAGTCGAGAACGCAGTATCTACATATGAAACATTTTTAGAACAAGTATTATTGCGAACACATGAAAGATTATTTAAAACGAAGAATTTTAAAGTTTGCCCGTTTTTCCTCTCTTAGTGTCTTTTTACACAACTGCTTAAAACTTCCCCGGTCCAGGCCCACTGAGTATTTCCTGGGTAACGTGTGAGTTGCTCTCAATGTAGACGATGTGAGTTGTAGCCCCGGGGTTGAACAACAAACAAAATGAGATAATTTTCATTGTTCTGTTTTTGATTAATCAGACATCACATACAATACAAACCAAAAAATAGGCTGCTCAAAACATCATTACAACATCCGCCAGTTAAAAGAGCTAAAAATACATTGCGATCTAGAAGGGACTGGGTATCATTTAATTAAATTTGTCAGAGTAATTATAAGAGCTTGGATCCATTGTTATCCGGGGATTCTTAAACGTTGAATTCGCAATAAAAATATATAAATCTTCTTTGTTCTCTCACGTTGAACAGAAATACTAGGGAGAACTCAGTTGGCTGGTTTGTTTGTTTTTTTTCCTCTTGACATTACTTATTTGGGTTGATACTCAAAGTACAAGAGGAATTTCGATGGCATATCACAGGTAGCACAATTGCTACAGGCCCAGGTCCCAGGCCCACTGAGTATTTCCTGGGTAACGTATGAGTTGCTCTCAATGTGGACGATGAGAGTTGTAGCCCCGGGGTTGAAAAACAAACAAAATGAGATAATTTTCATGTTCCTGTTCTGTTTTTATAATTGATCAGACATCACATACGATACAAACCAAAAAATGGGAACATCCGCCACAGAAATACTAGGGCGAACTCAATTAGCAGGTTCGTTTATTTTGTTGTTTTTTCCACTTGACACTACTCATTTGGATGGGTTGATATTCGAAGTACAGGAGGAATTTCGATGGCATATCGCAGGTAGCACAAGCTTTTGCGTGCACAAGTCCTCATATTTCGAAGGTTACCAAATGCTTTTTTATTATATACATACTGAGAAATACTCACCAAAAAGTATACGCAAATGAGTTCTAGCCAATCAGAGGAGTGAACTATGGTTTTCACACGTGAAAAAAATGATACGTCCAAGCAGAATAACGAACGATATTTTTTCACGTGTGAGAAAAAATGATACGTCCAATCAGAAGCCACAGAGGTGTGTGAGTTTCGCGCCAAAATTCCCGCCTTTTATTGCAGCTTGCTGAGCGCCGCTTCGCACACATTCAACGAGAAAAGGTTTTCTCAAAGAGTTTTTTCTCGTTAAAAAAGTGAAAAACATTTCAGAAATGGAGTGGAATAGTTTCGTTTGTTTCACTGTCGATAAAGAAAACTGTGGAAAGCCGGCGAAACAACAGCGGAAGGGTAAAAACAGAACAAGACGTAAGCTTATGTTGTGCTTTTTGTCGGAGCTACTTTGTGTTCCATTTATAAGCTTAAGCTAATATTGAAACCGGACATTTTACTTAAATTCACTCATTTTCAATTGTACATCCAGAACAAACAGTTAAGATTACTTGTAGTTCTTGGATTACCTCATATCCTTACCGTCATTTATGTTTTTAAGACACGTTTCTACTAAAAAGCTGATACTTCGTTTTCATTTTTATTTCGTGGTGTGTAGCGGCAAATTTAAGCATTTTGGAAAGATTTAAAATAAAAAGGCCACCAAAATGATGAATGTCTCAGTATGTATACAATAAACACAATACCACATGGAAAGTGCTTTGTACGGTATTTACCCACTCGTTGTTTTTGTATCAGAAATCTCACTCGTTCGATTTCTGATACAAAAACAACTCGTGTGTAAATACCGTACGCCAGCACTTTCCATGAAGTATTCTCTATATATTCGAGCTTGGCTTGACCTGTGGGCATACCAGCGTAAATGATAATTTGGCAAAATATCTTATTGGAGTACTACAGAAAATAAGCTAGGTCATTCTTTTTTTTTTGTCTGGTGAGTACTGGAAAGTAGTCTGACCATCTCGCTATTTATGCTAAAATGCACAATTTGTCCTCCCCATGCACTTCTCATGCCGACGGCAAGTGAAGTGAGGTGGATGAATTCGACGACTACACATCGTTGTGCTATGCTGGCCTTCGCTCAGCCAAGCTGTCAAGCTCTCCTAATAAACTCTCTATGACTCACGTGCAACATCAAATTCAGTTGCTCAAGTTGTTTCTGGCCCCAGTTGTTAAAAGAGTGAATAACGCTATTTACTGGATAAGTCTCTATCCACTGAAAAGCGCAATTGGTTTACCTAATTCTTATCTGCTGAATAATGATTTATCCGGCGAATAGCGCTATCCAACGTTTGAACAACTGGGACCTGGAAAGGATGAAAGTTGTAGGTTCTCTTTCCGCGGGCAGCCTTATTCTTATTGATCTCCTGGCTTTACGGCGCGCTGACCTTTTTGGACTCCATTATCTTCCTTTTATTCAAGTATTGACCTTGCCCTCCTGTCCGATCCACAAACGATGATTTTTTACCCACAAAAAATTCTCAACACAAGGCTTGGGCTCGTAGAAAAAGATTGAACTAGGATCGAACATCTTATAGTCAAACGTTTTGAGGTCGCAATACTCAGAGAAGTTTGATACTGGCGGAACCTCTTGCGGGCCATCTCCGCTGGCTTTCCCCAGCTGCAACATCCGTGGGGCAAATGCTTTATGAACACCCATGTACTTATCACAAATGTTCTTGGCCTGCCAGTCAAATGTATCAGGCACCCAATGATTAAGTCTGTGGTCATGAAAATACACCTTATCAGAGATTTTGTTGAGCCATAAAGCAATTTGCTGGTCAGCGTGCGGGTGACAGAGCATCGTGCGCGCTTCTTGCGTCAAAAAAGTCTCCACGATATCACGTGAGAACACCATCCAAGACTCGTCGACCCAAGAGCCATTTATTTCGCAGTGAAAATTTCCCCAAACCAGATTTTTTTTAGGACGTAGCGGCAACTCATTAAGCAACTTCTCAAGACATACAAAGTAATCATCGTCCACTCGAAGGAAGTACTGAAAGTCGTATCTAGCCGCGGTCCACTTCGCGTGGTACAGAAAGCGTAATCCAAATTCTATCCCGCCCAGTAACGGTTGAAATTCCATGTCTTCATAAAGTGATCTTTCTTTTAAAAGACTTTGCTTGATTTTCGTGTTCACTACTCGTCCATCTGTGAAGAAATGGCAAGCGACCTACAAAGAGAAATTGCGACAAGACAGACTAGTGCATTAGATAATTTTTCTAACTCGAAATTCTGAGGGTGCTTGGGTGCTTCAATCGAAAGCGTCCGCCAATAGAGCTGTGGCCTGACTCGTTACCAGCCGTCTCTCAGTCTACCATTAATACTAAAGAGAGAATGGAGGTCAAGGATTCCAAGGAGAGAGCGAGGGGTGATGATAAGAAGGAGAAAGAGGCCTGGGGAGACTCTCTCCCTTTCATTTTCCTCCGTCCCATCACCCCTCGCTCTCTCTTTGGTGTTGCCCTCTCCGCGTGCGATCCAAATAAAGAAGACTGGGGACGAGTCAGGAGCTGTAGCTGTAACCTTTGAGGGGGGCTGTAAGGATATCGACCTAGACAGGAGCCGATCCGAGTGACCCAGACAATAATTGCAATTATCAGTCACTCAACTGATTTGTAACGTACCTCTTTAGGGCTAAAAAGTTTTGCCACACCTTTAACGCAAGTTTTATGGTTTCATTTAGGACTGATGTTGGAATTTTTGCCGAGCACCCCGACATTTCAAAATGGAATACTCCTCCAGGTTCGTATCTATCGCTAAATATCCTGACCCCTCTATAAACTCTTAAAGTTGCCTTCGTTTGTTGTTTGTTTTTTTGTATCCTGACACACTCTAAAACAGGATATTTCAATCTAAAGATCATCCAGCTAAACGCTCTCATAATCTGGTAACTGCAGTTTGATCTACGAGGTTCTACAAGCAATTACGCAAGAAATTCACCATTTAGAGCTGGAGGGCGTAAGGGGGTACGAGTACCGCAAAACCGCACAAAATTACGTATAAACACCGCACAGAAAAACATAAGAAAATTGCAAACCGCTTTGAAATTACCCGAAAATGTCTAAATACTGCAAACCGCAATACCGCAACTTGAAATAAATATTTCCGCAAAACCGCATCACCACAAACCCTTACGCTCTCCTCCATTTACCTTTTCGGCCTTGCAGTGCTTCCACCACGTTTGTCGGATAGCTTCTCTTCTTTCTCTTCTCAATGGTGCTGTTGATACAACTATAACTAGAAGAACACGTGATTTGTTCTCAGCAAGGTCCCGGATGTGACTGATTGGCAGTCCGACACTGACATCATGTATTGGCCAAACCAGTTCCCCTTGAATCTCTCTAAGTTCTAAACGATACGGAAGCATGTCTGGCTGATAGAGTATGTTGGGTTCCGTTGTATTATGGAAGATCAGCAGCAATATCATTGCTGCTATTGATATGACCACGAACTGAAGTAGTTGACACTTTCTTCGGCGAAGCATGGTGACACGATCTTGTCTTTTGGTGAAATTCAGTTTTAACTTTAAGTGAGAGCTAGATTGAAAAGAAATATCCTTGTCATTTTATAGCCAGTATACTAAAGTGCAGTTAAAACGGTTCTTACAAAGGGATCATAATAGGATCCATTATGATCTCCTGTTCTTACTTGAGATTTTGAATCACGTTTAAAGCAAACGGCATACGCCAGGTTCAAAGTTGAGTTGACAATTTCTCAGATTCAGAAATGAACAGGTATAATTATACTGTCTAAAATAATTGCTGCGGAGCGACCGAAGGGAGCGAGCAGCAACATAATCAGGATTTATAAGAAATATAAGCAACATAATCAGGATTTATAATATAAGGGGCGAAATATTCATCAACATAATCATTGGATTTATAAGAACAACTCAAATAAAAACACGGGGGTTCGACTGTAATTTTCGAATTCATCTTTTTTACCAAAATGAACTCTTTTTGATATTATTTAACCAAAAAGGAGTGTATTGTAAAAACAACCCCCACGAACAACAACTCAAATAAAAAGAACTCTTTTTCAGGAGTAAAAAAACAAACGGGTTAAGTTCGGTGGATGCATTATCCTGTACCTAAAATTTTTACTCCATTTTTCGTTCGCTGCTCAAAATTACAGTGTTTTCGTTCGCTGCTCAGACTTAGAGTTTTCTTTGTGGCAAATTTTCTACAGCACGGTCTTACCAAATTTTAAGACACGCAGGAGTCTTTGAGATGAGAACGATGGTTAACTTGGGGATTGGATTTCAATTCAAGAGCCTTTTTGACTCGTCCAGGTGTTAAACCTGACGAGAAGATGAGCATTTGCTCTTCGACTCCGCAACACGGGGGATATACAAATTCCAGCTTGCTAGAAGGTGATGTGAAAGTGAGAAAATGTCATGCAATGCTATTCTTAAGAAACTGTATGAGCCGAAAATGGATGTGATTTTGACCATTCGCTTCAAAATAACAGCGGAAATCGAGATAACAAAACATATGTTTTGTGTCCTACTTTGCAGACGAGGACGTGTATCGGCGTTTTGAAAAGCATAATTATGTTCTTTCATTCATTTATTGCCATGGAATATGCGTTTACATTGTTTTTTCACTGTCAATAGCTCGGTTAATGCGGCTGGCGATCATCTTGCCGGCGGAAGTTTCATGGAAAAGGAATAAAATGAATGACTTTTCCTGAAGACTACGTAGTCAGTCTCTGTGGTTTAGTGGTTAGGTGTAGTCGCGTCGAGTCGACGGTGCCGGTTCGAATCCTACTGAATTATTTATTCCTTCTTTCTTTTGTTTTCCGTTTTTTGTGTTGTTGTTTTCTATAAATATATAGCTAAATAACAGTTACTTAATAAAGTGCAACAAACAGCAAAAAAAGTATTGTGTTTCCAGAGAAAATATCGTGCACCGTATATTAAATATATGGATAAACGATCTGAATTTCTATTATTTCCTACAATTTACTGTGGGAAAACCAGAATTGATAACCGCTTGATCATTTTCTAAACAACGTTCCCACGAGTTCTTTCTATAGACTGATAGTAATTATTCTAGTACTTTCCAACATGTAAATAGGACATTCAATGTCATTTTTGATTCTTTTAAGTCTCACTGCCTAACTAATGCCAGTATCAACAGAATGTGCCGCAGCATTACTATCTTTTAGATACCCTAGTTCTTAACTACTAATGCGGTGAAATCACTGCAGGTGAATTTTAAAGAAATTAGGCAAAAAATAGAGTTTATCCTGGCCTAGATACAACAATGGAAATAAAGCAGGCTGTCGCAATAATCCAATCAGAAATCGAATCATTTTATTGGGCAGCGTTTTTCGCGGAAGAACATCTGCGAACAAAGTAAAAATGACGTTCAAAATGTGGCGCCAGGCATTAATTCCAGCCAATCATAAGGCTTTTTAAAAACAGAATTACTGAAAAAAAAAACCAAAATTATCCTTTCTGAAACATGACCAAAACAAGCTGCGGCTGGACAATCCAAGCTCTTTGCTAACTGATATCTTAAAAACAACAATCACATTACCCGTTTCCAAAATATCAGTCAAGCACCCCATTCCGCTGCTCTCGAACTGCTCTCGCGATTTAGTTCATTTACTCTGGGAGGTAGAACCCTGAAAAAATCGAGACGTAGCACACCCTCTACATATTTGGTCTGACATCACAAAATGGCAGGGCAATACCCATAGAACATTTTTAGGTATGTACTGATGTACTGGTGGGACGTCGTTGTGCTGGGGGCTCATTTGTGACTGCTGGTAAGGTCCCTGTGATTTAAGCATATCTTTAGTATCATTATTTTATACATGTTCAACTCGACATTACTCCCCTAAAGTTAAGCCTAGACAATCTTAAATTGGCTCAAGCATTACTGGTGTGAATATATTTTATCTTTATGTGTGAAACAACTTAACGAGGTTTCCATGGTAACCGTTGCTATGGTCATTTTTAATTAAGGGTATTTAAGCAATAATTAGCATTAGATTCTTTAGAATAACGACCACTTCTTTGTCCATCATCTTAAGTTAATCAAACAAAACAATACTTTTGAATTTAAAGTTATTCAATTTTCAAAATAACTCATCTTTCCCTTGACAACTGCTGTTTACTACAGTGATTATGGTCAAAACTTGTTCCTTTATTTTCTCTTTTTGCTCACAATAATCTTTCACTATCTTGACAAAATCTGAACAATGTTTTCACGGTAACAACTGCCAATAAGACATTTTATACGTGAAATCTGAAAACAGATTTTGACACCAAAATGGCACTAGCTTTGGTTTTGAAGATAGTTTTCAAATCGACGAGAGGAATGAACAAATTGAGGACTTGAACTTTCCATTGCATAATTTAAGTATAAACTTTAAAACTGCAATAAGGAATGCTAAAATTAGGATCAAAATTCAGAAATTGAATTTTGGGGGATAGTGAACGCCATAGTTTAAATACCGAAACTCGAATGTGTATTGCTGTTACTAGAGTCTGTATCTGATTTGGGCTATTTTTTGGAGGCAGAAGCCTCACTTCGCTTTCTTCCTCACTGCTTTCAGTACAACTAGCCATTACCAATCATCTTAAGAAAAAGTAAAAAGGAATCATAGATTCTTTCCTCTGATCAAGAAACCTGCTTTCCTAAAATTAGCAGTGATTAACTTCTGAATTCAAAAAAGAAAACATGTCCTACGTAGTTAGTTGTTTCCTGGCGATATGCTTGAGTATATGCACTTTTCAAGATAAAATTGGAGATTTGCTCTATATATTTGTGTATAGTTTCAGATAAATTGTTCTAAGCAAAGCAAAATTACTGATAAAAACTTTTACAGAACGTGTTTCATTGTCAATAATTTGTACGTAACTAGATAGATTTCCTTAACAAAACAGTATTACTTATAAATAATGGAAAGGGATGTGCTTACAAACCAAAACCTTTGCACATGGTCAGTCCTTCGCTAGCCACACGTTTAAATATTCGTAATTTTCAACATAAAAGTGGAAATTTGCTCTCTGATTTGTGCACATCTTCAGATAAATTGCTCTTAACAACATAAAACTACTCCTAAACTGAAACTGAACGTGTTTTTAAAGTCAAAACCTTACCTGTAAAAGAAAACAACGTCGCACCAAAATCCAATATGGCTGAACTAAACAGTCTGTAAGTACCAATTGCATTGTGGGAGCCTTACTCCCTTTGCACTTTGGGAAGTTTTCAATTTAGTAAGAATCGCAAACGTTATTATAAAAGTAAAAAAGACACTTGCATCAGGCAATTAGAGGTAGTTTTTGCTGAGAATCTATATTGATTCAGACAAAAATTTTCAATTGAATCTCTTGCTAAGGGAATTTGATAAATAAAGTGGTAGAGATATAATTACTGGGTAGATGCCGAGTTTTGAAAAATAATATTTTGATGTCACAAATACTGTTTTCTTTGATTAACTTAAGTTGATGGATAAAGAAGTGATAAGTCTGGTCATTATTCAAAAGAATCTACATTGTAATGCTAATTATCGCTTAAATAGCCTTAATTAAAAATTACCATAGCAACGGTTACCATGGAGACCTGGTTAAGAAGTTTTACACATTAAAATAAAAGATATTCACACCAGTAATGCTTGAACTAATTTAGAACTGTCTAGGCTTAACTTGAGGGGAGTAATGTCGAGTTGAACTTGTATAGAATAATGATACTAAAAATATGCTTAAATCACAGGGGCCTTACCAGCAGTCACAAATGAGCCCCAAGCACAAGGACGTCCCACCTGTACATCACTACATCATACCTAAAAATTTTCTGTGAGTATTGCCCTATCATTTTGTGATGTCAGACTAAATATGTAGAGGGTGTGCTACGTTTTTCATTTTTTAGGCCTCTTCTGGAAATCTCCTCTTAGTCTAATTCTCGTTCCCAGTCCTTGAGCTGCGGTCCTTTTGGTCAGCGTCCGCTGACCAAAAGAATCGCAGCTCTGAAAAAAAGAACGGATTAAGTTAAGTCTTTAGTTAAATTAGGAAAGTGGGTTTAAATAAGCTGGGCGTCCCGTATTCCATAACGAATGTAAAACGGCTTTAACGATTGTGTTATCTTTTTTTCTAATCTTACTTTCCCACTATTTTGTTCAACTGCTGTCAATTGCCTTTTGACATTAATTGTAACTTAACTAAAGCTAGCGGCCTGCTAGAACAGTGATAAGGTTTACCGACTTACCTTAAATATTTCACCGGGATCTTTCTCCAGTTCTTATTTTCATTTCGCAATGAATGAAATTTCTCGCTATTATAAACTTGCCTCAACGTCTTAGCAAACAATAAAAATGCCCGTTCTTTTCCCTTGGAAACAATAAACCCTGACAGAACATTTACTAATTCCTCTGAAAAGGCTTTTAAACTGAAAAAGCGAGACAGAAACCTGTTGACTGGTGTCTGCAGGTGGTTGCACGATTTCTTTACTATTATTTATTTATTCATTTCCAAGACTTCTTCTTAAGCCTTCTTTCATCCTCTAAGGGCAACAAATGATTACGATAAAACTTTTGAATGTCCTTTCAAAATACTTTTTAATGCAATATTACTGGAAAGAAAACAGATACAAAATTAAACGGGACAAAAAAATTACAAAAAAGCATTTACAAAAGGAAAAATACGAAGCAGAGAGATCTGATTTTATTGGGAGATAAAGGACCAACCGGAAACATTTAGTCAAATGAAAAAAAAGAGGAAAATGACCTTCAGGATCTCCATGACTGAGAAAGTGAGAAGCGAGATGGACTGGAGACAAGCGAGAAGTGAGAGGCATCGAAGGACAAAAAAGTCATGAAACATATCTGCATCAAAAACCTTTCATAACAGATTCTTTCGCAGTACATTTAGGCCTTGTATAAGGAACCAGTTGAAGCAATATCAAACTACGCTTGTCTGTCCTCTGTCTTCTCATAAAACCTTTGGAAAAAGCAATCGCGCGCTGTGGTCATTCCCAGACGAGCCTTGATCCTTTTGGCCAGGGGAAAAGCAGCCATTTTGAATTTTGGCTCCAATTTGCATATTGTCTTTTCTCAGCAATTTGATAGCAACTGCTATTGGCGACTATATCCAAATAACTTCGAAAATTAAGTACAATTTTGTCACATGTAAAATGCAAAAATATACTTCTTCTTTTATCTTTTGCTCTAAGACAGCACAGAATTTTTGTGGAGGAATGCCTTTTTGCCCGTCCTGTGTTAGGCTTAACAGTGCTTTACTCAATTGCGTCATTTCCTTGCTACGCAAGAGTTAAATTCATAGTGCTGCTCACTTGATCAGAACAGCGAAAAGAGTTAATTGACTGCGGGCTCCCCAATCCTGTTCGCGCACGCGTAGAAGCTTTTCTGGCGTCAAAGCTACCAACACTATTGTCCAGTAATGTCGTAGCAGGTATCTCAATACTTGCACGGACAAACTCTGGATTGTTGATGAGGATTCGAACAATCTCTGAAGGTTTTGGTCTTTGCGATGGATCCTGGCTCCAACATTTGCGAAGTAATGACGCCCTAAAATAAAAACAAAGTGCAGATCCTAATATCAACATGGTTGCTGAAGAAAGAGAAAAGAAATCTTTGCCTTCCAGAACGACTAAAATTGCTAGATTTCTAATTAAATTCCATAAAAATGATGAGAGCAACTCCCCCTCCCCGCCCCCCACCCCAATGTGCCTTGTCGGTTCGCGTTCTTCTTTTATTGCGACATTCTCAATCTATATAATATTGTGATTGCTACATAAGTTCAGTAACATCTGTAAACCTGAAGAAGGCTGGTATGGCCAGCCGAAATATTGTTATAAAAAAAATACACGTTGTTTCAAATCAGCTTTGCAGTAGTCTTTGGACTTCTCGTTCTTGGTTCTTTATATTTTGGCTGATTTGATCTCTTTTCTAGAGATCCAACGTTTACAACTAGCAGGATCTTCGTCCACCGTTTTTGCAGTTAATTTAATCCTTGTTTCGAAAGGTTTTTCTCCGGGTACTCGGGTTTTTCCTCTCTTCAAAAACTAACATTTCTCCTAAATCTCAAATCCAGGTCAGGAATGGTAGACGAGGAACCACTGTGCGGATACGATCAGCTACCTCTAAATAATTATTGATATTAATTCATTTATTTGCATGAAAGATCGAAATTCTACAAACTTACATTTCCCTACTAGAATGATGTGGTATTTCCAACGTACATCCTAGTTCCACCTTCTCTAAGACTTCAGCATTGGATAGGCCTTGATAAGGAAAGCCACCGATAGTAGACAATTCCCACAGAGTGACGCCATACGACCAAACGTCGGTATGCAGCGTAAATAATCCCTCTTTTATTGACTCTGGCGACATCCATCTCACCGGTAGCATCCCTAAACGCCTCAGGAAAGAAAATTTAATTCAGAGTTGAATGCGCCTAGTTCCCTTTCGTAAACGGTAGTTGTTGTGACCTTTTTTACCGAATGTTGATACTTGTTGAACAATTTCTAATTTGATTGTTGGGAAGCCAGTGCCTGCCATAAGGCGTGGCGGTCTTAGAACGAACACGAGGAGAATGAGTTGCCATGTTTGATGTTGTTTTTATTAACTCTACTGTGGATTTCCAAAAGCTCCCACATAATCGAATCGTGCAAAGGTTTAGAAGAATAGGTTGGATCTGACCTGATCTCGATTGTTTGAGTTTGAGAATAAATGACAAATTGTGGATTTGCGACTACAGTAGTTGCTATTTTTAACGGTCGATGCCACCATTGTGGGCCATGCCTTAAGTCATGATAGATGTGATATATTCACTGGATTAAGTTAAACAAGGCAAATGATACAGTTTTGAATAGTCTTTGAAAGAACGACGTTGAAAGCCAAGTTGAATTTACGTTAAAAGTTCTGGAAAGGGCTAGGGTCACCTTTTCACGATGTATCAGTTAAAAATGCAGTTTGCTACTTTATCTACTTTCGGAATTTTGGCGGGTCGGTGTCGTAATGTTGTTTTAAGGGAGAGAGATTAGGATAGGAAATGTCTGGGTTCGACCCTGGGTTGCGATCTTCTTTCTTTTTAATAGAGACACTCTCAATAACAGGTCAAAAATTTTCTAAGTGTCTTAACAATTACAGCGACCGTTTACGAAAGGGAAATTTGCACCGGGGCATAGGAGCTCGATTGCACATTCGTGGCTTGATGACATAAGACTGGAATTTTACACATTTGGAATTTTAGAGAGACGAGGTTGCAAGTAACATGGTGGCCTGGGCTGCAGATCAAAACATACCTCAGTTGAACTCCTTCTTACCAGTGGCAAGCGGTGTACCCAGTGGGGTACCCAGGAGGAACTCAAGGGGTTCCGTAATGTCCCCACCCCTCCCCAATTTTCTTTTGTCTTATTAATGCCGCTGTTGAGTTTTCATATGTCTATTAAAATACGGCTGTACAGCTCTGTAGTTTTAAGGTCACAAAAGTGATTTCTGTTGTCAAATAATTAAGCAATGCAAATATCTATCCCTTTGAAAGACACCTAAGAAAAAATAGATCTCAGTAAGTGACACTTTTCTACTCGATCTCGATCCCCCCGCCCCCTGGCATGGCGGTTGGTTTTTAAGTCTCCAAACTTCACGAAAATACTTACCTCTATTATATAGACAACAAAACAGCCGTATTTTTGCGTTGGTATAGACTCATCAAACGAGCAATGTGAAAAAGGAGAGTGAGTTATTTTTCCCCTAATAACTAGACCTATCAGTAGAATAAAATCACTTGGGTCTGTTTTGCTGGCGTCGAAATGGAGTTTCGATTAACAAAATAGCTTAAAGCATCTCTATATAATGTTATACTGCTAACGTGAGAAACCTTGTACTATCTAATGTAAAACAGGACTGAAATAGCAAACAAGTGCATATCATCACCGTTTCGTTGGAATCTGTAGCAGTCACTGCCTTGAAGTGGTCTTGCCAATCCAAAGTCGCCGATCTTAACGACGTTTCCAAAACCTACCATACAGTTTCGTAAAGCAAGATCCCTAATAGCAATAAAACAAAATGGAACGTGAAAAAGATTCCATAATTTAAATGGTCCTTATTCTACCTTGCGCGCTTGGTGTCAGCGATAACATAGGAAGAATTGTCCGTTCAGTTTCCCAAAGATGGAGATAAGGCTTGTCCTTTTTACCACATGTAAGGAATCCGGATTCTCGGAAAATATGGTTGTTGAATCTGGACTCGGTGAAAATTTTGCTTGTGGAATCCGGAATACAGCTCAAGGAATCCGGAATCCGCCAAAGATTGGAATGCAGAATTCGAGTTCCACTGACAAAGACTGAAATCCAGTACCTGGAATCCGGAATCCGGAATCCACGACGTGGAATCCAGGATCTAAGACTGTCCTGGATTCCCCTACATGGGGATGCTCCTTTCCTCTTAAGATAAGATATAAATATATATAAAATATAAAACGTTTTTTTTTTATTCTGAACTGAATCTCCTATGTCGTAGAGACCTTATGATGATGCAACCAGAGATTTTATGTAGCGGCGAAGCCAATAAACCGAAAGAAGGGAGTAATGCGAAAACCGAAAGGAGAGTCTGCTAGCAGGCTTAGAGTACATAAAGTGCTTATAAATTGATAAATTGCATCGCTTTACAAACAAGAAGCATTTTTTTAAGCTCACCTGTGAACAAACTTCATGTCTCCTAGGTACTGCAGACCGCGAGCAATGTCTAAAGCCATGCTTGTCAGTCTGCGAGGTGTAACATCGTCTGCCTAAAAAGAGATCAGTTAAGAACAGCTTTGCGCAACGTCACCGACGATGTACCCATCCATTTGATTAGAGCCAATTTCTTTCGCGTTGGTTAGCTGCCAAGCCTAAGCTGATTCCGTCAAAAAACGAAACATTTCTCACTGTGAAATGGGAACTCAAGACTTGGGAATGAATTCAGGATTCACGAGTGAAAGGAAGCTGACTATGTACCTCGGGAATGTCCTGGGGTATTGTAGCTTCCCACGCAAACGATCTTAGGGGTACGTCACGCGCAGGAACGTGTGACGAACCCCCAAGAATGTCTACGCGGGAGGCTAGGGCTATTGAGATGGACGTCCGCCTGATTCTTGGTATAAAAACGTAATAGATCGGGCTCACTGAACGCCCAGAGGGATGGTTTGCCCCATGATTTACTGAGACGTTCTATTCCACATCATCTGTAAGTTCTATTTGGTGGATAGGACATAAGCATGAAGACCTTACCTCGGGTGTCTCTGGCTGATCAACGGAACGGCGACGGGCAAGAAGAAAGTTCTTCAAATCACCTTAAAATGGAGACAACAAATTGAATAAAATGTAGGCGACGTCGTTTTGGCACACCTATAAAAAAACATTTTCAGAGCCGACGAAAGAAGTGATGTGTGGATTTCCGGAAAGTCCAGAAAAGTATTAGCCTCCCACGCAGGCGTTTTTAGGGGAGTTCGTGTTTCTTCCCTTCCCACAAACGCCTGCCCAACCGAGAATAACATTCCTTTCCCAAGCTTAGCCAATCACATTGTACTTTTCAAATTGTGGAAAGTTGACCTTGACCGCAGGGTGACCCGATAATTACTCGATCTGCACGAAACACAAGGAAAACTTTATGACCTCCAATAAATGTTAGACTCAGAGCGGCAAAAGTAAGATTTAGTCAGATTTTACAATACTCCTTGTACTGCATAACCTTAGCGAAGGAAAGAAAAGAAGGAAAAAGGTAACTCTGGAGTCACGTTTTTACGCTACCACGAGGTTATGAGTCGTGCTTAGCCTGTCAGTACTTTTTTTCACAACTGTTGATTGGTCACGTACCACGCAAATAAAACAGTGGGAAAGGAATGTTGTTCTCGATTGAGCAGGCGTTTGTGGGGAGGGAAGAAATACGAGCTCCCCTAAAAACGCCTGCGTGGGAGGCTAGAAAAGTATTTGCCTTGGTAATTCTCACTCTTTTAATCATTATCATCATCATGATCATTTCATTATCATTTAAAAATCGGAATCAAGGTGCCTTTGGGAAAAAGCCATAACTCCCTAACAGGTTCGTCCTGTTGAATTCTCTGTTGAGATATCTAACTGATTGCATACATTTACACACACTTTATTAAACTACTAACACTTAAATAAAAGCTTTGGAAAATTCGAATAGTTGGGTTGCCTGTGCGTTGCTGACATGGATGGATGAACAGATAAACAAGATTCACATTTGCTTACCGTGTATCATAAGTTCCATTACAATATACACTGGCTCCCCTGTGGTACACACGCCCAGCAGTTTGACAAGATTCGGATGAGATAATAATTTCATGTTATCTGCCTCGCTAAGAAATTCCACCTGCAAAATGGACAAGAGATCTTTCAAGTCAATTGGTTGAAAAAAAGCTCTTCGATCCCTGACGTTAAAGCAACAGTATAAACTACGTATGCTTATTCTCAAAAGGTTCTAGTGATACGTTCTGTGATGAACATTAAGGTTCACATACAATCCGAGGAGGGCTTCGAGTGTTAAACAATGTTGTTAAACGCAGCAAAGTGTGTAAATAGTCGAATTAAAATAAAAGAAAGTAAAAAATTTAAAATTTCTAAACTAAGGCCCACTTAATGACTCCGCGACTCCTCATAAAGAGTAAAGAACTCCTAGGGAATTTGCAAATCAACGAACTTAATTATGACTAAACGAAAGTTGCAAGTGGCCTTAAACTTCGAGATTAGGCTCAAAGCGATTCGCGGTAAATGAAACCAACCTTATCTTCAATAGTTGCACCAACTCGGAGCGTTTTCACAGCAACTGGAACCGAGACATTAGATCCCATTAGTCCCAAGCCTTCTCCGCCAAACACAGCTCCAAAGGCTCCTTCTCCAAGTTTTCTATTGAGAATAAGTTTCTCTCTCGGCATTTCCCAGTCATCTAAAGCAAATATAGCACCTGTAGAGTTGGCGTCCAGAAGGCCCAGCTCGCGCAGGCGCTTTTTAGTGTCGCGATACTTTGAGGAATATCTAGCGATAAAGAAAAGCGCACAAGTAAGCTGGAATAAATACGGGATGCGAGCTGAGATTTCAACTCTTTTATTAATATGCAAACTCGACGAGTTTGAGTTTATTTTTAACATTTTTCTTTCCATCATTATTTTGCTAGAGACGCAGACAATGTATTTTGTGGATGGTTTGATTTTGCTGAACAGAGACCCCTGCGATTGATCGATGGAGGTACAAAGAATGCTTGGCTTATAGGGGCAGTGTAAATAGATTTCTTTTGTTTTACGCAAAAATGTGCTTGAATTAACAGTGATTAAATTTCGATACTCTTCTCACACATAAGCGCTTTTAGCATAGCAATGAGTTGAAATAAAGTTAAGTTTTGAAAAGGGAACGAGGGTTAAAAAAATAAAACTAGTATTGTTAAGGAAACGCAAAAAGACCTAAATAGTCGACATGAATTTTTAGAGAGGCCAACCAATACAGAGACCATAGACCATAAATCAATAGCTTGCCATTGATGAAATAGTGTATGAAGTCGTTTTTTAGTTTTACTGAAATACATGATCCTGTGGCCTACATCATGTAAACGGTCTCCTGTTTCTCTTCCTTCATGCGGGCTAGAGTGATATGCATGCAACCTCAGTCATCTACAGAGCCTTTTCCGTCCCTGCCCGTTTCTACGGAAACTGACGCTCTAGGGACGAGGCTGGATATGTATGATCCTCACCTTCCTTTCAAAATACATCCTACGATGATAAGGATTACTGACACCAATGACACCGCTTTAAAAGAGAAAAAAAATATTCATTAGCGAGACAATTACGCATCTAACAGAGCAATGTTCAACAAATAGATGACACATATTTAATCTTTTACTTTATTTTGCCTCGCCTTAGGCCGAAGTCAAACGTCAAACATCACATGTTAAACCTATGTTTATGAGCAAAATGTGTTGTTCTTGCTTATTACCTTTAGGTTCGGCTCATGTGAAGTTCGACATTTGACCCAGGCCTCACTTGTGAAAAATCGCACCGATAACCCAACTAATCAATCGCTTTCTCCGCACTTAGAGCCAGCTTTCAGTATAATATTTTCTTCAGCTTGGATTGGTTGATTAGGATTTCTATCCCCGTCGTAATTGGCCAAATTAACTCCGCTGACCAACCTCAGGAAAAGAACAGCTTCGTAAAATAGCAAGAACAGTTCCACCAATAACAGCGATCACTGTGACACGCACGCTTGGTGACCTGTTATCAGCAGTCGATGTCTAAGCCTGATGAAGACAGGCAGAAGGTCGTCAAAACGTCGCATAACGTTTTAACTTACCGATAACAACGACTACAGTGATAGCTACCCGACAGGAAACGTTGAGAGCTTTTCTCAGAGTCTCTACGCTGCATATCTCTTTACGGCCAGGTTCTGTTCAAGTAAAATAAAAAAAATCCATATAAGATCCAGAATATCTCCTTGTGAGCCAAAAAAGTTGAAAAAACAAACAAACAAACAAATAGACCTAGCCTGTGCGCACAGCAGACGCCGTTTAGTTTTTTTTATAGTTGTTATAGAGCTTTTCTCTCTCTCTTTTCTCTCGAGCGCGTCCTCGAAATTTCTCCCTTCATCAACGCCCCCCCCCCCCCCCCCTTCCCCCCCCCCCCCCAAAAAAACTGGTGCTGGTACCTGCTACGCTTGCTAAAATGGACCATAGTCCTCCTAGTCCCCTTGTAACAAAGATAAATACGTTTAGCTTACCGGGCAAAAGGTCGCTTGGTATCTGTCCCGTTGCCCACTTTATCCTGCTTGGATCCCACTCAAGGTGGCCTGGGAGAGAGCCATTTGAGCCTTTGGCGTGAACAAGTTGACCAATGACTTCGTAGCGTGAGACGAATTGCTGTTTGATGAGTATACTGGCTAAGCGATCTCCATTTTTGAAATGAACTCGCCCAGAGACACCAAGGAAGTTAACCTCTTGTATACGCTCTGGGAAAATTCTGGTAGTAAACAAGAAATAGGTACATGTATGTGAATCCGGTAGATGTTAGCGTAACGCAAGCGTGTCCCACGGTCACGCTATGGGGGAAACTTATTGTATTACATTTTATTGTATTGTCATCGAGCTAGCCCCCTCTAAGAACGGATCAAACTTGTGGTTTTCGACACCGTTGTAGGTAGAGTTTAGAAAAGCGGGCTTGTGGGGCCGTCACGCACTCATTGCTGTGGAATAAACGTCTGGAGATCAAGTTTAATCCGTGTACCGTGGTGTTCTTTACAGACCCACTGCTACAGAGACAAGGCTGAATATTTAACTGTGATAAAATTCTTACTCTGAGGTTGTGTTAGAGTGGATTGTATCTAAGGCTGTGGAGTCAATCTTGAGCAGTTGATCCAGTGCTAAAGCGTACGTCCACACGGAGTCATGCGCAAACGAGGCATAATCTGACCACTCCTTGTTCTGAATTATAATAGACCATATTTGAGTTAGCTGTAGTGAACTAAAACAAGCGTGCAGTAGAAGGTAATCGGAAAAATATAGCATTTGAAATATTTACATGTAAAATGCCAAATAATGGCCTTAAGCTTCAAAGCCTGTGAGAAACATCACTATTTTCAAAGCCAAGTGTAACTCCATTTTCTTGAAATATTATTTTGCATTTCCTCGCGCTTACTCTTGTATAAAATAGTTTTTTTTTATCTCTGAGTTGATGCACATCTGTCAGAATCAGCAGTTGCCTGACAAAAGAGTAGAAGAACTACTCATAGATAAGTACCTCACTCGCTACATGAAACATGTAGCGCTCCTTCCATTCCTTGACAGTTCCTCCTCCCACAACCTTTTGCTTGTCATCGCCGAAGAATGGAGACGATAATGTAAAGTATCCCTGATCAACGAACGACTTCAATTGATCTGAGGTGCAGGGAACATTCTCTGGCGAAGTGTAACTACGGCTGTTGTAGAAATCTACATCCCACCAACCAATTTCCAACCAGTCCAACAAAAACCATACGTAACCATTTTCTGCCGTCAAACCCTAAGGACATGAGAAAGATTTTTAATTCTTCAGTCATGTCCATGACACAAGCGGTACGGAGGAAAAAATCTGAGTACTGCCAACAGGAGTCTAGTCTCCCTCGCAGTCGTCTTTTGGATGTCACGCAACGCTCCCTCTCTTTCTTTTGGGGGAGCGTTGCGTGACACCCAAAAGACGGCTGCGAGGGAGACTAACAGGAGTCGAGCCGACACGTTTTTGAGAGACGAACGTCAACCGGAAGTGGATTTCTTGCATTCTTGAGAAGTGGTCTTGCCCAATTATTCAGGCAAATTGTCTCTAAATGAGTAAAGACGCTTAACGATCCAAATTTGGTAGCGTCGAGACATATTAAAACAGAAAAGGCCTCACTTCCTTTGGCGTGCGTCGCACGAAAACGCGAGTTCCCTATTCTGGCTACTTGTCCAGATGCTCTACCGCTGAGCTATAGGAGACTTGTTAGAGCTAAGACTGCTAAACTAGCTTCATGTGACATACATCCTGCATACTGCTAGGACTGGAATGTTGACAGTGTTTTTGAAAAATGATAGAAATGTGATGATCAGCCAAGTGCGACACATGACTTCCAATGGGAAAACAATGCAAACAAGAGATCTATTATCAGTGCTATTGATCTAGGCTAAATGTATTACCTGCTTGTAGGCCTGACACGTGACTGCTCTGGTGACTGCTGGGTAAGCGTCCAGTATGATAACTGTTACTTTACTCTCTACCACAGTGCTGATGTAACCACTAGCGTCCAGGTCCCCACTGGATGTTAACTCACGAGATAGTACTTGTATTCCATGTTTGTTCAGGAACTCGGTGCGCGACCGGACTGAGTCCACAGGATACTTTGCTTCGCGCAAGATTACACAATGCTTCCAGCCGAACGCGCGGAAAAGCGAAAGGTATGCAGCCTTAAATTCATCAACACTCGGATTTGTTCGGAAAAACAAGGGAAACCTTGTCCTATCAGATAGCGACACGTCATCGGCTCCGTAACCCATTAGAATTGTCTTGCGAAAACGTGATGCTTCTGCAATAGGAAGCGTAGCCCTACTACACGCCGGACCTAATATACCGATTACATTCTCTGAAGGATCACGATTTAGGTAACGAATATATGCTGCAATAACGAGTTCTCTTCTACACTGCGTGGGTGCAACAAGCAATTTAAATGTTAAACTATTTAAGATATTCGTGTCGTTATTAACTTCCTGGACAGCCAGCTGGGCTCCTATTTCGTCCCCCGGGCTAGACCATATCGCTTTTGGTTCCACTAGGCTTGGAAACATCCCTCCGATGTACACTGTTCTTTTAGTGGCAGTCTGTGCTTGTATCCATGGAAACCAAACATCACGTGACTTATTCAGCCATCTGCAGACGTGTTCTTCAATTGATGCGTTATATCGTGTTGCGTCGATTGGTCGCATTAATTCCGTTAGTTGTTCTCTGGTAAGGGTGATTGCTTTAACGAGCCTGTAAATGTCATTATAGCGTTTCTGTATTTGTTTCCATATGTATTTGTGAAGGTCATACGCTGGAAAATCACATGCTGTAGAGATGATCCTCCTTGGATTTGTCAGCGAAATATCGTCTTTAGGAACGCTAAGAAAATAATAATATTAAAACTACTAAACGACAGAAATGAAAACGTGGTTAAACCGGAGGGCATTATGATCTTACAATAATTACAAGGAACAGTGCATCTTTAAACACTTAGCAAATTGGCTCTGCATCAATGCATTTTTTGGCTTTGACTTTTGTAATCAAATGACTTCACATAAATCCTCAGAACCTTAGCGCTCTTAAATACCATTCGACGTACGCAACAGTAAAGAGCAAATTGTGCTCAAACCGTTCGGGTTTACGTTGTAGTAATTAGTGACGCAGGCTGGCATTCTCTACACAATTGGAGCCCCTTATCTAAACCAAACCTGGTAATCCCATAAACCTAGAAATAGCGGTGTACTCACTTGCAGTCTGGAAAGGAAATCCGTCTGAAATCTCCTGTTAAGGTTAAGGGGTCTGGATCCCAGGTGTAAAATAGCAGTGGTTTTCCTTTTGCTTTGTTTTCTATTATCGTGACAGGCAATCTTTCCCCTAGCCAAACTATAGAAATGTTTAACTGTAGACTTGTTATCTGATCCACAGCCAGCTGACTGGCGTTGTCTGCGAGAAGGAGAAAGGGTATGGCATGTAAACATCAGAAGTTAATCAAAATCCCTTGCAGAAGAGACATTACTCTTATAAGGAATAAGAGTATTTATAATGATAAAAAATTAGGGAGGCTGACACTCGAAAATAATTTCCGTGGTATAGCCACTAATCTAGCCTGTGTTCGGGGGAAGGGGAAGGCTGCACACAGGTTACCAATGACCTTACACATGCGCAGCGAAAAGGAGTGCTCCTAGACTCTCCCTATAGTGCATTCTCGTCCCCAGAGCCACTCGGCTTTAATTCTAACAGAAATCTCGTGGCCAAAAGAAACGACGGGCTTTGGCGACGAGAATGATCTCGATATTGCAAGGTAGATGATTAGTCGCGATTACTTCGGAGTCCCCCGCTCTTCCTGGGAATCGTGCCATAACAAGTACTAACAAGGACAAACAGTTGTCCATAGCTGCTACTATCCAAACCACAACAACAGATATGGAAGTGTGTAAGCTTGCTAGTTATAACACAACGAAAACCACGAAACTGGGAGTTTCCGGGGAGATGGCCTATATGGGGTACGATGAGCCGCTAGTTGGACAGGGTATGGTTTTTGACCTCTCTGTCCTAAAAACAATAATTTTGAGTGCACGATTGATTCAGATCTGGTAGATGAAATTTGTTTTTACTCCACGTATACAAAATCAATGACCGTAACGCAAATTTGCTCTACTGCAAACAAGACGGCGTGTCATAAATTATGTGTGATAAAACCAGTTCTCTGTAGCTTTAATTTTTCACTCCCTTGAAAGTATATTTCTTCACATGTTCACATTTTAGAATTCTGTACTCTGTTCTACACTTGTTTATATGGATTCATAGACATCAATTCTTGTAAAATGTGGATTATCTACACTCAATCGATACCGTCTCGATCAGCTCCACGGCTCCGAACGACTACACAGTTCCTAGACTCTTGTACAAAGTTCAGTTCTCAGATCACTTGACGAGTTTCCCGCCACAATGACGCAATAATTTTCTTACACGGCGTTCATTTTGTCCTTTGTCCTAAACAGGGTAATAAAATTAGGGGTGTTGTCGTAAACAGGGTATGTATTTTAGGATTCTTTGTTGTTGTTGTTGTAAACAGGGTCAGAGTTTCAAACCCTCACCTATACCCAAATACTGGTCGAGTGTCCTCCGGGGGTTGTTGTAACGTTCTAGGGCCTCTTTTACTTCTGTGATGTTGCTTATAATTGCTATGTAGATACAAGTTCTTAAAGCTCAAACAGTACCTCTGTGTCCAGCCAACAAAACTACACACTGCACACCAGTTTGATTGGTTTGAGAACACTGGGAAGGATGAAATTCGTCTTGTACACATCCCTGGCAAATGATCAGGTCAGAAAGTGAGGACAGTTTCTTCAGAACAAATGGCAGTTGCAGCGCCCTCCAGTGGTCAGCAGGGGTACGGTGAACAGTCCACACGCGGTCAACAAAGTCAGCGCTTATAAACCAACCTTCCCTTGTTAAATAAAGTAAAAACGTTTGCGTCTTAGCCTGCGAAATTTCTTCAAAGTTGCTTCTAGAGTGAGTCGACATACCCAAGCGACCCTGTAGCGTTCTGAAGCTAAGAGTTGCGATGTGGTAGCCGCTATTGTCTAACGTTCCACTTTTGAAATGTGTTTACTTAGGGCGTAAAAATGAAGAAATACTAGACATTATAAGATTCTGCAAATTTAAAAAATGATTGATTTAAAAATATATATGGTGTTGCGTTTTTAATGAAGAAGTACAACACAGAAGAATTAGGTATCATCGACAGATCATATTAATCGATAGCTGAAGTTTCCAGAAGGGTATATTGAAATAAGCTATGGCTATACAAGTACCTGCCCATGATCCCAAGCGATCCGATATCAGTCATCTTTCCACTTGTCTCAGAATCTCGATGGTCAAATGGTACCCAGACCTCTGGGCGAATCATAGCCCGGGGAGGTATATCAGGAAATCTGGAAACGACAGGAAACAGACATCCCATCATTAAGGAAACCCGCTTTCTCCAAATTTTAGAAACTGTATGAAAGCTTGAACCTTGACATATCGTTTAAGAGTGTTATAGAGTATACCGTTGCTATGGTAATTTATTAAGTCAAACTGAAAGACCCTGACTTATTCAGTAAAGACCGGGTATTGCATGATACTTTCTACTGTAGCAAAAAAAGCGTTCACTGGTGTTGATCCATCAAAGGAGAAGCACTGAAACCTGATGAAAACGGTTGTGAGCCCCCTTAAGCTTCGTTTCTTACAAAAACAATGAAATGATTGACTACCTGTCGTTCCAACAACTCCTTGTTGCTCCGGTGACGTCACAAAATATTAATTTGGCGTTGCTGTAACCTAGTCCCTCCTCGACTAGAATTTTGGTGAGGTGAGCAGTTGCAAAATGGGAAGCGTGTTCGCCGTGAGAAATCGTCAGAGGTATAGCTTGTCCTTGAAAAGTGAACTTCTTCTTAAGAGTTGGATCTGTTGAGAAATGAAAAAATTAAAATCTCTCTATGTGGGTAGCCCTCCTTTCTTGACTGTTCTAGGAAAAAGAAGCTGCCTAACATTAAATCACCAGCAAGAGCATATTTTTGATGTGGCCTTTCCTACATACGTTTCTGCGAATTCAATTGGTACAAAGACTGCAATCCTTGTCCTTGTCAAAAATCCTTGAAACGCCCAATGCACTCCTCTTTTCCTCTGCAATGTTGCCATGTAATGTCAATGAAGTTACATGATCAAAATAACATTGCAAAAGGGAGGGGTAAAACAAAGGAAGCAAGATTTTGCAAAGTTTTTCAAGGCTTTAAAATGAGATTTAGTTCCTGTTATAATGATCAGTAAGTGAAACAAAAAACCCGAAAATGAAACCCAGTGACACGATTACACACTCGTGTAAGTAAAAATAAATGTCCACATGAAAGTTTTCAGTGCGGTTTAACCCATTCTTGGATTATAAAACTCGCTTCTCGAGTCGGGTCTCCAACATTATACAGTGACTGTATCATAATGCAAGAATTCTTAAGACTCGTTGCGTGCGCTGGAGGTTCACGCATGCGTGGTCATCCACAGCCTGCGTAACAGGCGCTTTATGAGCCAAGCGAGGCGAACGCGGCATTTTGCGCGAAACGAATGCGAAGCGTTATTTTTCTCCTCCCCTCGTTTTACGCAAAATGCCACGCTCGCCTCGCTTAGCCTGGGACCAGGCTCCGCACTGGAAGAAAAAAGAAAAAAAATCGACGAGCGAGGCGAGTCTTTTTTGGCATTTTTTGCCCACTGGGGAGCCTTGTCCCAGGCTAGCCTCGCTTGGCTCATATGATCTCATAAAGCGCCTGTCAGTTATGCCAGTCCATTAATTACACCGAGCACCAGCTGACTTGTTGATGGGTAACTATACGGCCACTGTCGGGTGGGGAGGGGCAGGGGGGGACCGCCCGATCCCACCAAAGACATTAAACTAACATCCTAACTTCTTCACTAGTCTAATTTCAATTCTTAGTCCTTTGGATTCCGAAATAAAGGGTCAAAACAAATAAATCTGAGCTTCAGTGAATAAATGTTTATTCAAAAACTCATAGGGAGAAAGATATAAAGCATAAAGATGTGATAAAAGGACGCATTGCATGTTTCACTAAGTAGAACAGTATTTAACCTGCGTCTGAGTTCAAAAGTTTATGGCTTGGCATGCATGAAAAAAGACAATGCCGGCCTCTATCCACCATGACCTATTTATTTACAACCTACAATTTAGATATTACCAGCCAAAAGCCCCCCAATTTATTGTTCATGAGACCTCAACGTGAATCATTCCGGCAGAGTTAACCTCGGTAACTAACGAGTCTGTCAGTTTACGTATTCAAAGGAAAAAGTATTATTCAAAGGGCTTACAAAATCATCAGAATAAGGCTTTACCTGGGAAATCGTGGAGGCACTTTCCGGCTTCGATGGAATTGATTTGTATCCAAGAAATATTGCACCACAAAAGCAAAATTAATAATAGCATTTTGTTCTCCGCTGTTGTCAGAGATTCCCTTTAAGCTCGCTTATGACATTTTCGAAACATCATGAGACTATTTGCAAACATCAATTAAGCAACATTGAGCCCTTCGCAAGATTCCACTTCTGAAGCATTGGCGAAAACCAATCAAACAAGCTGCGGTTTTTGAAAACAAGCTCATATTGTGCGTTTTTAGAGAGGCAAATTTGGTGGATCGGTCTTATGTCATGTCGATGCGCGTGTGACAAGCTAAATTGCAGTCGTTCCCCGGTGTGTTGGCGAAGTAAAGTAACCAGGCTATGAATTTACATTTTACTTAACCACAAAAACACCATTCTTTTCATCTTTTGTTTATCTTCAATAGAACATTCATGAATTAAAAGAGGCCAGAGTGTAAATGAGCTTGCATCATAAACGCGTTGTTTTGCCAAAACACTTAAAATAAAAAGCATCTTGTCGTTGGTGTTTGCTGCAGAGGCATGGGATCAGAGGTACTCGGAACAAGTAAATTTAGTCCTTCAGCAAGCAGGTCCATTGTGTACACAAAGCTTTATTCGCAAATCCAAAATGCAAATTACACAAAACACGAAAAGATTTTCTTCCTTTATGATTAAAAATTGTGGATCCAGTTTATTCAAGTAATTATTTCTATAAACCGAACGATCTACCTTAATTTGTGAAAACAATATCTTTCTAAGAAAACTCATCTTTTTTCTTCTTGTACTTAGCCAGGTGATAATTTTTTTTCAGTCCAGTTGAGAGTGCGGTAAAAGCGATAACTTGTCCTAAAACGTCATCTTTTAATGGATTTTAAAATTTTAAAACCTGGACTGAGTAAACAAGTCGTTTTGTTACTCAATAAGCAAAGGCTAATTTTGTGGCATTTTTAAGACAAAACGTGTTGCGTTCGTTTGATTTCCAGGTTAACATTCAGTTTTTGGTAACCAAATGGACTCATTATTGTGTCAGAGGCATGAATTGCTGTCTGCGATTTAGAGACGGTACCGTTTGAAGCGGCGAAGTCATCTGTCAAAAATCAATTTCATTTGAAAGTGTGAGTTGCCATATGTTTACCTCGGGCGTCAGATTATCGCTAATAGCTTAGCAATAAAAATAAATCATTTGTTGCTACCATAAATGTCATCCCAACTTCACCTGTCTGTTACAATATATGTCTAAGAAGCTTAGTGGATGTCTCAGAATGGAACAAAATGGACGTCCTTTTAAAAAGCCATTTTAGACATATGCTCACTGACACGAGCAGCTTCTCCAAATGATTTTTATAAAATTTTGGTGACTTGGCGCATTTTGCCAATAATATTGAGAAATTGTGTTTCAATGTGACAGTGTCGGTTTACACCCAGCTATACCCAGACACATGCGGCATAAGTTTCTGCGAGTGATTGGTGGAAAACCTGGAGAAAATAAGGACTTCAAAGTACTAAGGGAGCCTTGGACGGCTAAACAGGCCCTTTTTCTCACAATCGCGGAACATTCGAATAGTCAGATAAGCTAAAACAATAATAATTGATCGAAGCAGAAAGCTGGGTAGAACCAACAAATTTTATAAATATCTTAACAGACAGAAGTACAAGTAACTTAAAAATTCACGCGAAACGGGACGACGCGACGACGACGACAATGATGATGATGATGATGACTGATATAGACAAAAATCGGTGATGCATCAAGCATATAAGACCTAGGTGAAATCGAATTCAAATGTCTGTAGGATGACAGTAAATGCTCTCCCGTTCTCCTTGTAAACTTTGAAATTCTTCTGCAACTACCCCGACCGTCGCGTATCCTCTGTTTTCGAGGTTCCACGTGTCACGCATGCAAGGGCTCTTATGTGTTCACGTGCGGTTCCGGATTTTCAAGCTGACTGTTTTTTTACGATGATAAGGTGCAATGTTCTTTTGTTTTCCCTGTTTTGTGTCTGACATTAATTTATTTCTTAGTTCGAGATCTTAACTTTATGCAAGTTTATTGGTTTGTTCTTGTTGTTGCTAAATTAGCTTGTCACAAAAAAGCAATTTATCATGCAGTTTGCTCCCGGGCCGGTTTTTTGACTTAAAAGAACACCGCGTGACTGCATGAGTTCGCACTCAGTCACGCAAGACGAAACTACTAAAGACAAGAAATCAAATGCAAAACGAAAATATACAAAGCACATAAACATAAAGTGATGTTATTATATTTTATTGTCAAATAGCGTGACGTTTCTCAGAACTCTACAGAGATGCCACAAAATATTGAGAGAAGAACATGGGACCTTTCCCTTTCTGGTCCCTTTTCTGGTCAAGCCCTTGAACGCCCTTCAACATTGCCCTCACACGAGGTAAACAACCAATCAGAGAATAGATCGATTCGTTTCGCCGCGCAATGTACAATTCAATAGTGTAGAGTTCTTTGTCGTCTTTTCTATAGTTATTTCTGTTACTATACACTGGGAATAAATATGTCGAAGAAAACACAGTTCACGTGGGAGGAACTATCTTCACTGAATACTCAACAGAATGCTCATGTTGCTGTTCGCGAAAAGGTAATATTTAAACGTTAAATTTACATTCCAACTTTCGATCTACAATGTATCAAGGTCGTGATCTATGATATTTTTTTCTCAGGTGTATGATGTTAGTAAATTTCTAGACCGTCATCCTGGTGGCAAAGATATTTTGCTTATGGCAGCTGGAAGAGACGTTACTGCAGTCTTCGAGTCATATCACGCTTTTAGCGATAGTGCAAAGAAGTAAGACTAAATTTATGCCGGTTACGCCGATCTTGATAACCTTAAGTTATGTAACTGCATGAAGGGAAAGGTTTCTATAAACAAAGTGTTTTTCAATATCTTGGCGGTTAAATGCGGGGGAAAACAAATCCGGGAGTAGCAGAAGACCCATTCGTTCAGAACTTATAGAAACTATTACAGCTTGCAACGCCGGCCGGCGCTTGAGTATTATTGTCGCTGTACTCTGTACTTAGTGTCTGATTTACGGTTTCCCCTCCAGTCAGCCGTCGTATTTATAAGTCCTTGTGTTTTTAAATTTTTGAGGCTTGCTAATAAGGGTTGCTACAAAATCATAGTAGCTGATGCTCAACCCTCCGGTATAGTCTTGATAAACAAAATGTTCCCTAGTGGCGGAAGGGTTTCAGACAGAAGGCGGTGCCCCGGTGGGACTCCGTATATGACAGGGTGGGGATGCTCGTCGGAAATTTTGAATTAAACCCCTAAAGGAGACCGATCTGGGCGGGGCCCAAGCTATTTTTGATCCCTAAAGGAGACCATGTTAAAACACAGACATAATATATATTTTTATACTTTTTCGCATGCAACCCTAAAGGAGACCTTCACGGCTAAATATGACGGCGTTTTGCCTAGGACACCCTAAGTGAGACCAAAATCCGAAATTTATACCCCTAAGCAAGACGACAAGCATCCCCACCTAAGGGGCAGTGCTCAGTCCTCACAAATGGTCCTTGTCCCATGTTTGGGCATAAGAGGCAGGGTGGGGGGGGCTGGTGGCTGAGGGCTGAGGGCTGAGGGCTTGAAACAGGAAGAAAGGACAAGCTTACATAGAATTATGAGATGAGATGTAAAGAAAAATTCCTGAATGCTTCAGGCAGCTATAATAGATTTTACAATTACAATGTATATACCCTATTCAGAACAAAGAGGCCAATGTCCCAGTACAGGCAACATAGAGAATCCCCCCCCCCCCACCTGATTTTTTGATACCATGTGCCAATGAGGTTCAGCTGAACAGGTTTTGGAAACCTATCAATAATAGATCTTGGGGGGAGGGGCTGCATACCTCTATTATCACCAGGAATATTTCGGTTGTTCATGGTTTTCTGTTGTGAGTTTCACAGCAACAACATATATGTTGTAGTTACTTTTTATCCCATGTAATTTTTGTTTTTCTTTTGCTTTTGAGTATGTTACTGTATGCTAATAAAGTTGAGACAAAAGAAATATAAAAATTACCTGAGATAGAAAATTAACTACGACATATATTCTTATCTTAATATCAATTTAGACCTTTTATACTTATTGTTATTTTGTTATTGTCAGGGTTTTAGAAAAATATTATGTTGGAGACCTGATTTCTAATGAGTTACCAACTTTTCCAGAACTTGGGTAAGGTTAAAAAGGAATAACCATGTTATTTATGTTTCTAATCTCTACCAACCTGACCTCTCAAAGAAAAGGAGAATTTGACATTACATCAAGACTCAGTTGTTCCTCATAAAATACAGCTAGTATATCATTCCACACTCCCCCTTCAATTATGTGCAGGTTAATGCGAATTTAAATTCCTACTTAAAATTAACAAGTTGACAATTATTGTTAGGGTTCTTTTTCAAAGTTGGGAACAGTCATACTGTATCTCCAGCTGTTTCATGAAATCTTGGTCAGACTTCATTATAATCTACAATGAACATTTTTTTGATAAGAGTGATGGTGCCATGGCAATGAAAATAGACATAGTGAGACATTTATTTTTTCAGCACTTATTTCCTCGCAAAGCGAAGCGAGTTAATAATTTTGTCAAAATTTGCATTACACGTGGAAGGTGCATGGATCACAAAACGAGGCAGAACACAGAAGTTGGCTTTATATTAATATTTTATATATCTTAACTTCTGGTTGGTAGTTGCAGTGACGTCACTGATTAATTTGTGATCGTTGAGGTGCCTTGGTTCATTGTTTTCACTGTTTTTGCACCCGTTTTGGCAATCTAGAAATGATTCTGGCTAGAAATTTTGATGACAGAAGTATTTTACCGAAAACATTGAAGCGATTTGGGCCAGGAGCAAAAATTTAGTTTTTGGCATTTTCCCAGCCGATAGGTCTAAGTTTCAGCTCTGTGCTACAACCCTAAGTTTAATAATTCACATGCAAACCGCTACCCTTTTTGTATTTGTTTTTTTCTCTTAATCTGGCGGCAGCAATGATGCTATGCTTTTCAATACATTTTTTAAAAATAAAACCAAGCAACAGGAAAGAAGAAGAAGCAGAAAAAAGAAAGAATCAAGTAGGGATCTTGATGACGATATTTGTGGCGGTCACCCATCCAGCTTTTTATCCCGCCCGACAGGGCTTAACTGAGTGGTGCTAGTAAAAAAACAAGTTTCACGAGGGTTATGAGGATATATGTATTTCTAGTAGTTCTTAATTAGTACATGTGTTATTGCAAGTTCTCAATCTTACTACTTTTCTTGTCTTTTATTGCTGAGCATTGCTTTAACAAGAGACAGAGTCAAAAAATATTTCAAGGACACAAACCAGGTAATTTAGAAACATTTTGCATTCTGTTTTCAAATAGTTAAAAATATTAAAAGATTGTTTATGGTTGCTTTGTTTTTTTGTTTGTAAATGAATTTTTGAAAACAACTATTGCAGTTTAATGTTAGCTTAATTAAGTCAAAAAATATTTCAAGGACACAAACCAGGTAATTTATAAAATAGTAAAATATATTTGCATTCTGTTTTCAATCAACTGACCAAAAACTACCATTTAGACCTACAATGATTACAGTTATTAAAAGGACAGATTGTTAAGTGCAAAACTCATGTAAGCTAATTAACATAACAGCTTAACTGGCAGTTACAGCCATAATCTCAGGACTTAGTTGACCAATCACTAAAAGGTCAATAACTGGAGTTATTAACTATCAAATGCTGATATGCAACTTACTTTGACTTTGATGATGATCTCTTTCACTTCAGATGCGTGATCATACTTCATTTCACCCAGCTGTTGGTACTTATAACATGACTGATCTTGGGTTCAAACAATTTACAATAATTTCATTTTCAACAGGACCCCAAATTTTCAGGATGGATGTGGTTGCGCTATATTGGAATTCCAACTGTTTTACTTCTAATGTGGAGTGCTCAGGTTGTTTATAATACTAGTTTTTAAGTGTAAAATATATAAATTTTGAATGTGTGCAGCATCCATCATTTAATATATTGGCTGGGGCAATCATAATATTTAAAACTAATTTGCACATTTAAAAAAAGAATATTTTGTGGAGGTAAATTTTAAATTTTGAATTTCAAACTGCAAGCCTGGCTGACCCAGCTTTGATACCTGCAACTTATTCAGCTGGCAGCTTTCTTTTAATAAAGGGTTCTTAGCTTGTTCATCCCTTTGCTTGTCTCACAGCTGAGATCATATATCTTGCCCTTACTATACCCCTTCAGTACAGATCTTTAAACATCTGAGGGACTTTACTACCTCCTAATTTGGATCAAGGTTTTAATTCAGGGCTTAGTACAGGAACGACATGTACAGCTCTAGAATAAAAGTCAATAACCTCAGCGGTATAGCTATGGTTGGGATTGACAGTTCTTTGTTGCTGTAATCCTCTATGAACATTAATTTTCAATAATGTTTTGAATATTGAATTAATGAATTTTAATGTTTAATTAAGTTTACAATTAAAAGAGCCAGTTAAAGGGTTATTATTTTGTCTTAAATAAGTTATAAATTTACCACTAGGACAATTAAGGTTTGTACATCAAGGCACATGTTACAAAAGCCTACCTACTTGTAAAACTGGGATGCATAAAACAGAAAAAAATGAGCTTGACTGGTTTGCATGGATAAAATCACCCTTTCTTATGATCAGTGTTGCCATCTCTTTTAGGTTTTCTGGTTGAGCCATAATTTTTTCTTGTCATGTGTTGCTGCAGCTTTCATGGGTTGGATGTGTGCTTTGATTGGGCTGGTGAATAATCATGATTCCAGGTAGTTATGAACTCACAGGAGCTTAATGTTTAAAGATCTTCCCGTAAATCTTACCCCTTGGGCATTGAAAAGTTTAAAAGTTGAACAGGCAGAACTTCTATTGCCAGGATTTTCTTGTAATTTGGTGAGATTTAATGGTAGTATCACAACCTTCTCTAAAAAGTTTCATTGATAATTATTATTTTGTTATGTGATATTCATTATCTATTTTTGCACCTGTGAAAGGAACTTGAAGGTAAGGAGCACATGCAGTGGTTAGTGCCACGCTCAGTCCTTAAACTGGATGCCCAGGGACCCCATTGATGGAAGTTTCCAGCCAATGACAGTTTCATTATAGACTTTCCTACCTTCGGAGTTAAAATAAAGCCCATTTGTTCTAAATTTTCTGTACCCTAATTTTGTACAGTGCAGATAAATAATTTACACTGTAATTTATCTTGTCGAATTTTAAGCCACTGTGCTGTTACACATCATCCTACTCTATGGAGGGTCATTGGCCACATTCATGATTTCCTAAATGGTGCTTCATTTTATGTTTGGATTTATCAGGTCAGTGATACCACAACACAGATTTTAGTTTCTAGTGGAATGTAGAAAATTAATATCCATGCCTTCCTTACAGAAGTGTTTTTGGTTTAATCCTCTTTACCACAGCCTGACTCCACTGTCCCCTCAAGAAGATCTGGTTACTGGCTATTTGCACAAAGTTTTATTGTACTAAGTGTTTATAATTTTGAAAATCCTGATTTAACTTTTAACTAAACAATCATCCAATATAGCATACTCTTGGTCACCATCCCTACACCAACATTGATGGCCTGGATCCTGATATTGTTACAACTGACGATGTAAGTTCCAATACAATGTTGTCTTTATTTGCATCATTATCAACAATATTGACAAATTTGACACTGACTCAAGATCATGTATTGAGGCTTGATTCTAACAGCATAGTCTTGCATTTTGTTTGTTTGTTTTTTTAATTTCAGCATCCAGATATAAGGCGCATAAAGTGGACGCAAAAGTGGGTACCTCGTTATGTCTATCAGCATGTCTATGTGCCGCTGGTTTACTGCTTGGTGAGTTCTTTTCCTATCTTTACACCTTTTATCTTCTTGCATCATCATCATCATCATCATAATCATCATCATCATCATCATCAAAAAGCAGGTCATTTATATTATAATATAATAGAAGCTTGAAATCTGAAATGGACCCACTACAGGAAACATAAGGAGCTGTTTACATGGAGGTAGGAAGATCCTAGTACCAGGAAGATTGTAGAAGGCAGAACAACTTTGCGTTGGGTTAACATGCAGAAATTTCGGGCCGTGTAGTGCCCAAGTAGAGAAGGTTCCAGTCGGAATTGAAAATGGTGGGCGACAAAAACAAAAATGTGATTTGGGCCCTTTTGCTCTCTTTACTGGCATTAATAACTACCTTTCAGCAGATTTATCATAATAATCAGCTCATGGTAATGCCAAATGAAATGGCCGGCCTTTATTGCCATTAGGGTTAGGGTTAGAACAACCCACCGCCATTTTTCTATGGTTTGTCCCTAGTACTAGGACATTCCTAGCAAAGGATCCTCCTTGTATCAGGATCTTCCTACCAATAAGCTAGGAAGATCCTAGTACAAGGCAGTTTCTAGCTCTAGGGCCAAGTACAACCCTTTGCATGTAAACTGAATATAGAAAACATGGTGCTAGTATAGGATGATCAGCCTTCTAGGATCTTCCCCCCTCCATGTAAACAGCCCGTAAAACAGATGCACATGCACCTGGGTAAAGTTGATCAAGCTACCAGCTTCTTTGTCCTGCACTCTTTAAGAACAGCGGTGTGGGTTCCTTTTGTGCCCAAGTCTCAATTCAGTGGAATTGCTGTGCTCAAGACAATGCTTACAATTTTTTGTTCAAAATTCTGCACTCATTAGTGTCTATCTATTAACAATTTACATGTAGGTGTCAGATGAAAGGCAGTAAAATATTCGTCCGCAGTTAGTTCAGTTAAGAGCCTGCTAGAGAGTTGGTTTGGCCAGGAATCCAATGGGCGTATCCATTCAGCTATTCTTGTTTGTTTGTCTTTCATAGCTTGGTTTGAAGACTAGAATTCAAGATGTTACAATTCTCTTCTTTATAAAGAAAAATGGTGAGTGAGTTACATGTTATAATAACCTGAAATAGTATTTTTGCAAGTTAATGAAAAAAAAAAGAAAGGCTCAGAACTTCACTTATGGAAGGCCTTTTTCCTCCAAATAAAAATGAATGAAAAAACAAAACGCCGAAAAGAGTGTCTACATGCAGCGAACAATTTTTCCGCTTTTTCACACCTGTAAATAAAACTGATGGGATCTTCTGATACAAAAACCCAGGGTGACGCTAGTTTCCAAACCCTAAAAGCCACCCACACGTATTTTTTTTTACCGAACAAAAGTCACTGCAAAGTTGTAATTCCCAAAGAAGTCCTCGGATCATAATTTTCAAATCCAAAAAAATGGCTTCACACCTTCCTGTCACTATTATACCCAAGTACCCCATTTCAGATTAATTTCAGTATTTTTTTTGGAAAGTTGAATGCATCTTTTTTTAGCATGATCCTTATTTCTTGCTTTCCAGGAATCATCCGCATGAACCCACCATCCGGATCTCAGTTGACTGTTTTCCTCGCCGGCAAGCTGTTTTTCCTGATCTACAGGGTTGTGATTCCTTGTCTAGTACTTCCAGTTTGGAAAGTGGTGAGATATTATAGTACCAACCAGCGGGGCAGCCGTTTGAAGCGGGAATTCCGTGCGCGCACGAACAGGATGACCTCGCGCGCTTTGCGTTCACGTGTGCCGAAAATCTCTCTTCCACGTTCCCCCACCCCTTCCGTCAAACGCTTGTCACCTGGGCTATTCAGCGCTGTAGAATCCCTCGGATCTGCAGAAGGATCATTACTCTCTTACATAAGATATACACGGACATATAGATATGTGTTACACCAAAATATAAGGTTTTTCACCTCTTTTGATTTCAAATTGGGTCTAAAATAGGCAAACTCTTAGTGCTCTATGAAACCAGGGTTTGGAATCGATTATGTTTTTATCTTGCCTTTCGTAAGTGCATATCTTTTTAGTATTATTGTTATTATTGTTATTATTATTATAATGAGTCCTCTAAGCTTAGCAGATTAAAAATCTTCGCAAGATATATTATGCGGAGGCCAGAACAGCTGTCTTTTGCAGGGTGTAGCTGCGGCACTCAGCTTCAACGGATAGGTCTTTCAGAACCTTATTATTATTAATTTTCAGGTTTTTTTTTTTTTTAACCAGGTTATACTGTTTATAATTGCCGACATGGTTGCAAGTTACTGGCTGGCTCTTTGTTTCCAAGCATCTCACGTTGTGAGTGAGGTGAGTACATCATATCTGACGATACTCTGTCATGGTATTTGTTCTTAAATGCTCATTTTTTACCCACTTCAATCCCACTCAACACTATTGAATTAAAAAATAAAATGGTGAGCCAGTCATATCTTTGCGGTTTGTACAGCAAAATTTTGATATCTCAAGATACCGCTTACACTAGTCCTTTTCTTTCAGGGCTGTCATTGGTAGCAGGCAGCCAGTGTTTTTAGCCGGCTTCTGCATTAGAATCAGCTGGCTTCTTTAAGTTTTAAAATTAGTCAAACATTAAATTTTTAACAAATGTAGGAGGATCTGCGGGAGGAATACCTAAGAGACGAGCTACTGAAAGCTTAAACGGAAGTCCTGTTCTTTGCCCACAAATCCAGGCAAAAAATAAATTATTGTGCAAGTGCACGTACAATCTATGACCTTGGAATACCAAATATAGTACACATATGATCGACTGTTCACTGTTGCTGTTCATCTTGCAGGTGGACTGGGTCGAACCTGGTAAAGATGGAAAGATGACACAAGACTGGTAGGTTTTTGTTTAACAGAGGGGAGGGAAGGGTGCATCTTCTAGAGAACTCTTCAGCCATAATTCTTCAATGACAGAGGGCTGGCTAGAACAATCCAGCGGTTCTCAGTTGAACGCAGAAACTGTCGAAAAGTAATTTGAAGATCGCTCTGGGTTTTGCATATGTGCGCTATATGCAACGATGATGGCTACAGAAAGGAAAACCTCACGAATAAAGAGAATTCGCCTGTTTTCAAAGTTCGTCCTGATTTTTTCCAACTTGCTTAAAATGGCAAATCTATTGTTTAGTCTTCCTTGAGTTGAATTCTTGGTGGCTGCAGAAAAGTTTGTAAAGAAAGAGGAAGAAAAATCAGCCGTCGATATTTTACGTCCTCCATGAAACGCCGCTGATCCCAAAGTCACTTAGTAGGCAGTCGTCTAGTGACGGCAAAGAAATTTACCAAAAAGCCAGAAAGTGTGATGCACATGTACAGTTGTTGTTTCGCTCTGTCTCATTGCTTTTTTGACGTTCTCGTTCCTGTCTCCGTCGTTGTTGCTAAAGCTTCCAATTGTCTTGTTTCTTAGGGCGGAGCTTCAAATACAAACAACACAGGACTATGCCACTGATAGCTGGTTTTTCAACGTGTTCACAGGTTAGTTTGGAGTGTATCATAGATTTTATTTTTTTTGGTTTTAGCGAGAATGTTGTAGTGGCGGGAACAAGTTGTGGCTAGAAGTTTTATCATGTGTGATCGGGATAGGGCTTAACCCCCTTCAATAAAAATAACTGTGTTAACTTTTTTGGTGAAAAATTACAATGAAGCTTTTCTGGCTGTCGATTTTTTAAGAATACGCGCAAAAAAACTTAAAGTTATTCTCGTCCTCCTAGTCCTAACCTCGTCTTCGAATCTAAAGGTCTCTAATGGTAAATTGTAAAGTTAAGTTTTGTTTTGTCATCAGGGGCTCTCAACCATCAGACCACACATCACCTCTTCCCTGGAGTAAGTCAGATTTACTATCCAGCGATTACTCCCATCGTGCGTGAAACGTGCAAGGAGTTTGGAGTCAGATACAATTACAAGGACACTTTCACCCAGGCCCTTGGCGCTCATATTGGACATCTAAAGAGGCTGGGACAACAGCAAAAGGAACAACATTTAATGAACAGCAGTAGACATGACTGAGTTGGTCAGGAAGCTATTGGCTCCTCGAGTCTAACTTCAAGCTACTCTGTATATGTTGTAGTTAATTTTTTATTTCAGTTAATTTTTATTTTTCCGTTGTTTTGGGGTATGGTAATGTATGCTAATGAATTTAAAACAAAGGAAAAACAAAAATTAACTGAAATTAAAAATTAACTGCAACATATATAATGTACTGTAAACGAGGGTATATGAGATACTGTGCATCCGAACGGTCTTTTGGATCGTCGCGCAATCCTTCCAAACGAACGTGCTTTTGCGTGACGAACCAAAAGTACTTCTACAACTGAAGTCGAAGGCTACAGCACTTGTCAAATTTTGTTGCAACACTAGACAACTTATCTACGTTTTCCCCTATGTGTACTTCTCCTTCTCCAGTTTTAAGATTCTCGTTTCTTTGGTAGGGGAGGGCGCGTAAGGTGACACGTGTTTCAACAATGTTGACGAGTATTGTAGCAAACTGTTGGCTTTGCTTTTAAAGAGAATTGAAATGATTTTACAATAACTTATTCTGAAGTTGTAACGGCAAGTCAGCCCTGTGCGGGTAGGAGCCCAGCTCCTGTTTAAATACTATTTAGAGAGGAAAGTGTTTGCAGAGTGTCAGGTACATGTTAGGTGTCACCAGTTTTGTTTGTTGTTTTGTTTTCTTTCTTTGTTTTTGGCCGTTGACAGCTTTATAAATCAGTCCGTTATCTCTCTTTATAAATGGTCGAGGGAGAAGCCTTAACTTGTGTGTAAAAATTCTTAGTGTTAGGGAATGCTGATGCTATTGATACTACTTCTATTGGCACCATTGTTACTACTTTTAGTCCTACTACTATAAAGTGTATGTACTGATGTACGAGATCTGTAACATAAGTGGAACGGTACTGATTTGTGAATAAATGAGATTTTAAAGGGGGATTTGTTTTCGACGTTATGTAGTTTTGCCACCTCTATACCCTTAGTCTGCTACACAGCCGTTTTTAGTGTCGTCACGCAAGGAGCGTTGCGTGACGACACTAAAAACGGTTGTGTAGAAGACTACCTACCCTGGAAAATACCCAAACAATTCCTTAAGCTTGTCCGGGCATAGAGTGATGTGAAAGAAATATTGTAAACGGAGCAAATTGTAACCAGACGGTCTGGGGCTGTACGCTGATTTCCTTTTTTCGCCACTTTAGAAGCGAGAAGGGAACTGGAGCCGAAATACGTCCCGCAATTGTTTCTGGGATTGTTACTGATGACGCAGCGGTAGTAACTATCCCGGAAGTCTTTGCGAAAGTTAACTCGGTCCAGTTTCCCTCTCATTCGTAAATAGGCGATTTGGTTTGGTTACTAGAATAACTCGATTGAACTAGCAAGCTTAGCAGTAGGCACTTATTACAGGATGCCAAGGTACAGGGGTCTTGTTTGTAGCTTCCCGTTGGACTGCTATCACATAGAGATTGACACGAACTTGAACTTTACAAATGACATCACTTCATGAAGATGAAATCTGGCTCGTAGTTACACAACTTCTTCGATAGGAGCGGTTCATAGTGTAATCAATCAAGGATTATCGCGCTACTTTGATACCGTTCTGTTAGCTGTCTGGTGCTCTTTTAACTAATATAAAGGAAAGTTGCAACTAGAAAACGAATTGCGAATAATACGGCTACATTTCTCGTGATGGATTCTAGTTTTAGAGATAAGATTTAAGTTTCAGTTGATCTTGGGTATAAGTTAAGGCAATTCAAAAATTCTTTTGAAATTCAAAACTAGTGTTGTTATATCGGTTCCATTCAAGGATAAATCTTCATTGTTACAAGTGTTACTTAGTTTACCTTTTCTGTATCAGTTTTCTTTTGTGCAATCTTCCCTTTTTTTTAAGAAAGAGGGTTCCCATTAGGGTTTTTCTATCCTGTAATACCGACCCAGAATTTCGGGCAATTCCGTAGTACCGAGGGTTATTTTTGGCATTCCACCTCCCGCGCATATTTTCAATCCCGAATCTCGCCCCGATTTCGCTTTAAAATCCCGAATCCCAGCCTCAAATAAGGGAAATCTCGCAACCCGAAAAACTTATTAAAGACCCTCATGAAAGGGAACTAATTGTTGGATGCTAAAGCCGGTCACCTGATGCCGGAGTGAAATCTATGTTGGTCTAAAACGGTACTGGATTGCATGATCTTTATCAAGTAAAGCTCTTTTTCTCTTACGATGTTCCATCTTATTTCCCTTTTTCACAGAGAGTAAGGCAAGAGAGGCTTTTTTCTTTGGCGATAAAATATGGCTGGCGTTAAAGTCGGACTTCGTCTTGTCACTTACTTGAGACCGAGAAGAAGGAAAAAACGTTATATAATCAGTCAATATCGGGGATTCAAACTGTATGCGACGCGTGCAGGCTATGCAAACAGGATGCAAAGATGAGCGATTTTTTTTGTTTATAAACGATCCTTCTGCGTGATTTTTTTATTCAAATGCACCAACCTCTGAAACAAAGAACCATTAGTGGGTTAGGATAGAACACGACTTTCCAATTTTTGGAAGATTCCGTCCAGAAACTCAGGACTACCTTTTTAGGTGTTCCTTTGTTTGCAGAAATTTTCCACCGGGAGGACACGAAAAGATGTTACATTTACTTTTTAACTAAATTTTTCGGAGACTTCTTGAAAATGGCCAATAACAACCACTGACTGTGCGCCCCATTCCCCCCTCCCCACGGGTTAGGGGGTGGAGACAGCCGACATTTCAGACTACCACTGACAGTAGCCTTTGATCTAGCTTCCCACCAGATGTAGGAGCCTCGTCACGCGCGTCCTTCCGCACGTTCCCCGCGGAAGAAACGCGTGACGGGGCCCAAAGAACGCCTGTGTGGCTTCGGTAGACAAAGAAATGTCTTAAGAGTTCCTAGAGGTCTAGTGAGACCTAGTGTCTAGGGTCGGGTTGCAAAAAACATCTTAAGATTAACATGAAGCCGGCCATATTTCAATTCATCTTGTCATGTCCCAATCAACAGTGGCTCCCACAAAGACTGTGTCGTTGCCAATATTAGACTGGATTAAGGGAACTCGTAACTATTATTTCAAAACAAAAGGTTATTGTTCCAGAACAAAAGTTAAGAGCCCTCTTACTGATTTTAAGACGGTTTTATGCAACCTGGCCCAGGGACTTGGTAGCGCCCAGTATATTGTCATCGCAGTTTCGCTTAATATAATTCCAGTACAACGTGATGATATTTTAGCGGACATTTTAGTTACTGTTCAATTATTGTATGATGCATTTTGCCTATTTCTTTATTTTTTATTTTATCTATTGTTTCTGCTCGCTTCGCTGACCCTCAACCCAACCGTGAATAATTATGCTCTCCTCAGGCGCCTTGGCTGACCGTACCAATATCAAGTAAATTTCTCACAGCTCGGACAGTTCTCTCTTGAAATCATGTTAAATACGTCGGCAGTAAGGCAGTTCACTTGGGAAGAGCTGATCTCTTTGAATCAAAAACACAATGCACATGTCGCAGTTCGCGGAAAGGTAAGAAAAATCGGAGATGGAAAGTTGAATTTACAAACATTGTTCGGTATTTATACAATCTCTCAGACAATTACAACCACTGCCTTGATTTTTTCCGTTTTGATGATTTTCAATTGTACTGTGAGCAGTGCGGTATCAGGAAATAATGAGTGCTGATTAAACTTTCTCCGCATGCGAGAGACTGGATTTTTGATGGAAGCTTAAATGCACGACAGCCCAACTTTCAGCATACTTAATCCCCGCATTGCATAACAAAAACGTACGGTGGCACACAAAGCCAATACACAAATATATATTATATTACTGCATTCTGCATCTTAGCCGACACAAACAAATTCATTGGCTGCGCGAGTATATTTACCAGTACAATAAAATATACACTAGTTCAACAATATGTATCCCAGTACAGAAATGTTAATTTCAGTACAAAAATATAAACTCGAGTACGGAAAGATATCTCCAATTCTTAGTACTTAAATAACAGCTCCAGTACAAAAATAATATCCATCTCTCAGACAAAACATAAACGCCAGAACAAACATATTCATCGGTTGTGCGACTACACTTTTTCTTCAGTGCAATAAAATACATGTATACAACAGTACAACAATATGTATCCCAGTACAGAAATATAAATTTCTGCACTGGGATACATATTGTTGTACTCTTGTATACATATAAATTTCAGTACAAAAATAAAACTTTCGGTACAGAAAAATATTTTTTAACAAATTTGGGAAAAATCGGTAGGTGCTTTATATATGATTATTACTATGTAGCAAATATGCTTATTATAGTGTACCTAAACAAACCTTATATCTTTCATTGTTATAATAATCTCAACTATACAGCACTAAACACCACCTTACACCTCTATACCACATCATACACTCCTATACATCACCACACGTCCATGTGCAATACCATGCACCTCTATACCTCAAGAATTACCTCTATACATCACCATACACCCATGTCAGCACCCGTGTATAATACCATGCACCTCTATACATCCCATATACCTCAGTTTCATCACCATTTACCTCTATACATCACCATACACCCGTAAAACCATGAGCCTCTATACATCACCATATACCTCTATACATCACCATACACCCATGTATAAAACCATGAACCCCTATACATCACCATATACCTCTATACAACATCTTACACCCCTATTCATAACCATACACTTGTATACAATGATCGTGTGTAGAGGTCTATGGTTATTTATAGGGGTGTAAGGTGATGTATAGAGGTATATGGTGATGTATAGAGGTATATGGTAATGTATAGAGATAAATGGCGATGTAAGGGGTTCATGGTTTTATACATGGTTTATGGTGGTTTATAGAGGTGTATGGTGATGAAAAAAGGTATATGGTGATGTATAGAGGTGCATGGTGTTATACATGGATGTATGGTGACGTATAAGGGTGTATGGTGACGTATAGAGGCATATGGTGAAGTATTGAGGTGCATGGCATAATAAATGGGTGCATGTTTAGAGGTATTTCATGAGGTTTAGGGGTGCATGGTGTTGGATAGTGTATGGTGTTGTAAAGAGGTGTATGGTTGTGTTTAGTGCTGTATAGTCGAGAAAATTTATAATAATGAAATATACAAGGTTTGTTTAGGTGCACTATAATAAGCATTTATTTAGGTACATGGTAATAATCATACGATATATGAAGTACCTACCGACTTCTCCAATTTTTCTTTTTAATTTTTCTGCACCGAAACTTTTATTTTTGTACTGAAATTTATATTTCTGTACTGGGATACACATTGTTGTACTGTTGTATACATGTATTTTGTTGTACTGAAGAATGTAGTCGCACACTGCAATGAATATGTTTGTTCTGGAGTTTATGTTTTTGTACTAAGAGATTGATATTTTTTTGTACTGGAGCTGTTATTTGTGTACTAAGAATTGGAGATATCTTTCTGTAGTGGAGTTTATATTTTTGTACTGAAATTAACATTTCTGTAATGGGATACATATTGTTGTACTGGTGTATATTTTATTGTACTGATATTTTTACACGCACAACCGATGGATATGTTTGTGTACTAATGAGATACAGATTGCAGTAATAAAATATATATTTGTGTATTGCCTTTGTGGGCCACCGTAATAAATAGAGGGCTTTTGAGAATTGAAAGCTAAAATTTTTACATCGTGTCAAAAACGCTGTTTTTAAAGGGCATTCCCTCAATTTCCCCTCTACAGAACATAAAAGGAATTTTCCAATTGTGTATATTTTTGCTGACTGAAGGAATAAAAATCCCTGGAAAGTGGAGCATAGGCAAATGTCACAGACCACTTTCTTCCTTACTACCGGTAGATGTAAATCTGTGAACAGAATTCCGGTTTGAACCCAGTAAAGAACAGTCCGTAAGCGACCGCGCTCCGGTAGACTTTATCCGCGGATTCCGGAATCCGGAAATTTTTTTGGTGGAATCCGGAATCCTTGGCTTTTAAATCCTGAATACAGCTCAAGGAATCCAGAATCCTGCAATGATTAGAATCCAGAATCCAAGTTCCTTTGTTAAGGATCCGGAATCCACAGCGATGAACCCAGAATCCAAGACTGTCTTGGACTACCTTATATAGTAGTTGTTCAACACAGTACTGGCCATGTTCTGTTTAACCGGAATTTTTAATACAAGCCGCCTGTCAAGTAATTTATATCTCGCAAAATATGTATAGGTCTTATACAAGTGGTAAAACATGTCTTTCCCAACCATACAATTTTGAAGCACCTCTCTTACTCCAACTTTAACTATTCTTTTAGGTTTATGATGTCAGCAAATTTCTCACCCGTCATCCAGGCGGTTCAGATCTCCTTCTTATGGCGGCAGGAAAAGATGTTACAGTCGTGTTTGAGACCTACCATTCCTTCAGTGAAATTGCCCCCAAGTAAGCTCTTAAGAATACTATTAAGGAAATTGCCTACACTGGAGGCTCGATTTCCGCTGCTTCCCCTTCCCCGACCTTTGATCCCCCGGGGGGGGGATGAGTTCGGACTTATTTTCTCGAATACCGGCTGCTAATCAAGCCTATCTACACTAATTCTTTTTCGACAACGCAGCGAAAGTTCGCGTCCATACTTTCTCATCATTTTGGATTGTCTACACTGAGTCATTTAACAGAGGAATATCCGGCGATATGCTTTCGTTGTACAGCTTTTCTTATGTGTACTTCTTGTAGCCTCGGTTCCAGGCTCCAAGATATTAGAAAAAGCGCATCGAGAAAAGTTGCGCGAAAACCGCGGGGAAGCTTCCCTTTTCTCTTCCCGCCGTTTTTCGCTCACACGCTTTATCATTGCTCGCCCGCTTTTTTCGCTCATCTGCACTGACCAAGAGCCTGGCGCACGCTATACTTCTCGCTGCACTAGTTTCAATGGCTCCAACGAAACGCTTGTTTTTCCGAGCAGCTCCTATTCGTTCTATTTGCTCATTAGAATTACAAGATAGGTTTTGCCTGGCAAGAACGTGGAACGTGCTGAAGCCAGTTTTTGCGAGAGTGCAGCTAACGAGTCAGAAAAGAAAACCCTGTGAGAAAAAGCTACGATTTGTTTGATTCCTCTGAAAAATGGCGCAAGTAACAGGCGTGCCCCTTAAACTATTGAAAAAGGAATCAAGATTTGACTGACTCTAGACAACGATCTACAGTTGTACATGCATAGGTTAACAACTGACTTGCATATTTTCTTTCAACAGAACACTGCAAAAGTATTATGTTGGTGATCTGGTTACTAACAAATTTCCAACCTTTCCAGAACTTGGGTAAGTTAAAGCTCAAAGAAACTGAAGAAAAGGAAAGGGAGTTGTAACAAATGTTAACTTTTTGAGCCTCACTAGTGATTATTAGCAATTCTCTCCCAATGATCTGGGGGATCATGAGAATTATGTTTATGATCACCCGAGATTAATTCTCAGGATATCTGGGCAAGTTCTCCACACTTTTACGATAAGAAACGTAAGGGACATGTAAGAAAAATTTGAATTTTGATTTCGGGGACCAAAGGGTTAAACGAAAAATAAAAATTACGGAAGAAGTTGAGATCCTGAGGTCAGGCTAAAAGTGTTGGCCGTGCGGTTATCTTGTTTACCCCGACAGGAAACTCTGCTTTTTTCTGCCTCTCATCGTCCAGATGAACAAATCAGTGGCGTTTACGAATTGCGGGGGTAACAAAATAAATTAATAAGTTTTGATTAACGTCAAGTTGCATCGCCGCAGGGAATTCTATAAGACAGCACGAGAGAGAGTGAAGAACTATTTCAAGGAAACAAAACAGGTAATAAGTTACAAATAGTTCTAGAAATATTGAAGTGCGTGCCCTTCCTTTCTAATATTTGCATTTACTTTAACCCCCAGAACCCGGGCCCCTAGTTTGAAGCCCCATCGGCGCTCTAACCTTTCTTCCCGTAGCCTGCGAACAAGCTCTTCTATTTGGGCGAGTAAAGCGAGTCTAGCGAGAACGCGCGAGCGAGCAGCGAGGCTGCGAGGGCCTTTCCTCAGCCCCTCGCTCGCGCATTCTCCCGAGACTCACTTCGCTGGCCCAAATAGGAGAGCTTGCTCGCAGGCTATTCTTCCCGTGCGTACACTTTCAAAATCTCACGCTACGCCTGTGTTGAGATTGTTACAGTTGATACTTAAGGGTTTTAGTAATTAGTTATGTTATAAACTTCTCTTTAATAAATACAAAGAAGCGCAAATCTTTCGAAGACTCTCTCTAAAGTGTAGGTTCCAACGGTGTTTGTGTTTACTAAACTAAATAGTATAATAAATCAAAGAGCATTTTGAAATAATGAATGTATTTCATAAATTGGAACTGCGGAATAAAGAAATAAATGCTAAGAAGATCTTATACAGGGTAAAAAATGACTGAACATCGGCCGAAAGCAATTGCAGGTGCCTGTTTCAGGTAAATGACCGAATGTAGGAGGTGTTTTTTGGTACATGAGTACTGTACACCCGGGGGTAATTCTTGGTGGGGGTGTGCCGCCCGGTTCTCCAAATCCTGACGCTATTTCATAACAAAAAATGTAACCCGTTTTCAGACCTGGCCACTAAAATCCATACCCTTTTTCCCCGGCCTTTTTCAGACCTGGCCTCTGGAAAATTATGTCATCATTACGTGGATGAGAACAGCAACAAAAAAGATTTCTTAAAATCTCTTCGAATTCGCATACTGTCAACTCTTTCTTAACGGGCACCTTTATAAGAGGGACACCTCTGTAAAATTGACCGCTAGAGTTGGTCCCTGCCTTTCTTTGCTCCTTTTACTTGAATCTCTATAATACAGACATCTCTTCTACACGGACACTTATTGTCCGTCCCAAAGGTGTCCGTTTCAGAGAGAGCTGACTGTATTTCTCTTTTAATTGGAATTAAAACGATAAATACGTTCATACACTCCCGTAGTTTCCTCGAAAACCATAACCGATTCCAGACCAAAATGGACGAAGTCTATAGCCGTTTTCAGACCCAAACAGCGGGAAAACCCTACCCTTTGAGGCGGCACATGGCTGTGTGGCTTATTTAAGGGTGTACCCTCCCCGCACTGTACATTTAAACTACTGATATAAGGAAATGTCTTTCAACAGGATCCTAAGAACTCACCGTGGATGTGGTTAAGACACGCGATCATGCCATCGATGACGATGATCTTTTGGCTTGCACAGGCTAGACAATTTTTTCATTATTATTCATCATACAAGTCTTCCTATTTGTTTGGTTCTTGGAGAGCTTCTTTCAAAACAAGCAATCTCAGAATAAAAAGAACCACAGACAGAGTAGGCTAAAGGCCTTAGCACACAGTTTAAAATCGCGCACATGTACTCCATAATTGTGATTACCTACTTATTTTATTTTTTTTCCGGCAGATGTTCTGGTTAACCCACAGTTTTTTTCTTTCCTGTGTCGCGGCCGCTTTCATGGGTTGGTTTACGGCGCTAACAGCAATGGTCAGTGTTCACGATGCAAGGTAAAAATGTCAATTTTCTTATTAAATGAACTGAAAAAATACCGTCAAATTTGTATCGTGCGACAACTTCTATTTAGCGACCACTTGCTTAAGTCTCAGAAATCATTTCCCTTGAGTGAAGTTCTCTAAAGCCGTCCTCTTAAGGTGGTTGCGGTCGTCCTGTGTGTCATTATCAATTTTTCCCGGACAGTAATAGCAAGGCCGAAATTTCTTCTGAAATAATTGGGTACACCACATAATTTTTTGGCTGATTCAGTAGTCAGAAGCACCCAACGTCAATTTTTGGAAAATATCTGTTCGGAAGACGATAAGAGATCTAGAAGTTTCGAAACATTTGTTGTAAAATTTCTTGCTTGCGTGCCCTCCTAGGATTTTCGAACATCTAAAAAATGGTATTATTGTCCATTTTTAACGGATTTTTATCCTAAAAAGGTCACTTACAATTTTCGGGAGCCTTTTTTCCGGCTAAAATTTTCGAAAAGATAAGTTTCGATCCCTATAATTTTTGGATAACTAGACTTTCATCTAGGAAATCGGAACAGATGAAAAATTTTTAGGGGGTAAAAATATGCCTATATCTATCGCTTAAATACTAAAATACGTTCAACAACGCTATGATTAAGTGGTTTTGAACTATATTCTCTTTGGGTGCCGCCCTGAGTAGTGATTGACTGTGGGAGAGCTACGGTTAAATTTGATATTTTCCAATTAAATTCCAACAGCCATTTTGCCGTAACAAGGAATCCTATTATCTGGAGACTGGTTGGTCATAGTCATGACTTTTTAATGGGAGCCTCCTACCACGTGTGGGTTTATCAGGTAATAATTCCCATAAAAAAAACTGTATCGCTTGTTCCTGTTCCATGTGTTTAGAGAGTGGATCGCTGGTGAGAAATCGAGGGATCGAAAAAAATGAGTGGGGACCGGGAACAGTGGTGCTCACCCACCCTCAAAGGGTTAACGTGTGATGCACGAGCGCGCGCGAGGGAGATGGGAGGAGGGAAGGAGACCCTCGCACTTCTCGAGCTCAAAATCCCCTTTTCCTTCTCTTTCAAAGGGCCGACAAAATAGGATCTGTTTCTCAGTTGTAGTTGCTTACAGTTCTGCCTATACTAGGAAAACGTGTCACCTTTTTTTTTTTTTTTATCTCCCACACTTTTTATTTAGCATATCTTTGGTCATCATCCTTACACCAACATTGACGGTTATGATCCTGATATCAGTACAGCTAAAAATGTGAGTGTTTTTCGTTTCTTATTTGGGTCTGTCCGGCCTAACATCTTCGAAATACTAGCTTCCATTAACACTTTTTTAATAACACATTGATATTTTCGCATCAACATTTTAATTTATTTTCCCATTAGAAGCCAGATCTGAGACGCATAAAATGGAACCAAAATTGGCTTCCTCGATATTTTCATCAGCACATCTACATGCCTTTAATATACTGCCTGGTAAGTTAACTTCTTTGATTCTAGACTAACTGGCTGTTAAAAACAGTGGCTGTACTTTTAGCTATGAGGTAACGTTACAAATATTTTAACGCTGAAATATTCAACGCGAACCCTCAGAATGCGTAAAAACGCCAGAAAGTTGGCTGAAGTTTTAACTGCAACTTTTATAAGAATTTCAAAACCTAATTTATTTTGCATTCTAGGCGTTCTTTGTGTTGTCACCCAACACTCCAAGCGTTGCGCGCGCGACGATACAAAAAACAGCTGGGAGAATAATGATATCATTTCTTTTCTCCTCAAATTTGCAGCTGGGTTTGAAAACTAGGACTCAGGATATCGCCGCATTGTTTATTTGGAAGAAAAATAGTAGGTTGAATGAACCTTTTAGTAATTTAAGGTTTCATTAAAATCTTATTCAAGCTTGAATTTAACCCCTCCTTTATTATTCTTTCCGTCTAGGCACCATAACTTTCAATCTACCATCAACTTCTCATGTGGTCGTATTTATTACTGGCAAACTCTTCTTTTTGTTTCATAAAATTTTGCTGCCTGCAATGGTACTCGGCGTTTGGAAAATGGTAAGCTAAGTAGTTCCACATTAGGGCGATTTGTACTAGAAAAAAGAAGGTGCGTCTTGAATGAGACGCCAACTGTACCGTTTATGCAGGCAACTCTCACTTAAGACGCGAACAGCATGTGTAAATAGCCTCGTCCCCAGGGTCTTCTCTAGCCTTCGTGGCAGACATCGGGGCAAGGGGTAGTGGAGGAAGGGGAAAAGGCAGGCTTTTGTTCTCTTTCTTGCCTGTAGCAATGGCAATCCAACATGGTATCCAACATGGCGCGTGTTAGAGTAACGCATGCGTGCTACATAAGACGCCAAGTTTCTTCGTCTCAGCTAAGAAACGCCAACAGGTTTTACGGGCCTTTCTTACTGAGAGAAAACACGTCTTCTTAGATAAGTCACGTCGCTTCAAGCGACTTGTGCCATTTATACTGACGCCTCTTATTTCTCCCTCTCTAAAAGGCCCCGTTGCGAAGCATCATTAAAACCTACCAATGTGATCAGATTCGCCTTCGCTTTTAGAGCAGCGCTCGCGGTCTCTCACTGTCGTTACCAGCCCGGTCGTCAGATTGTCTGTTGCTAAATCTACCGTAAGATTGTTGGTCGCCCCCAAGAATACAAGAGACTGGCTGTGTTGTAATTTCTGAGATTCAACCCTCAGTGAAGTTCGTTTAGTTGACAATTGACCACTCCAGAAATACCATAACATACCGTAATGCTCTTTGTTTATCACCCCAAAATTTTGCATAAGCATTGTTTTCAGTTTCTCTTAAGGCCATTTCAACTCCCAAGAGAACTGAAGACAATGCTTATGCAGAATTTTTGGGTTACAAAAAAGAGTATTATGACATGTTTTTTTTTTTACATTGGAAAACTAGATTGCTCTCTACACCATTGCGGAGATTGTAGGAAGTTACTGGTTGGCTCTCATATTTCAGGCCTCTCATGTTGTAAGCGAGGTAGGTTCAGAATCCGCAGGGACTACTCCCTCCCTGTAATGGCCTACACAGTATACGGGGGGGGCTCCGCCCGAAAGGGGTACCTTTGTCATCCTTCAGGTAAATGAAAGGATAGGGAAGAGGGACAACAAGGGCCAACAGATGCATTTTATTGCTGTGAAAAAGTCGAGAAAACGTTCTGATTTTGTGATATATTCATATTGTTGACAGTGCCTTTGCAGCAGTTAAAAGGGATGCAATGTTCTAAACTAGGAATGTGAAAGGGGTAACATTGGTCAAAAGAATATATACGAAAGGGGTATCTTTTCTTTCAAAGAGGGTGGATAAAAGGGTAAGGGGTTAGACCCCAAGGCAGACCCTTTCAATATAAAACTTTGTTGAGCCCCCCTCCCGGAGTTCAGAAGTGGCTACAATGTTGTCTGGCATCTAATGGGTATTCATTGTGGACTGATTCAGATAAGTTTGATTTGCTTGGTTCTATCATCTTTTTACCTCATTGTAACATTGTAACAAAAAGAATTTTAGTATCGAAAGACTCGATAAAAAGATGAATTAAAAGCTGTTAGACACCACCGCCATAGGGACGCAGCTGACTATGAAGAATTTGAACCACGTCCGGCACTTTTGTGACATAAACATAACGTCTTTTTTCCCAGTCGAATATGAATAAGAGAAAGAAGCGAGTTTTGTTTTCGTGATTTTTCACAGGTTGATTGGCCGCTACCAGATGAGAATGGCAAGATCAACCGTGATTGGTAAATTATTTTAATTAATTGATATCGATTTCTACAAATGTATTATTGCTCTTGGCACTCTGTGAAATTGTGACTTATTCAACGTTTACTGGGTGCTCTGCAAGTATTTTAGTGATCAGTATAGGTGTGTTCTGTTTCAGGGCAGAGCTTCAGATTGAGACGACTCAGGACTATGCGACAGACAGTTGGTTCTTCAATGTTTTTACAGGTTTGTTTAGCCTGCGAACAAACTCTCCCTTTGGGGTATTCGCGAGAATTCACGTGACAGCCGTACAAGAGGTGACGCGAGTACGAGGGGCGGGAAAAGATCTCCTTTTCCCCACCCCTCGTGGCTTCGCCGTTCGCTCACGCGTTCTCTCGCTTCGCGCACCAAAATTGGAGAACAGTGAAAGTACTTTACGGATCAAAGGTCTCAGCGTCCGTACAATACTCTGAGGAGGCTTCTGTTATTCTTGTTCCATCATACGAATCGCGCGAGAGAAGAAAATGGCCACGCGTGCGCCTTTCGAGTCTCGTGTCTGGCGCCTTTTTTCTCTCGCAGCTCACATATTACGCGAGGCATTCTTGTGTCTTGGGGTAGTAGGTTTTGTCTTGTTGCTTTAACGGAAAGGTCCCTAGGGCAAGCACTAATTGTCCATCTCTAAAAAGGTCACTGTGTATGCCTTACGGAGATTCAAAGAAAATGACAACAGCGGTAACGAGGCCAAATGTGGCCGTCTCTTTTTGGGTTCAATTTAGGTTTCTGGGAAACTGCCCACCTACCCCTCCCTCAAGCCAACATAAACCTAAGTGAGAAAAGTGTTAATGTGGGCTTAGGGGTAGGTGGGCAGTTTCATAGGAGCCTAAAGTGATCCGATGTTTGTCTTGAACTTGGCTGCCAAGAGATATTTGATTGTATCAAGAGAGAATAATTATTCGCTCTTGATTGTATCAAAATAGAGCATCTTGGCATCAATAAACGCGAGGAACTGTAACTAGATATAGTATATCTTTTATTTTTTTGTTATCTTGTCTTTTAAAGTAGCCACACCATACCACGTCATTATTATGTAATTTTCGGTCATTATTTTACTTCATATATATTTCTGTAAATTCGTGACATCTCAATAAACCTGATGAAGACTGGTATTGGCCAGTCGAAATATCGCAACTAAACTCTATTTCACGTTGTTTGATCAGTCCCTGCAAAAGTCTTCTTGACTGTAACGTTTTCAATTTTATATATTTTGACAGATCACGATCTTTTTGGATCCGACGTTGAACAAGATTGTTCGTACACGGTTTTTGCAGTGGTTTTTTTACCTTAACTAAACATTGTATCAAAATATTTATGCGGTTTCTCCATTTTTTTTTTTTTCATTTTTCATCAAAAGCTTGGAACATCGACGCATAGAACAAGCAGCGATACTCGAATACAATAGCATTTATAACCAGGCACCGAACTACATTCGGGAAATGTTTTTACTGCGAAGCAATGGTTACAGCCTACGGGGCCATCTTAAGGTTGTTCTTCCAAGACCGACCTCATCTTATATGAAACATTCTTTCACGTACCAGGCTGGCAAACAATGGAACAATCTACCAGACAAAATAAGGATGTCGGAGTCCCTCTCTATCTTTAGGAAAAACTTACAAAGCATGCAGTTGTCTTCATCGTATGACTGCAACTGTGTATTTTGTAAATAGACAATCTGATTACCAATATTTTCTCTTTTTAAATTATTATTATTTTTTAGTTGATTTAATTTTTCTATTTCTTATTTTTATTTATCACTTGTACATGTAGATTATGTAAATTATCACGTTGTAATTTTTATGGCACATTTGCATTTAAACGAGCTAACGCTCAGATGCGATATGTGGTTAAATAAACTTACTTACTTACTTACTTACTTACTTACTTACTTACCAGGGGCTCTCAACCATCAGACCGCCCATCACCTCTTCCCTTCTGTGAGTCAGATTTACTATCCAGCGATAACTCCCATCGTGCGTGAAACGTGCAAGGAGTTTGGAGTCAGATACAATTATAAGGACACTTTATTCCAGGCCCTTGGCTGTCACATATCACATCTCAAGAGACTGGGCCAACTACCAGAGAAACCGTCAAATCTGAGACAGGAGAGTTAACATGGCGACAAACAACCACAGCGGGGAGGGGAGCGCGTTATTATTTAACCTTTGTTCCCAGGGCTTTTCCCTCAAAAATTAGGAGGGCCGGAAAAGGCCGGTCACGTATACCTTGGCAAACCGTTAGGTTTTGCTTCTTTTTTGTGGGGGTTGGGGCGGGGGGCGGTTGGGGGGCAGTAAAGTGAGCTGCTTGATTACAAAGATGAACAAACCTCATTTTTAAACCACACAACCCAAGATATGTACGGTATGCGCTTTTGTTTTCGTTATCAAATTGTCTACTGTCCGTTCAACTATTTTCAAGAATCAAGCGACCGACCGGTTCAATGTACAGTACATAGACTAGCTCTCTTTTCTTTAATTACACAGCAGGTCTGGCAATGATAAAACACACTTCAGTTTATACTGCACTTCTAGGTACTTCAAGGTTAGTTCTAAAACATTGACCTCTGAAATCGCAATCGACTTACGGCTCCCAACCCCTCCCTCCCGATTTTTCATTGGAAAGCTGTCATGGAAACGAGGTTGCGTTTTCATTCTCAACTCCCGCGATAAGGCGGTCCTTCTTCCTTTTTTCGCTCTTCCCCGAAAAAAAAAAAGAACGCCTGATCGTAGATTATTTTGGACCAGATTAAACTGCAAACTAAAAAGATATCGTATGAATAGGTAGACGAAATTTTGTAGCCTGTTTTCGTTGCAAACTAAGACCTCGTGGAACGTTTTACCATGGATGTGTAGTAAATTTTGGAGCTTATGTAACAAATCACAGAATTACTGAGATTTTCATTGCTGTAAATACTTTGTAGCTAGAAAACTAGCACATTCTTACTTTTACAAAATAAATTTGTCTGATGTGATAAGCGCTCGTTTGCTTTATCGAGACTTGGGGGTAGTTGGTTCTTGCATCGAAAAGACCGCATTCTACTCATCTTGGTCAAGGGTAGCCTGCATAGCAAGCGTTTCCGCGCGAGTTCGTCGTGAAAGTTGGGACGAGAGCAAAAAAAAAAAACTCGACTGGAAACGCTTGCTACGCAGGCTAGGTCAAGGGCTTTCCGTATGCCGGGTTGTTCAAACCGGGCTTAAGATAATCCAGGATAGTGCAAAATTTGAATTCGGAACTAGTAGTGTTTATAAATCAAATTCCTCATAGTGAATTCCAGCTTTTTAATAGCCCATACAATTTGATGGTTCTTTAAAACAACCAGTTGAAAGTAATAGAGGAAATACCCTTCAACAAAGAAACAGGAACCCGAATAAATAATTATCAGCGAAGCCCAGATGTTTTGGACACGTAGTGTTGTGAACAAACGGTTTGTTTGTAACTATATCCTGGTCTTATTAATTGGAATTTATTCAACTCTCTTGGTGAGATTGAATGATCATCGAGTTTCTGGAAGTTATTAAACAAGACTGCACGTCTGGATAATTCTTCCGAACAATTAATACAACCCTTTTTCTCCGTGAAAACACAGCGCGGGTTTGTCTCGAGCTGCTGGACGTCAGACTAATACATAAGCCATGTAATATGTGCTCAGGAGAAGCTGGGTTGAAAGTCCGAAAACTTGCTTCTTTTGCCCCGAGGCATGTTTTAAGGGGCGTATTCAAACAGCGTGGAAGCGATTTAAGATATTTAATATCTACCTTGAAAAAAACAGTTAGCAGCATATCTTAGCGTAGCTTGCCGAGCACAATTCATCCACAAGTTTTTGGCAAGGCAACACAGTACAAGGAAATATGATTTCCTTGGGAGTATTTCAATGCTGCATCACTTTAGTCCTGTTAAGTGTGGCGGCCTCACTGAGCTTTTTCAGTCATGTTGATGGTGAACTTAGCTCGAATCGTAAGTCACTCTCTTTTCTTCAGTTACCATAATGAATTCTGCCAGAAATATCTCTCCTTGTTTGTTCCCAAGTGTTTTATAATTCAATAAGTCTGACTTTTGATCGGCGTGTTAGATGGAAGTTGTATGGTTTTATGCTGTCCGCCACAGAGGACTTTTTTGTGAAGGGAAACTGACCTGAGAGAAAGCTTACTAAGTTTTTTTCCTTATCGCTTAAGAGAATGATTCACAGCAGGAAAAGACTAATGCTTCATTGCTTTCATGAAATAATCATGCTAAAAGAAAAGTACTTTGTCAGACATCCCCTCCTTACTTTACTCACTTCGTGTGCGGTGCTGTTGATTACCAAGCGGATAGTTTTATGAAAACAACCACTGATTCAGCTTATTAAGTTTTTGTTAAGAATTTTAACAGTTAACGATTTTTATCTTATTATACTCCAATGGGAGCCCTCTTGATGTCTTTTTTCTCAATTGAAACATGGAGGGAACTTGATTCAACTCATAATCTTAATACAACAAAGAGACTTATCAATCTACGTGGTAACTGATTTTAATATCGTGATGTTGTTTAGCAATATCTGTAAACCGTTATACTAGAAAAACCGCTTTATTACTTTCAGATGGATATTAAACGTGCTTCTTGAAGTTAGGTAATCAGCTAAAATATGTTGGTGAAATTCTCGCTTTGCTCACACGTTAATTTTTGACTGTTAAAGTTAAACATACAATTGTAAGCAGATTACATCTTCGTCATGTTTGATTCGGTGTTCACTATTTGTCTTTTCTTTTCTTTTCTTTGTATTGCACTCATTTGATTATTTTTCGTCGTATCTAATGTAGATATTAGCTAGACAAGGAAATGTCTCCTTAAGAGAGGTGCTAATATGGAATTACTATCTGTCAACGTAGTAAATAAGCGTTTTATATCCAGTTTTACTTTAAGAAATGGTTGTCGAGACTTCACGTAAAGAGGAAGGAGACTGTTTGACTGGAAGTTGAAAAATCAAAGTTATGTGATCATCTAAATTTTCCATGTCATATTTTAAGGATGATACCTGTTTGTCGAGTCATTCAGGAGAAATTCAGTCATGTAATGACAGTGATAATGCCCTGGAGGTACACCTGAGAATTCTTGTTGCGGGTGTGCCGCCCAGTTCTACAAACCTAACCGTATTTCAGACCTAAAAATGTCATTTTTTACACCCGTTTTCTGTCCTGGCCTCTAAAATCCATACCCGTTTTCAGACCTGGAGATGGTCAGAGAACGCAGCTTTACATGTTTACATAAAACAAAAAATATGTCATCATTGCTGAGATTAAAACCGCATCAAAAAGATTTCTTAAAATCCATTTCGAATTCGCATATACATTTCACTTTCTTTCTCATTCACTTGGAATTGAAACGACGAACACATTGATACACAATCGTAGTTCCTTCGTAAACCACATCCGATTCCAGCCCATAATGCATGGGCAAAATCTATGCCCGTTTTCATACCAAAACGGCGCAAAAACCCTACACTTTGGGGTGGCACATGCCTATGTGGCACAAATATTTCAAGGGTAATTGGTCTTGAATTATTATAACAATTTTGGGAATGAGGTCTTATAGCATTGGGTATTCTTCTTCTGAGGCTATAAGCGCGTGCACTGGAAAGGGTATATTTTCATGTTGCTCGAATTTTTCCCATTTTTGTTCAAAGGGCTCAGGAAATCTTACCCTGCTGTTTCTCATACATTTATTAGGACCACCCTGTTGCCCAACCCTCCTGGGATTTCTGTACCTAAAATGTAACAATCAAATGTAATTCGTGTGAAAAGGCTATTCCCGCTCCTCGTTGAGTTCAATCTCAACAATCACTCCTAAAGGAGTATATAATTAGTAACCGTTGCATACCTTTCATAGTTAAACAGTTTGTGAATAAATCGGAATAAATCATACCAGCTGGTCGCGGTGACGCCTTCTTGGTTATGATAAATATTTTCTTACAAAACTCGACCAAGTAAAAAAATAAAAATCCATTCGGGACTGTTTAAAAATGCCATTTTACTCAGGCACGATGGAAGGGGGACGGGCAGGGGATACTTCTGTCCCTCAGGGACGTACGTTCCCCCGCCGAATTTCAAAATCCCACTATGAGGAGGCAAAACTTTGTTGAGTGCTCTTTTTATCATCATTTTTGTCATTCTTTCGACAAACATGTTTTATACAACAAAGCAAAGGAAACCCAGTTGTTTTATTCATCCTTTGCTGCCTAAAATAAGGATTTTCTCTCTGTGCAAAACTACCATGTGACATCTGCGTTTTATTTTCAGGAGTAAAGAGGCACGACATTCAAGTGAAGGAAACTAATGTCTCTTATGCCAAGGCTGCAAAGGCCAGGTGCGACTAATTATACAAATTTGTCTCCACTCTAGCAAACACTAGCCCACGTCGGCAGGCGCAAAGAGGGGAGGGGGGGGGAGAAAAAATTCCTCTCCTTTTTAGCCTGCGAGCAAGCTCTCCGTATGGGAGAGTCGCGAGAAGTCACGCGAGTACTGCACGCGAAAGGAGACGCAAGTGCCAGGGGTGGGGAAAGTGGTTCCTCCTCTGCCACCTAATCCGGATAGTTTTGAAACCAAATATTGTTTTTTTTTTTTTAACACGAATCAGCCATCCGTCCACTAACTTGCGAACGCAGACGTATTTCCGGTCGTCAGTTCGATCTTTCCAACCGAAATTCCGAAAAGTAACTTTTCGGGTGCGACGACCGGAAATACGTCAGCGGAAATCGTCAGCGTTCCAAGGCTATCGGTCCACACGAAACCAGTTTTTTTAAAAAAACCGCTCTCCAGAGAGGTTTTAGCAAGACCACGTACACACGAATCAGGACAGGAGCCCATGACTAGTCTTGGACTCTTGATCAGGTTTAACAAAAGTCAAAAATGTGGTTATAGAAATGTCCGGAGTCGTGTGCATGGGGTGTGACTATTTTCGAATCTCTCATAATCCAGAAGTAGTTAATGGAAAAAAATCGACTGATATCGGAAATTGATAGAAATCGTGTCACAGAAAAAATAATTTATCGATTGTTATCGATTAACAAATTCGATAACAATCGATGAAAAATCATCATCAATTTCTATAAAAAAAAAATCATCGATACCTGGAGCCCAGGGCTCCTGTCGACACTAATCGGAGTGACAACTTTTTTCTTTATCGATTTCTATCGATCGATATCGGAAATCGATATTCATTGATGATTGATATCGATTACTATCGATTATTATCGATTAACTACGTTTGACATAATACAGTCTGTGTTTTGTATATGAATATGCAATCCTCCCTGGAGAATATGAAAACACAGCTTATCAGGGGGATTCAAAACTTTCTCTCGTTTTGTTTTCACCGAATATAATAATACTGTACGATAACTTATAAAATTCATGAGCCTGTATTCGAGTGTATGTCGTATTTATTTAGAAACCACAGATGTGTGCGAGCAGTAAACAGGACACTCAGACGCAAATATTGCCACCCCTACAGTGCGCATGGTCAGAGAGGAAATAAAAAAACTGGAAAGGATGTAAAACCTGAAGTGTGCAGATCGATTCTGGGAGATGAACTTCTTTTTGCTACACCCGCTGAACAGGAATGGAGGGAGAACCTATTCGTTACCTACAGTATTCGCTTCTCGAGAAAAAGAAGAAATGTAAGTTAGTGGTTTTTCATTTTGCACCGAACCTTAACACAAAAGACAGTCCCGGGGGGTACTCCTGGGAATTCTTGGTGGGAGTGTTCCGCCCGGTTCTCCAAATGGCTTATATAAGGGAGTACCCCCCTCCCCCGGAACACATTAATGAGATCTCCTCTTAGTTGTACGTCTTGTACCTATAGTCAATACGTACCTCTCTCAAATTGACGTAGACTCTTGCCATTAGAAGGAAAGTATTTATGTCCGACCTGTCTGATAACAGCCGATATGATGCTTTATCCCCAGACCTGAGCAAAGAATTATCCCCTACCACTTCAGATCTGACTCTGCCCGTATAATCAACAGATCGAGGACAAAGAGAAAAGTGGATTCTTTTTATTTTAAGCAATTCTTAACTTTACAATTATCCTGTTACCTTGGATTCAATGTTAGTGTTTTTTATTTTAAGCCATTCTTAACTTTACAATTATCCTGTTACCTTGTTCAAATTGATACCCACTTTAGTGCAAACAGAGTATTTTGAAACCCGTGTTTTGATTCAGTTTTTGTTGATTAATTATCTTCAAAAATTTAATAAGCGCTCAGGGCGGTTAATCGAATAAATTCGGTATCTTCTAAACCAATAGTACAGTAAATGTTATTTATTATTCATATCTTCATTGTCTAAGCAAACCATGCCGGATTTCCCAGGACAATTGCTGAATAAGACTTGCTGGCGGCTCATCAGACACATGTACTGCAAATTTTTGTTACCCAAATGTGATTTGACATCATCGAAGCCTCGGCCCCAGCCAATTTGCAAGGAGGCATGTCAGAAGTTTAACGACCGGTGCCAGAAGGACTGGGGCAAGGTATTAAAAATATATCAAAGTAAATACCAACTGATCTCTTGGGGAGTTCAGAGCGTAGTTTCTGGTGGCATGCAGAGAGGTACATCTTTGATGTGGTGCAAGGGTCTTCCAAAGCGAAATGGACCTGATGCTCCTGAATGCTATTATCCCGAGATATTGAAAGGTAAACGTCTTACGTTGTTTAACGTGCAAAACATTCATTCCAGATTACACGTGGATTACACCATTGCTCAGTTTCATAGCAACATTTACAAGCAATTAGTGGCGTAAATGCCGAAAATAACATACTTTCTGCAACCTTGTTCCCAGGGCTTTCTTTTTCCAGTCTTCTGGGCAAGAGAAAGAACCTGGGAACGAGGTTGCCTTATTGCAGCTTGTGTCGCAAAACTTGATATCAGCCTATCCAATTCAATGGTAGTTCTTCTTCACATATGGTACTTGCTTAAACGTTTGTGCATTAGTCCTCCGCGGTGCACAGTCAGTCGACTCTCTCTTATAGGGCACCTCTATAAAACGGACACCTAGAGTTGGTCTCTTACCTTCTTTACTCCCTTTATTAGAGTCTCTATAAGACGGACATTTCTGTAAGACAGAAACTTTATGCCGGTCCCAAAAATGTCCTTCTTAGAGAGGGTTGAGACTGTAAACGTTGTGAGGCAAAATGAAGTTGCAGTATTGAAACATTAGGAAGCTGAAGCAACAACAAAGGCGACGGCTACGAAAACGTCACTTGGAAAGTGAATTCGCGCTGCTTCAAAGTTTATCGCACTTATTCCATCTCGTTCAGTTCGTCAAATGTTGGCAAACGTTTCTGGAATTGAGTTCAAGAGGACTGAATCAAAGTTCAGGAAAATAAGAAGAAAGTCTGTCCTGTGTCCACGTCCGCCAAAAAACGTAAAAATTAGGACATGAAGTTTCACGTCATACTCGTACAGTGACGGCAAAGAAATCTACAAAAAAGCGTGATGCACGAGCAAAGTTGTTTTTTGCTAATCTAAACCTATTGCTTTTTTGCCGTTCTTGTTGCCGTCCCCGTCGTCTTGGCTTAAGCTCCCTATGGCCTAGCTTAAAAAGCCTTCAGGAATTATGGGCAGCACAGCAAACTGCAGACACAGGTGGTGTTAAGCAAAACCTTGGTTCCGACGGTGTAATTCATCATCTAGAAGAATAATTGACTTGTTCCGGATCAGAAAGACCTTTTAATTGTAGTCAGACAATCGCAGCGGCCACAAGGTTGTTGAGGGGCTATTTTGAGAACCGGACTAAGAACTAAGAAACGACGAGAACTAACTTCACACAAAATGGTAGAACACTGAGGATGACAGTTTGCATAATGTCAATAGCTGATCACGTGACACAGATTTACACCAGAATGGCCGGAGTTTATTACGTGACGTCACATGTCTTCAATCTATTTCGTGAAGCCATCATTTTTCAAGATATCTTTGTTTTCTAGCTTTTGCTTTTTTCTGACTGTTTTTTGCTCAACATTTATTATTTATTTCAGATAAGGCGGACCCTCTTCCTACTACAGGTAACAAAATAAGACGTTGTCTACACATTTGATGTTCATTCGAGTTTATACTGAATATCTTACCAAACGAGAATTTACCATAACCGCTCAAGCGAGCTCTCGAAGGACGATGGATTTTAAAGACTATTTTACTTCCCAACAAGAGAACATTTATGTTGTACTGTTTAAAAACAAGCAGGAGTCTATTGTCAGGTTTTAAAACATTAACTCGGGGCTAAGCCGACAGTTTTTAGGCCTGATAATAATCTCCTGCTCGTTTTTTGAACGGCCTCAAAATCTCTGATATAGATCAACTCATTCTTGCACTAATATTTAGATTTGGGCTTATTTTGGTCTAAAAAATTGGACGTAAAGTTTAGCCGTGTCTTTATATGATATATAAAGACCCTCATTAAATATTAACTGCTTTTGTTTTATCTTTATGAATTATTAATGAGTTTTTGAATGAATGAAAATATTTGTCGAGCAAAAGGTACGGAAAAACAGGCAACAAAAAACATGCAACTTGTCTTGCAACATTGCTACGACAAGTTGAATAGCGATATTGCACCTTTTACCACCAACAAAAAGCAGGTTGTTTTTTAACAGGTTTGAACGTGAGTGGTGAAACGCGCGACATCGCTTTTCAAATCGTTTTCCAGCAATGTTGCAAAACAAGTTGCAAGTTTTTTTTATCCGTTTTACCGAAGCTTACAATTCTATACCACGTGTTTATATACATGAACTCGCATCATTTGAGGTTTTCTGGGAAGCTAACCACCTACCCCTCCCCTAAGTCACAATTTTTCCCTAAGTGAGAAGTAAGTGTTAATGTTGACTTTAACACTTACTTCTCGCTCAGGGTAATATTGTGACTTAGGGGAGGGGTGGGTGGTCTGTTATCCAGAAATCTCAATTGATCAATGATGAACTCTTCGCAGAAACGTGTTTCTACGGTGACGGGCAGTCATACCGTGGAAATGTATCTGTCACCCAGTCAGGTTATAAGTGTCAACGCTGGTCTTCCCAGTGTCCTCATCGGCACTACAGAACACCAAAAACCTTTCCTGAACTAAAAAAAGTTGGCAATGCATGCCGGAATCCTGGTGGCCAGGCCCCTCACGGCCCTTGGTGCTACACAACCAATAGCACAGTACGATGGGAATACTGCCGTGTCGATAAATGTGGATCGCAAGAAGGAAACGGAGGTTCGTTTATAAATCAACGTAGTTCATGATTTGTGTCGCACGTATTGTAACTGTAGTCATCCTGAATACGAGTTTAAAAAAAGGAGGATCCAGTAGGATCTGAATCAGAAATTACGACCAAAAAATCACAAACATACAGGCTGATTAGCGCACGGCTCCCGTTCCATTGTGGACTAAGCATATTATTCATCGGCTATTGCAATTAGTAATGAATTGAAAGTAAATTGTAATGAATCATGGGCTCCTGTAATGATTCAGTTACAGATATCCGTCACTTTAACTCTCTATACTCCCAAATAAAAATAATGCTCTACTCTCAATTATTTTCTGGTTTTACATTTCTCTTTAGGATCACTTTTGTTTTTTTCTTTTTCTTCACAGATTAACTTGAGGCAAAACACGAAAAGTGAGAATGTTCGTTGGGTAGGAGAGATGGCTTAAGAAAAGAAAAGACCTGCCACTTGTTACTTTCATTCACAACACTGAGGCTTAAAAATTAAAACTCCTTCAGTTGTAGAAACAAAAAGTCTATCATGTGAAAAGATGGCCAAATAGAATAATCACACTATAGGACTTCGCCCACAGATTTAAAAAAAAAGAAAACCGACTTCATGTTTTAAAAATTAATAGAACCATAAAGAGATTTTGAATGGTTACACCATAGGGTTTTTCGTCCACAGACTTAAAAAGTTAGAACTACATACTAAATTAATAGTACGAAGTCAAGATTCGCTGGAGAGATTAAATCTAAATGTATTTTCACCATTTCCTCCACAGACCCGAAAGTAAGAACCTCTTTTCATGTCTTAATTTTGATTAATTCTTAGTTTTAAAGCGTTGAGCGTTACTATTTGACACTTAATGATGGACCCGGAGAAAAAATTTAATTTTGGTTCTTGAGAATTTCAATGTTTTTCGAGGCGGAATCATAAGCACGTAAAGCGCTTTGGGAGAACGTTAAACATTAGGGACCTTAAGCAAGGACGACGACGACAGCAGTGAAAACACGTAAAACAATGAATTTGCGTTCTTTCAAACTTAATCGCGTCTAGTTGGACCGGCTCAATATGTCAAATGCAGGCGACTTTTCCTGGAGTTGAATTCTTAAGGATTTTATTCAGGTTAAAAAAGATGAAGGAAAATTCGTAGTCGTATGTCCACGTCCTCCATAAAACGTCAAATTAGGAGGTTTCACGTCGTAGTCGTGCAGTGGACGTCAAAGAAATGTACTAAAAAGCGTGATGCACGTGCAGAGCTGTTGTTTTGATCATTAAACCTATTGTTGTTTTGAAGTTGTCGTCGTCGTCGTAGTAGTAGTTGCTTAAGCTCCCTATTAGTAGAATGTCACCGACTGTAGTTTTTACAGTATTTTAGAGTACTTTAACTCCTTTAAATCAAACGTTGAATCAATTTGTGAATCACCTTGAATTAATCTTCGTGTAGTTTACAATAATTAATACAATTGTTACAATAACTTTTTAATTCTACCTTCAACTTTGTATTTTCCTTGTCACATTGAACTTTTTTCTTGCGTAGTTTAAATGACAAGGGCAGAAGCATTCCCTGATGTCTTTGTTGCATGTAGTTGAAACTACAATAGTTTGATTCTGATTGTATGACTCTTGTTAAAGACGATGACGGAGGACCTGTCAAAACGTGCCTTTGAAATTCAAGACTGTTGTTGTTGTTGTTGTTTTATTTTCTTAAAACCGCAATCAGCAAGTCATTACCTACCTTGTTAGAAGATCTAGGAAAGATCGAAGTGACTCTGCTAGCAGGGGAGCTAGGCATAACCTCCACTCACACCTGTCAAAAAAGGGATTAGTTCCTGACCTAACTAGATGTTAGTTTATGTGTCGTAGGTGACAGCGCTCTGCACACTGACTGGAGGACGAGAACTCATGCTAAGGGGCGATAAGTTGGGTCGGGAAAAACGGCGGCGAAAGTTTTCAAGAACGGGCAGGAGAGCCCCTGGGATACTACTCTTAACTCTTCGTTTCCGGTTTTTGTGTAATTTGACTTGGTATTATCAATAAAGGGCCACTAAACTGAGTGGCCAAACTACGGCAAATAATGGTGTCCGTTCAATTCCTCCAGCAAACCGAGCTCACCCCTAGCAATGAACATTGTACAGTACATGGCTTTATTGGCAAGCGAGCAAGAAGCATAAAAATTAAAATAAAAAACACAAAGTCACACTATTGAGTGGTGACAACCTCATCTAATACAGAAAGATGATCTTGTTAGTTGTGTTAACTTGGTCGCTTTTCCTTAAAGCTCTTAACTGCAGAGTGCAGGAAGGTAAAGCTTTAAAGTATAAACTAGAAGGTATTACGCCACGAGCAACACACCTGAAACAATTCTTAACTGGCATATTGTGAATCTGCTGACAAAATCTTTAATTTAATTAATCGCGCTTTCAAAATTGAAAGTTGTTCCTGCCGTTGGTATGACTATCGTTATTCGATATTTGACAACATGGTGATTTGGCGTTTTTGTACAATCTTTGTTGGCCGAAAAAGTGGATCAATAGTAACTTGTTAGCTCTTGTTGTCGGATCGACTGTGTTTGTTGGCAGACTCTCAGGTTAAAACAACTAAAGCCGAAAGTGAAAGTGCTGCATGGCAGTTTTCTCATAAAACGACTTTTAAATGCGGTTTGTTTGTTAAGAGGCTTGAAACTTAAAACTTGATAGCAAAACTCTTTTCCTCTCAAAAACTACATTTTTCTATGTTGAACGCGTATTTTCGCGTATGTATTTTCGTTCACTCCTTCTCTCATGGCGGAAGTAAAAAATACGGGAAGTTTACTTTCATAAGTTGCGGTACATTTTGAGGACCTTTCAATTCAAATCACTCTTTATATAAATGCTTCAATAATTTGTTGTTTTAAATGGTATTAAATAATTAGGCTCATTTATGTTTAGGTTTTTAATAAATACGACAGAAATTGCCAACGGCCAGAAACCGGAAGTTGGTCATCGAAATACTAATAGGTCCGCAATGCGTCGTTATGACTGCATCAACGTTTGGTACTTTCAGAAATAGTAGATCGGTTAACATTTCATAGTAAGCTTAACTTTTGCACCCTTGTCTTCTTTAGTTAATAATAATCAACATATTAAATTAGACAGGAACAAGAAGCATTAGAAGCTAAATAAACTATACTAACGTATGTATAACTATTTATCATTCTGTGCAGAAAATCGTAATTTTAATTTTAATTTTCATTAGACAATGAATTTGGCCAAGAGGACAATGTTTTGCTTCCATCGCAGTATACGGTTAGGTGAGATGTATTGCGTTTGACTACTTCACGAAATATGAATGATTTATATTGCAAAAGTTTTGGGTAGCATTGAGTCATCGTGTTAGATAAGCCAGGATCAAATAAATTTTTAACGGAATGACCTTTTCGACTAAGTGATAAAGGGATCGCGACAAACTGACGAAAGACAATTGGCTGAATGACATGACTAACGGACTGACCCGTCAACCGACCAGTGGCGACTGAATGACTGAATGACTGGCAGTCCGCCGACTGACTAGCGAACTTAACATCCGACGACGACGGCGACGGTAACGAGAACGTCTAAAACAACAACTAGATTTAATTAGCAAAACAACAACTTTGCACTTGCAGCATACTCTTTAAATTTCTTTGCCGTCCCTGCACAATGACTAATTTCACTTTCTATGGAGGTCGTAAACTAAGCAGCGAAAAAAGTAAGCGAATTGGAATAATCCCGATGAAGACTGAAAGAATGCTGGCCTCCGTCTTCGTCCTGAGATCTCAATGTCTCTACTACCCGAATGACTGGCTGCAAGAGAGTGGTATTATCTCTTGCTGTCTGATCGAGAGTATGACTTATTGAAAAGAACAGCTGGCTTCTTGACCGACTGACTGACTGAATGACTGACTCACAAAAATTGGGTTTTGTCACGATGAGTTAATAAATTCAATTTACGACCATAAAAAGACTCAAAGAAACGCCGACGTTTCGAGCGTTAGCCCTTCGTCAAAGTTCTCTCTTATCGTTTACACGGGACCCGCGGAACCGTGCCCTAAGCTTTTGAACGGCAAAGTGTGCAAGTTTTTGACCTGATCAGAAGTAGGTCAAAAATTTTTGACGGGTTCCACTTTTTTGCCAGCTAGCAGAGGTCTCTTTTCGAAAAACCAGGGAAAAGATACCTCTGCTAGGAGGGAATCCACTCAGTTTACTCGGACCTCGTGTAAAACACCTGAACGATGCAAGTATTTGCACAGTTTGCGCGGTAAAAGCTCGGAACATAGTTACGCGCCTTTAGAAAATCCATTCCAATGCTGAAACTGAGACGGACTTGTGTAAACAGTACTGTAATAGAATTTGCACAGTCCCTTGTAAGCAGGTTATGAAGTTAAAAAAAAATCGTTCGTTTAAAAATTTGTCCGGACTCCTGTGAACGTAGCCTGCGAATACAGACGTCTGGGCCTTAAGCGACAGAAATTGCATACTGATGACGTGTTTACATTATTAATCGTAGTTTTGGGGTTCCAAATGTAAATTTGTTTCGGTGTTATGTTTCTCCTGGTCAATCATGGTAAAGTTTGGTGTTCTTCTGCGAATAGACTCCAGCAAAACTTAAATGCTTTTTCTAATGAAGAATATATTCCCCTAATATTGACCGTTTTGTAGTAGATACGTTGCGTTTACATTTGACCCTTGGGGCCTTTTGTCTTTTGTCTGTCATTTTTAAAAACAATAGCTTAAACAGTATAACTAGTTCGTCGGCCAATCAGAGCTCTTGACCAGAATTCCGGGCAGTTATTACGTCATCAGTATGGAATTTCTATTGCGAAACTTCCCCAGCGGCAAGGAGCAAGGAGAAGACGGCTGTATTCGCAGGCTAGTGTAAACGGGTTCTTAGTGGCAGACTTGGTGTGACTTACTAACCAGCTGAAGCACCTGTCTGCTGAATGATTGTTTCCAAGAAAAATGCCTAACGCACTGAACTACATAGCTTCGAATGACATATTTTCACGACTATTTTACTAACAAAGTGTTTTGTGGTATTCTATACACCCCTAGCAACAACACATGCGTCCCTGCTCATCCAGTGCCGCACAGAGATACAGCAAAATGTCAACCATATCATAGGACAACTAATGGATACTGCTCAAAAATAATCGGCTCCCGCCTTGTACATGGCAGCATTGCAAATCAGAGAGAAAAAGAACAAAGATTAAAGGACTTTGTTACAGCAAAAGTAGCCTTACAAACCATGCTAGGGTTCCACATTCCAAAAACCTGTCTCAATGCTGTGGACCTCATCTACTGCAACCATTACTTTCCAGACTGCGACAACACGTCCGCTATTTTCCTTCCACGCCTGATATGCAGGGAAACCTGTGAGCTCTTAGTTAAGCTATATTGCAAAAGGGAATGGCTTAAGGCTCAAGAATTTAATAAGGTTCTGTCTGCATCGTCGTTTGGAGAGCAGGTGAAGAGGTTTGATTTACTCAACTGCACAAAGCTACCTAAACGAGATGGTGGTAAAATTCCCGAGTGTTTCTATCCGAGAGAACCACTGGAAGGTATAGTCACAAACTTATTTCTGACTAAGGCAAATATTTAAGAGTTATTGGACGAGATTGAGCAAAAAATCGTGATTTGTCAGTGGCGAGCAGATCAATTATTTGGGCTCCGGCAAATACTTTGATCTGCGAGACACTGACAAATCACGATATCTTGCGATAACCGAGTTCAATGATTGTTTTATCATTAGATCACCAAGAATATTTTAAATAAATATCTTCGGGAAGCGAAGCGTTCGACTATTTTCGGGCAAGAGCGATCGCAAGGAGGAGAAAAGCGTAGTTTGATTTACGCATAAGCAGAATATTATTTGCAGCCAACCAGAGCTGGACGACATTGCGAATGAGCAGACCTTTACTTGTAGGCAGTTATTTGCAGGTCACGTGGTGGGATCTCGGCCAATGAAAAGAAAGAAAAATTTGCATCGAATGATAATTGGAATAATTTAACCATTCGTTGTTAGTTTTTTTTTGTCGTTATAGTTGTGTTTGCGTCTTCTTTCTAAAGTTTTCGTCCTTGGCACAAGTGGCTGGATGTACCCGCTTCATTGATGTCGTGACACCCAATTCATATAGGTGGTGATGGTGATGTGGATGACGAAGACGAAGAAGAGCCAACCTCGTCCCCAGCCGCCACTTCCATTTTCTAAGGAAAAAGCCCTGGGGACGAGGTTGGAAAACGAGCAGAATGTTAATGATAATGATACAAACTTTCGGCAATAAACAGGAAAAAAAATCACTCAGTTATTTTCTTTTCTGCTTTCTCCTTTTATTTAGGGCAGGGGAAAATATCTAAAAAAATTGATACCGTCTCAAGTGGTAAGTAATGCTGCCAGCGTGATAAGGTAATTATAAACTAAGGTTATCAGTTTAAAGAAGATAAATCGAAATTAACCGTTGAATGTTCACATTCTGTACAAAAATTGATTGAAAATGGTGTTTGTTTAAAGAGTGGAAGAGAACTATAGAGAATTGTACAAGAACATTTTTTGTATTTTGTATTTTATTTACATGTATTTGCCACATAAATAAATGACTGCAAGAACAAAAAAGATACAAAATTGGAGAAAGTAATGGCGGAGAGGCCTAAGGGAAACTATATATCTTTTGTTAAATAGGCCTCCTCAATTACATTTTTCATAGATGACATAAAAATTACCTTAACGGATACAATCATTTATCAAAAAGAAAGTAACAATCAATATGGAAATTTACAAAAATTGTTTTCTTCTCTTCAACCCTTGCTGCCATTTCATTTACTAACCAATGACAAGTACGGGCTGCACATTTGGTTTCTTTTTTTATTTGATTTACACAGTTCTGTTCTACAGGTTCTTGTTACCATGGTGATGGCCAGTCATACAGAGGTAATGTAGCCGAAACACTTTCGGGTTTCACGTGTCAGTCATGGTCTTCCCAATGTCCTCATCGACACTACAGGACACCCAACAACTTTCCTGAACTGGAAAATGCCGGCAATGCTTGCAGGAATCCTGGTGGTCAAGCCCCTTACGGCCCCTGGTGTTACACTACTAATCGTAAAGTCAGATGGGAATATTGTTATATTGAGAAATGCGACGGGCGTATTAAAAGTTGAAACGTTTGTTGCTCTATAATTTTATACGTTAGTTAAGAATCTACTTAATAATTTTTTTATACAACCCGCCTCGAGAATGGCCTTTGCTCAGTTGCGGGTTGCGTATGAATTTATTTTTGAAACAAAGAGTTCGAAATAAAGTCCGTCCTTTGGAAAGTACTCATCTCGGACATCCAGAACTTGCATTTGGTGTTTATGAGGCCATTAGCTCAGGTCGGTTTCTTAACAATTTGATTAAGGATAATTCTTTGTCCGCATCCTTCAGTATTGAAAACCGCACAAATTCTCCAAAACATGTTAACAATTGTAGAAGGGGTGATTTGTACCAAAGATCTATAGCCTTACTGAGAGAGTTTTTTTTCTTCTCAGTTTTGGACTCTTGGAAGATCAGGCTGAGATGAAGTCATGATTACTAATGTGCAAAAAAAGGTACCACCAGGGCAAAAGGTGGTGGAGAATATGAATTTTTTCTTTGGTGTGACCATCTTCTTCCAGGGGAAATGTGGAATAGGACAAAACTAGAAAACATTGACTTTGACTTGGAATGATCATGATCATAATTATAAAAAGCGCAGGAGACATATAAATAAAGAGCCGTCTAGTTAACAGGAGCCCGCCTGCAGACATCTTAGAAACTGTAGCCTTTTATATCTTTTCAAAAATGTTTCAATAATTTTTTAAAAAAAAATACTATTCTGGTATTTTTACTTTGCTGCACGTCCAGTGCGCGACACTAGAGACTCTCTTTGCCGACAAAATTCTTTGGTTGCTTCTCTACGCGTCCAATTTGTTTTTTCGCATTGAGAGAAGCGACGACCTGAAATAAGTCTGCTCTTCGCAAGCTATTCTACGCCACGGGGAGACTCCGCATATAAAAGGGGTAGGGATGCTCGTCGTCTCGCTTAGGGATGTAAATTTCGGATTTTTGTCTCAGTTAGGGTGTTCTGGGCACATATTTAGCCGCGAAGGTCTCGTTTAGGGTTGCATTCTAAAAAATCTAAAAATATATATATTGTCTGTGTCTTAACATGGTCTCTTTTAGGGGTCAAAAAAGCTTGGGCCACGCCCAGATTGGTCTCCTTTAGGGGTTTAATTCAAAATTTCCGACGAGCATCCCCTCACCTTTCATATGCGGAGTCCCCCCCGGGATTCTACGCGCAGCTATTGCTTTCTATACTGTCTATGATATCCTCGCTAAGTATAGTATGAGATTTGTGGTAAACGTAACTTGCTGGACAATGTCGGAAAACTACTGACAGGTAAGAAGCAGTGCAACACCAGCTCAGTGTCCTATGTTTCAAATTGTAGCCAAGGTTAAAACAACCGGAAAACTTGAACACTTCAAGACCCTAACTAAAAATGACCACTCGTCAGCTATTGCTTACCAAATCAATGCCACCGGACATAACTCGATCAAGTGGGATCATTTCGAAATTTTAGCTTCTGGTAAATCAGATTATTAGAAACTACAAGATCTTAATCCAGCTTTTAATGTCAACATCATCATAAGCCAGTGAAAAGCTGATGCTTTATTAGATGTTGCTTTATGTAATTTTACTGTCAAGGATTTTGAGTTCCCCATCTAATCATTGGGCAAACGGAATCAAACCTAGTCCTAATCCTGAACGAAAGAGACAAGTTGAACTTGACCAGACACGACACGATTTCTTTCTACTACTGTATTTCTGTGTAGCGAATTTAAGTTAGAGAATATTTGCTCTGGAGTAAATTTTTGCGGGAAAAATGTTTGCGGTTATTTTTATTTGCGGGGACTTATTTTTGCGGATCGCTGGAAAAATCGCAAAAATCGCAAAAATTAGAACCCGCAAAAATTTCCTGCCACACGGTAAAACCCAATCAGTAGACGGATTCCGACTCCACAAATACAATCAGCGTTACTTCTCTTCGCCATGGCCAGCAAAAAGTTACAATTATGCAAAAAAAAACAAACAAACAAACAAACAAACAGAAACAGGCCATGAATTAGTTTTTATATCTGGGCCCCTTCCAAATTACAGTCAAACCTCGCTTTACGGACACCCCGTTTATACGGATTCTTTTTAGGCCATCCTCTTTTTTTTCTCCGTTTAGCGTCGTCCGACCGACCCAAATTTTTGGCATTTTCAAAAAAAAAAGTAAAGACGTAGTTAAACCATTTTTCTCTTGAAATAATTCTTTTAATCTGGAAAATGAGCATAGTAACAGCATAGAGAAAAACAGGAACATTTTTTACAGTATATTGTGCATTTTGTTAATCCAAATATGTGAATGTTAACTGTCAACGTCATCCTTGGATACGAGGGCCTCCTATTCAGAGACTCCTTGTGATTTTTTTAAAGTTTTTTTTTTTTTTTTCAATCCGACCGACCGACCCAACATCAGGAAACGCATTCAACGCTAAATGAAAAAAAGGGGGATAGCCTTATGGCCCCTCAGTGTCCCCATCAACGGGATTTGACAGTACATCTAAGAGAACAGATCAACTGTCAGCTTATTATGTTCCCATGTTGTGTCTATAGAAAGGCGTTGCTGTTTCTCTGATGAGCGGTAAAAAGGGAATTTGATATGATATAAAGGGACATGGAAAGAGGGAATGATGACTTCATGCTAAGCGTGAGAAAATTTTTGATGTCCTTTAAATGAACTACCAGGACGAAGAGATAGCAGTTTAACTGACCGCTGGTTATCTGTAAGAAACGTTTTGAAGCTTCAGCTGTTAGAAGGTCTTCTGAGGTCCTTCCGAATTCAACCGGCATAGAGAAACTCTCTAGCAAGTCCGTTTCAGTTCTGTTAAAAATTTAGAGCGTGACATGACAAAAAAACGGCAAAAAAGCCTGGGGTTTTTATTGATCATGAAACGCTGGCTCGCTGTCACAAGTCAGATACATAACAACCACTTTTATCAGAAGTGAAATAAAGCAGACCGATCAAATAAAAGTATTTTTGTACGGGAAACTGTAACATTCGCCTTCGTAGTTTTTACTGCTTTGGTTTGGCGAGAAAGGTTTTACTACTAGCGAAGCCACGAATCTAGGCATATGGGACCGCTTTTCATTTTTAAATTTTGATGACACATTGTTTTGCTATTTGAGAGACTTCGCCCAATAAGGAAACAAAACGGTCTCTGTTTCCGTAATTAAAAAATCAAGGAGATTAAAGAATCGAGAGACGATTATCTGTATTACGGAAACCGCGACGGAAGGGGTGTGAGGCTATTGGCAGGGTCATGCAATACGACCCGCTGTGTCAAGTTCTAGCAAAATTCTGATCTGAAAGGTCTCCATCGTATCTTCTTGTAGCGAGGGTCTACACGCAGTAAATGGCTTTGCAACGATTCTTAGGCTTGCAGATTTTCTTATGTTTGATTATAACATTGGTTGTACCGTCGGGAGCTTTCGAAAACAATGTCCTTGAAATAGGTAAGCTGGTATTATATAATTGCTCATAAGCCGTGTATAGTCAATAACCTTAACCACAAACCAGTAACTCGGTAAGTTTTATAACTTTGTCCCAAAATACGGCTACCAAAAAGCTGTAATAGCAGTTCTTGTTTCGTTACATACAAAAATACAACTCAATACAATTTTCTTCGTTACTGATCGAACTTGTCAGTTAACGATTCGTCGTATAGTCGGCAAAGGAAACTGTATCTCTTCGTGACTTTAAGAAACGGGGGAGATGGGTATTTGTGCGAGTTTCGGAAGAACACAAGAAGACTATGAGAGACAAAAAAGAAATGTTTTTAACGTCCTTTGAGTGATGAAACTGACCTGAAACTGTGCTGCAACTGCATAAATAGAGAAATAGATAATGCTTCACCGACGAATTTGCCAATTTTAACTCAAAGATTCAGAAAAATATGTGCTCAAGAAGATATCGCTCCATCTACCTCCCCCGCACAAAATTTACGGAGATAAGCCATCTTTATCTTGTAAATCTTGTTAGATGTTTTTATAGAAAATATTACAATAACAAATAGAAAGGCTTATTATATTCTATTGAATTAGTGGTCTAACACGAACAGTGGCCCTAAGTTGTAAAAATCCTTTTCTCCGGCCAGCGAACAAAAGCCAACGTTTCCAATAATGGTCATCCTGCAGAGTCTTGTCGTTAACAATGGTTCGTTCTTTTGCTCACACGTGTAATTCTCTTTTGAAATGATCTGCCACCTTGAAAACGCGTTCTAAAGATGCAGTGTTTCATCAATTTACTGTAATTAAGTAATTAATTTTCCAATTAAAAAGAAGGCAGACAATTTTTGTCGAAATCTGAGCTAAATAATCGTCATATAATTTTACATTATCAGGGGCGGATCTAGGGGGAGGGTGCAGGGGGTGCGCCCCCCCCCCCCTCGAGATGACCTGCGGTTTTCTAATACAACTGGTATTCTGCCAAAAAAAAAACTATGTGGTTTATTGGTGTTGAAGTAGAGCAAGAGACGAGTGCACCCCCTCCTAAAAAAATCCTGGATCCGCCCCTGATTATTTTTACCTTTGGCTTATTTTTTATTCAATTACGTATTTTTTTTATCTAATTTTTATTTTTTGCGAAATCGACCATCATGAACAGCATGGGAATTATGAAAAGAGAATTTTGGCAAGAAAAACGGTGATTGTAAAGGAAAATTCCTATTTGTTCCGTTGAATGTATTTCGGCAGATTTGAAGAAGTCAGGAAATCTAGCAAGCAGTTCGCCCTTTGAAGTAAAGTGGTTTATTCTCATAACATTGAATTAGCTGAAAATTAAACTTGTATGGAATTATAATTACCTTGTGGGTTCGCTGAGGAAGGAAGCAGGAAAAAATGAAAATGAAGAGAATTCCACATGTTTTTTTAACATTTTTCAGTCAAGCTATATCAGCTAACCACTGGTATCAGTTTTTCTGTTTTATTGCTCACGTTTACTTTTTACTGAATGGAATGATAAAAACCTATGAAAGGTAACTGGAAGAACCAAAACTAATATTAACTGGCAATTAAGTTTGCATCCCGAGTATTTAGATCTTTTTTCAAAGTGACCTTAACAAACCTTCACAGAGTCATCATGAGGGAGGCGTTTGTTTAGATAAATACTTCAACCACTCCTGTTCTTTACACCACATAGACTTGACCGCTATATATCTGGGGGAAACTCCATGAAAGGAACGGCTGGTTGTCTCGCTGAGGGTTCTAAATTGCAGATTTTCGTCTCATTTAGGGCGTTTAGAACGGAAAGCCAATATTTTTATGAAAGTAACGCTGTATGGTTGTGCGCAAGAAATCTCCATATAAAAGAAACCACACTGCTTTTAAGTTATACTGAATGAAGAATATGTAATATAACAAAGAAAGAGAGTTGTCTTTTTTTATTTGAAAAAACCCGGGTTTTGTTCGTGATTCTTGACAACCATTCACCTTGTCTCGTTTGTCAAATGAATCACAAATGAAAGCTGAGGATCGTAGCAACTATAAATGTCAGCTGAAATGTGTCGCTTACAAAATTTAAGTGTTTCAATCAGCACTCTCTCGCAGTTAATTCAAAGATTGAAGTATCTCCACGCTGAAATTTTGTTCTCTTGGAGGATTTCAAATTCACTTTTAATTCTCCCAAAAATTCATCGCCTCGTCGACAACTCTTACTTGCTATTACATTCCTGTCATAATTATTGTTCCACAAAAACAAACCGCAGTTAAATCTTTCCCTTTGACTAGTTAAAGGTCGGCGAGCAGCAGACAGCGTCTACAAAAGTCATTTTCATTTGAGATTTTGGTCGTTAAATACGTATTGTATCTTTTACCACGAAATCTGAAACCTGCTAACAATGTATTTTTAGCAGTATTCCAGCTGCTGGTAGGTCTTTCCGTTTTTCATTCTGCTCTCATTCGAAGGTCATTTAACTAAAATCTAATGATTTATTTCATAAACTGGCCAATCGGAAAACAATCCAAAAAACTAACTGCATCGCTGAGCTCCATCAGAATGGCAGTGTTTTCGAAATACATAAAAGTTATATTTATAAAAAAGGCCTCTATTACGTCTGGCCTGGGGACAAAAGAAAATTAGTTTCTCAAATTTTCTAGGCCCTTTTCGACTTCCTAATGCGATTGTATTCAATTATGTGTACGTAATTGTCGTAATGTGATTATTTGTGAAGACAATGAAAATGTGATTAGTTTAAAACTTACTCTTAGCAACGCAAAATGTTTCAAAAAGCTACCACTTATGTCTTTAATCAGAGATTACATTCAATTTATTATTAATCTTGTTTCTTTTATTTACTCAGAAACCCACGGGAACGGCATTTTTACGGAAACAAATAAACCGAGGTGAGTGGTGCCGTAATTCGGCTTAAAATATTTTCTAACGGCTCAACGTGGGCCATGGGCTCCTGCGTGGGCTTACTTAGCCTAGAAAGTGGTAGAAATAATCTTTAGAGTTAGGCAAACGGAACAAAAAGTGAAAATAAACAAAACAACAAGCAAGGAATTTAGGGAACTTATCTTCTTTGAAGAACATTTTCACTCGAGTGAAAAGAGTAAAGGGATTATTAAAGCCCAAACCACATGTATTACTCGGCCAATCAAAAGCTTTGCAGACACGCTAATGAGCCAATCAGAGCTTGCAAAACAACTCAATGCAGAGGCCGGCGATAAGCGCGGGAAACATCGTGCAAACTGAGACCACGATGCCTTCTAGAGAGAATAATGGGACAATGTCTAGCCCTTGGGATATGTTAATATTACCAAAGTTATTCTTGGGCCTATCAAACGCTTGAAATTAATCGGAAGTTGCTTTCCGTCCCACTTGTTTGGTTCTAGTTCGGAATGACTGACAACGGGGCGCAAGATTTTCTGCCTCTTCTCCAAAAGTACTAATGGCGAACTTGAGCATAGTGTTGCAATTACTTTAGGCGACCAACGCCTTGCTTATCTCATTACTATGTTTACGGAGCTAACGCAAAATAAAATAATTCTGGGCAACGCGTGTCAACCGGAAGCGAGGCCTTCCGCTTTTTCATATGCCTTGAAACTGCCAAATTTGTATTGCTGTGGGTCTTTACTCCTATAGATATGATTTTTCGAGAAAATGTGGTAAACACTACTTCCCAAGAATGCAAAAGTCCACTTGCGGTTGACATGCGTCGATCAAAAAAACAGGGGCAATGTCAACCTCGTTTCCAGGTTTCTATCCAACTCGTCCCCTCAGAGCAAGGTGAGGTTGGGGTCGATTTATAACTACGTACCGTCCTCTTTTAAGGTAGTGTGAGAGTATGTGTCAGTAAGTTACTATTTTTATATCACTTCTAGTAACTACATTTGTTCTTCAACAGCAACTCGTGTGTGCCAGCCCACTCTCTTCCAACAACACTGACTACAGAGTGTCATCCTTACATATACAGTGGAAGTGGTATCTGTTCCGATCTGCTGGGGGACCACCTCATCTACGGTTCAGAATCAAAGCAAGAAAGAATGGAAAAACTACTGGCAAATTTCGAGTTCGCAAGGGCTTATTTACTTGCTAAAGACGATATGTCTGATAAATGCCTCCGGGCTGTTGAGCTTATTTACTGCAACCACTACTTTCAAAGATGCGACAGCACTTCTTCGCGGATCCGCTCGCGACCGGTCTGCAGAGAAGCCTGCGAAATTATGGTTCAGCAGCATTGCAGAGCGGAGTACCCAAGAGCACGTGAAATAAACAAGATGTCCCAGGGACGGTCTGATTATGGCTATTTTGACTTGATAAACTGCACCATCCTACCTAAAAGAGACGGCGGTACTATTCCGGAGTGTTATTTTCCCCAAGAGTTTAAAGGTATGATCAGTAAGTTCAACACTAAGCATGTGGAAAAAACCAGATGGCTTTTTGTTGATTTTAACCAATGGAAACATGGAATGGGGCATGGAAAAGTCATAGGGTTGAGTTATGAAAACCATACCCGAGGGGGGTCTTCTGGTGGAGTCGCTATTATACCGTGCACAGCTGCAGTACAACTAATTATTAAAAAAAAATAAAAAATATTTTTATTTATTTTCTTACTTCAGAGAATAAATCGAGGGAAGAAGAAAGCGGTAAGTCCGAGCCACTTCAGCTTGCTTTGTTGGTAATGTTTGTGTGAGTATTTTTTTTTACGGAACAACCATGTGCTTCTATGATCTGAACGACGTGTTTTAGGAATTTCAGAATGAAATGTCATTTTTCTTTATGTCAACCTGCCTTACGTAAGGAAACATGAAAATTTGTGTGCCTCAACTGAGGTAATAAAACTATCATCCTTAGAAACTTCTATGACTCACAAAGATCCTGAAATCAGCAGACTATTTTGATAACCACCACTAATTTCATCTAAACTCGACAAAATTATCGTCGATAGTCCATAGTCATAGGGAAAGACATTAGAACAGCGATGATTTTTACGTGGATGGCGACCGCGTATTAGATGAATAAACCAAAAGAAAAGTTAGACATCAAAGAAGGGTTTCTTACCCGAGGTAAGATGACAGTCTGATTTTATTTTTCTACTGCTCAACAGACTCGTGTTCCTTTGGTAACGGCCAATCATACCGTGGAAACATATCTGTGACCCAGTCAGGTCACACGTGTCAATCATGGTCTTCCCAGTGTCCTCATCGGCACCACAGAACACCCAACAAATTCCCTGAACTAGAAAATGCTGGCAGTGCATGCCGAAACCCGGGTGGTCAAGCTCCTCTAGGGCCCTGGTGCTATACTACAAACCCCTCAGTGCGCTGGGAGTACTGCAATGTCCCAGTTTGTTCACCAGGTAAGTTTCCATGGAAACAAACAGAGTGGGAGACGGAGAAAGTGTTAATACTCCAGTGTATTTGTGTTATAGTTTTCGGCACTTAGTTCTCGTATTGAAGAAAACGGAAGTAACTGGTGCGCCCTATACTACTACGATAAACTTGACCAACATTAACTAATTGTCTTATATTCGGATTATCCTTTTTAAAATACCGGGGTCTGGCTTGTGGGCAACCTCGTCCCCAGGCCGTTTCCCTTAAAAAATGGGTGGGGTGGGAAGCCCTGGGGACGAGATTGGCTTGTGGGCTTACGACTAACACCATATAGATCAACCAAATCTGTGCTCGAGATGTCACAAGAGCCCAGTTCTTCGATAACGAACCAGTCGATATACTGATCCCCTGGATAGTGATTTATCCGGTGGATAACCGGCTATCAAAAATTTGAACCGGGGCCTGGACTTTCAAAAAAGCGGCCTAAAGAACCGCATTAGAGTTCATTCCGGGATAAGATTACGATGTAGAGCCCCATGCAGTTATGATACTTTCGTGGAAAAAAGTAATGACTATACCAAAACGTGTTATCAAGTGGTCCGGAGGTTTTTTCAGCTGTTCTTTGAGACGTTGAAATACGATTGTACAGTGAAGTCAGACTCGCACCCAGTCGCTATTTATGTGTTTTTGGGGTGAGAGAAGATTGGGGGTTAGGTTGAAAAATAGCTAACCCCCAATCTTCTCTCGCCCCAAAAACACATAAATAGCAACTGGGTACGGGTCTGTATCGAAGTGAAGAAAACTGTTATTCCCGCGACCTGGTTAGTATCAGAAAAGAAAACTAAACTTAGTCTATAAAAATTTTTCTTCGTCTTGGAATTGTTTTAGAAGATGCAAAGCTGTCAGCTTGGAGTGCATTCAGCGCATGCTCAGTATCTTGTGGAGGAGGTATAAGGAAACGAACTCGCGAATGTACCAGACAGCGTTTTGGCGGGAAAAACTGCTCCACTGTCGGTCCGCTCACCGAACAAGTTCCTTGTAATGTTCACAACTGTTCAGGTAGGAGGAAAAACACAGACTACTCGAAGTGCAAATTTCTTTCATTATAATGTCAACGATTGATATCTATCTTTCTGATTTGCGTACTGCTACATCGTTAGTAAGACCAAATTTTTATGTCCAGAAAAGGCGTCTGCGAGCAATAGAATTCGTTCTTGCGCATGAGTCGAGAGAAATGGGGGCGGTTTTAGTACCGATACCGCCAGCAGTTGACAGCCTAGAAAATGCTTTTTCTTGCACTTTGATCTTAGGGCCTTAATCCCATTCCAAAGCTAAGAGGATAACCCGTTATCCTCTCTTTGTACATTCCATTGATTAGATCTTTTACTTAACCCAATTATCGGTTGCCCTAAAAATACATCTGAGCTGCAAAGAAAATATGTAATTTGTGTCTTTCCTGGGGTATATCTTTCTGGTGAGAAGGATCCATGGCTGATAACTTACTGATTGGTATTGGCGACTTCAATTTGTATTCTAGGGATTGCTCAGGAAGACAGAAAAAGACAGGAAATGTCTCCAACTTATTTAGGTGAGTGTAGATAGTCATTTTCTACTTAGCTCACAACTCTGTTAAAACCATGCATTTAAACGGGTTAGGGATATATTCGAAAACGTGAATTGTATGGTTGCTTGCGCGTCTTGCGTCCTAACCTGCTACCGAATAAGATTTTGCAACAGTGGTTTTCTAAAAGTTATTCTGTTTTCGTCCAAATATAGTTAACTTGATAATTTCAGGAAGAACCCCTTAAATTAAATCGAGATTTCTTTGATCTTTTAAACACTTATCGTAGGAAATCGAGAAATTGCCACAAATCTTGATGACAGTGCTGTTTTGTTAATTGGTCAAATAATCCAATTTAATCCCGAAACACGAGTCTATTAACCATCCCTTATCCTCTCAAAGTCTTGGGCCCCAGTTTCGCAGATATTTCAAGGTTTCTCATGAACCTTTTAAGTTATTTCTTTTTCCATATTTCGTTGTAGGACTGACCTTGACCGAGATCATCATTGTTTCAGCCACTGGATCAGTTCTTCTGTTCGTGGCAGTGGTTTTGGGGGTCATGCTGTTTAGGAGACACAGTGAGTCGCTAAGCAGTACATAATAAAAGTGTTAATTGAGTTAAACTATTAAAAGCCCTGCTGTACAGTTCTCTTGTCACACACTGTTAAGTGCTTCAACTCTTACTAAGCAGACTGGCCCATTCACAACTTCTCGTAGCCGCCGTTGTCCAATGGTACATCCAATTACAGACACCCGACTTGCTGCAACGCTTAACAAAATTCCACATCCACTGGGAAGCAACATATATTTTTTACAACTAGAGGAGAATCATGTACAAGGTGGAGAAAAGAAAGAATCAACCTATTTAACAGTCGAAAGTTATGGCTTAGAAATCTTTAAAATAGATTGATTTTCCAAGTGATGCTTCTTTAATCTGGCCCATTTGTGCTAAGGAAAGCTCTTCAGCAAGGCCATCTGAAACTCCTTGGGCGTGGTCGCTGGTCGCCCGGAGAGCCTACCTGCTAACCAAAGAGCGCGAGGACACTGCTTCTGGGGAAGATTTCAGGAACACTTCCTGGCCTATTCTGACATGAGGCTTTACTGAGATGTAATGGTTCCCAGAGATGAGAATAGACAGTTTATGAGCCCTCTGCACCATGACAGTCCTAGAAAACGCAGTGTTTAGATATGGGACCACTTACCTAATAGACTGTCGACAAGGTACAAAGCTAATTGTTATTTTGTCTTCTTTTGCCTTCAGGGGGTCGCAAATTAAAAGATCCAGACGAACATGACATAACTCCTTATGCAACCATTCACATCAGCGGAATCAGGGTTGGACAAAATGTTGAGAACAACTGTTATGGACAAGCAGGAATGTATGAAAACCCACTCATAACATTGCCTTTCTACGCGAGAATTCCCCCAAGAGACAGTCCATCGCGACTGCTACGAAAATTTCGCAACTCACCGTATGAAAATATTAACCAGCTTGGAAGACCGTTTGCAAATCCCCTCGAATATTTGTTTTTCCAACCTCGTTATGAAAATGAGGCTGACGATGGACCATGCGATGTTCTAATTCTAAAGCCTGGGTACGACAAGCTGAGGCCTGGCATAAGGCGAAAAACGCTGGAAAATCCCGCGCCATTTAAGCGCTCTATAAGTGGCGGAGTCGATAAAAGTGGAATGCCTGTGTACGATTCTATCATACAGGATGCCTGTGGGATACCTGTGCACGATTCTGTCATACGAGAGACCGAACTTTCGTGTCGAAAAATTGATTCAACTGAAAGCAATCTGGACGAGATTGGCACAATTCTTGAAATCGATTCATGCGATGAATGTAGTCAGGCAGATACACAAGACAGTGGAGATGAACACGGCGACGATGCGGTCTCAGTACAAGACGATGATTTAAGATGCTTGGGTACCGATTGTGATGCGCAACTACGTCCACTCGGGTCGAGTAGTGCAAAAGAAGCCGGAACGTCGCGTTCTCAAGCTGCACTACACATGCAAGATCAAACGGGTTTATTTGGGTTTTACAACAGTAACCTTACACAGGACCACGATGCTTAAACAGGAAACGGTACTTATGATGACGTAGCAAAGAGCAATAACCACGTCACCAACAGAAATACACAAAATTTGTAAAATACTGAAAAAAAAACCGCAATATTTGTAAAATATGAAAAAACGGGACCGCGAGAAAGAATAACAGGATAACTGAGTACAATGGTCCGGATTTAAAAATTATAACCACCTCTCCAGAACCTTTTCAATTGATTGGTCACACTTTACGATTTTATACACAACCCAAAGATAAACAAATGCTGCCACGTAAAAGTACTGTTGAAGAGGTTTCTTTTTTATGATCACACCATGAGATTTCAATCATAGACTCAGAAGTTAGAACCACCCGCAAAACAAACTGTACCACATGAAAGTACTGCTGGAGAGGTTCTATTTGAATGGCACACCTTCGATCCCATAAACGGACTTAAAAGTCAGAGCCACCCTTTTCTGCTTAATACTAAAAAGTAAAAAGAAGTTATTCTCAGTAGCTCTATTCCAACATTTTATTTCAGTAATCATGCCTCAGAATTCCATTCGTAGGTTGATACTTAAGACCTACTGTGCAGGGTCGACCACTAGGACGTAATCCTCGGTGACTATTTTTTTTTTAACGGCCACAAGTTAGGGTATTAACCAGATTAGAAGTTGTAACCACAATCTACACGATGAATTACAAGCTCAGTTTTGCTTGCTTCCACTGAGGTTTCAAAATGTACAGAATTTTCTTCATATTGAAGACGAGTTAAAAACAATTTCACATTCCATTGAAGCTTTCATTTTACAGAAAAGATAATAAATATTTGTTTACAACCTACTGGGTTTATAGGTTTTAAATAAATAATTAATCCCAAACATGTGCAATACAAGATAAGATTAGTTACATACAAATTATCTTGACGCTGATTGAACATCATTAAATATATACACTTTATAAAAGTGACAGAAATAAATATTTTATACAGCGACATATTCGAATAAAGTTCCCCCTCGACTATTACGTACAGGCAAAAGCCATGTGGAGAATATTGAACCAAATTATGGATTTTTCAAAACAAATGGGGCACTGGTTCCTCTCGGTAGTTTTTTTAACGCCCAAGAACATTCAATTACCAATTCAAGTGATTTCAATTCAATTCAAGATTAGTTACATACAAATTATCTTGACGCTGATTGAACATCATTAAATAAAACCTGACAGAAATAAATATTTTTACCGACATAGGTCCCCCGACTTTACAGGCAAAAGCCATGTGGAGAATATTGAACCAAATTATGGATTTTTCAAAACAAATGGGGCACTGGTTCCTCTCGGTAGTTTTTTTAACGCCCAAGAACATTCAATTACCTCTTACTTCACGGTAAAAACCTCGTTCCCAGGTCCCCTTTACCGAGCCAGCAATACACGGATTTAAGATCTTATGAATAGCAAAACATTCACCCCCATTTTCACAATTCTATATTTGCGCAAGTGCTAAAAAATACTGAAAGCTGCAGTGAGCTACCTTAACGCAAACAATAACACGGATATAAAGGTGACCCTTAACGAGGCTGTGACAAGCTATTTGCTGTCTTTTTAAAAAGCTAAAACGTCTTTCGCATCAATTGAATTTCAAAAGTAATGGCACAGTTTTTTTTACTTTACACTATATTTAGGCACTGAAACTATTTCCTGTCGTCTGTTGCAACGGATGGCATGGATGAACATGGATTGAAACGTGAAGAAGTTGGGCCAACGTTTTCACGCCTTCAAAAATCACCAAAAATGTTATTATGGTTAGTTCTCCGTTCACAACTCTACAGGAGCATTTCGTGTCTGGGTAAAGGCACTAAGAAATCACTTCAGCGCAGAATCGACCTCAAACAGCGATATCCTCGTAACACAGCCCCTTTAAACAGCCCCAGCGACAGCACCGCCGTTTTCTGAAAGAGGCATTAAAACTTTCATCTGATTCTGAGTGAGCTGGGTAATGGTACGAGAGCGCTTTGAGGAGGGGGAGGGGGAGGGGGTACCCCGCCACGATCTTACACTTCCCTTTCTAATGCTATCTGGTCGTACACAGTCCTCCTCATCCCGGACTACGCTGGACATCGGCGAGTCCAAACAAGCGGTCACCATCGCTGGATGAGCGCTGAGTAACTGCAGGATTTTAACCGGCTCGGGTCTATGATCCGGGTCTTTTCTCCAGCACTCTGTCAGTAATGTGTTTCTAAAATTAAAGCAGAGAATATCAAAGATCATGAAAGGAATAAAATTTTCGAAATGCTGCTCACTACGAGTACGGGCATTTCAAAGAAATACCAAATTTTAAAACACACGAAAGATGTTAATCAGTCAGTGCCACATCTCGACTAGTCACTAGATGGTCATAAGTTCGACTCCTACGGGGAGTACTTGGATTTTTTTTCTTCCCAGTCGCCTGTGGCACGGACCGAAAAATCATCTTTCTCAAGTATTCGCCAGGCTTAAAATTCACCATCTCACCACTATCACTTGAAATACAGTTATTAGAGTGATTAGTTTCATACATGCTGAGTTGATCTTTCACTACGGTTTCTTTATGTGAGTATATGATCATTCGCTATGAAACATTTAGATGAAATAAAGACCAACCTAATAAATATTGTGATTTTACTCTTGGTATCATTGGCAAAATTTATCTATCCGAAAAATAGCGGGGGGATAAAACTTACAGTTCATTGGTGCATCCTCGAGGTTTATCCATGCTTCGCCCCAGTCTCATACTTTCCACTACCTCTCCGTTGGAAAGGCCCTGGTAAGGAAAGCTACCAAATGTAGCCAACTCCCACAATGTAACGCCCAGGCTCCACACGTCAGATTTTGTCGTGAATACACCATCCGCGAGTGACTCGGGTGCCATCCAGCGAACAGGAAGCATGGCTGCAAGTTAAAGGGGCTATAATGTCACGCTAAAAAAGCCGAAATGTGTCTTCGCATCAACTGAATTCCGACAATAATGGTCCAGTTTTGTTATTTAAGACTATATTTAGATATTGAAACTGTTTTCTGTCGTCTCTTACAACGGATGACAAGGATGGACACGGATGAAACTTGAAAAAGAGTTTTATTGCTATGCCTGCAAAAATCACCAAAACTTCATAATTATGGTTAGCACTCTCTGATGAAATTTGTTTGATCTCCTCATCATAACTTCAAAGGAGCATTTTGTAGAAGGTTAAAAGCACAAAGTAATGACTTCAGCAGAAAAGACGGAGCAATTTCTCACGGTACGCAAAGCAATAGAGTAGTTTGAGCAACTTTTTGAGCGATCTTGGTAATTGTCATCCCCATCGGCCTGTTCAGCCCCGCCAGTGCCACAAGTCCCTGTCAGCCCCTGTCAGCTCCAACGGTCCAGTAGCCCCACAACCCCCCTCCTCCCCCGCCGCCAGCCAGCCTCCAGCCAGCCCCATAGTCCAGCAAGTAGCACCTAACAAACCTGTGAAGGATCGGAAATGTATCTCATAAAATAAGAGCAAGGTAAAATATTCGCTTACCTTTCCGTCCGAATCTGTAGTAATCTGAGTCATACATGGCTCGTGCCATTCCAAAGTCTCCAAGTTTAACCACATATCCTGAACCCACCATACAATTCCTTAAAGCAACGTCGCTAATAAAACACAAAAGATAAAAATTACTTGTAGGTTAAGTGAAAATTATATCCTTGGAAAAACAGAGGAATTAAATGTCATCGTTAAATGTCTCCATTGAACAGGCAAAGAGATCTACACAGCATAAGAGTGGTTTCGCTGCCCTGGTCGACCATGTTTTTGCCAGTGCAACTCCATGGTAACAGGTTTACCGTCTTGAAGCATTTAAACTGTGCTGTACTGTAGGGTCGTTTCAATAGATACTGTTCATACAGGGCACAAGATTTAATATTATTTTATAGTAATGTTAATAGACCATTTCTGGTTCACCAAAAGCCTCTTTTTCAAACCAACCTTTCGATGAAAATAAGTTTTTATTCACATGCAAGTTAAACTCATTATCATATGAACGGTTATCCACTTACTAGTTCGCAAAATACTTTGGATGAAGTAACTGAACTGTGCTTGCCTCCCAGTCGCGGCCTTGCCGCGAACCGTCAAGAATAGCCTACGTTCGATATATTAAAATTGTAACAAGGTATTCGGTAATTGGTTTGGTTTTCTTTGTGCTCAAGTCTCTCCCGAGAATTGCCAGACAATGGAGTCTTGAAAAAATAGCAGTTTTGTCCGTAAAGCCTCCGAGTAATGTTAGAATTCTAACATATCGTACATGGGCTATTAGGCAGGGAAAAAACCCTCTGGCACCCATGGTATTATGCACCATGCCTCAATTTGATGAAGAGGATAAGAAATGAGAAATGAACTTTAACTTAATTGGTCTCATATTAAAGTAAAAAAATATTTTGAATTTCGCACATTCTTAAAGAGGCCAGCGGGGCTTATCATAATTAGGAAAAATATAAAAGAAACAGTGACTGAATAAGATCTATACATACCGATGAATAAACTTCATTTCAGCGAGGTAGGCAAGACCGTTTGTGATATCTGTGGCCATCATAGTCAGCTTGGTAGGCGTAACATCATCCGCCTGAAAGACAACAAGCTTATGCTGGATAGGAGCCTTAGTAAGACCAGGAAGAGCAGGAGGTAACCAGGTTTTGTTAGAATTGATGCATCTCGGAGTATTCCTACACACCCATCACAACGCTAAAAATGATGGTGTCCATTGAAGAGACACACCCAGATGTTACTCACTGGTAACCTTATCTACACCCTCCATAAGGTGCACAAGGCTATGGATGAGATTAAACAGCACCCAAAATTGACGTCAACCATCGAATATTAGTGAGCATAAGCAAAGACGTTTTTGAGCGACGCACGTCAACCGGAAGTGGTGTTTTTTTCTTTTTTGGACAGTGGTTTTGCCTAAATTTTTGGACAAATCGTCTGTATAATAGTAAAGACACTTAGAAATACAAATTTGGTAACGTCAAGGTGCTTTAAAATGAAAAAGACCTCACTTCCGGTTGACGTGCGAGGCTCAAAAACACCTTTGGTTAAGCTCCCTAATAGAAAGTTTTAGATTCGAGGACGAGAACGAGTACGAGTACGAGATTTGATTTACAGTTTTTTTTTCGCGTATTGTCAAAAAATACACACTCTGCAATGCGTCATTGTATTTTTTTTTCACCAAAAAGTTAGTTATCTTTATTGGAGGAGGTTAAGCCCTCTCTCGATCGCATCTGATAACTTACTTCCGCCACTACGAGATGTTTTCCCGCCAAATGACGCTGGTTCACGCGCGAGTACTACTTAGTTTTGAGAAATCTTGTACTCGTTGTCGTACTCGTCTTAGAATCTAAAGCTCTCTAATAGAAAAGTAATGAACGACTGACGTCATGAAAAGACAGCACTTTTTGGGTAGTGCAGAGCTCGGGAAGATGGCTATAGACATTACACGCTATGCAAAGACAAAAAAAGGCGAATTACCGTATTTATTCGATTAACCGCCCTGGGCGCTTATTAAATTTTTGGACCTTGAGAGTGGGCGCTTATTCGAGGTGGGCGCTTATTAAATTTTCACCATTTTCAGCAAGTGAATTGCAACAAAACAATAAATGCTAATAACAAAACGCGAAGAAGTAATAAAGCAAGGTTTCTATAAAATACTCTGAAGAAAACTCCGTCCTCGGGAAAGTCTCTTATTAGAATTTATTCACTCAAGTGGGTGGGGTAAGGGTGAGCGCTTATTTGAGTTTGATTGGGAGGAGGAGGGGGTGGGCGCTTATTTGAGGCTGGGCGCTTATTAACTTTTTCTGCCTTTAGGATGTGCGCTTATTCGAGGTGGGCGCTAATTCGAGGTTGGGCGCTTATTCGAATAAATACGGTACTGCCTCAAAAACATTAACCTGTGAGCAGACGTTTCTTTCTGGCATGGCTTTTAACATTTACAAAGTCGTTCGCGTGCAGAGAGAAACCTCTGCTCGCAGAGTACAAAAACATAGCATGAGTACACAAAAGTACCATTTTAAGAATGTCAAAATACAGCGCAAAACACCGAGACAGTCGGGTAAGTTTTGACGTTTTTCAACACTAAGATTATACATAGGTACCTCTTTACAGTTTTGGTTTGCGAATTGACGCCTTGCTAAAAGGAAGTTTTTCAAATCACCTGCAATGCAATGCAAGAAATTAGTGGAAATAAATAACAATGGAAAATGAATTAAACTCGGTGTCTTATATTCTGCGGTTATTGCCCTTTAACAGGTTATTCTAGCTCTAATATAACCTGAGAAAACTGCCGACATTTGGCGACACCACCACTGGTTTCCCCGCGAAATGACGTCTGAGAAACAAGCTAAGAAATTCCATACTGATGACGTGTCACTACCCAGATCTAGGGAGTGCTTTTCATTGGTTGAAGCAAATTTCCCACGCGGCACGGCCAACCATGGTCAGAAGCACTACCCAGACGTCATTTTGCGGGGAAACCAGTGATGGTGTCGCGAAATGTTGGCTGCTTTCCCAGGCTAGCTCTAATAAATATTCAGTTTAACACGGTAAACTCATCAGGATAACAAAGATAAAAAACAGAGAAAAAAAGGGGTTAAAATTATTTATACAAGTAGGCGGATGGAATGATAGCCTCCCCGCAGACGTCCTTTGGGGTTCGTTCGTTCCCCCACGTGGGGGAGAAACGAATGCGTGACGAACGAACCCCAAAGGACGTCTGCGGGGAGGCTAATGGAATGACGCATTCACTGTTCTGTTTCATACCGTGTATCATTAGTTCCATGACAGCGTAGGCAGGCTCTCCCTTGGTGCAAACACCCAACAGCTTTACAATGTTTTTGTGATCAAACACCTTCATAGTTTCCGCCTCACTTAAGAATTCAAGCTACAAAAAAGAACGGGACAATATTGAAATAAATACCACAAGTAATCAAATAAAGGCGACGGAGCCGGCAAGGAAGTCACTATCCGTCTCTTTCCTTTGAACGCCTTCTATCTATTTAACGCCCCTGCTTGGACCCCTATACTTACATAGACGCCCCGGGCGTTTATTAGGTCCTTTAGCTTTTGCAAATGTGTCTCGTTTGACCGCGGAGAAGAGAAGATTACATCAGGGGTTTCATTAAGCATCGGAGATCGGAGAATTCTCCGTCTACGAAGCATAATTCTCCGCAGCTACGAGAAATAAAATTTGCTATCAAACTCAGCAGGGTTTAAATCGCAAAATTTCCAGGATTGTTTTCAAGCTCTTTCCGGGAAAGTTCTTCGTTCTTTCAAAAATATTCTCCTGTTACTTTACACTATTCTCCTGCTACTGCTATTCTTAATGAAACCCCTGTTACATACCTTGTCTTCAGGTAAAGACCCAATTTTCAGAGACTTAACAGCCACTGGTACCCATTCTCCGTCGCCTCCGATCCCCATCACTTCACCGCCGCACACCGCACCAAACGCTCCTTCACCAAGTTTGCGATTGAGGACGATGTTCTCGCGAGGGATCTCCCACTCGTCCAAGTGTAGAATTGGCGATTGTTCCATCAAGCCTAACTCCTCCATGCGCTGTTGGGTTTCTCTATACTTACTATCATATCTGGAAAAATACGTCAGTGATCTTATGTGAGCCACGATGAAATGACAATGAGAACAATGCGGCATATGGCAGTAGTTTTCACTGTTGAGTTTGTGGGTGAGATCAAATGAAGACTCTTCGGCAGTACTTTCACGTTGTGCTAACTGTTTTGTAGAGTCTTTCCAACTTTTGAGTGTGTGGACCAAATTCTGTTTTGTGACCATTCAAATGAAAACTGTTTGGTAATACTTTTACATAGTACTATTAATTTTGGTCTTCAGTAGTTTACGTTTGTATTTTTTCTGAATTTTGATTTTTGCCCATCATGCAATTGAACCAAAGGGTTGAATAAGCGATACAAAGACTCTTCGATCTATGGAGTAGAAACCACCGCACAAAGATGGGTGAATGAAACAGAAACAAACCAAACAGGATGGCAAATACAGCAGTTACTTGAGCATATTCACCAGATTCAGGAGGAACTCACCGTTTTGAAGTTTACATATGTTTTTAGGGTTTACGGTCATCTCGCCACCAACGAAATTGCCACCAATGAAAAGTCGACTCGTCACCAACAAATAACTCTGAGTTAATTGACGCAGTTTAATACTTAGGATTACTTACCTAAGATTTTCACTTTTTCGTCAAGCTTATTCGAATTTAAAGTCGACCTAAATACAATTCTGTCGATCCTAATTGACGATCCTTGCGTCGAACGTGTTATGCTCTTGATAATACAAATACTAATAATACACGAATAGGTTCTGTGAATGTAAACTTTGACATTAGATTAAAAAACTGGCAGAAACGTTCCGCAACCACAGGTCATCTCTTTGAAATATGAATAAAAATTAACGGTTAAGAAATTTCCGTTCATGAAGGTTCAAAACAATTCTAAGCTAAGTTCTATTTTGGTGGCGATCTCATTGGTGGCGAGGTGACAAGATACAGTTTTTAGTTTTATTCGTTACATAAAAGAGACATACAAGCATCCTCTACCTTCTCTTTATGCAGATCCAAATAAGAGTTATGATGACAATTAGAAACAACCCAATAACTGTGGGAATGAAAAAAAAAAATAAAATCTAAACATTTTTTATCACACGCCATATACAAAAAAGTAAGAGCTATTATTTTATTAGCTACGAATCACCCCGCATTAATTTTATCTGCCAACTACCCTGCAAGCTGTGGTTTCTCCCTTCGTTGCGTCTGACCTGGAGAAACCACTGCTCACAAGGGTATCCCCCAGTTTAGACTCATGCATATCTGTTTGAGGATACTTAACAAATTTTCAATGCTTTTAGTGAAATTCTGGTGGAAAGAAAGAATTTGGGTGACAAAAAAGTGAAGAGCATGCTATGGAGGTGAAGTGAGACAAGGATAGGATAAGGATAAGGATAGGATAAGTGCTTTATTATCAACAGAGCGCCTACAGACACATGTGTTTTCAACGATAACAAAGATTTTCGTGCAATAATTACAGAGGTGTACATTTGTAAAATTTATACAACTATTAAACAAGGTTATATTTAGCGCGTCTATCTCCTTCGCGGAAGCGATCATATACGTATTTAGCCACAACTTTTTGCGTTTTCTCTCCTTGCTTCATACTTATCAACGTTGCAAAGGCAGAGCTTGGAGTCATAGAGTCAAGAATAAGATTAGTTTCCTTTTTTAGCGTATTGAACAGCTCTCTCCTAGGATCCCTATAGGCTATGCAATTCATCAAAAAATGCTCCTCGTCTTCTAACCCAGTTTTACATAATGGACAGATTCTTTGGTCTGGTGGTTGATAAGGTTTAACGTATCGTCCAGTTTCAATTGCTAGTTTGTGGTTGCTTAATCTTAGCTTTGTGATTGCTACTCTATGATTGATGTTTCTTACATTTGTGAGGTAATTTTCGTAGTCATGGGTAAGTTTAAATTTCCTAAAAGTTCTTAGTTTGTTTTTTTGATGCGGATCCTTTGGTTCATCATTGTGTATTTCGCTAATCCATGTTTGCTGTTCTATGTCTAAGAGTCTCTGTCGTGTATGAGTTCATGATTGCGGGAGTGTTAGTTTTCGCTGACCATATGTCGCCAAGACCTGCGAGATTTAATAGTCGTTTTAATTTGCTTGACCAAAGTTACTTTTTATCTTGACCAAAGTTACTTTTTATCTTGACCAATTTGGTCTGTAAATGCTATTCCAGAGAGTTTATTTTGGTGCTCCGGCTCACAAAATTTCAGCCAATATTTAATGGCTCTGCACTTTGTCTTCAAGGTGTGCCCACAATAATCTTGCGCACCCATCCCGTTCTTGCTCTCGTCTTCCTTTTAAATGCCTGCCCAGGGCTGCCATTAAGTTTTGAAACCGCTGTAGCAAATGAAGATTCACCCATAACATCTCATAAAAATTTACAGTGTCATCTATAAGCTTTCCACTTTGATCACCCATAACATCATGCGAGGTCACAGCCATAACAGGTGTTATGGGTTATGACCCTTAATGACAGCTCTGCCTCCCCTGCATTGCACTTTAAGCAATATGGAAAGCAACTAATGTTTAAGAACACACGTGTCCCAGGCAAAAGGGTGAGAGTTATTACCTATTGCATTGATGGCAGCTATTGCTCCAGTGCATGAAATACCAAGAGCAGCTCTGAATGACTCTACAGAACACAATTCATGGGTAGAAGGCTCTGCCAAAGAACAAAGATATTAAATTGTAAAGTAGTCATATTCATCAGAAAACTACTGTTGAAAGCAAATAAACATTTGTAAATACTTTACAGGGGTTCAAAAACCAAGACCATGACTAGTTCAAGTTACATCCATTAATTTGGACTTCCTGTGCAGACATGGCTACTTTGGGTGCCCTGTACAAGTGTCCCTTAGCCTTTATGCTCCAAGAGTTCAATGGGTTGGAATAAAAAAATATACTTGACTGAATAGGCAAACAGATTATAAAGAATATAAAAAATACCCACGCCAAGTGGATTCATTAGATAAACTCCAAATCTAGGTGTTTTGGATTCACGATCAGCAAGTTTAAAAGTATAGCAAAAACTACACATGACAAAGCACCTGGCTAGGCCAACTTTAAGCAGACAAATGCAACAGAGCAACAGAATTTACCTGATCTACCATCAGAGGGCCTGCCTCCTGCTGGCCAATGGATGATAGTCTCATTCACTGTTAAACAGTTCCTGCTTTTATCACACACACCATCTAGGTTAGGGTGCACACAGCCTACTCTCACCACCCTGCTAGGGAAGTGCTGTCTTATCTCAATAGTAGGTAGGTATCTCTCTCCATCTCTAAACTGAACACGGCCAGACACACCAGTGAAGTTGGTTTCTTGGAGGAGGTTTCTCAGGAGCCTGCAAAGTAACAAACAGTTATCCTAATAGATTGAATATACAGTCGAACCTGTATTAAGTGGCACCGTATTAAGCAGTCAGTTTTCAAAGTCCCAAAAATTGCTTCTCTTGATCTACTGTAATTTCGACCTCTATTAAGTGGTCACAGTCACCATTTGCGAAATCCCAACAAGACTTTTTCTATTGTCTTAACTTGTATTAAATGGTCACACGGTGTTCATACAGTTTCAACTAATGTAACACACAAGGTACAACAATATTGATTTCCTCGTTTATTTTCGCAAATCATTGAGACGCCGGAAACGAATGTTTCTATTTGCAACCAAGCATCTGTTCTGATCAGCACTGGAGATCTAATTCTTTGAACTGTATTTCTTTCGGTCACTTAGCCACTTCCCAAGGATGACCGCTTTATATATACAGGTTCAACTGCATGAAAACATTTTAACTGCCATGTTATCTTGCACTAAAACTTAAAAATATTTCATTTCATGCATGAGATAAAAAAACTAACACACAGTAAATAAAGCCAAAAAGCTCAAGGCCATTTTCAGTGTCATCACGCAGTGGACAAAGTCGCATGGTGACGATAAAAACAGCTGTGAGGGAGACTAGTTTAATTTAAGGTGACAACATTGATGATTGACATAGCAGAAAGAAAAAAGAGAGAATCATTTTACTATGTGGCACTTACTGAGTTGTGTGATTAGTTCTTATTGTATCCAGTCCCAAAGGATATGTGCTGAAGAGTTTATCCAGGGCAACTGCATATGCCCAAACACCATCATACACAAAACTTGCATATTCTGATGGAGTATGGTTCTAAAAGATTATTAATGAACATTATTACTTTAATTAGCAGCTAAAGAGGTGACAAACCATAAACAAACATTTGAGAGAACTGTTGAAAAAAACAAATTTAAATGTGACATATCTCATGGTACAATTAATCCACTTTCATACAGTCAATAGAAGGTATACAAAAGGGGTACCTTTTTCACGAAAAATGGTATATAAAAGCATAAAGGGTTGAACCTTGGGGTGGAGCCTCCCCGTATAAACATTTGTCGAGTACCCCCAGGCCTTTACCACACAACAGTTGACCATTCTTGCAACAAGTGAATCAAGCTAAGCATTGCCTGATAAAATTATTTACATTATTTTATAACTTCAAACTTAAGGAGTTTAACAAGTGTTGAAGAAAAAGACTGTCTAGAATCCAAAAAGTGATTTATGGTACAGTTATGAACACAGGCTGCAAGACAAAAATCCATAAGAAATACAGCAGTTTAGAAGTGATAATCAAAACACAAAATTAAAACGGATAGAATCACCTCTTTCGTGACTCTCATTTCATATTCCTGTTTCCACTCAAGCACAGTGCCTTCACCCACAATAGTATCCAAATAATTGCCAAAAAATGCATTAGAGAGTGAGAAATAACCCCCATTGACAAAATGTTGCATGTCTCTAGTAGAGCAGGGTACATCAAGCATCCCTTCAGTTGAGTGTCCATGGATCCTGTAATCATCAACGTGCCACCAACCATCTGCCAGCCAAGATGGCAAAAACCACACATAGCCATTCTGTGGAGTGAGTCCCTGTAAAAAGATGTATAACAATACGGCTTATTGGGTACAGTACACTGTACGTAAGGTCTGAGGGGACACATGAGGCATACGTTCAGTGACACATGGCCAGAGTGGTTTTTCAGTTCCACCAGCATGAAACTGAAAAAAATGCACTATTTTTGAGTGTTATTATATTAATAAAATGAGGACACTTTTTTTGCATCTCATTCTGGAGATGGGACTGCATTTTATATGGTCATATGACCCATGCAAAGGTCTAGCCATTTGCAGGGCAAAGGAAGTATTAAGGTACCTTCATTACTCAATAATTTTAAGACCCTGATTATTGGTGCTTGCATGAGGGATTGAACCCATGACCTCCTCCTCCACAGTCAAATACTCTACTGACTGAGCTAATCCTGCTGTGGTCTCAAGAATATAGCTAATTTCCCACACTTAGGATGCTAGTCCATCATGGGGTTACCCAAGGACGTCACGTGCCCGTAGAGAGAGACAATATCAAGCAATATTTCTTGTCTGAGGAAACAAGGTGATGCCAATGCTGATGCTCGACCCAAACCTTGAAACTAGCGACATTTGACCACAGTGGAAATCAACGCCTGCACAATATTTGAAACTAAGAATGCCGGGTATAACATGGTCACTTCTTCAAAAATCAACCAAACCCACTGCACAGTTTTAATACCAAAAAAGATAACAGAACAAATTAGGCCCAGTTTGTACATCATGCTGTTCGTCTAAGTTATGGCAGAAGCATGACGTCTGAATCAAAGTTTTAAACAAGGTCTGCCTGCCATGCTCCATGGCTCTGGCATGGCAGTGATCTTTATATTGTGCAAATATGCCCATCAAACTAAATTCATAAATGTTGGAAATGTGTTGTCAGAAATGTGTACATATTTTTTTTCTTCTTCTTCATGCACTGCTGATTTGATACTACTCGCTTCTGTCATGCTTCTGTTGAACCTAATTACAAATGAGTTTGGCACAGCACAAGCACAGCATATGAACTGGGCATCATGTGACATTTATGGGACAAATTTATTGTAGCGTTGTATGTGTACTTACCTGTCGATAAGCTTCACACACCACAGCTCTAGCCAGTCCCTCGAAAAGAGTTGCAATAATAATCTTTGCAGAGCTCTCTTGCAGTGACGTTAGGTAAGTCTTTATATCTACTGTGTCCTGATTTGTAATCTGCCTCGAATATACCAAGCTTATCCCCCTGCTTTCTAAATACTGATGAGTTGCAGTAACAGTTGAGGAAACATAGTTTGTATCAGTCAGAGAAGCATATTGCTTCCATTCAAAGTATTCAAATACAGTTGCATAGGCATACTTAAATTCGGCATAACTTGGAGATGTTCTGAAAAACATGGGGAATTTCTCACGATCTGCTAAAGCCACACCTTCGACACTATAGCCCATGACAATGGTGTTGTACATAGGCGCAGTTTCAGCAATTATCTCAGTTTGAACAGAACAAGCAGGTCCAATGATACCTGCTATTGACTTGTTGTGTGATCGGGACATAAAATCAATGAATGCATTAAGAACAAGAGAAGTTTTGCACTGGGTGTCTTCGATGAGGAGTTCCAAACTGTAATTTGTAAGGATCCTGTCATCCTGGTTGATTCTCTCTAAAGCCATCAGAGCACCTGTTTTTCAACAAAAATAAAACCTGCATGTTGGACAAAACTATTTCACTCATGGACAACATAATGGTGGGAAAATTTGTGACAAAAATTTGGACAAAATCCCACACCTATACTGTGACACCATTTAAATACTTCATAGGATTTGATTAGAAAAAAAAAAGCAAGCACCTTTCCTACTGAAAAACAAAAAACATCCACGGGGAAAGAACAACAGGACGGAAGAAACTGGTTGAAAGAAACCTTGTGGCAGGAATTAAATGGTGCACAAAGGAAACTAAACACACCACTGAATCACATGATGGGCATGGTCACACCAACTGACCGCAGACCACTAGCGCTGATGGCAGTCTTGGTTGTTAACTCTTAAATGCCTTACAAGTAAAGAGAATGGAAAACTGAAGTCTATTTGTCAACAATTATTCTTCTACAAGATGTCACCTCATGAAGCAAAAAAATACCATACCTTGTAAGATTCCAGGTCTACTCCAGACAACATCCTCACTCTCTGACAAGGGGAACATCCCTCCCAGATAAACTGGGACTTTACTTAGGCTACCAGAAGGTAACCATGACAACCAGATATCTCTGGACTGCTGTAACCAATCGCAAGCAATTTCTTGGCTTGTTAAATTACCACCACTATCAATGTGCTTCTGAAGTAGATTGTCAAGTGTTTCTTTATCAAAATACAGTTTTGACAACAAGTAGTAAACATCAGGTGCATTTTCTTGGATTTTTCCCCAGGCCATTTTTGTAAGGTGACTTGGTGGAAAATCACAGTTGTAATAATTATCCTGTGGAGACTCCAAAGCCTTGGTCAAGGATACACCAGCACTGAGAGGAATGTAATAAATATATGAATTCACGAGATAAAAAAAGGTAAGACCAATGGTGTAATGTTTAAGTTTACTATTAAACAAATAAGTTATGATTAGGCTGAAAGGTCCTGAAGATGAATATCTAGTAGAAAACGTTTGTTTTAATTTTTTCTTTTACAATTTTGATAGCCTTGCTAAGAAGTATCTTTAAAATTTCCCTTCCTACCTGCAAGGGGGAAAATGTATTCTTGTCATCTTTGTTCTGGGTGCAGTATTTGGCTGCCAGTTTAATAGCAAGTATGGTGTTGCTTCAATTCCATTGAGAACATGACTTAATTTGGAGCCTAACCACGCCACTGAGATATTCAAACCAAGGCTACTGATCTGTTGGCTGATCACATGTCCATAATGGTCTACAATCAAGGTAAGTTAATTTTCACAACAAACTACTGAGATGCTATCCTTTTAAAATGTTATTTAATATGCTATCTAAATTTGACTATTCAAAAAATCCCTCAATCAGATAAAGTCTTCAAGCGCGCGTAAAGCCTTGAAGAGAAGGACACAAGCACGAAATATAAAAATACTCCAGGTGACATCAAGCTTGAAGTTAGTATGGGTTCTTCAAACCATGAGGGTGAATTACTCTCACAACATGTCTATTTGAATACATTCATAAAGTACACTTATTTAGAAGATGCAGGCCTAAAAACAGAACAGGTTATTTTTGACACTATTTAGTCATAATATTTTATTTTTTTGCAAAAGTAGTCTAGCAAATCATTGCTATGAATGGCAACATTATTAAATTCTTTAATAGCAGGAGTTCTTGTTTCCACACTCTAACCTGTGGAAGAGAACCTTCACAGTGTATCTAAAAAGATTAAAGTTCCTCTGCTTGCAGGGCGAATTTCCTCTTGACGTACAACTAATAATTTCCAGATTAAAGCACATTCCAACACCGGGCATGCTGTTTGTAGACTATTACTTTTTTTAATTGTCAGTGATCATAATATCCATAAATGTAGCTAAAGGGACTGGGCTAGGGTAACACAGCACATGACTTCAGTAAAATGATCAAAACAGAACAATCAGAAATCAGCATTATTTTCTGAAAACATTAATAATAAATTTCCATTCTAGCAGAGGAAGAGAGGCAAAAAATGTAGCTTAAAGCACAATTCGTGCCTAAAGTAAAGCAAAGACAGACCTGGAAAATCAGCCAAAAGAACTGCACAGTGTAGTGTGATATCACCATCTTGGCACTTGGGACCATAATACCAGCCATTTCTACAGCCAACAACATTTTCACAAGATTCTTTGTGATTTGACGTATTGACTTGAGAAGTAAGTGTTGAAGCATTGTGCAATAAGTGTCCTAAAACAGTCTGCAATTTTAACGCCCTCCAATTATCTACTATAATCCTGCTATCATTCCACAGTTGTTCCTCAAGTTCTGTTGGTATATACCACCCAAATCTGCAAGTGAATTGAGACAAATTTGATTAAAATGTTTTGCTTAATGTATTGTCTTTCACAATCTATGTCATGGCAGGCCAGGGGAGAGGGAGAGGGGGGAATACAAAAGGGAGAAACGAAAGGGAGCAACTGTCTCCTTTCTCCCCAATCCCCCTCCCTTCCCCTTAATCCCCCCCCCCCCCCCCCCCCCCCCCCCCCCACACACACACACACACACCCTCATGCACTCAACACTGTTGATCCTAGTGGTACATAGGGTGCATGCCAAATGAACCCAGTTCCCCGAAGGTTCTTCTAGGCTCAAGAGGTTAAGGTGCCCAACTGGTATTTTAGAAGGCCATGGTTTTGAATCCGTCAGGGAGAAAGACTTTTGTTTTGTCTTACAACCTTCTCAAAATGGTATCCTTGCATGGTCCAATTTTGCATCTCACCTTCCATGAGTAGAGATAATTCCAGCCTTGTCTACCAACTGACTGTCTACCCAGTTGTAGTATTGATAATCAGATGGCACCCACACTTCCGTATTGATCATAACTTCTGGAATGCTGCTTAGGTGACAGCTGAAGAAGTCAAGAGAAGTCAAGAAGTGAAGAAGTCAATTCAGCTGTAATCAAAACTACCAACATAAGTCTTGATAGATCTATCAAAAAATAAAGTAAGGGTTAATGTATATTTATATAATGATTATGTCTCTTCAGATTCAATACTAAGAAAAGGGTACCATATCATTAAAGAGGTAGAGGGGTGGGTCACTGCTTTATATGAAATAAAAACTTTTTCCCAGTATTCTAAGATACAAATTTGATGTAAAAATATATACTTGTGGCTTGAGCATCCCGTAAGCTTTTGAACAGCTTTCTTCACCGACAGTCCTGAGTCATCAGGTACCAGTATAATATCTTCATATCCAAGGACTTCCTCTAACAGTAAACGCAGCACATGAGTTGAGATCTGTTGAGAGGCACGTCTACTGTAGCTGAGTTTTAAGGGTACCAAAGTAATAGAATCACTATAGAGCTTGAAGTGACGCTTTGCACTGTGTCCTAGAAAAAAATGTAACATTAAAGTTTCATTTGAAGCATACAAAAAGCTATGGCAATGGTGCTTTATCACAGAAAAAAAAGATGATGCACTAGCAATTTAATTTACAGAAAAACACCTGCCATCCATTGGTACTAAGCATGTTTGTTACACTTGATTTTTCTATTGTATTCACCTGTAAAAAAGCATGCCGCTTTCCGTTTCAGTTCAGTTTCAAAAGACAAAATGTCACGGCCCGATTCTCATAAAGGTCCCATATATTACAGTAAAAAGCCAAACATAAGAACCTAGTGATTTGAGAACCTACAGGCTAAAATTTGGCATTTAAATACCCAAAAATATAAGAACCTGTTCAGCCTGGCAAAGAAAAATAGGTTCTTATACAAAAGAATCACTCTAATTTTGATGGTTAATTGTGTGAGAAACTTTTCAGTGACAACAGGTTATTGTGTATATGTTTTCTTTGATTTACATTTGTTCGGATTTTCACTAGAAGTATATTTTCCATAAAGCTACCGTGCAAATATAGACAATTCAAAATCTTAATATCCTATTTAAAACATATAGAAATGTATTGATGTTCTTCTTGGACCTTGATTGTTTGCCATTATGTATTAGTAGTACAATATTTCTGCCAATAGTTACACTATGACAACCTCTGAAAAATAAGAACCTTTAAAGAACCTAATCAGCCTGAATCGTGAAAAACTACCCTAAAAGATAAGATCCTGTTCAGCCTGACCTCGAAAATTCTAGGTTCTTATATGTGGGTTTTCACTGTATTGCAGTACAATATTCAAGCTGTGGTCTCACAAAGGTCTTATAAGAAATGTCACAAGAATTGAAAAATGTAACAAATATTAGTAAAATCTAACTAGTAGTCTATTATCAATGCTACGTTCTGACTGGTTGAGCTACTACTAGGCTATATGTTATAGCCCACTAGTAGCGAAAAGCGCGGGCTTTTTGGCGGCAAAAAAGATTAAAGTCTAGCTTTAATTACCTAAAAATTTTTTACTCTCAATATTTTTGACCAACTAGTTGGATTTTACTAAAACAATAATTATTCCTCTCGCCCTCATGGCCTCTGAGTCAATAGGTCATTTGGCCTTCGGCCTCATGGGCTATTGACTCAGAGGCCATGAGGGCAATAGGAATAATTGTTAAATAATCATTTGTTCAATAATGTAACAAATAATTTAGATGTATTTAAAATGCAATCATTTGTTCAATAATGTTTGAAAACAAATAATTTAGATGTGATTTCAAAAAAGCTCTCTGCCTGCAGATTTCCAAAAGGAAAGGAAATTTTCGAAATTTGCCTTTAATTTTGAAAGGGTTAATTGTATAACCCCCAAAAAAAAAAAAAAAATATATATATAACAATAATAATAATTCAGGCAGCTCAGGGTGCAAAGTGAATTCACTTTGTACTAAAATAACCTGTACTGAATTGAACAGTTTCTATTGTTGTATTTTACATTTTTATGGCAAGTGCATTACAGGGTGGATTTCACGTCTCCTTCATTGATCCATATTTGCATTTAGATTCTTTAATAGATCTTGAGTAAACATGCAGAACGTCTTATGTATGTAGTGGCTGTCTGCTGTCAGTATTGAATTACAGATATGACAGGTATGAATACAAAGTTGCAGGTGTGATTATTTTGTGCAGTGGATATTAAAAAGCTCAGAAAATGGCCATTTCCCCTTAGCCTTAAAGCTCGATTAAAAACGTTCACTAGGTTAAACGTACGCACAAACAAAGCACAAGGTCACAACAATCGAAAAAATAACGTACAGTTCTCGACCTACACAAACTAAGACATTTGCATCGTAGCTTACATGTACATGTAACTTAGGCTGCTTGCTAATGCCAGCTAGTGCATTATTTGACCCACCTGTAAAATTGTCTTTGAAACACTTTTCAGCGGCCGAAGAAACTTCCGTTGTTATGAGCAAAAACAGAAGGCTCCAAGGCATCATTTTGCTTTACCCATAGCTGTGAAATGTTGCCCTTCTTCTCTAGCAGAACTTGATCGATGCAGCTGTACAAATGCCTGGACCCACGCGGGAACCGCCGGAACGATATGATCGAAGGACTTTGTTTTGATGAGTTAAGAGACTGGAACTAATGTGATCTTTTCCATTCAGGAGGGTGGGGTAGAAGTCATTTTTAAAACAATTTGCCTTGGTTAAATAACCGTCGCTTGAATATTTTTACAAATATATGAAAAATCAAAAGCTACCTGAACATCACAATATTTTCTAGAAGACTTTGTTAAATGTGAAGGGTTAACAACGAACAAACAACATCGTCGCTATCCCTACCCTCCCTACCCAACTACCTACAGACTGCACCTTACCTGCGGATAAAAAAGGCCAGGATACTGAGCTTTCACGTGTTTCAATATGGCGGTCGTGGTAGCGAGATTTCTCAGTTTCATTTCATTTTGAGGGTTTAAAAGACTTAGGGAACTAGGATGACAAGAAAAAAAGAGAAGAAGGAAGGCAAAGTAACATCTGCGCTTGATGAGCAAACTCTTGGTTACTTCAAAAGAGTGGATGATGTGATCAAAGATGACGATTTTGACGACGAGGAGGGTCGAAAACTGTTCATTGAAAACGTCTTTACGCAAATAGAGAACAACGAAATCAAACTCTTCTGCGATCAAGTGATAAGTAGAACTTTAGAGAAACTTATCATTTATTTCAGCGATACCCAAATCCGTAAGGTCCTGCAAAACGTGGAGGATCATTTCTGCAAACTTGCGATGGATAAATTCGGCAGCCATGTCTTACAAACTCTGATTTGTGTCATACCGAAAACGATAAGGTCGGAACGCAGTAAAGTAAGGGAAGTTGCACAAGAATTTAAAGACTTGAAAGGTGCAGAACAGTTGTTTTTGGATCTCTGTAACTCCTTCAAAGAAAATCTTTCCGAACTTGTTAACCATATTTATGGAAGCCATGTTGTTCGAGCAGCTATTGAAGTGCTAGGTGGAGTAAAAGTTTCAGACAATGTTGTTCGTAGCCGAGCGTCTCGACAAAGTAGGGAAAGAGATAGTCATTCAGATGAGAAAAAGCCATTTATCAAGCTAAATCAAGGTAATGCGAAGAAAATTGTTTATAATGTCCTGCAGTACCAGCCTATGAACAGGCTGTCTGGCTAGCGGATGATAAAGGGAGAAGGGGAGAAACCACAAGGATAGAAGGAGAGAGCATATATGGTTTACAGTTACTTCGTTCCATGGTCAGATCGTTCCAAGCCAGATTGTTCCATTTTATAGTCAGATCTTTCCACGGTTTCAGTGTAAAACTGTATGGGAAGCGCCTTTTTTGCCTTCTTGGCTTAAAGAACAAGGTATACATGTGATTAATTCCCTTGTTTCTGCTCGTGGCCTAAAGACTCATGAAAATTTCTGACAACATTGTGGAAAGAACTGCCTAAAGTGGGACTATCTATCTTGGAACGATCTGACCATGATACGAATTGACCGAATATCGCATATTCAGTCACTGCTAGAGGTCTAACTAATGTCACCAGAACCAAGATAAAATAATGTTTCATTTAATCATTCATTCATTCCAGCTCCTTTCCTCACCCCAATGTTCCCACAGTCCACTTTCCTTGCCTCCCCTAACTGCAACACCTGTAGACAGACTATGTAATACTACAGGCACAGCTTCCAAAAAATTCAGAGAAGTGTATCTGCTATTCCACCAGTCAGTGGTTTAGCTGTGTTTTCATTCTATTTTCCAGTGGGAAATGCCTTTGGAAGTGACACTATCAAACCCATGGAGACCATTGCTGTTCCAGACAGTTTTTACCCCATTTTGAAACAGTTTACCAAGGGTATTATCAAGATGGATCTGCAGAAGTTGGTTCTTCACCCTATTAGCAACCCCCTGTTGCAGACATTGTTGTTAGTCCTTCATATTAAGGATCAGTCATTATGTATGAAGCTGTGTAAGGCAGTCATGTCACAAATTGATATGCTTAAGAACAAAACGGATACAAGAAAACCAAACACTGATGACAATCATCAAAATACAAAGGATAAAAGGTACACTGTATATAGTGTGTCATGCTGCGTACCTTACTAAAGGAGATTATCCCCAAATTCTCAATACACTCCCGACATTCTTAACACCTACATGTAAGAAAGAGGAATGTTTTTTATCAGGGTTAAGATCTAGTATTGTTCAGTGAAACTGTGAAGAACATTCATAGAGTTGTAGCTAGTCGGGAGGCAGGGGGGCAGGTTTCATTATGCAGTATTGTGAAATGTTTAGTGTACTTATAAAGTGCTTGGATGTATGGTGTGTTTGAAGTTAACAGGACCTCGGAAATAAAATTTGTAGATGAAACCCCATGGTGTTACCATTTGAATGAAACTTATTCAGCTGTACTTTTACCCAATACCATTATGTTGATTTTTCTGTTTTTCTCTTCTGTTAGGAAGGGTTCAACCGTAAATACTCCGCTCTTCTGAATTTGGGGGGAAAAGTCAATGAATTATTCCATGATACATGTAGTCTCACTTCCATTTCTTTTATTTTCAGTGACTACAGAGTTCCTGTTCTCCTTTCCAATGAGATCAGCAGTCACATGATTGAAAAGATTCTACATGTGGTCACACCTGACCTTTGGCAGGAGATTTATGAGACGTACTTCAGTCCACACCTGCCTCAGCTGGCGCAGCACCCCATTGCTAACTTTATTGTGCAGCATCTCATGGCTAGTGCTAGAGAAAAATTGCATGTAGGTTGTTGACACTTTCACAAACATAAATTATGAAGCTTGACAAGCCAGTAGGTCATAACCTTGATTTTATGGCAAATTAGTCAACTGACCCCCTCCCCCCACCCGCTTACTATCGCGGCACAAGTCAAGAGTTCATAATAGGGCAGAGAACGAGTCTAAGGGTGTTGGCTGGGACACTGTAATTACAAAAAAGGTTTTTTTAGAAACATAGTGGACCATGTGGAAACAGTTTCTGTTGAACTGGTTGACTTTCGGAACACTTGCTTTAATGATTCAGTGCACCAAAGCAAGGCAGAGTCAAGAAATGAAGAAATGTTGGCCTTAATGGAGGGACGATGTGGAGGGACTTTGATCTGGTAAAACTGTCCCATTTCCACATAGCTTCTAAAAATAACTTTTTGAAATTAGGATATCCCAAGGCATGATTGTGCAAGTCCTATTATGTTTTCATTGACTTGACAATGACAGGAACGTGGTTAATCCCAAAGGCCTCGCAAAGCTATGCATCCACTCCAAATTTTTTAAAACAGAAGACGGTTTGCAGGTATCATCGCATTTTTAAATATGATTAAAGTGCATAAACTAACATTGAAGGTTTAATTCAAGTTCCAATGCTCATTGTTCTAGGAGCTACTTTGGGGGGTTTTCTCTGGGTTACCTCATTTTTCTCCCCTGAACATACAGCATCATTTTCAGATTCCAATTCAGTTAGGAATTTTATAACCTGTGAAATAGCCATCTCTCCTCGCTTCTGGCAAAACAACCCTAGTGGCGAGGAAAGAAGGCTGTTTTTGCAAGCTAGGAATTTTAGGATCAGATGTTTGTCGTTGAAAAACGTGTGTAATATGTACTTCCATTATAAAATATAATCAAATTTAATTTTTTTTAGTTTGCAATAATTTTTATCTTTTCTTCATTTTAGGCAAAGCAAATAATTGTAGAGTTACTCCCTTATTTAGAAGATCTCCTTGCTCAGGGGCATATGGGTGTTGTGGTGAGAATGGCAGAGACTGCAGTCCGTTTTTCAGTAAAACAGAAGAAGATCTTAAAAGCTCTGTTGCAGGCCTTCCACTGTCAAGAAAAAGATGAGCAATTGAGTGCTGTTGTTCTGTTATCATCATTAACAACCTACGATATTTTCTTTGGAACAAAAGAAAATGGAAAAGAAGATGGTGATGAAAGCAGAAACACTTCAGAGGTAAGCTAGATATCAAAGAATAAAGCACGATGATTACCTTTTTATTGTCTATCATCTGATTTTCCCAACTTGTGATGTCAGTTTGTTAAACATGCAGTTTTTCCTCAGTTTGGTGGCTATTCCATATTTTACAGGACTGTCATATCACTTGTCATATTTCATAATTCTTGCTAGAACATCCAAATTAGAGGTGAGCGTTTTGGTGGGACATGACAAGACCATGGTCAGCAGGGGGATAGCCAGCAAAGTTTTTCTTTCTTAAACACGCGTTGTAGAAGTCCTCAAAGGGCGGGCGAGGGGGTGGGTGGTTGAGGACATACTAGGAAGCCAAGTTAATGGTGACCTATAAACAATTACAGTGGCAAAACCATCTTTCTGAAGTCACAGTGGACACTGACATGGCGAAGAGAAAAATGAACACAGTGGCGACTTTTTCAGTTGTAAGGTCTTCAACTATTTTGAAATAACGTTTTTGGTAATAACATTTGTAGGCAACAATCACGTCGCTCGTGAGGTCAATACTGTTTTGTGCTATAGAGAGAAAAGATTAATGATTGTGTCTTCATAAAAATCCTGAAAAGTATTAACTGAATAGACATTAATTTTAAACACTCTCTTTAATCACAGCTTATCTATGGTTTATTTTAAGGAAAAGCCGACTGCCAGTAGCAAACTGAAATCTGTGAATTACCATGGAGCCATGTTATTGAAAGTCTTGTTTGACTTTCAAAAGCCATCCAAGTTGGTCAAGAGTTTGCTCTCTCTGAGTCTGGAAGAAGTCTTGATCCTTGCTAATGATCCTATGGGCTCCCATGCCGTTGAGGCGTTTCTAAAGAGCAGATCTGTGCCGTCTGATGATAAGAACATACTCATTCAAAAGTTACAGGTAACTTCAACTTATGCCTTTCCCGGCTACCAGAAGGGTAACAGAGGCTTTTTCTCTCGTGCGGCGGGATGCGTCGTTGTCGGCGGCAGGTGGACACATCTTCGCACGAAGGCCGAAGTCACGAGTAACTTGCGATCAGGCGTCTTTTTTTTTCCGAGGAAAGGGGAAAAAAAGAACGCGTCCTTTTCCCCTCGTCTCCCAAACATAAAGGGAAGAAGAACACCTGATCACAGGTTAAGTCACGAGCGGCGAAGTCGCGAGAAAAGACCTCGCTTTTCGTGCGGGTCACTATAAGGACTCAGTGCTAACGACTTCACCGAAACTGGATATCGCACGTGGAAAGTCTCTGGCACCCAGGGTAACCTATGCCTGCTGATTTTTTGTCATGTCGAGAAAGAAAATCTATGCCAAATAATTCAAGCATCTCCCCTGTCTTTGAAAAAGCAATCAAGTTCTTTGTCTCTGTGGTCGAGTTTGTGATGTCTCCTCTTTAGCTTCCTTGTTTATATGCATTTTAACTGAATTTCGGTCGTTCTGCCCGACAGTGGCATAGCCAGTTGGCGTTTCGCCCCGACTTCAGTCGATTAGCCCGAGGACATACAACACTACAAAACACGGTGAACATACTTATCATAGATGATTTTTTTTATTAAGGTTGGATTCCACATGTGCAGTCACTGTATTTTTACGCTTATTCGTTTTTTGGCCAAAGAACGACAAAAACATATCGGGCAAATCGACTTAAGTCCGGGCGAAATGACGTGGGGCGAATCGACCTTCGGTGAAACAACCTTCTAACTGGTTTACTTGACTATATACATCTACCGTGATTGCCTTTTTTCAGGGGGTCTTTTCAAAACTTGCCTGCGAGAAACAAGGCAGTCGTGTGGTTGAAACATGCTGGAGACAGGCAGAAGTGAAATACAAGGAAGCGATTACCCGTGAACTAGCTGACAACGAACATCAGCTGAAAGACAACTTTTACGGCAAATTTGTGTTAAGAAATTGCGGCGTTGAGCACTTTACAAGAAAGGATAAGACTTGGCATGAAAGGGAGCAGAAAGTTGAAAGGAAAAGAAAACTACTCGAGGAGATTTTCGAAGAGAGAGACGAACTTCCAGCGTCTACCAAGAGAGCTAAACTCGCAACAGAAAACAAGTGTGCACAACTTGCCCCAGAAATGGCCGCCTTAGGTTTCCCTGCTGGTGGAAATCATGCTCATGATTCAGGCGAGGTAAGATCTTATTGCGCACCTTTCTTTATCTCTTAGTATACTTTACCTTGTACTTTTGAGATCATAAAAAGATGTTTGTGTTTGCCTGGAATACTCTAAGGGAGCTTAAGCAATGACGATGGCGGAGAAAACGTCGCTATAAAAAATGAATTTGCGTCCTCTCAAACTTTCTCGGGGGCGCGTGTATTTAGACCCGTTCAATTTGTCAAATGTAGGCGATTTTTCCTGGAGTTGAATTCTTAAGGACTTTATCCGGTTTAAAAAAAAAAAGGAAAATTTGTTGTCGTACATTCGCGTCCTCCATAAACATCACATTAAGAGTTTTCACTTCGTGGTCGTGCAGTGGAGGTAAAAAAAATGTACTTAAAAGCGTGGTGTACGTGCAGGGCTGTTGTTTTGCACATAAAACCAATTCTTTTGTCGTTGTCGTCGTTGTCTCCGTCGTGGTTACCTAAGCTCCGTATTGTTGAGGTCAAAACATGCTATGCAGCATTGTTCACGACTAGCGGGCCTTGTAAAGTTCTCACTTTATTTCATACGTGTGGGAACTAGTTTTTGTTACCAGTCAATTTTCTCGGAAATGCATGCAAAATGTAATTCACTTTCTTGTATCGATGACCTTGCAAAATTTCAGTCAAGTTCCGAAGTTGTGTAAGATACTATTGAAGTGAATTACTCTTCCTTCGTTACGACGGGTAACGCGTTAGCATTCTTTCTCGTTGTAACGCGCAAAAGACTACGAGTGGTTAATCTATACGATTATTGCTTTTTTCAGTGCGATGACAGTGATAGTGTAGACACTGGAGGAGAACCCAAGAAAAAGAAGGAGAAGAAGAAGAGGAAATTTGGAAGCAAAAAGGGCAAAACTGAGAACTCTGATCTAAACAGTCTGGATGAAGAGGACAATTTTGCCGAGATGGAATTCATTAACAATGTTATCAAAGCAACCAAGGCAGTGAAAAAGTCCCAAAACGAAAAGAGAAAGAAAAGACAAAAATAATCATTATTAGGTTTGAAATAAAGAAACACGCTAGTCTGTGCCAAGAAGTTTTCTAAATGCAGACTAGTATACCTTGAGCTAAGAAAATAGCCGACGTTTCGCGACACCACCACTGGTTTTCCCGCGAAATGACGTCTGAGAGACAAACGCAGAAATTCCATTCTGATGACGTGTCACTAGCCTCCCACGCAGGCGTTTTTAGGGGAGTTCGTTTTTGTGTGGAAGGGATGAAAGACGAGTTCCCCTAAAGACGCCCGCGTGGGAGGTTATCTGATTGGTTGAAACAAATTCTCCTCGCGGTGCGACAGATCAGAAGCACTACCCAGCTCTTTGTGGTGACACTTGCATGTCATCTGCTTGGAATTTTTGCAGTCGTTCCTCAGACCTCATTTCACGGGGAAACCAGTGGTGACGTCCTCAAATGTCGGCTGTTTTCTCAGGCTAAGTATGCCTAAGTTTTCCAGTTTCTCGGCGCTCTTTCGCACGCACGCGTTGACGTGATTCCACCCAATGGCCGCAAGGCAACCAATTAGACTGGGTGTTGATTGCTAGGATCTGTGATCAGGGCCCCGTTTCTCGAGAGGCCCGGAAACTTTTCGGGCCCGAAGGCAAATTTTAAAATCAAAACTTGTTGAATAGTAGCACAGTTCCTAGCTGACTGCTCAAAAACCCAGTGGCGGATCCAGGGGAGCCCACCCTCCCCCCCCCTCCACCTTATTTTTAGACCAAACTTGAAAAATTTTTGAAGACCAAACTGAGGCCAGAAGGGCATTGTAAAAAAAGCTTTTTTGAAGTAAACCGCAAACACAAAACCTTTCGGGCCCCCAGGCGAGAAAAAGGTTCCATGGTTTGAAAAAAAAATGGCGGCGTGGAGCAAAATGAATGCATTGCTGTGTGGAGAAAAAACTGTCAGTCGCTACAAACGTGCCGTCTTCAGAATAAAGGCGTGTATGGAAGGTTTAACCGGTTTGATCTTTTGTCTGATCGAAAAGAAACATAAGGGTTTGGTAAAGGGCTGCCCGACTCATGTGTGCGAAAAGATTGAAAAGTGACAACCTCTTGTCATGTTTAGACAGCCGAGAGCGCGTAGAATTTATTTATTTATTTATCGCTTTCGCAACAGCTTTCCACTGCATCAAAGCAATGCCTCTCGCTCGCGAATTCTCGCACGGCTTGCTTCGCTCGCCCGGTTATACTAGGAGAGCTTGCTCGCAGGCTAACGTAATCCCTGGCTAGCAGAGGTTTACTGAGCTTCGCTAACTGGTGATAGGTAAAATGAAAAGGACGAACAGAAACCCAACCCTAATCTACTCAATATTAATTATTAATTTCACGAGTTGCGGAGGGTTTTGTCTAGTCCTTGTTCCTGGTTTTCGGTGCGGCTTGCGAGTACAGACGGTTGTATTCCCAGGCTACCATTTAGGCTCAGTTTTTGAAAAATGGGGATACAGTTTAACCACTCCTGAACGGCCTCCTTGGGGACTTAACAAAGTGTCTATTGTAGAGAGGTGGCCGCGGGCTTTTTAGAACTGACAATAGAGACTCGGTACTACTGAGACGCGAGGAAGACGCAAGGCTATTTCGACTGTTTCACAGGTTGTCCTAATAGGTAATGATGATGATGATGATGATGGTGATGATGATAATACTGATAAAACCAACGTGAGATTGCTGCTGATTCGAACTTTTCGGGCCTGCAAACTTGACCATTCTAAGAAGAATATAGCCAGAGCTTAAGCCAGAGCCCTCTGGTCTCCTCCCCAACACTCTGGGCGACGCGCAGAGGAGCCTGGTAGCTGGGAGAATTTTCGTGCTCTCTAAATGAAGGCGTCTTTGGAAAACAAGATGGCGGAAAGCAGGAGCAGTCAAATACCATGTTAAAATAGAACTAACCTGGCCCAAAGGAGACTTCCATAATGTATCCTAGAGTAAAACGATCTCTATCTGAAGATGGAACTACTTCTGCGAAGAGAGCTTTATTTCGGTCGTTCTCCGTATCAGCTGGTAATGACTCGACTCAGCGTGAAGCTAATGGCAACTCAAAACAATATCACCATCATCACCAGAAAACTCATTCTCCGGCACGAAAACACCGGTTTAATTTGCCTATATTCACTGGACGCAATGCAATAATTGCTGAAGTAAGGATGAAAGAAAGTGTTATTATCGTTGGAGAAACAGGCAGCGGGAAGACGACTCAAATTCCTCAATATCTTCACGAGGCTCGCTTGACAAAGCTTGGAGCTATCGCCTGCACTCAACCTCGGCGCGTTGCTGCGATTAGCATTGCACAGAGGGTGGCCAAAGAAATGAGTGTACAGTTGGGAGAAGAAGTGGGGTACACGGTACGATTCGAAGACGCGACCTCAGCAAAGACTCGCGTGAAATACATGACAGATGGAATGCTTTTGAGGGAAGCGATTGGAGATCCATTGCTTCATAGATACTCTGTTGTTATTTTGGATGAGGCTCACGAGAGAACTGTTCACACTGATGTTCTTTTTGGTGTGGTAAAATCAGCTCAGAAGATGCGAAAAGCGAAAAATATGAAACCACTCAAGATTGTGGTCATGTCTGCCACTTTGGAAGCTGAACATTTTTCGCGATATTTTAACAGTGCCAAGGTGTTGTACATCGAGGGACGGCAGCATCCTATACAAATGATGTATGCAGTTGAACAGCAGAAGGACTATGTTCATGCTGCACTGGTCACAGTCATGCAACTACATCAAGAAATGCCCCCAGGGTAAAAACACTGATAGCAGAAAATAAACAATGAATAATTATGGTGCTATACCCAACAACTACTGGGAAGCGGGGGGGCGGGGGGGCAGGGGGGGGGGGGTTACCGGTCATTTCGATACAAAGTTGTTTCGATACAAGTCTTTTTGATACAAGTTTACTCATTCGAGAGGTGTAAATAGTTCCACGTACTTGGCTTAACCCATTCGCTCCTGGAGATTTTGCCGAAAAACGCGTTTTGAAGCTAGTCGAGTGGTTTTCTGATCACTGTCGTGCTATAAAGAGCTAAAACTTACCACAAATCGGTTTACAGGTCGTACACTTGGCGGCCTTCTGATCCAGATGCAAAATATCAGCTTGCGAAGTTCGGGCATGCGCAGAAAGCAAAATTTCGACATAGTTTTTGGGTTTAAAAGTGACACAGCAGTCTTGACTTTTACTTTTCGCTTTCTCTCCTCCCTTCTTTTTTCGCTTTTCTTGCCTCATTTTTTTTTTCTCTTGCTAGGCATTTAGTAGGCTTCATTTTGGTGGGAAGAGTTTTTAGGAAAGCTTTTAGGATCTTAGGATTAGGTGAAAGGAAAAGTAGGTGGGTAATGGAACAAGATTTTCATGGAGATTTTCAGGTCCTTGTCACGTGGTTTTTTGCTTCTTTCTCCAGTGTCCTTGACTGAATTGTGCTCATTCTGGTATGGTTTGAAAGATCTCTTCACCCTGCACAAGTTAGCGAAAAAAGTTGTCCTTGACCGTTAAAACTGATGACGTCACAAAGGGTAGAAAGGACCTGGATCCGCACGGGCGGTTACGGGCGGTTCAGGGGCGAATGGGTTAAAGAATGAAGATATTCACCCAAAATGCTTTTCTTGTTCACTTGCAGACTGTACTTGAAGTGAACAAAATTTTTGTGCAATTTCACTGCTTGAGTTTGTATTGAAATGACTTGTATCAAAATGACTGGTTTTCGTGGATAACTGAAGTATTCAGTCTAACCTCCATGTGTGACCACCTCTTGGTAAGTGACCACCTCCCATACATGACCATCTGTGCAAAACCCAAAATTTCCCCAGTCAAAGCCCTGTAGTTGGAACCTGTTATGAATCACCACCTCCTTTAAGATCTCTGGAGATCTTAAAACCAAACCTTTTGTGCCCCCTCCCCCAATAAGCACAAATCAACCCAGTCCCTAAATAGTTATTATAACATAGGAATGGCTATGGACATTGTATGAAGTCTTACAAGAAGTACAGATCGTCAAAATGGACTAAATTCAAAACTAAACCAAAGAAAACCTCAAAAGTGCTCAACAAAGCACACAAATTTACATTATATACCTTACTCCCGGGGGTAGGGTACTCCCTATAATGGCCTATACAGGGAGGCTCCACACGAAAGGGTCATCTTTTTCAGGCTTCTGGTATATGAAAGGGTAGGGATTTCACTAGTTGAAGTATATGAAGGGGGTCATCATTTCAGTTTCAGGCTTCTGGTACAGATACAAATGGGTAAAAGGGAAAATTTCACTAGTTAGTATAAAATGTAGTGGATTTACTGCAGCTAAAAGGGATGGAAAGTTCTAAACTAGGTATGTGAAAAATTTGTCAATAGAAAGAATATGAAAGGGTACCTCTTCTGCCAAAAATGGTATATTAAAGGGTAAAAGTTCAAACCTTATAGCACAGTCTCCCCGACTAAACCTTTACTAAGTAACCACCAAACTTAATTAAACTATTTCTGTTAGTGTTTTAACAGAATCTTATTTCTCAACAAAGAAGTTTTGCTTCTGCCAGCTAAAAGGGAAGAAGCTTTAAGCATCCTCCTGTGTTTATACAGCAGAAATAACCTTTAAGTGTGTTTTTTGTTATTGTTGTTCTTATTTGATAGTGGTGACATTCTTGTGTTCCTGACTGGTCAAGATGAAATTGAGTCTCTGGCCAAGCTGATCACAGATTGTGCCCAACACTGTGGATCGGGTGAGTTCAATTTGTTACTCCAGGGGAATTGTTTGGCGGCTCAGGTTTACAAACATTACTTTTCAGGTGAAGAGAAGCAAAAACTGGAAATACATCTGTGTTTGCAGCAAAAGCTACAATTTATTAGCTAGAATTCTAACTTTCTTTGCACCTTTAGATAAACTTCTCATTAGGTAATCTGTAGGGGGGGGGGGAAGGGGAGACAAGCAAGAAATGTTCTTCCCTAAATCCCCCTCCCTTCACTTTTTTTTTTTCTCCTTATCCCTGCTCTATTGTTTGCAGTTTCAACTCTCCTCACTCTTCCTCTGCTTTCAAAATCAAAGGTGGTGACTAAATGCCAGAACACTCACCCAAGATTATGTCTAGACTGGCAAGAGTTAACAGTTTACTCAACTGAAGCATTTCTAAGATGACACATATTCCATGATGAGTTTTATCTTTAAATGTTGGGAATAATGACAATGATGATGACCATACTGCTGACGAGAGACTGCATGGCTGGCTATTGGCTCTTTGGATTACATAGTACATGTAGCCAACATCTAAAGTTTTGTTGCCGAGTCCTTAAATTACCACTGCATATTTTGTTAGAAGTCTAACACGGTTCTTGTGGTTTTTGTTTTTTAGAGTGTCCTGAGCTCCTGGTGTGCCCAATGTTTGCTGCTTTGCCGTCACAACATCAAATGAAAGTGTTCATCTCTGCTCCGCTTGGTAAAAGGAAGGTTGTTTTGGCAACAAACATTGCAGAAACTTCAATCACTATACCTGGGGTTAAATATGTCATAGACACGGGATTTGTCAAAGGGAAAGGTTGGTTTCCTTTTATGTGCAAATGACATGAAATTTTTAAAACTAATTTTGGTCCTTACATAAGTTTAATTTACAATTCTGAAATTTTAAAATTTGTGTCCCAAAAATGTTTTTGAATTTTGGCTATCCAAAAACTACTTTTTCCCCTTCAGAAATGTGCCAGAGACTGGGAGTCATTAAAGGATCAAAGAAAGGCTTTTTACATCATATGACGCCAGTTGATTTGCTCAGCCTTCGCTTAAGATTCTGATGAGTGCTTTGTGTTTTGTGGAATTAAGCAACCACCATGACAAGCCTAGATAAGCATAGCTGACCACCGGCATGTTTACCATTGTACTTCAACAAATAAAATGTATGTATGTACTTAGTTTGGTGATAATCATATTATTATTGACATCTTTTGGCAGCTTTCCATCCTAAAACTGGTCTTGATATGCTGCAAGTACAGCCTGTATCAAAGGCACAGGCTCGCCAACGCACAGGAAGGGCAGGCCGTGAAACAAGTGGAGTGTGTTATCGGCTTTACACAGAGGAGCAGTTTGATGAACTGAAAGAGATGACAACACCAGAGATCCAGAGGTGCAACTTAGCAAGCGTTATTATACAGCTAATGGCTCTTGGTATTTCGGATGTTCTTCATTTTGACTTTCTTGATCGGCCACCTCAAGATGCTATAGAGAATGCTTTGGAGCAGTTAGTTGTGCTTGGCGCCGTGAGAAAAGGAAATGATGGCTACCAGGTATAGAAACTATGGATCATTATGCATTTCTGGGAAACTGTCCTCCTACCCCTCCCCTAAGACAACATTAACACTTACTTCTCACTTAGGGCAAAATGTTGGCTTAGGGGAGGGGTAGGTGTGCAGTTTCCCAGAAATGTATAATGACCCGAAACTATTTGGTGAAGGATATGTTATTGCCTTGTCCCTGTAGAGCGTCGTCCCAGGCTTTCTCAGTCGGTGCATTCCGGTGACGTATACGAAAACCTCGCTCAGATCACGTGACCTAAAACGCTTCGGCTACGCGCAATAATGAGCCCTATGGACTAGGCAAGATATGTAGTACAAACTTTAGGTTTGGACAAGTCTCAGTTAGTTGAGAATTTTGTGCCAAGTGAAACGCTTTTGAGGCAACCAAAGCACAGGGATAATTTGCGTTTGTGCAGGGGCGGCTTAAAAAGCTCCTGTAATTCAATACCCAACCCTAATCACAACACCTTAAGTTACTGTATCACCTCCGCACATGAAATTTTCAACCCAGTGCAACCATTGCCGTTTCTAGTTTCCTCTCTCCTCTAATTATACAGCTAGAACGTATTAATATATACAAAACAGACAATACCAAGCAGTATTATGTTATCACAAACGGATGCTACATGTACTGGTCGATCCAGACCAAACCAGCGCCTATCTTTTCTACCAGACAGTGGAGGGGAAGGAGGGCTCTTATCAAGGCCGTTTCGCGTGTTTGTGAGGATTAACCGCATTTTTCTTTTAATGGTTTTTTCTATAGTTGATGCCCCTCGGTCAGAAGATGGCACAGTTTCCACTGGAGCCACGTTTAGCCAAAGTGATCTTGTCATCCCAAGAACTTAGCTGCAGCGAGGAAATCATCACAATCGTGGCCTTGCTCTCCGTTGACTCACTAACGTACACACCTCAAAGCAAACGAGATCAAGCCATATCGGTACGTAAGAAGTTTGTTTCTTCAGAAGGTGATCAGATGACCCTTCTTAACATATACAGAGCTTACAAAGCTGTCAGTGGCAACAAAGAATGGTGTCATCAGCATTTCATCAACTCACAGACAGTAAAACGGGTCATGGATATTAGAAAGCAGCTGAGAGAGATATGCACGCGACTAGACATTACCTTGACCTCCTGTAATAAGGAAACTGTGAACATCCGACAATGTTTGGCCAGGGGATTGTTCATGAACGCTGCTGAGCTTCAGTTTGATGGTACGTACCAAACTGTGACACATCGCCAACAGGTTGCAATTCATCCAACCTCGTCTCTGTTTGGATCCAAGCCACAGTACGTTGTCTACAATGAACTAGTGCACACATCAAAGTGTTATATGCGCGATGTGTGTATAGTTGATCCTTCCTGGCTGCGCGAAGCTGCACCAACGTACTTTAAAGAGCACAGACTACATTCTCAACCCACATCGGTTCGCTCTTAACCGTGTGCGTGTTAGTTAGCGTTGGTAAATGTTTTTCTCAAATGGAGAAGTTAATGATACTTCACATTATCAAACAAGTAACCTTATTTCGCACGTCTTACCCTGTGTACAGCGTGCGATACGCGAAGAGAGCTTTAGCCTAAAATTTGTAGAAAGGTTCTTATTTTCAATATAAAGTTGTTTTGACTCAAGAAATTAAAATTCATGTGAGAATAGATCTCTATTATGGTCATATTAAAATATAAGCAATCATTAGGTTGCAAATTTAAGGGTGCTGATCACTAAAATCTTCTTTGCAACGACATAATTTTTTGCAAGAAATTAAGAACCTATTAAGAACCTAGATATCCTAAATTTATGTTAACCACCATTTATGTAAGAACCTGTTTAGGCTAACCCTGGAAAATGTAGGTTCTTACTCGTGGGTTTTTACCATATAGCAAAAAATTTTTGGTGATCGGAGTAAATGTCAAGTGGTTATAGTGCCACGCTTCTTTGGGGTCTGAGTCGAAATTCTACTGTTGCCGGCATTTTTTCGTTCACTAACTACCCAGATTCTGAATTTCATGGTCATTGAAAAACTGTGACATTATCTTCTATAAGCCCAAACTTGAGTAAACATTCACGGAAGATTTTTAGCGTTTTGGCTGAGTTTGTGCTTTGGGAGTTTTCTATTGTTTCTAGTCTGTCATGATATAGCATTATTGAAAACGTTACAGTCAAGAAGACTTTAGAAGGGACTGATCAAACAACGTGAAATAGAGTTTAGTTGCGATATTTCGACTGGCCGATACCAGTCTTCATCAGGTTTATTGAGAAATCACGAATTTACAGAAATATATATGAGGTAAACTAATGACCGGAAATTACATAATACAAGGTGGTATGGTGTGGCTACTTTAAAAGACAAGATAACAAAAAATAAAAGATATACTATATATAGTTACAGTTCATCACGTTTATTGATGCCCAGATGCTCAATTGTCTTAGCTTTATGGATAAGGTGGGCTTCACGTGCTTTCTTGAAAGAATCAGGCCCATTTTCAGGAAAGCACGTGAAGCCCAAGACAATTGAGCCTCTGGGCATCAATAAACGTGATCATTTTATGAACTGTAACTATATATAGAATATCTTTTATTTTTTTGTTATCTTGTCTTTTTAAGTAGCCACACCATACCACCTCATATTATGTAATTTCCTGTCATTATTTTACTTCATATATATTTCTGTAAATTCGTGATATCTCAATAAACCTGATGAAGATTGGTATTGGCCAGTCGAAATATCGCAGCTAAACTCTATTTCACGTTGTTTGATCAGTCCCTGCTAAAGTCTTCTTGACTGTAACGTTTTCAATTTGATCTATTTTGACTGATCACGATCTTTTTGGATCCGACGTTGAGCAAGATTGATCGTACCCGGTTTTTGCAGTGGTTTTTTTTACCTTGATTAAACGCAACATTCTTTTTCAGCACGCGTACAACGACCGCGCTTGGCTGCCTTTGGAATGCTCACCGAGATATGCTGATTTTGATGCGGTGAGACAGGCGATCGCGTGATAAATAGAAGTTTAACTCACAGTTTGATTCTGGTGCTTCTTGTGTCTTTGCAAAAAAATCAAGAAATGCTACACACTAAATCTACTTACTATTAAAAAAATATCATTTTTACATAGGTTTAATGCTAGCCAATAATTAAACCAACTCATTACTTATCTTTTTACTTTTTTATCCGTGACGGGAATCCCTTCTATTTTCTCATACTAAATTATAATATCTCAGTGAGCATTCGGAAGTCAGCCAAGAGCGGTCATTGCACGCGTGCGGAACAAGAATGCTGTATCATGACAGACTAGAAACAATAGACAACTCCCAAAGCACAAACTCAGCCAAAACGCTAAAAATCTTCAATGTTTACTCACGTTTAGGCTTATAGAAGACAATGTCACATTTTTTCAATGACCATGAAATTCAGAATCCGGGTAGTTAGTTAATCAATTGTGGCCCTGAAAAAATTGAAGGAAAAAAACTACGAATTTATAAGAAAATGCTTTTTTCGTGAGGACTCTTAAACCCTGACAAAAGCCAACAAATAGCTAAAACTATAAGTTCTATATGTTTGCAATGCTAATGCGCACGATATGTTGCCGAGAGATGTTCACGAAAAATGCTGGGAACAGCAGAATTTCGACTCAGACCCCAAAGAGGCGTGCCACTATAACCACGTGACATTTACTCCGGTCGCCAAAGATCTTACGCTATAATGTGAATTAATCTGTATGTTAGACTTACGATCAAAGTAAAGGTGGGGATACCAGAGAGCTTCAAAGTAGGATGGTACCCCCCAAAAATAACTGGGTCGAGTCACCTTAAAGTCCTTATTTTCCCGTAAGGTCGTCGAGAACGAACGCTACAGGCGGCCACACTGACCGAGACTAGCTTGAAGATGATTCTCATTTAAAACCAATTACAAACTGGTTGCCAGTGACGGGGAGCGCTCGATCTCGACGATCTTACGGAAAAATAGGGGACTGTGAACAGTCTAATAGTGGACTCCGTCATACTCTATGCGTACAGATTTAAGTATCGACAATGCATCTCCACGTTAGACAGTCATTTCCCTGGGTCCAAAACCCTAGAGCCGGTTCCGACAAGCGACTCAAGCGAAAACGTTAATACATGAAAACACAAGACTAACTCACTTCAACACAAGCGCCGAAACAAGGTATTTCTTACGTCAGCGCTGGCGTCAGGATTTGAAACGAGTGAACTGGAACAACCAACGTGAACGTAAGCACAGGCACAAAGCCAGGGTGAAAAATATTCGTCCGCCGTTTTGGGATGCAGGCATCCTCGGAGACACAGGGACAATCAGTCGGGTCGGGAGAAAAAGCGCGACGAAAGTCATGCAGTTTTCAAGCACGGGATGAATAATTTCGTCGCGCCGTGTCTCCCGGCCCGACTGACTGTCCCTGGGTCTCCGAGGATGGATGCAGGATGCTCAAATGCAACTATATTGGGAGCTTAAGAAAAAGGCGTTCTTAAGCCAAGCATGTATGGCTTGACACTACCAAATTTGTATTGCTAAGTTTCAATACTCTACTAGAGACGATCTGCCCGGGACATGGGGCAAAAACACTGCCCAAGAGTGCAAAAGTGCTTTTCTAGTCGACGGTCGTCGTTTAAAAAAGTGGGGACTGTCGCGCGTACTTTGAGTTGCTGGTTCCGCTGGACAAGTGTAACCACAGGCGGTCCAAGCTCGTTGCATGAATTACCGCGTGTTTCGATACTGTTTTGCATATTACGAACAATTTATAGACTTTGAGGACTTTGTATGAAAAATTTAATATAGTTGTTAAAACACAGAAATATAGGCATAAGTATAGATATAAATTTCACTTACGTAAACTTGGGTTTGTTGTTACTTTTTCTGTGTAACCTGGGCTCAATTCATGGAGTTTTAATACGGTTTTGCGGCTCGTTGTTTGTTCGGTGTTGTTTTCCTACGTAATGTGAAACAAGGCAGGTTACGGTGTGCAGTCTCAACTCACAAATCTCTCCCGCAACAAAGAACCGTGCACCGATTCGCCTTGAGAGCGCTAAATCCTCAAGGCCAGGTGAGTCTCCTATTACTTCCCCTCATCATGGGTATTGCGATGTATTTTTTGAGGGAAATTTTGTTGAAAGTTTTCGCTTCTGGGCAACCTGACGTGCGCTCTGGAACCTCGATGACTACGCGTTGAGTGGTGAGCGCCAACATGGACTCAGGGTATCCGGGTAATCAAAATTGTATGACAAAGCATGGATCTTCCTACCCTCAGATAGTCTTCTGATTGGGCGTGAGCGTTGTTTGGAATTATCCACGTGGATGAGCGTATTTAAAATGTTCGCGATCATCACGCAACTGGTGGTCGTCGAGTTTCCTGAGCGCACGTTAGATTGCCCAGAAGCGTAAACTTTCAAAGACTTTTCACACACAAAAAAAAAAACACATCGCAATACCCACGAGGAGAGGAAATGATAAGAGACTCACCTGGCCTTAAGGATTCAGCGCTTTCATGGCGAATCGGTGGGCGGTTCTTCGATGCGGGAGAGATTTGCCAGTTGAGAATGCACACAGTAACCTGCCTTGCTTCGCATAACTTAATTAGGAAAACAACAACGAACAAGCAACGAGCCACAAAACCGTATAAAATGGCCATGAATTGAGCCCAGGTTACACAGAAAGAGTAACAATAATCTTACGTTTACGAAAGTGAAATATATTTCTATATCGATGCCTATATTTCTACGTGTAATGAAATCTTTCATACAAAGTCTATAACTCGTTCGTAATATGCAAAACAGTATCGTGACACGCGGTAATTAATGGACCGAGCTTGGGCGACCTGTGGTGTAACGAATGCTCTAGGGAAGAGATCAGTTAGAAGCAGGCTAAGATACATTAGAAGATACATCCCCCGTGCTTACGTTTACAAGATTAGATCATTGTAGGTTTCTGGGAAACTGCCCACCTACCCCTCCCCTAAGCTAACCTTAACACTCACTTCTCACTTAGGGCAAAATGATGGCTTAGGCGAGGGGTAGGTGGGCAGTTTCCCAGAAACCTAAATTGACGCCACTAAGATCGATTAGTGTGAACCAGTCCTTGTGTTTGAAGTGGGCTAAACAGATGAATGACGTTGTTTTAAGTGATTAACACTAAGACCAACAGTATAATTTAATACGCAATGGATTCATAAAAAGGCTTCATTCCTTGACCCAGTGATTTATTTGTCAGCCAGTCGACAACGGCCAAAACAAACCTAATAGCTGCTTTTATCTTTAAAGTGTCAATATATAGCTTGTTGCACAAATGACGAGTACAATTCATGTGTTCTGCTTGGAAATAGAATCTACTTCGAGGCCACCAAACTCTTGCAATATTAAGAGCACTTTTAGTTCCTATATGAACTGTTTTCAATAAAGGACATTCCACAAGCTACATTAATAATTATAACTATTAAGTCCTACGTATAATATAGTAATTTCTAATAATGATTCATCCGTCTGAGAAATTGACTCCATCAAAAAATTCCCCGAATGTAAGGCACGTCTCCAACACGTGGGTATAATATTATCAAGACTAAAAAGCATGGCATTGAACAAATTGTTAGTAAATTTATAGCATACACCGTGACAGGGCTATGAATAAAAATTTCAATCAAAAATAAAAAATTTAATGAATATCTCTTGAATCTGTCATTTTTGGGTGTTTTGTTTTTCCTTAAGATGTACTGATCAGAGGAGTAGCCTACTAATGTTTATCATTAATAGTGATTATTATTATTATTACGCATATGAGCTCGCAGGGAAGTTTCAAATCCACGGATACATCTCGCCTTCCAGACACTGTTATCTGTTGCTATTTTGTTTCGATAGATTTCCCATCTTCGTCTTGAAAACAGATGAAGAGCATTCTCCTTTTAATAGCATGTTTAACTCTATTCGTTCGTATGAACTGTATTTTTTGCAGCTCTTGACAACACCTTGCCAAAATCCAAGTCATGTGCCACTCCTTTCCAACTGCCAACAGTTTTCCTGCCACATGATTTCAATCCCCATAGCCACACCAGATCACGAGAGCAATCAGTATAATCCACATCCTTTGAGGTTATTTGCAATTATAGTGTCAGTAACCGCGTTAAATACAAAATTTATATTCTGCGTGTCCGTTGCACATGTAAGATGAACATATATTTCTTTATCATCATTCAAGTTCTTTCCTTCAAATTGTCTCCTTATATAAAGGCATCCATCCTCATAAGTATTGGGTCCTGGAAAAAAAAAACAGAAAATAAATATAACACCAGAAATAAAGTTTAAAAACACAAATATTTAGCAAGAGATTCTCTCTTGTATATCAGTAAGTAAATAACAAAAAGCTTCAATGGTTTTCATATGCCTTCACAAGGTACACCACATTAACCTTTTTCAGTTTGGCAGTACGCAAACAAAGTCTTGTTCGAAAGCCTGGGACTTGTACGTTTAGTGGGTGGGTTAGTTTGCCTTATATTAATTTAGATTTGAGGGATATAACTAATTATGATGAGGCATTACATAATCATGGGTGAGTGTATTTATTATAAAACCTGTCTGAAAGGCAAGCTGGGAAATTTATTTTATCTGCAACCTGAAAGTCTGTCTTTCTTTCCCATTTTCAACCAAGTAATGTTGCAGATTTCACTTTATGTGCATGAATAATAACACGGAAGTAACCTTAGGAAATCACATGACCTGAAATTGGGCAATAACCAAGGACTACTTTCTCCCCTGTGATACAAGGGCATGCACAACTTTGCTATGAAGAAACTTCCCCTTTTTTAATTTGTCCCTGAACTTAGATAAGATAAGAACTTTATTTTAGCATGATAAAAAGATCAGCATTGCTGGTGGGGTCGTGCATACAACAATATTATTTCAAGTACTGAAAGCAAATGTACAATTAAAAGTTAAAAACTGTTAAAAATGCTAAAATAAGTCGTGAAAATGTACAATTACAAATTAAAACTGTTAAAAGTATTCGTTATCTCTACTTTTAGTAGTAGCTAAGATTGGTTCGAAGTTCATTCTATATGATAACACTGATAGGTTATTTTATCAAATTGGACAAATAATGGCCGTGGAGAAAACTGAGTTGGTGACAAAGAAAACAAACTAGAGCAAAGGATATGTTTGTTCAGCTGAAACACTAAATACAAAAAACCTAATTGACATGAAGAGGAGCTATTTTCTATGTTACTGCATGAAACATTATATTTGCTGTTGATCTCCTTAATTTATGACAGATGACAGCATACAACAAAATATAGGAAGAACAAAAAAAGTCGCCAGTAACAGGCTATGCCGGAAAATGGTGTATCTATTTACCCAAGGTGCATTTCATGTAATTCATTTCAAAATTTGCTGAGTGTCATATTTCTAAAAACCATGATTCCAGAGAGTCAATGGTTATCAAAGTTTGCATAGACAATGAAAAAAAATTGTTGTCTTAAAAACAGTTCATCCTCTCCTGTCCAAAAAATTAATGGTCTGTTCCTAAAGATACAGTGTTAAACTGGGGAAGAAAAGTATGTTTGTCCACTCACTAAGAAGATCAGAAAAAAAAACTATCACTGTTAATATTAATTTTATTTATGATGATTTAATTATGGTACATGAAACATATCTCTCAGAGAGAGACAACCAAGGGAAGCTAAAGTAACTTTTGAGTTATAAGTCTAGAACTTTACCTGTATACTCTGGAAAACATATATTGAGCGGTGAAAATGTTATTTTTTCTTGAAATAAATCTGTTTTGTTCAGAAAGAGTATAACTGATGTTTCATTGAACCATCTGTTGTTGATTATTGACTCAAATAATTTTAAACTCTCCTCCATTCGATTCTACAGGAAAAAAGACAAAGTTAGAAAAACTTGTATTTATTACAATGCAAACAATATTATGGAGAAACAAAGACACAATATACACATAACTTCTTTTCGCTACAGGAGGGAAAAAGTGTCAATACATGCACATCAAACTAAATAGTAACTTTATTTCAAGCACTTTGATAAATCATTTTGATGGTCACTCAAATGCAGAGATTAAACTTGAATAAGTGTCTTAAAATCTTTCTACCTTCAATTTTCTATACATCCACAGTCCTATAGATTATTATGGACCTTAAGATTCGACAACAATGACACTAACTAGAATGTCAAAAAAGGAATCGGTTTAATAAGGAAAACAACAACTTTGCACGTGCAGCACACTTCTTATGAACATTTCTTTGATACCACTGTACAACTAGGACGTGAAAATGTATAATAAATATTTCACGTTTTATGGAGAGTAATAATAATAATAATGACTTTATTAACGTATCTAGCAGAGGGGATTCCCCACTGCTAATAGGGGACACCTAACTTTCTAAAATACAATCTAAAAATACAAAACAAATTGATATAGAGTCGAAACTAGAATGTACTAAGAGTTAGAATTATAAACTACCATTAAATAATAACTCACTAACATACATACTATAAAAACTCCATTAAATAATTATCAAAATTCTAAAATCTTGTAAAATGAGGTGCAATTAAGAAAAGTTAAAATTATGAATTGCAAAAACAAGTGACAATGAAATTTTTTTCTCTTTCTGGACTTGGATAGGGTTCTTAAGAATTCACTTCAAGGGGAGTCCACGTATACACCTATTTAATGTTGCTCCCGTGAACCATGTTTCATAGCCTGCAGTGCACCATGGTAAACCCTGTTGTAGCGGGAAGTTTAGTCTTGTTCATGTTCCTTGAAATAATGGAGACCATTTGTGAAAAAGCATTCAAGAGAGCTTTCAAGTCAAATGGCTGCTAAAATTCTTAAGAATGAGCGAGCTGGAAAATTTCATTTTTAAAAATCTCAAAGTAAACAATAATTTAGAAGCCTCTTCTTCTAACAACATGAAATGAATAGGGTTTTACCGCCTGATTAAGCTGCGTTTTTGCATGGGCCAGAATGCTGGTTATTTCAATTAAGAAAATCAATGCTATTCTTTTTTTATACAGTTTTAAAAAAATGCCCAAAAAATAGTAATTCTTTTAAGAGCATCCACCACCAAATTGCAGACCAAGGGAATTAAACTGAATTTGCTTTTTAAGCTTTTATATCTGAATTCCAATTTCGCACTAACCTTGGGTTATCAGCTTATCTTAGCCCGCTTTGAACAACCCAGCCAGGGTCCCTGTTCAACAAACGCCTTGAATTTGATTTTTTTTTAACTCCATCGAAAATTCCCATGTGCACGAGCCCCGCAAACTCGTTGAAAATTTGCAGCACTTGCATATTACCACAGAGAAAAACCTACCCTCAAATCACTGTCTTAAATTAAAAAGCCTAGGATTCAGTGTTTTGAAATACATTGTCTTAACATTCTGCTGACATAGCATAGAAGCGTCAGCAGCGTTTGCTTTCTAGGTTTCTAGGATCATTGCTGGCACATAATTTACTAGACTTGCTACAATAATGCACCGCAGGCTATGAAACATGGATCATGCATCATTCTTCTCTGAAGCAACCTTAATTGAAATAGGTGTATTTGACAAAGTAAATGAGTTTGAATAGTCAGGATGAAAATTTAAAAAATGCAAATTCACTTTTTAAATGGCATTTTCTGAAGCTGTCACCGTCGTTGGATCTTAAGGTTTCTTTTATCATATATGGGACGGCAAATAACAGTATGGAGGATGCCTGTCACAATGAAGCCCTTGTTCCCACCAGACCTAGCAGGTCAGTAACCAGGTCCCAGTTGCTCAAATGGTGGATAGCACCATCCTATGGATAAATTTTTATGCAGTTTTAAACACAATTGGTTTCTCTAATACTTATCCACTGGATAGTGAATCCGTTAGATAGCACTATCCAATCTTTGTAAAACCCAGGCCAGAAGGTCATTTGTCAAACTCCTGTCGCAATAACTCACTTGCATTTTCTAAATGCTCTGAACCATAGCCAGGGTTTCAGATAAGACAAAGCCAGTGTTGCTAAGACTAAGTGATTTAAAGCAAGCCCATAAGAAGGGGAAGTATAAACGTAGAAGAGGCGAGCACCTCATCTTACATTAATGCTAGTTAGAGCTTCGAGTTTTGGTTTCAAAGCATGAATTAAATAAACAAAAATGGTTGATTTACCGTTGTTTCATCCTCCTGCAGCGTCAAGTCATATGCACTTAATGACACACAGTATATTATTGCCGTGACATCTTCAAAGCAGTGAATCCACTTTTTACGTTCCGACCTTTGTCCTCCGACATCAAACAATCTACAAGGAACAAAAAGAATGTTAAATGATGTCTGTTGTCTAGGTTTTAATTGAATAAAGAAAAAGGTGACATCATGTTACCATAGTAGCAAAATTTCTGGATCTCAACAATATTTCTTGATAGTGATGGCCACTTCCATAGTCGAACGATGGAAGAAAAGAAGTGGGCTACCATTTTGTTCCTTAGTGCAATCATGCCTAGGAAAGTCATGTATGTCAATGTCGATCCAGAAATTTTGCTACCATGGCGATGTGACACAACAACTTCTCATCTCTATTTTACAAATAGCTCACTTGAATAAAACAATACAGATAACTTACTTGAAATGAAGTCTCTTGAAATCAAACTGCACCTCAACAATGCCTGTTGTTTTGACTCTTGTTCTCAAGAGATCTTGTTCCGTTGGCTCATAAGTAGAAGTTCCAATTCTTTCAAGTGAATCTAAATAGCTGTAAGAAGAAAGCTGCATTGTCAGCATCACTATGGTATATGTACGTCTCACTGGTTGAATAATATTCACATAAAACTGCCACAGCAGGAGTCTGAAAATTATGGGATACAACTCAAATATACCAGAGATGGAAAGGGCATGAAACAATTTGCTTGCGAGCGAATTTTGAGGTGATCAACACATAGTAATATTTTATGTGCCTGCAAAGTTACAAGAGAAAAAATTGCTGGACCACATAGTGTCAAACCAACATAAAAACCTAAAAGTTGGCAGACCCACTATTTGTTATACTCGCTTTGAATGCCTGGTATTTTTAGGGCTGTATCGTACAATTTTGCCATGAGTTGGGCCACCTGACCCCAAAGCTGCAAATGGCCTATTCTCTGTAAGACAAAGTCTGAGTAAAACGGGTGTCTACCTTATTATAGAGAGTCAAATAGATGAAAATGACAGAGGAATCACACAAACCAACTCTTAGCTTGATTACCATTTGTAAAACGGTTCAGATGGAAAGTAAACAGAGCAATTCTTTTTGGGTTGTTCCTGTTGAAAATTCCTACAAGGAAAAGTACTTCTGAAAAGGTTGTCCTGTTTTCCTACTCTGGATGTTCCAAACAGAAATTCACATTCCATTTTTACGGAGCTATCTTCGGCTTTCCCTGCCATTTTATGGTAAATGGAGCTGATACAGTGTGGAAATGGTAAAAACAATTCCAGAATGAAATTTACCAGTCCAGAATTTTGCTTTCCATTTGCCCAGAAGGCACTGACACTATGAAAACTGGGTATACACCTGTTTCAATAAAGGTTGCTTTGGGATTTGGTCATTGAAATGCAGAATACAATGCAATGCTTTGCTTGAGTGACCACCAAACAATGGCTTTCAAGGACCAAAGCATGATTCCCACAGCAACTTTTATTGAAATAGGTGTACATCAATGCCTCATCCTATGGTTGAATATGTGTTTCCCACATGGAGCCCCCACCAGATAAATTAGAACAAATTAAACAAAATGCTTCCAATTGGATTCTTGGCAAGGACAGTGTAATAAGATGAAAGACTGTCTAAGCTAGGCTGGATGAATTTAAAAACCTTTAGTAACTACCAAAGTCTTGTACAACTTTTCAAGTATATCAATGATCTCTGTAAAGTCAATTTTGGAAATTTATTTTTCCATCCAATGCACAAGATATAAAAATATTTTAAAGTAGTCTTTGAAATATACTGACATCAGCAGTTATTTTTCAAACTGGTAGGCAAAAAGTAACCTCTGCTGACAACGCTCCCATTCTCTGCCATACATGAATGCATGGTTCACCATGCAACTCATGAGCATTATATGACACATTTTCTTTGTCTGACACACGCTCAGTCTAATATGCATCAACTTCTTGTGAAGTCCAAAGCACATGTGAATGTGTGTGTGAATGTAGATGGGGCTGTCAAATGTTTCAAACTCAATTTGCTACAGAATATTATCCTAAAAAGTAAGGTCCCGTTAAGACGCCAAACTTTTCATGACCCGAACCTAATACATTGAATTAAGTACATGAAAAGTTTGGCATCTGAATAAATTAGGAACGCCTGTTTCAATTTGGAATGGCTCAGCCATTCTTTTCGCCTAGCCCAGCCAGGAATTTCACCTTTGGAGCGACTTTGGAATGGCTTTGATTCAGATGCCGAACTTTTCATGTACCTAACTTAACGCAAAAATTATTATAACATATTTTCGAAGCAGTTTGACCGAAATGGGCATTTTTCTCCTTCTAAATTTAGTTCGGCTGGAATTAAGATCGGCATCTGAATCAATTCAACCGGTCCAAATAATTTGGGTCGGTCTTAATTCGAATTAGGTTCGGCTCATGAAAAGTACGGCGTCTGAACCGGGCCTAAGTCACCTAAAAAGCCTCATTAATATACTGTTCATTACAATAAACAAGGCATAACTGGAAAATTTTACTAAAAAAAATAACACACATTTATAACATACAAGTTACTTAGGCTTATCCCCATTGCATGGTACTTATGAATACACAACATTGTTGTCCTAACTGATTAGCTAGTATGGTAAATTTTACTTTCCCTTGAATAATCAGAACAACTTTGCATGGAGCATAAAGAATTTTGGAACAATGAAGTAAGCAAATTGTGATGTGATTAAAATACTTAATTTTATAGGCATACAAACTTGCATGCTTAAACAGAGCAAATTAATCCAAAAAGCTTGTTATTTGATGAGAACTCAACAACATATCCAAAAAAATAAAAAAAAATTCAAAACATCAGTTGAGGGCGTTGAAAAAGGATCAGGAAGTCACTGATCATTGTTTATGAGTTTTACATTCCTAGATTTACTCTATAACCGCAGTAGACACCAGACAAAACTAAACCGAGTGACTCCAGCTGTTTTAAAAGTTCAAACATTTAACTTCTAAGGAACAGGAAGCAACAATTACAGCCATCCATTTCCCTCTAAGGGCAAAACAAAGCGTTAAGCACGTGCTTTCCTCACCACAAATAAACAACCTTGCGAAGGCATTTGCAACACACATGGCAAAATTAACGGTCCTAATTATCATGATCGCGATTAAAAATTTCGTTGCCTCTGAGCCTAAGGAAATTATGAGTGCGACCAACCATCTTTGACCTTCATCGTCCGACGGTAGAAAATTACACTCACAAAACAATGACATATTACAACGCCAGCAAAACAACTTTAAATGCTCTCTTTGTTAAACTTCACCCACTCTTACCCCAAGTGTTCTAAACTTTCCCCTTTACTACGCGGAATGTCTTTCAGTTTTCAAATAACAGGAAACGGTATCCACTAGGGCATGCCCAGTAGTATTACAGCTACCAAGAGCGATGCAAACAACCTTCAAAATATTCACTCGCTTTGTACCCTATATTTCTCCCTGATTTCCGCGGCGAGGACATAGAGAATGGAATTACACTAACATAATTTTAACACTTACTATCTCGCAGAATCATTTAGTTGATATTCTCTAGATCTTCGGAAACATTGTTTTAAACCAGCGTCAGCCCACAAGCGTTTCATTGCCGCTGTTAACTCGGGCGTGAATGGTTCCTGATCGTCCGCTCTGGCTACTACATCAAACACCATTTTCGCATCCATCTACAACGCAAAACCAATATTCAAAACATTTGCACGGTCCACTAATCCCTCTACTACCGATGCAATCGAATGTAAGAAATAACACAACTGATAAACAAAGAAAAATTACAGGGAAAATAACAATGACCTTACCAGTCTCTCGTCTGTTTCGAAGTCAATATGCAGTTTGTCCATAGCTCGAATGATAGTGAGCAATGAGTAAATTGAATTGCTGAAAACGACTGGTTTGTACTGACTGTAATCCTCTGGAGAAAACCCATGGTCATGAATGATTCTAAACAGTAGAAATTAAAGACCAAACATACCATGAACACATTAGATTTAGACTTGTAAACAGAGCGGGTAACCAAGTTATAAACAAGCCTGTAAAGAGTCTTCAAATTTGCACAAACCTCATTTGCTTCACTATGGTGCTTTTGCCCGACTCCCCTGCGCCTGAGATAAATGGAAGTAATGTCCATGATCAATACTACAGAGTAAATACAGTTTATACAAAATTGCAAAGTCATCGGTGCCGGCAAGTCAACCTTCTGAGCTGAAGGTCCACGCCTCCCCTTTGACCGTACACAGCCTACAGCTTGCACTAAAGTGGCTAAGTTAACGCTCAAGTTCGATAGAATTTTTTATGCTCGACCGACTGTTGGCGATGGGGAACTTACAAAAGGAACTTAGAGTATCAAGAAAATATATCTACAAAAAAAAAGCAAAATAAACCGACTTCAAACACCGATAATTTAACAACAAATACCAGACTATTTCAAGCATACCGAGCAGCAACAACTTGACTTCGCGTTCCGCGCGGACACTGTCCAGTTTTAATTTTTGGTCGATTGCTTTGCTCCGTGCAAGGGCTGCTCTCTCTTCTCCGCTCAATGTGCAACCCATTGTGGCGGAAGGCCTAGTCTTCTAGGTCTTTGACGTCCAAATGGTCGTATTCTGGGCACGGACTACGGAGCCATCGAGCATCGATTTGAAGAAAAGATCCAGGCCCGCGATCGCCGTTGCCGCCGCAGTTTGACATTGAGGGCGGAACAAGCTGTTTTTGGAGGGTGGGGAGGGTAACATGTTTGCTCACTCGAGCCAGCCCAGCTACATTTTAGCAACCATAGTGTATAACATCAACATATCGGAAAACGAATTATTTTAAAGTATTTCAAAGGGAGTCTAACAATGAACTTCCACAGAAATTATATTTTTCCTAGAAATAAGGCGTTTGGCATTGTGCCCCACCGCAAACAATCTGTTCGCTTCTCTATATCCAATCAGAGAGCAACGCAAACAAGTCGATAATATTACATTCCAGGAAGCCGCTAAAAACCAAACATAAATAGAAAGTACATGTTCCCCCAAGTGTTCTCACTTTCATGATCGCTTCTCAGAAAAGAATAATAATAATAATAATAATAAAAAGAAAAGAAGAAAAAAAATAATAATATTTGAAGAACGACCTTATCTCCTCTACTAAGTAAATAAAGGAGATATTTCTCCTTTTTTTGGCATGTTTTCCTAAATTTTCCTTGAAATACTCAAGACTTTCAAAAATCATAGACAACTCTTGTCGCCATACATAGAAGCCGCTTGCATTTACCACAGGACGTAAAGGAATAAGCCTCAGAGAAAATGAATTAATCACAAACGGAAATTTGAAACCCGTTTACAAACATGGTCAAAAAAGGAGGAAAGATTTTAAGACAGTAACTGCATGCGCTTATGGCGACTTTTAAGTCTGAAGTTTGCTTGGACGTTTATCTGACCCGCTTAATTTTGTACTAAAAATTTCAATTTGCTCTAGAGCAAGAACGTGCAACGAACGAGAAAAAAAATTATCTAGCCAAAAAAGATGCTCGTTTTCCGTCTGTCGTACTTTAGCCGGTTTCCAAAATGTAAAATATGCCTGGTCGGAAACGGGTGAGGTTACACAAATTTAGTTCGTAAACCCCATGCCCCACAGGGCGGAGATCACAAAGTCGAACCGCTCCAGTCGCAAAGTGCTCATTCTGTGATAACCCTTTTGGCCTCCATTCGGTTTAAGTTCCAAACAACAGTGTAACTCTAACCGAGCATAGAAAAGCAATATGGCGGTGGCGGGAGTATTTCCGTACGACAATGGACAAACCTTTGTTGGTGGTGTTGTTAATAAGAAAAATCAGGGCCATTTGCTTCCAGTTCCACATCGGTTTTTCGGCTGTTGAATAAAACTTCCGGCATTGTTATTGGTGAAATGCTTATGAAACGAATGAATTTCTGATTGACTAACTTTCCAATTTAGTTAATAGCAAAGAAAACTTAGTAAACTTAAAAATACGCAGAGCCACCGCAGACCGTGCGGCTGCAAAGTAGGTCGTGCCGTAAACAGTGATAGTTTGACTGCCCAGTGTCTTTTTCAGGTTTATTAAAGAAACTCCATTTACCCTTACAAGTTTCATTTCTAAACAAAGTAGTCAAAGTATGAATTATCGTAATCATATTAGAAAAAAGAAATCCAAAATGACTAAGCCCGAGGATGCATATGCTGCTCCTTCAGGGTTGGCCACAACGGACGACTCAAACCCTGTCTTGGGCTTCCCTTTGCTCGTGTATTCGGCTCGAGTCATTCGACCAGGACAAACACCCTGGATCGTCTCGTTCAGAATGACTTAAGATAGTATTTTATTTTAAGAACTGTAGCCTACAGCAAGCTGCAGCAAGCTGGACTCGAATGTTCGCCCAATCAGAAATCGAACGCCTCATGAACGTAGTTTTGGCTACGAACTAAACAAATACAAAGAAAGGAAAGAAGGTCAGTCAAGGAATTCGACAATTGGAAATTCAGCATGTTCAGGAGATGCGGTTCCTGAGAATTGATATTCTGTCCGATGAAATATTTAGTTAAAATCTGGAACCATCACACTGTGTTTGCTCTAATCCTTAAACTCTAAAAAACACTACATCAAGATTTGATAAAAATTCCAGACTTAATTTTGAATTTTTTAACTCATTAATAATTTATGAAGAGACAAAAAAGAAAATCACCACTGTGACGGAAGTTTGGATATCGAAACTTATTTACCATAGCTCTTGCGAACTCTAACTTTGAATTTCTTTAAGAATTATTGTTCATTTGGGGAGTTATATCAAACACTCCACTTAATGTTTCATAAAAACTCCGGTGGTTGCGCCTCGTTTTTCCACCCACTTCTGGGCGTCTGAATATCGGTAAAAACACTGTGTATACAACCAATTCCATAAAAGTTACTTTGGCTCGTGGGCATCGGCATTTAGGCATACGAAACTCACCGCAATGCTTTGCCTGAGAGACCACCAAACAATAGCTTCCTCGTGCACTTAAGTCTACTTGTGTGCTTTATATAACACGTTGGTATTGCCTTTATTTCACTTTTGTGTCGTTTGGGATAGCTGTGGCCAGGGTTGTAAATCCTACTTAGGCAAGCTTAATCGCCGTGCTGCATGTGTAATCGAGGACCGTGCAGTCAAGTCTGACGAACTATCTATACTATATTTGGCAGGCCTCATCTGCATGCATGCCGTAACTTCCTTAAATCTGTCCTTATCTATAAGTGTATCAACGGATTAGCACCTTCTTATCTGCTGAATGAATTTTCGGCAGCAGGCTCTACAAATCGACTCTCACTTCACCAGACAACGTGGCTGGCTTTGGCTAAAATCACCAAATACCAGGTCAGTTTAAGGATCATTGAAGCACCTGCTTATAATTCCATCCCCTCAAATAGAAAATCTGCAACGGACTTAGATACGTTTCAAGCGCCAGGCTATCTCTTGAATCTTTTAAATGTCGCGTGTCTACGTACTTTTAGTGTGCTACTTTATGTATAATGTTTCTCTTTATATTTTTTTTTATATTTATGTGTATGTTTTTGACAAGACTCTGTTTAAATTAGCTTCATGCTAAACCAGATGTTCCTGTATAAACAATTAAATGAATAAAATAAATATATAATAAATTTCTAATGCCCAAAGCAACCTTTCTTAAATCAGCTTGGTGTAGACAGTCTAACCTTCATGTGCGACCACCTCTTGTAAGCGACCATCTCCCATACGCGACCATCTATCCAAAACACCCAAATTTTCCCATTCAAAACCTTGTTACGTAATAACCACCCCTCCGCATGAGACCAAGACCACTTTTAGGATGATAGTTTTGTACTGTTTTCCATTTGTTTTAAGCCTCTTGTAAGAGGCCAACTTCCCACACCCACTGATCTCTGTGTTCGCCGTTACTTTAATAATATATAGATTTAACTAGGACTAAAAGCTCTTTTTAATATTTATAGATTCCTCAAAGAAAATATAAAATCGAGCAAGGGCCTGTTTACATGGAGTTTGGAGAGCCCAGGTAGGTGAGGTAACCCGCTTAGGTTGGGTAACCCCCCTGTCTATATTATCTCTCATTTTAATGTGATCACGTTTACATGTTAGGCGGGGTGACCCGCCACGTGTTACCTCACTTACCTGGGGTCCCCCACCTCCATGTAAACAGGCCCTAATACTAAAAACAAGTTGAAAGCAACCAGAACGGTAAAAAACAATAACAATAGATCTAATTAGCCAAAAAACAACTTTGCACGTGCAGAACACTTTTTTTTTTCTAATTAGCAAAAAAACAACTTTGCAAGTGCGGCACACTTTTTTGTACATTTCCTTGCCGCTGTTTTGCGGCAAAACATAAACGTGAAACTTCTTTTAGCTTCCTATTTACGCGTTTTATGGAGGAAATGTTTGTGTTCCTGTTCACTCTGTTTTTTTCACTGCCGCTCATTTTCACATTGGTAACCGATAGCATTTCTCACTTTTCTCATTTCTCAATTTTCATGTTTTCTAGTCTCCGTTTTTATTTATTTCTTGCTTCTAGCTCTTTCCCTGTTATCCAAGTTAATGTAGACATTAAAATTTAGTGGAAAGAAAGACTCGGTTTTTTTTCCTTTAAAAGCCCGGGCGACCATGTGATTTACTGCTAAAACGAGCGAGGTGCTTGAAATGAAAAATTTCACCTCAGCTAAAACATACTCCTCCCCCGATGGGCTGTCACTTGTGATTCCCTTCCCTCACCCCCAAAGAGTGTACGAACGGACGGAGTACGCTGACGTCATAACCAAATTTTCACGGATGGGTAGATAACTAAAGTTTCTTACCCATGGTGCTCAACTGCGCGCGCTTAGCGCGCGAGAGCTCCGCTATAATGTCAACTTGCAACTTCACATGTCGTAACTCAGAAACGTGGAAGTGTCTATTCTACTCCTCGGAAAAGACCTCCTGTAGTTCGGCTCTGGTAAGCCGCCAAGCGACCACTGACTCTTTGCATTTTGGGTTATCTCTCACTGGAAATTCGAATCTATTCAAGTCATTATACCATGCATGTGAAAGTGCAGCTGAAGAGCCCGACATATATGAATGGACACAACCATAGAATTTCAACTTTTATGTAGAATCAAAAGTTAGAGCAATATTATACATCTCTCTAAAGCCCTGGGGGACACCCATCCGAATAAATAGATTCATAAATCAAAATTGTATAAAACGCTTATATGTAGGTTGTTTTAGGGCCATAAAGCTCAAATTGTGCAGAGGCGGCATCTTATTTAGTAGGTCGCGCTTTACGGCGATGCTTTAAACCACCTTGGTGCATGCCAACTGAAACTGGGAAAGAAACTGACATTGTGTGCAAGTTTGCTACTCCAGTAAATGACGACATCGATATTATTATTATTATTATTATTATTATTATTATTATCATCATCGTTGTTGTTATTATTATTATTATCACTAATCAGAAACGATTAGTTTCATCACCTCAGGTGTGTCATCAGGAAAGAAAAAGATTTTTTTGTTTCAAAGTTTGCCAGCAAGCATTTGATCACTGTTACAGGAGAAAATTTTGTCACCCACGAAAAATGATCAATCTCTTTTTCGAAAAAAGGCTCTTGTAGGATGACTTTTGACATAACACACTAGTTTACCTCACTGCAG